TGGTCACCCACCCAACTACTAACCTCCCGGCGTGTGGCTTAAGTACGGCTGAGCGGACGGGAAGCCCTGTTTTCCACACCCTATGGTCGTATGTACTTAGTTCTTCTAACATGTTCCTTATATAGTTTAATGCATATGTTGACCAAAGTTGGAATTCTAATCATTAATGTCGTGTGCTTTCAATCTACAGTTTTCTTCAGTGACTAATTAATTAGTACTAGTCTTGATAAAAAAAAAAAAAAAAAGCGGATGCCAACCGACCCTTCTATAGTTGGTATCTTTATAATTGAACAGATGATTTCTCAAGTAGCAGGCTATGGGAGTTACTACCACAGGATATGTCATAAATATCTAAATTAAAAACACAACGACGGTATCGACTAACCTGAATGACTCCTAAGTTCTTACTATTCATTATAGATGAATAACGTTGGCGACATCGACAGCTCTGCTACAGGTATCCTTGAAATATACATCTGATCACAGTGCCAGCACAAATGCTACCACTACATGACAAAGGGAAATAGTCAATTTTTGCTTATTGACAGTAGTTTGAAGCCCCAGACATTATATAGCCGGGTGTTGCATCAATTATCACCAGTGAGCGTCAAGACCCGCGGGCCAAGTCTGTTTAGATGAAACCACGTTCATTATAAGATTGGGCTGAGAAGATATGTGATCTCAGTGCCCGAAATCACTTGCAAGGTGATCACTGATGTATTTAATGCCCTCCGCACGGTAAACGTCAGAACTCACATATGTGAGATTCGTGACATCGGTATCGAAAAAGATTATCTCCGGATTATCGATATTGTATGGCGGCCACTGAACATTAGTTCCTAAGAAGATAGTTGATTCAGCTCGGGTCTGACATTGCGCAATCATAGGAATGGGATGCGGGACCATACCTCCAGAATGATTTGGGTCCAATGTTGTCACAAAATTGACCCACATTCTTGACATAATTTTGCTCATGTGGGAATAACTGTTAGGCATGCTTCCTATGGACTTGTTGTTCGAGTCGTACCCCAGGCCATCGAGATTATAGAAAACGTACGGAATCTCCGTACCATGAGTAGCCCCAGCATAGGAACCAGCAGAGGGGCCATATCCAGGGCTGATAACGTCAAACATGTAGCTATATACTGAGATATTGCGGGATGACCAGATCTGACTGGTCAACCTACGTGCGGCATGGATGTTAACATCACCCTGAAATGCGGCCACACGCTTGTATTGATTTCCATATCCGGACGGTGGCCTTCCAACCATTATTGTGGGGATTCCTATCTGAGGAATGTCCGGGTACAGGGCCTCCAAGATATCCGTGGTAGCGTTGTTGAGGCCCCAATCTTTGACTAGCTCTCGAAACTCGGCATCTGTGTTGACTCCCTCCACAGCAAATGCAGTCCCTTCGTCGGCGTTAGCTCCAATCAAGTAGGGAACTCTGACGAATTTGCCCTTCTGGAGCTGAACCGTGGCACTCTCCTCAATGAAGTCGTCATCTATGACAGGAATGAATTTTGCTCCGCTGAGGCCTGACATAGCGTGCATGGGTACAATAGACGTGTTGTCAAAAATACCATGCAATGTGTTAGTTGGAATTGTTCGGAGACAAGCCAAAGTATCCGTTGCTGAACTGCAGCCTGATGCATTCACAATTCCATCATAATAGGGCTGCCATTCAGCAGGTGTTGGATAACGTTGGTAAACACTTGGAGCACCACTTTCACTGATCGCTGCACGGAATATACCATCATCGCGCCCTCCGTAAGCAACCAGATGCGTGCCAACACTATTAGCGCCGGAACTTTCACCCCAAATTGTGACCTGAGCAGGGTCGCCACCAAATGCAGCAATGTCTAAGTCGTGGTCAGATCCGTACCTAGAAAAGCTTCACTATCGAGATACGTACTTTCTTGTATCCAATGCAGAGCTAATCGTTGGTCTCTAAGTCCCAGGTTTCCTACTCCGGCTTCCTTTATCTCCTTGCTCCACATAAAACCCCAGCAATGAAGACGATAATTTAGACTGACTGCGATAACGGGCTTTTCCATTTGGACTGACTGATCAACGATGAAGGACAGATTGTATTGTTTCTCTGATGAAGAGCCGGAGGTGAATCCCCCGCCATGAATCCAGACTGGGGCCGAGCGCAAAGTCAGTTCTGGCCCTTCTGATCAGATTTGGGGTATATACTGACCAGCAACGGGCAGACTTTGAGAAAGAGCGATGCTTGCCGGGCGGACGACGTTGAGAGTAAGGCAGGCTTCGGAAGCACCCTCTGTCTGATTAAATCCAACACATGCGGGTGAATATTCTGTTGCATTTCTTGGTACTGGCCAGGAGGTGTTCATTGATCGTGGGGTCCGCAAGCGAAGGTCACCAATAGGTTGCTGTGCATATGGAATACCAAGAAAGAGGTCTTGATTATAGTGTTGGTTATGAAGACCATAGTAGGTGCCATTTCGTACAGTAGCTGTGGGATCCGAAGTTATTCCTGGCTGTTCTAATTCTACCGCACTTGCAATCAAAGGAGCAATAAGTGCTAATACAGCAAGCGAGGGGACAAACATTTCGAAGCCTTGCCAGAGAATGAGGATTTCTAATTCGATAAGTCCGACCCGTTCTTGCGTGACTAGAGAGTATTATGTACTAACTAATTGAGATTAAGATGACGAGTTAGCCGGAACAGATCCGGAACATAGCCGGGAGTTGCCCAACTTTTCAACCTTCATTACAAAGCCAGTATATGCAGCATTTACTTGCCCGTAAGTAGCGGTGCTACTAAATTTCAAGATAGCGTCTACTGGACTATGGCATCCCCACGGAAGATAAGAAACCAAGTTTATTCAGCTCTTGCAGGAGATATTATGAGAGTATAGCGATCAAGCCGGAAAACGTCCCGAATCGGCTGCTTGGGAACCGGGGCCGCATATTAGGGGAAGCAATGCCTTCCTACCGATCGGACAAACCGGATCGATAAAGTGTTCTAAGTGAAATCCTTTCCCTCAGATTCTCTTAGAGCCTAATGCCACGTAGGCTGACCCCTGGAATTTGAAACGCTGGTGCCAGAGCTGCAGAGGCGAGCGTGTGGAATTAAATGATAGAGGCAGGGGCCCCAGTGGCCTTGGCTGTCAGTCCACGCACACTTAAAACTGCTCGACAAACCGAACGCTGTCTGGGTAATTGTATCCTATGACAACAACAAAGACCGGGCAACAGGAAATTCATTCGACCGTATAAAACACCTGATCAAATGGCTCAATGTCCATTAACAGATGATCTCCCAGTTCCATACTATCTATATCTCCCCAGTCACCAGGATCACGGAACATCTGCGCGCCCTGTGTTCCATTCGAGACGGGATCTAATGCAATGTCGCCTGTCTCAACACCCCGTATTGCACCCGCCAGCCAATCATCGCTCCAGCCAGTGTACGAATCCTCACTATCCTTGGAGCGCGCAGTAGTATCTCCGTCCATGTTTGGGTCTATCATTAGGATCTGGTCCATATAGTCCTGAACCGTGCGGTAAACCTCTCCCGCGACACGGTTGCGGAACTTTGCCACTGCATCATTGAGGCTAGTCAAGATCTGATGATAAAGCTGGGCCTGCGGGCTAGTGCGGCCAATATCATCGAGAAGATGTAAGCTGCTGTTGAAGAGACTCTCAATGTCACGGCGTGGCTCTGCAGCAAACTTGGAGAAGCCTAGGATAAGGCCAGCGCCAAAGATCCAAACTCTATGAGGAGACATTAACATCGAGACTTTTCAAGTTGAACTTAGGGGAATCAAAGCTTGAATAGGGCGTGGAGGTAAAAGGGGGCATACTTGAGGAGGCAAAAGTTTCGAAAAACGAGCCCTGCCGATTTTGCCCGCCGACACATGTCTATCATGTATAAGGACGAACTTACGCACACCTGGGCCAATTTCGATACTTTGTTGTTCTTTATAGCGACATCAGAGGCCTCGTCCGGGTCACTGATCAAATGGTCCGGTGCTTTTCCACGAAGACGCGACGTGAGATACGCAATCAGATATGGCCGGGTTACGAGGATTACCGCAAAATAGTATAGGCAAGAAACATGAATGCTTCCAACAAGTCGCTGTCGATCTCCAGGTTCTAGGAATGGTAAGCTATGGGAAACACTCCGGAACTGGCGGAGACCTGTGGGTAGGCCGCTACTCCATTTCCGGAGTTGGGAAAGCAGGCCCTCGGCCGTGGGGACATCAAGAAGTCCGCCCTTGCTGAGTGTGTCGACGATGTTATTGAGCAAGGTGCATCCGTTGCCAACGGCATAGAATGCTGACTGAAGGTTTACTTCCTCATTCGTGTCCGGCATAATTGGCACTAGGGGGAGGCTTCTCGGCCTGGACAGTACAAAGCTGCTGAGAATATCAAGATTACGCATGCTATGCCAGATCCTCCGTCTGCCAGATTTTGTTAATGTCTGTCATCAGCACTATCATTAAAATGATATAACTCACCTGCTTTCATAATCTTCATTAGAGAGCGTACTGCTGTAACCTTCAAAGGTATGGAGCTCCAGGATTATGGCTGCTCGTGCAGCTACCCCAAGAAACATCGATGCGGCATTGCGATGACAGGCGCCAAGCATATAAAATGCCATCAACAAAAAAAGCCGTACTGTTCCGATATTCTGGCCCATCAGCATGTCGTTGAACGCTGCCTGCCGTGCACGACGGAAGTACCCGTTCGCTATCTCGGAGTCTCCATCTGATCCTCTAACTTGGGCACCAATAGCTAGGGCAACACCTATCGCTGCGACGTCCTCCCGCCTCACAGCTGCAATAGATGCGGACTGCCGCGAAGAGATGTGTGCTGCTAGTAAGGTTTCTACCTCATGGGCTGTGAAGAGATCCAGAATTCCGCTTGTCTGAGTAAGATTTAGTGAAGAATACTAAGAGGCTCCATCCTAATTACTTACTGCTTCATTGTAAAAATCTATCCATGTATGTATTCTCTTCGGCTCGATATTTTCATCGGCCTCTATTGTAGAACAACAATCGGTGTCGATAACGATGTGGTGTCGCTCCGCATCCGTAAAAGGCACCGAACCCACATAGGCCTTGACAGTTTTCCGGAGGAAATGTAAGAACGACATAGCGGAGGTCTCGCCCACGTCAACTACCAGGAAACATAGTTTAGCTTCTCAAGGTTCTGGATTTGCCTCGTCCTGGATAGTTCCACACCTTTTGATGACTGCTCTGGCTCTAAAGATAACCGCTCACGCAAAGATGTTTCGGGACGACGAGTATCATCAGTCCTTGACTCGGGTGTGACCATCTCAGATACTAGAGCATCTAATTCGAATGGTGTATTATCATTTCCAGCGGTAACACTATCCCTCTGCGAGAAGCCATCTCGCCCGTCAATGGCGCGGCTGTGCGTATTCTGTACAGCGTCACATGTTTTCCGTTTGCGACGGTCCATTCCGGTATAAGCACATGTCTGAGATTGTCCCCGTCGCATACACGAGGAACATGGACGTTGTGAGTCGCACCGGATTTTCAGGGCCTTACAGGTCTGGCAAGCGTGGCTAGATCGTTGTCGATCTTCCGGACGCACTTTCGGACGTGGCATGACCGGGAAGACGTATTACAGGGCTGCTAGTTGCATATAAAGAAGAATTCTATTCATGGAAGTGGGAGGGCTCCAGGAAAGATATCCAGAAGTGGCTCTGCTTGAGCTCTCCCAATGTTTATTTGTCTGTTTCCAATCATTCAGGGGCACAGATCCTACCCCGCACTAGAGGCTGGGCGTTGCTGCGATACGTCCGAGATGCTACAGATTGTTAGATAGGGAAAAGCCAAAGGCGAGAATGACGTCTACGAGTCTTATCTGGGTCTTGTGTTCGCTTTTTCGCTGGTGTGAGGTGCTTAAGTCCTGATAGTGGAGGGTGGAAGGAGTTTACGTTTGGCTTTCATTGACGGGGACAATCGGAAGCGTATGATATCTCTTCCATGATAAGTTACCCACTAGGTCAGCTCTTTGATGAAGGGATTTGGGCATAATTAGTCGCTGTAAAGAAACTCGGGGTGAAAGATATGGCCCATACCGTCCCTTAGCCGGGCGGGCGGCATTTTCCGTCCCCTTTTCCGCCCCTTTCCCGGTCCCTTTTTGCGTCCACATCACCGAGAAGAGTGTCGCTAAGCGAGTTTGGGAAACACAGCCGGCTGAAGAGCGTCCACAACCCGAAGTGCGTGCCCAAACATTCTATTCGAATCCACCGAATTCCTATCCTTCATCTTCTTCGCTGTGTCTCGCCCAGCTCCTGGTACTCGATACTCCAGCCTGGCCTTGACGCCCATTTGCACCCCCGTAGGCGCGGGGTGTGTCCAAGGAAGATATTCGGGCATGAGACCTAACTGAATCAGAGCAGTGAGTTGATCCCACGCAATGTGCTCGTGGTACAGCCGGTCACCCCGTATGTTGACGACTGCGGTAAATGGGATTGCTAGTTTGCGACCGGTGGGCGGGATACCAGGTAGCCTGCTTCGTATTAGTTCCTGTAGCGCAAGCAGAGAAAAACAAAACATAAGAGAAAAAAAAAGTCTCCTTACAGCCAGTCAATCTGCGTGTCATGTGTGAACTTGTATATAAACTCATCAATGACACGGTCGATACCCACCGTCCGACTGATCAACTCAAGTTCCGCGTCTTCGGGGTTCGCGAAAATAAAGTGGTTTTGGTAGAACTCCGAAAGGCGAGCCCTTCCAATTCCTCCCGTTAACTGCAGCTGGTCTCAGTACACGGCTGATAGGAAGGAGTCTGGTAACAACTGGTGGGCATGTTGGATCCTACCGTGGGTATATGGTTCACATACGGCTCTTGCACCATGGTTGCCATCGTATGAGGTACAGAGCGCGTCTCAAACTCATGATACGTATGTTCTTCCCAGATGGCCTCCAGATCAAAATATGGGCCTCCTATCAAGGGTTTCAGGAAGCTTATGTTCCGTGTGTGGGATACAGACTCGGCGGTATAGTCGAACGTCGGCTGGAAAGGGGTCGCAAACTCATATGTACTGACAGCTGCGTATCCGTACGCCTCAGAATTTCCAGTACTGGATGCGATTTTGGCTGTCGTAGATGCTCCTGCCAGGTGCTGAAGCATTGGGAACACGGGTTTGGGAATTAGCGAATCCACATTCCCATAGACCACCGCTCCCACAATCTCATGGTGAGCGTGCGCTGATGCAGTGACCTTCAACCATGCCTCGGGGTCGTATGCTGGAGCAATGATGTCAGCTACAACCTCCAGGGACGCAAGAGGGCTGTACTGACCGATAAGTCCAACTTTTCCCTTGGGTTGGCACATATTGCAACCGGACAACGCTTCAAGGGCAGAGGATATGCCATCCTGACCGCCCTCCAAAGCACCTAAGCACACTGCCACCACTGCATAACCCTCTTCAGCCCACTTCAGAAACGGTGAAGGGACTCCGTCGTCTAGACGCACACCTCCGAGGTCTCTCCCAGAAGTCAGTATGATCATACCAGGACCCGAGCCGAGGCGTGACAGGGGATTTAGCAAGTAGACGCCCGGTGCATGCACTTGTTGATTTGGCACGGGGAGACTGGGGGGAGCGTCAATTGCTTGTGTGGTCATGTTTGCGTATTTTCTAGAATCAATTGATGTCATACCAAAGCTTACGACTGTTGAGGTAAGTGGGAAGTCATGAGTTAAAAATAAGTGAGTGAGCAATGCTATGAGAGTGCCGCGGTACTTGATATGATATGTACGAAGATTCAACAGCTGATACGTCTTCTGCCGGCCCATAATGCCAGTTTTCCGGGTATCGCATCAGTTCCTGATCTGGGAGCTCCGTTGAAGTTGGTAGCGATGGTACGTTTTCCGCCGCTGTTCGGTTACGCACCCGAAAATCTACAAACAGCATACTTCCGGCATGGGGTTCAATAACTTCACCGATAGCGAGGAACAGAGCAATGGGCCATCGGGCTCCGTCGGATAACCCCACAAGCACGGGAGGAGCCTTATCTGGAAGACAACAGCCGCATAATAGCTCTCATATCCGTACTTATCCTGACATTAGGTCTTTCCCCACTGAGCAGAAGGCTCAATGATGGTATCGTTATGTATCACCCCACTTAAGCTATTCCCTTCAGATATATTGACTGCTTTCTGGTGTAAAACTAATAGTTCCATTTTGATAATCCTTCACAAGTCTGGGTGTTTGGGGTTCTGTGTTCACCATGCTTACCAATGAAACATGTCTACAATGCGCAAAATGGTTTACTCCCTCTAACATTCAGATCCTGCTATATGAGTGGCCTAATCAGACTACTAGTTTGAATACTAGTTTGAATACTAGGTAGATGAGAGAGCATTTTATCCACAGAAAGTCTAGCAGAAATTAAAGCCTCGTAGTGGCCTTCCCTCGGTGAATTCTCCCCACCGTTGAAAACGCGATGCTGTCCGTAGTCTTATGAGTATGCACTAGAGATGAGAGCGGCTGCGGGGAAGCCTATCATGATCGGTAGATGCGCTGATCTGCCAGTCAAAAAATCCTCCTGTTAGCGAATGATGGCAACATTTAAGAGAGAATGTTCTCGTTGAACCCAACTTACATAAGAAGGACCCAGTGAGTCAATACTGGAAACTCCCAGTAAAGCCATCGTCGTCTCAACTTCATTTTTCAGGATTCTGATTGCCTTGTCGACACCCAGCTCGCCAAGCGCCAAGGCGTAAAGGAAAGCTCTTCCCAGTCCGACGCCTTTCGCGCCTAAAGCAAGAGCTTTGACAATATCAGAACCGCGACTGATACCCCCATCGACAATAACATCGCAACGGCGAAACACCTCGGGGCAATGTGTATGAATTGCAAGAAGAGTATCCACAGCAGAGGGAGCTCCCTCGAGCTGTCGTCCTCCGTGGTTTGACAGCCACGGGTGTACTCCGTACTTCATGCATAGTGCGGCATCTTCCCAGGATTGAATGCCCTTTATCGCAATTGGTAGGTCTGTCATCTTCCGTAACCACGTAACTGCGGACGTCCAGTCGAAGTCGGGGAAGATGTGGCTATTTTAAGTTAGATATCCTTCTCATCAATCAAATCCGGGCTTATTGGGGACGCACGACCGCGAAATTGTAGGACCACTTGCAAACGCATTGTCTTCATCCGCTTGATTCCCAGCAAGCTCCTCCTCCTGTGGAAAAACACTGTTAATTCTGCAAGTAGAACTGCACATGATAGATATACATACCTTGATGATTAAACGCACATCCCGTTCGCGCTTGCCGACTCGATTGGCATCAACAGTCAAAGCAAACGCCCGGTATCCCAAAGAAATAGCTTGCTTGATTTCCTTTTCCGTCACGGAAAGGTCCTCCAGAGCATATATCTGCCAGTATAATGTCTGCGTGTCCGCACGCGCGTCCGCCAGTTGTTTCTGTGAATAACCGGTGTTGTTTGGGACCCAGTGAAGAATGCCATGTTTCCCAGCAGCTTTGGTCAAAGCCAGATCCCCACTCAGATGCGCAAGTTTAGCACCTCCTGCAGGGCAGATGAAAAATGGCGTGGAGTATTTTGTTCCAAGAATGGATGTCGTTAGGTCGATGGTCCGGATAGGTCTTAGGACTCGCGGACAAAATCGAATACGTTTCCAACTATTACGGTTCCATTGAACAGTTTCTTCATCTTCAGCGCCAGATTTAAAGACTGCAAGTCGCTCCAAGTGTTTTGATTAGCCATGGCTACAGCATCTTGTGTCTCTAGTGGTACTTACAGGCAAACGAGCGCGCGGGTAGTTTTTGAGAGGCAACAAGTTCAAAATCATTAATGTTGACAACGGATCTCAAAAGTGAAGGGATACTCTTCTCAAGACTACTTCCCGATGAAGACATCTTGATTGGTGCTGAGACTGGTGCGGTATTCATATCGGAATCTGCCACGGGGCCGAGATTGGCCCTATTTCCATATCAGTACAGACGCTCAGTAAAATAATGATGGCTCAGGGTATTTCTCATACTCTCGGCATAGATGTTTCTCGATCACGTTATCTGGGTGGATGGGCTCGAATGCTTCTGTTGCATCCCGCCCAGCATATTGTCGGAGGATACTTGACCCTCCGGGATGGGAGTCCAAGTACGAGCTCAGGTCGTAAACATTTCCTTTGATGATAACCAAACATCGGCCTTTCGAACTCTGCTGGTTGACTTCGGCTCTAGAAGGTATTAGCAGCTGCTTGCGATGTTCAAAAACTCCTCTGACTCGCCTGGTAAACATGTTCGCGTAATCTGGGAGATCAATTCTTTGTCGCTGCAAAATGAACAGCCGTGGTTGCTTACTTGGTTTTTTAAAGCAATGGTCTCATTATATTGATTGAAATCTCGTGCACCGATCACGGTTACTCCGGTCCGGAAAAGGGCCATGCTTTATCTCGGCTAAGGGCCGGCAGCAGTATGTGGGGCACGGATATTGCCCTGCGGCATACCCATTCTGTCTTATTATTTCTTAGAATCAGTTGCGCTTTCATACGAGCCATACGCAAAACTTCAAAGACAGAAATCATGGAGAACATCTTCGCCAAGATAGCACAAGATACCACCAAGTTCGATCTTGGAGATGAAGAAGTACAACTCCCTGACTATCCAGGCGATAACCTCAGCTTGAAGCTGACGAGGTATAGGGCTGGAGAAAGCTTTACGAACCTTTATATGCCGAGGCACCGGACAATGTCGGCGTAGTGAAGGACGAATCGTACGGACCGGCCGAGCGTAACCGACTGGATGTATATTTCCCTCTCGAGGAGAAGCCGGGAGGATACCCAGTTGTGCTCTACGTTCATGGAGGTGGATTTTTTTCTGGAGACAAAGGATGGAGTGAGAAGGTACTTGCACGCTGCAATGACAATACCTATTCGAATGCTGACCGCCGACACAAGTGCTGGGCGAATGTGGGATTCTTCTTTGCGCAGCGTGGTTTTGTCACGGTTCTCGCAAATCATCAACTTGTCCCGCATGTCGTCTACCCTGGAGGGGCCGATGATATGCAGCTCGCTCGGGAATGGATTTTTGAGAATATCGCAAAGGAAAAGTATGGGAGAGGAATACCGGAGAAGGTCGTCCTTTTGGGTCACTCGTCCGGTGGAGCACATATTGCCATGAATCTATACGCCGCAGGTGATAAATTCCTCGACAACTGTCACCTTCACTCATTACTGACTCGAGATATAGGGGATCCAAAACGGAAAACCAATGTCCCACTATCCCCCCCTGTTGCGGGAGTCATTTACCTAAGTGTACCGTTCTGGTTTGACAGGAGAAAGCCTGTGCGACAGAGGGTCATTCGCCATTATTGGGGGTCAGACGACGAGGAGGTTTGGGGTGTAAGTTAAATCAAGTCTCGGGGCTTTTCAGACTGTCTAAAGTACGCTACAGCCTCTTTCTGCACTGGGACTATTCAGAAATCTGCCGGAAGATTCTCCGTTGTTGTAAGATTACTTCCAATCATGAAGACACGATGACCAAATACTTTGTGCTGACGATTAGAACAGAGATTCTGAGCAATTGCCAGTCTACATCGGAAGTGTTAAGTGGGAGGTGTAAGTTATGAAGATGTCAAAAGAAGTGCCCATCATAGTAGGCGACGCTGACCTGGCAATAACTGAACGTACTAGAAAAGAAACCGCTGATGCCACTGTGGCCTTCTTCAATGCCTATCGTGAACGGAGTAAGCCTCCAGGAACGCTGCCAGTGTTTCATGTACAGGATAGACATAACCATGTCAGGTTAGCTATATCTTCATCTATCCCATGTCTTCCATTGTCGGGTCTGATGCCTCAACAGCAACGTCTTATCCATTGGAACTGCAGATTCCGCACAGGCGGAACGACTGTTGGATTTCATGCAGTCTTGTGTGGCAAAAGTGGATCAACGAATTCAGCGTACGCTTTCTGTGGATCACTAACCTAACAACAACGGTGAAATTCGTTAACGATATTTGACAGATGGGAAGGAGACCAGGCATAGGGAAGCACCACGCTCTACCCGCCTCTGAATATTCAACAACAAGAAGTGATAAGGACCATAGTGAGAATTAGAATTCCAGATATCAATTTGAGCTCTTATCTGTGATATTACTATCAAGCTAGACTCAATAGCCTAGCAGACACCCGCATTTACAGGAATCTCAACGTTCATGATGTCTCGAGAATTTGACCCATATGGGTAAAGCAGGGGAGCGAGTCGGTCGCCTTGTAGTACCTTACCTGTTTTCATAAGAGTTCTGTCGGTCAACTTGTAATTAAATCATTGTAGCAAACTGAATGGGCAATAAGAAAGACCGTACACTCTGAATTTCCGGCAAGGTCTTTCTACTGACCCTCGCAGATCCATTTGTCAAATTGACATGTTTTTCGAGGTGTCTCGATCTACATGCGAAGGTTCTATTAACAGTCTGAGATGTAACTAGAGTGGTCCAGCCAACCCAGGTAGGTGTAAGGCTCTAATTGAAAGTGCTGCTCTACAACCCGAGAAACATACCTTATCAACAGAAAGCATGGTAGGCTCTACATACCAGGAAAGATAGCCTGTCAATGTTCCAAAAGGTTATCGGCGGACGAAGACGTTGAGAATACTCTAATAGCAAGTCATTCTTGAAAGCATACATAGAGTATACCTCGGACTAGGCCATTGTCATTCAAGCAACTATCAAGGATAGTATTTAGGTTTCCATAGATACATCACATGTGCTGGGCTTGCTTTCAGCTTTAGAACGTTCCGCATAAGTAATCTGATGTACGTAGATAAATGCAGAGCGAGTGAAAAGACCTGCCTGCTACTAGAATACCGTAGTAGAGTAATTGCCGCGGTTGCAAGCGGATTCTCAGTTGGCAATTACACTCTTCTGGTATGCAAAGTTTCGATCTACTGACTCCTTGAACCACTCCCCTACACTCTTTGGAGGACTGGAAGACGTCCAGAATTAGTAGGATGCTCCCCCACATTAGGATATATAAACTTACTATTTCTTTTGTGGGCCTTGCATGATATAATCACGCCTTCCCTGGTTGAAATAGGCAACCGAGTAACGTGAGGGCGATTCTCCTACGTCCGTCGCTCGCACTCGGTGGAAGGTAGATTTCAGGCGGTCGTCTGACCACGCCACTGGAGATTTAGATTATGTTAGAACACGTATACTGCATATAATCCAACACAAGATTCTTAACTCACTCAGCATGTCACCGATGTTAACAACAATCTGCCCGGTTTTGGCAGGGAGCGGACTAAAAACGTCACCCATTGCGAAACTCGTATGCGATTCACGGCCAGGACAGATCTCCAAACCGTCTTCACCATCTCGCTGAAATAGTAGGGTAAGACACCCGATGTCTGTATGGCTTCCAGCCCGCCAGGTACCAGCAGCATCTACTGTTGGTGGATAATGGATCAGCCGCAGCTGTGTGAGACAGTCAGGCTTGGTCACATCGTTCGCGACACAGAAATAATCGGACGGGAATCCCAGTGCGGTCGCAAAGCAGATAACTGCCCGAACTTATTAGGCTTCCTCTACAGATTGCACCATTGAAGCAACACGTACAGAGTTGTTCCGAAATTGTCGCACATTTTGCCATGAAATGAGCAGTAGTATCCCGGAACCCAGGGACATCCTCATCGCTTGGCCAGTCCGACCCACGTTGGAGCCAGAGAGATTCCTTCTCGTCATACACGCCAGTGCTGGGGCGCAGCTGGGCCTTTGTGTAGTCAGTATATAATATTCGCACCCCATTGCAGTGACGTATAGCTTGCCTTGTACTCCCACCCATTGTTAGTAACGTTACTATGAGGAGTCTTCCCCTTGACATCGGATGGCAAGTCGAAGAAGGACTTGGATATGGCAAATTGCCGCTCGATTTCCTCGACGGTAATTCCGTGGTCTACCAGTGTCAAGAACCCAGCTGTCTCGGCAGCATGTACCAGTTGTTGGGTAATCTCATCTTTTCTTCTTTCGAAGTCTACTCCAGGGAGTCCTCGGTGTTAGCATCTTTTAAGCTCAGCAACAGCCTCCCACTTACCGTTGAGAGAAATAACAGGTACCACGCGCTCGGCCATTATGGTAACGCTTTGTTAATCGGTTGGAGTTTATGATGCTTTAGTAAGAAGATATAGAATAATGCTTCCACTTGGGCGGTCGAAATCAACTACTATGATGGAGTTCTTTGAGCTATAAATCTCGCTCTCTCTATAGTACGTCTCATTCCACATGATAACCCAACGGTACATAGCCGTGATTGCCCATATCCGACGGAAACACCGCGGCGTACCCAGCTGTCGAAGATCGGTACTTCTCTGGGTAAATTCCAATGCTCTTATCAGCATATCGGTGCAATAGCCGCTTCTCCTCAGCTGCAGTTATCAACTGGTCACACTTCTAGATTGAATAGTAGCCACAGAGTTTATATTACAGTGTGCAGAGGCGTCTGTTTTGGACATGGAACGAAATTATCCATGTGATTTGTCCCCAATATGTCGGACACCAAGAAAGCCGAAATCAGCAATGGAGACGTTGAACTTGGAGTTGTAAGTACCTTTGATCAACATTGACGTAGCAAGCATAATTATCGCTGACTACTTTAGGGATATAATCGTCCAATTGGCTTTGCAGAGCTGGCTCACAATGGAATCAAGCTGGGTGAGGCTCGACGTTCAAACGCCCTCAAACTTCTTGCGGAGCAAAGAATTGAAGTCGATATCGCATCCCCCGCAGCCAAGAAGGTACTTCGCAGGATCGACATGCGAATAATGCCACTGGTACTCGGGCTTTATACCCTACAGCTACTCGTTAGTACAGATTCGGGACCGTCTTATACGTCGTACCTAATTGCCTATACCGCAGGACAAAAATAGCCTGTCTTACGCTGCATTGATGGGAATCAAAGAGGATACAAGCCTCACTGGAAATCAGTACGACTGGCTAGGTTCTATCGTCTAGTATGTAGAACACCTATCACCTTCAGAAACTCTCTTCCATCACTGACGCACGATCTCATTTAATTAGCTTCGGGTATATGTTCGGTGAGATCCCGGCGGCATTTCTAATGCAGCGCGTGCCAATGGCCAAGTATCTCGGTGTGATGAGTATGCTTTGGGGGACTGTTGTCACCTTGCACGCTGTCTGCCATGATTTTGGTGGATTGGCGGCTGTTCGCTTTCTCCTGGGATCCATTGAAGTATGCACAACGCCTGCTATCCTTTATATCACTAGCTCCTGGTACACTCACAGTGAGCAAGTTACCCGAGTTGCAATCTGGTATTCAACTAGCGGCTGGGCTCAGGTGTTTGGAGGCTTCTTTGCCTGGGCTATCAACCAAGCCCCTGGATTCAAATGGGAAAGTCTTTTCATATTCTATGGCGGTCTCACATTTGTTACGGGGGTCATAATATTTTTCCTTCTTGCCGCATCGCCCATTGACGCTAGCTGGCTATCCGACGACGAAAAGGTCATTGCCCTTGAAAGAGTCCGGGCTAACAAGACAGGCGCTGAGATGTGGGCATTTAATTGGGACCAACTAAAGGAGTCTTTATGCGATCCTCGTCTATATTTAATCTTTCTAGTGATGGTTTCAACGGGGCTTCCCAATGGTGGCTTGACAGCATTCGGTAGGTCCACTGCCTCTAGGAGGCGTTCCTGGCTGACTAGCAATTTCTATTTGCGCAGGGCCAACCATCATCTCGGGATTCGGCTTCGACACTAATACCACCACCCTCCTCAGTATGGCTCCAGGAGCATGCGCGGCTATTGGCACGGTTCTGGCCACTGTCGTGATAAAATGTACCAATAGAACTTTTGGTGGTATTTTTGTAATGATTTTGGGCTGCGTTGGCGTCATTATGATGTTAACCATACCGGAAGAAGCCAATGCAGCTCGATATGGAGGCTACATCCTCACAATGCAATGTGCGTCTTCACAGATATCTTCACCAGGTGATCCACTCAACTGTTAGGTACTTTACTAACCTCCTGGTCTTTAGACCCAAATGCGATATTGGTTGTCCTCGCTTTTATTACGGCTGGGGTTGGTGGGAGTACCAAAAAGGTTGCATTTGGCGCGTCCTATCAGCTTGGATATGCGGTTGGCAACATTTGCGGCCCACAAACGTTTCGGGCAAATGAAGCACCCAACTATTATGTGCGCTCTTGTTTCCCACAACCACTAGGATTATCGAGACTAATATGAAAACAGACGGCTAAGTTCACAATGTTAGCATTCTTAGTATTCACAGCCATTCTGCTGGCTTCAATAGGAATTCTCCATCGGCATTGGAATCATCAGCGCGACAGGCAAGATGCTCTAGATGCCCAAAGTTCGTCCATTGTCCCCGTGGCCATTATTGTGCTCGCTTCTTACCAATTGCAGGGCAAATTGTCCGCGAACATGTCGTTAATGAGGAATTCGCTGATCTGACGGATTTTCAACTTCGCTCATTTAGGTACCCTTTGTGAAAGGGGTATCTTAAGACATAAAGGCAGTCAGAGCACCACGGGTGCTTAGCTAGATATGAAATGATACGAGGACTAGGCTGCGCAGCGCAAGCCCAGAATAATGACCAATACATCTGAAAGATATAATCCTGCTGGCCTCTACCTGTATACCTAAATACTACTTTTGCAATTTCTGCTGCAAACTGACAACTCTCCGCAAGCTTGATCGGGGTGTAATGAAGGGCTAGAATTTATGGCTTTATAACGATATATCCTACCTAAAAGAAACGAACGAGGGAAACTGACATGACTCTTGAGACAGGGTAAGTATAAGCGGCGAATTCGAAAGCGTGGTATGTGCGTCATTACATTTTCCAAATATGGAAAGATTTAGGACCCATTTGGCACCAGGCACAGTCCTAAGGCCCAGTACTACGTGGAGCTCAGAGAGAGCCTAGTTAAGGATGTATACAGCGGGACAGCGCACAAACTATTAGGCTTCTGAAATCCTGAGAGCGTGACTAAAGAATACATGTTTTTTAGTCTGATGCAGCCTAAAGCCTGCGGGAATATGATGATCGTTTGATTAGAAAAAAAGGTTGAGAGCTTGATATTCAGGAACACAACCTTGTCACTTGACCCGGAAGCAAATGAGTAGAGGATTAACAACAAAAATAGCGAAGCAGAAGCAGGCGAGGGCAACAGGCATACTCCGGAAGTGAGAGGATAGATATGCATAAAAATCAGTTGCTGGAGGATCTCGTCTTGCGAAGAAGAAGCTAAAAAAGAAAAAGAAAGAAAAGGAAGGGGAAAAAAAAAAAAAGAAAAGAGGAGACGGGACGGCGTTTTCAAGCTACCTTTGCTCCCTTCATCTGGGCCTCCTTCCACTCCTGATTTATTCCCCGATAATCATGAATCGTATAACCCTCAAAAATCTCCGCTCGTAGCGTAGACTTTCGCTTATGATTGACCCCCAGATCCGATAGGAGCATATCTGCATATGGCACCGCATCGTAGACAAATTCTGGATACCACGACGAGAACCCACAGGGATAACGATGCTTTCCGTAGCGACTCAAGAGTGCGGTCTGATGATAAACGTCCTCTTTATCAATCTCAAGTCTTCCAGTTAAATAAGCAAATGTCCACAACGCTTGGCATTCTGCGATGATGATGTTGCTCGTGCTGTGGACCATCTTAACATATGCGATAGAATTATCACCCTTCGACGCAAGCGACGGCGGCGCAATGCCGCGGTATAGGCGGAAGGGACTGACGTCTTGTTTGTAGGGGATCCCACGTGGAGAATTCCGGAGGTATGGAAAGCGGCTTAGGATCTCCTCATCTGCTTTGGTATCAAGTATATCCCAGAACTCTTCTTCCTCTGCGCTTAGGTTGCTGCTTGGAATGCCGAGACTCGCATCGACGCCATCGGGTTTATACTTAACCGACGGGGCGAGCTTCCAACCGGTGATGGCGACTAGGGCGTCCGTTTGAAGGCTGGTACTGTCTGCGAAATTCACGATTCCCGGACCTGATAAGTGGTCGATATCCTTCCGTGTGATCTTGACCTGGCCAGTGCGAAGATAGTCGTGAATATCGGATGGGTAGTTGAGAACTCCGACCCGAGCAGACCAGAAGAGACTTCACTAGCGTTAGTGACGACTGTGGGAGATTGTAGATGAATTTCATACCTTTCCAGAGGTTCAAGATGTTCCAAGCATTTTTCTCTGCGATAACCGTTCAGGTCAATAATATCCGTCCTCATTCCCTCCCAAAATTTGTGCACAATGTATCTACCCAAGCGAGTTTGATGCAGCGCCTTTCTGATCCAGCTGAATCCATCAAAGTCACCGAATATGCATGGACTAAACCATGTAAAAAATCTCATGGTTACTAGAAACTCCAGTTTTGTCTTGGCCCCTGCGAACTTAGCCCATGGTGATGCCATCCAAACTGCACCCCCTCCGGACTCGCGTATGACCCAATCCACCTTCTTGCCGTTCGATGCCATTAGTTGCACAACATCGTATCCAGTCTTTGAAGCACCCACAACGGTGACGGTTTTGATATTACGGTCCTGCGCAATACGCGCTCCCTCCTCGCGCAGTTGGACATGGTTGATGACCGGCCTTCCAAACTCCTCAACCCCGCGGATATTGATTGGGTTGGCGGTCGACGACAATCCAGTGGCCATAATAAGTTTTTGACATGTATAGATCACAGTCAGAATTGAATCGCTGGTATCCGTAACTAAGCGCCAGCCTTGGCTGAGCTTTTCAATCTCCAGAACCTGGATTCCGAAGTGTATCCGGCGACGGATGTCGAAGTGGTCCGCGAAATCATTCAGATAACGGTGCAGCACATGGCCAGGGATATGACCGTCTTCGGTGATGCCATATTTGGCGCCCATGGGGAAGTCAGTGAATTCATACGTTCCCCCGAGGTTGTTCGTCTTGAGTCCTTCATAGCAGTTTTCTTCGGCCCAGACCCCCCCAATGGTCGGTCGCTATTGTTTTAATTAGACCTTGGGCTTGGCGGGGAATAAGGGAAGAAATTTCTGTAACTCACCTTTTCAAGAAGCACAATATCTGTTTGAGGTGACAGTTCAAGATAGGTTTTCGTGGCTGCCAGACCACCTATTCCTGTCCCAACCACAATTACCTCGGCAGTGCGGTATTCAAGTGGCATCTTGAAAAATTTTTCTTTAACTTGACTTGGGAAAGGCGTCGTATAATTGTCAAGAGAGTTAATTCTTCAATCGGGATGCAGAGGCATACGTCAAATGTTTTTATTTTCTTTCCTTGCATCTCTGCATCTCCCAATTTGCATACCCCGTGTCTGGAGAACCCAGGGCTATGAGTGGGACTCTACACCACGAATCTAGTCTAGGTGGGGATAAGCCCATCAGCGTTATCGTAGATGAATCTTACGTGGGGCAAGAATGGGGAGTGCGAAGAGGGTGGGACTGCATCACCGTCCCCATGGACTAGGTGCATTATCCGGATAGTCCAGCCAGCTATAGAACGCCGTCCGGGTGATCCCCACTTTCGGCTCTTATCATTTGCTTCCCTTAATCGGCAAAAGGACGGATAACCCTCTCTCCAAAAGATGGAAGATCTTTCATTCCCTCAGACAGTACCCATGTGAAAATTGCTGTAAGACAAAGAAATCACGTTTTTCCATGTCAACACAGATCAGCGGATCAACTTAACCCCAATTTTGGCCATTCGATGAAGGAGAGAAAGTGTACACAGGCCGATTAGCTTCCATTCAGAGGGCCAACTGTGAAGCATTACCTCGCCTTCCACCAACTAATATCCATATTGCTACAATAATATATTTTTCTGTTCTGTGATCGCAACCACATCGCATAATCCTGATCGGAGGAATGACTAGGACGCAAACATGACTGTTGACATGAAGAAACCACAAGCTAACCACTCACGAGAGAAGCGTTATCGCTGTTCTATGGCAGGGTGTGGCAAGGCCTTCACCCGGTTGTCTCACCTGCAACGACACTCGCTGAACCACTCTGAGACCCGCTGGGTCTGCGGTCGATGCAATGCCTCGTTCAAGAGATTAGACCTGCTGGGTAGGCATCAACGGCCTTATTTGGCGACATGTTCTAACTCTTCCTATAGAACGACACAAAGCCCGCCATACGATGAAGGATGGTCTGGCCGGTGGTGCAGGGCTAGGCATCCTCCAGACACGCCGGAAAACTATATCTGGCTTCCATACGGCCGAGGATTCACACTCCCCTTTGCCTTCGCGCCTGGTGCAGGATACAGACAAGGGTGAGCCTTCCATAGAACCGGCATATCCTCCTTCCTCTTGTCACATCGATACCCAAAATCAACGTGGCGGCACTGGTGACGATGTATCTGCGGGTCAGCAACCATCCGAGCGCAGTCCCCGTAGCTCACATTCATTACTGGATGCAGCGCATGTGGCAGATGTAACGAGTCCCCCCATGAACCTGGATGAACTGACCAATATGTATTACGATACTTCCTTTGATTCGGTGCATTTTGATGTAATGGGCTTGGCTTGCTCGCCTCCAGCCACAGGTCAGACTCTACCCCATATCGAAGTAGAGGACCAGAATCATCAACAAGAGATACAGCAACCATCCCCTACCCCTGACAGGCCGTTTAGCCTGAACTGGGCAGAAATCCAGTCCAGTCGTTCAGGTGTGGCCATCCCAAGACAGGATACTGAGTCGGCATGCGATGTGCAACATACCACGAATATCGCCCCACAACCATACGATCCGTTGGTAAGGATTTCTCTACGTCTAGGAAGCAGACTTTTCTGCTGCCCTAGGTTGCCCTTTATTGTGATGTGGGCAAAACGTGCTGTGAATGTTGACCACTCTATAACAGTGTCTCCAACCCCTGGTACACGTTGTGGACTTACAGACTTCGGAGAATGAGGAGGCACAAGGTGCCAGTCTCCATCCGAGTGGCAGAATCGCCCTTTCCATTTCCAAACGAGACGATATTCTCAGGCTACTATCTGAAATACGGCCAGTAACACCAGAAGGCATCATCATTGATGGCAATACAGCGCTATTGTCGATGGATAACATGCATGAATATATCAGTCTTTTCTTCCGCTTTTTCAACTCATCCTACCCGATGGTGCATGTGGCGACGCTGGACATAGAAGGAGGAGACCCTATCTTTTTACTCTCCATAATTATTCTAGGACAGACATACAAAAACAAAGACACACACCAACTGTCCGTGTACCTATACGATGCCCTTGTGCCGTATATCCTTAGCGGACTGATGAGCGTTCCGATCCCCGATTTACCGATACTTCAGTCTTTTCTCATTCTTGAATGCTATGGCATGTATCGAGCTGGCCCGTATCAGCGCGAAAACGCTATGTTGATTCACACCCTTTTGTTTGGTGTAAGTATGCAGCCGGTAATCAAAAGATAACATATGCTCATGTGTAAACCTAGGCCATTCGGCGGGTATCCCGATACCACGTCCGTGGGGGGATTATGCTCCCTAGTCATCTAGTCCAACCCGAACTGGGCTGGAAGGACTTCGCCTATGCCGAGCAATATAAAAGGTATCTAAACTGAACCGTTCATCTTCTAATAGCCAGCTTTCTTCCCCTTCCCATTGTTGTTCTTTCTTTCTTCCCTTATCTAACAATTATCAATCAGATTAATCCTCTTCGTCTTCATGTGGGATACGCAAAACGTATCCTGCTACTCCGCGATGCCCAACATGTCCACGCACAATATCCAAGTCCCGCTTCCATGTTCCCAAGATTTGTGGGAAGCGCCCAGTGAGGCAGCCTGGGAACAAATCCGGAAATCCCACAGGGAGCCAGCATGCTTTAACAATATGATCAAACACCTGGTTCAAGATGGAGATAAATTCCAAAGCTTGCCGATGGACAGGTTATCGCTCACGCTGGTTCTGCATGGGATTATGTCAATGTGTAACGATATTGCGCATTTCGATAACAGGTCTATCTATCTGAGCGACATAGACCCCGGCGGGGAGCCATGGAGACCATGGCGACGGAGGATGGCCCATGCCCTGGAGACGTGGAAGGCACACTACGACGCTTACACCATGAACCTGTTTCAGAGCATGGGCGATGGCTGGGCCCCAGGAAGTAATCACAGGCAAGAAAGTGTTGCCATTCTGGCACTGTACCATACCGCACATATCGTAATCAACTGCGAAATTCGTCACCTGCAGGCTGCTGCCGGTGCTAAAGCTATCTTTGGACATATGGTGATGCCAGAAGATCGCCATATGAGTGAAAACTGGGTTAGGGATTGGGTCTGCACAGATGCGACCGCCGCAGATCAGGCAGCATGGCATGCGGCGCAGATGATTCGTGAGGGAATTCTCAATTTGAAAAATTGGGATGTGAACGGTGTATTCCATTACCCATGGTGCTTGCTGATAGGGACGCTGACATGCTGGGCATTTCATCACTTCGGTAGCGGGATATCGGATTCCCGTGAGATTTGTAGACATCCAGATGAGAGAGAGATGCACCAGGCGCAGTCTAGAATGCTGATGAACCACATGGTCTCGCTAATGGGGTCCGTATCTCCGACGCATATTCGCCGCACTCTGGGAAAGTGCTGTACGCATGGTCTTACTGTTGAAGTCGCCCGGTACTTGAGGACTGTGCGCTGGACTGCGGCATTCGAGGCTATGAAGCTGCTGGTTGGGTTGTCAACAAGGTCCTGATCAACTATCATGACCTGGACATTTGTTCCTTGCCTACCTGCCCCCCGATGATGATATTTCCCTGCGTCTGCAGCCCACCGCTACTGCAACAAACGCTGCTAAAGGCCAATATTAGTTGCCTACTCAAGCAGTATTTCAGTATCGTCTCAGATGGAAGGTTTGAGCACTAGGACACTGATTATATCTTTCTCTACTTATAAATGGAGCTCCCTGGCCTACCTTTTAGAAGGCAGCGGTCAATGACATACACATCATTGGCTTTTTCAACTATTTTCTCTCGATGTTCTCAGAGACTCTTGGGTATGCAAGTAAAAACATAGATTATTATCATTCAGAAAGCGGGGTCTGACACGTACCAAATTCATAGATGATCTCACACAGCCTTGCGGTTAATACTCCCGCATTTGATTAGATCCAACAGTTACTTTAACTATTTTTAGCTATTTATGCGTTAGAAAGATTAGGTAATTTAAAGAAAAAACGGAGTAATAATTATAGATTAATCAATAATGGATTCAAAAAAATATACATGGTAAGAGCGGAAGACCTACATAAACCTTGGGTCGCCGATCGTTCCCCCGGTCCACTCGAAACCTTAGTATCTAGTGCGTTAACCCTGCCAGCGCCAGACTCTCGGCCGGTCTCGAAGATTCTAGCCAACCCGGGTGGTGCTCCTCGGAGTGGCTCTGTCCAAGTGAAGGACAGATCAACCCTCAAATTTTGGCTTTTCAAGGTAGCTAAACAACATATGTATCTAGGCCTGTCCTTAGCTGTGGTTTTTTTCACCATCCAACCTATTAATTTATGACCTAATATCAACTCGGTTCAATACCGTCTCTTGTATAAGCATGCCCACAAAGCCACCATTCAGTGTTGACGTCTCCATTTCAAGTACTTTCTACACTCCTGCTTCCATTCGCGACGAGTACTATACCCCCTACATTCCTACTACGGATACTTCCCGCTTTTTACAAAACGATCTCTCTGTCGAATGTCTTGGTCGGATTCAGAAATACCTGTGGTTGGCTGGCCGACCCATGCCACCCAGGCCCCTAAACTATCAAACCGCAACTTCTCGGCAAATTGTGCCAGATGAGAGGATTGACATGCACATGGTCTGGGAACCTTCACGGCGTATCCATTTGAAGCCCCTCCCGCGATACCTCCTAAGCCATCAATTTTGGAAATCTTACCTGATCTGCAAAGAACCCTGTCCCTGCATGTCCAACTATATGTACTATGAGACAGATAGAGGGGACGGGGTTTGTCAACAAAAACATCTATACGAATGTGGTCTAGGATTTTTATATTCTTATATCGCTTTAATTGAGCGAGAGAGTGACTTTGCTATCGCCCAGGACCAACACCTATTACCACACAACGTCACATGGGAAATGTGGGTTAAATTGGTCAAGGAGCTCTTGGAGAACGGAGCTACTAACCCTAAAAATATCAATGCACGTTACTTGTTCGGCGAACTTAGGCTTTCACGACTCAACAAAATCTACATGTTTCGTTATGGCAGTATCCTACGAGGTTATCACTTCACATATCAAACATATACTGAGTTATTCTATGATTATCTAACACCCCTTACTGCAACAATCGTTTATGTCGCATTAGTGTTGACGGCAATGCAGGTTGGGCTGGCTACCAAGCTGCAGGGCAATAGTGCATTTCAAAATGCTTCGTATGGTTTTACCGTCTTTTCAATCATTGGCCCGCTCATCATACTTCTGCTAGTTGGCCTTCTTGGGTTCATCCAATTCATCAATAATCTTCTGGCGACATTTCAATTCAAACAGGAGCGATTCGCGCACTACAAGCTACTGAGCTCACACAGTTGATAACTTGATCGTGTTCTCTCATTATCTGGAAAGCCGGGGCGGCTCCTAATCTTCTAATGACTATAATGCAAGGTTATAATATTGACAAAAGAACACAGTTAAATGCCTCATTAGCCTCAGCAGCTTGGCAGAGATTGTGACTGTATGACAAAAAGGGCCGTGACCCTGGGATCTGCTGTACTAGGAAGCGTGTCGCTCATTATAAATAAGCTTATCTTGGGGAACAAGCAAAGGACACATGATGTGTAATGCGCAAGACCTGTGAGACTATGACCCACAATCTACTAGGAAAAGTGTCAGATGGTTATGGTAATCACCCAAACTATGGATTTTGGCTCTGGCATATTATTCGATATAGTATATATAAGGTCAGTTAGGATTACTAAGCTTTCATTATTTTTATTAATTTTTGTTGATTTTAAACATAGGTTCGGTTTCACGTATAGCTGTTCCTTCACAACTTGCAGACTAGAGCCTTGACCTCTCCGACCATTCTAAGTATTTTCTCTTCAGCCCTCTGCTCTCTGCATGGTCTCGTATTGTATTGATGCCTTGACAAATTGCGTCATATGCCGGATCATTTCGTGAGGCGCACTTGTTCAGCCCCATATGATCTTTCTCGACTGCAAAGTTTTCGGCCACATCAAGCATTGCAGCATTCCTCTCGACAATCTTTTTCATTCTTTGTAAGTATTTCTGGTATGCAGAGCATGCAGTGGTCTGTACTTACGAAGCCTAGATATATAAGTTGAGCAAAGTACGTATGGAGCTTCTCATACATCGCGACGAGCTTAATATCTCTTCTTCTCCGAATAACGCTCATGAACCGTTCTTGTAAGTCTGATAGATGAGGATTATCCCTGTAGAGACCCTTCAGTAGCATTGTACTCGATCCAAATACCCATGTCAGTCGTGCTATCATGGCTCCAAACTGGGGAATATCGGACCCTTGATGAGGCGTTCCAAGAAAGATGATACCGATTGTATCATCCAATATGTCCCTATACTGTCTGTCTGTTTCCGCCAAGCATATTGCCTTTACGAATTAGATAAGTCAGATTGCTTTAGACTGGTCATGGTGCGCTGACCTCTTTGATTATAATGCCACCAAAGCTATGCCCAATGAAAATGATGCCACACTGCGGTATAAGCCAAGGAGGTTACTTTTGAGGTGTTTCCTAAAGTTATGTCAATTATCTGATGACTGACCTTGTGGTGTTCACGCCTTGCCTCGTTTACTGCTCGCAAAAGCATCTTGGCATTTTCAAACGGCGTGTTGTTGCTCGCCCGGACAAACCAGTCAGAGTTATGGCCAAATGTCATGACCCGTGCTTTGCCGAAATCTCGTGGGAAAAGGTCCGTTAGCCAGTTTACGCGAGACTGGTTCGGGCCTCTCGTCGTCCAAGTAAATTCAGGGTGCGCGCCTAACCCATGTATTGCGACGACGCTGTGGACAGTCAGTGTAACATTAAGAAATTGGAGCGTATGAAAGATATACTCTAGTCTGCGGTTGGGAGGCTCGCAGTCCACTATTGTTCTTATACCTCGTTGAAGAAGCTGTCCATGGCGCTCAAACGCGCGTCTAACGTAGTAGTAAAGAATCCCAGACGCGCCTATCGTCAATCCAAGTACTGAATAAACACTTATGGAGCCTGGACGAGGCCATTCCATGCTGGCAAAATAGGTATGTGGTAGTTGCAATTCAATTTCACCTGACAACAGGTGGTTCATAAGTGCAAAGGGGAATGCTACTGCACGGCATAATTCTCAGGATAAACTGTTGACATAGGAATTTCCCAGTTCATTACTCCAGATATATTTGCTGGCCACTCCAGCATTCGGTTTCAGCGCCGAACAAATCATCCAATAAGAAAAGTTTACAGCATGACGGCATCAGCGGCGGCGCCACGTCGTACCCGTATTCATAAAAACCTTAACATGAATATATGTAGCCCATGAAGTTAATAACAATGTCCTGTAAGTTACACTTTCTTTGCATATTATGACGAAACGCTCTTTACGGGATGAAGCACGTATAGTACCTATCGACGAACGTGATACGGATTTGTAAATGAGAGTCGTTTTGTTGAGTTAAAGCCAATATTCCCCTCTTCCGGGCGCCCGAAGATGTAAGCCTGCCAATGATACCTAAGTGGAATAGCATAGATTCTATTCAGCCTCGAAAAGCCATCTTCTGATACATAGTACGCAGTTATAGCATTTGTCGCGTGCTGACTTGGTATGTTTGAAATAGAATAAAGGAAATAATTCTTATATTGCTTTTTATTGCATAGATAGATAAGTTAGTTTGGCTTTATTATATTATTATCATTCTTCTATTCAACTACTGGATGTGACGCCCTACTGCTACAACTCTTGTTAACAGAGGGAGCTAGATGGCTGCGCTTTGGGCTTCGTTTCTACCCTAATGAACTGGTCGATCTGGAGATCGCCCAGGCCCATCGACTCCTATCCTGGACAGGCTAGGACTTTTCTGAGAAGACAGGAGACTGCGATTATATGTATACTCTAAACCTGGTCCAAATAGATAGTGAGCTGGGTCCTTGGGACATGATAATAGACTTGCACGGGCGCATTTGCACATACTGTTTCAATATAGCAAGTCTCGGTCGGTTTAATTTGTTTCACAAACTGAAATAGCCCCGTCTGTTGGTTGTCTTCTATATTGCTTGGCAGGGGCAGTTCCAGGAGTATCTCTAAAGAAAGATAATGACAATATATCATCAAGGGCGTATGCAGTCCAGGCAATAAAAGATTGAAAAAGCAAAAGGAAAAACATACAACAGAAGGGATTCGCTGGTGGTCACCCACCCAACTACTAACCTCCCGGCGTGTGGCTTAAGTACGGCTGAGCGGACGGGAAGCCCTGTTTTCCACACCCTGTGGTCGTATGTACTTGCTTTGCCTTTGGCTAGAGTTATATAGGACTAAATTACTGGGACCGACCAGACCTGTCATGGTTTTTCCATATTCGAGCACAATGCAATGCCAATACCATGATCATAACCTCACTCATTAGGCTCACGGCTCTAAAGATACGTTGTATTACAACGCAAATGGGTAATGGCCCCAGTCCAAGCAATTGTATGGCCCAATGCTCAGTAAAGAAAGCGCTGGAAATATTTGGTACATGTTGTGTTCTCTGCTAGAAGAATCACTGGTACATGTAGGGGCTAAGAAATCTGTTCCCGTTCCGCAACACCCGCAGCACCCGTACCCCGCCCCCGCCTCCGCCTGGGTTAGTACTTTGTAATGTCTGTCCCACGGCTCTCCAAGATGTGATTGATTACTTTCATCTCTTTGGATCAATTCCCAATCCCGATATTAGCCGCAATATCCGTTACAAGCACCCAATCCGGGTAGATAGGCAATAGTATATAATGCAGATCCTGGGAGTTTATACAACCTACCAGCTCCTCCACCAGTTCACAAGAAAAAATGGTTGAAAAAGGGGAGGCAAATTATCCCGAGGCCCTGTTCGCGAGGCTGGAAGACTCATTGGAGAAGGCCATCGAAGATGGCGTATTTCCCGGTGTGGTAGTGGCAGCGACAAATAAGACTGGATCTCTGCGATATGTTAAGGCTTTTGGGAGATCTGCCTGCAATGACACGGGCGTACCGTTGTCGCCCCAATCCGTTATGGTCTTTGCGTCTATGACCAAGCTTATGACTTGCATCGCGGCGTTGCAACTAGTTGAACGGGAAACTATAAGTCTAGATGATGACGTTGGACCTCTACTTCCCGATCTAGCGCAGTCAAAGATACTTACAGGATGGGACAAGGAAGGCATGCCGCTCCTGAGAGAACGCCAAAATCCGATTACTCTTCGACACCTCCTGACGCACACTGCCGGGACAGGCTACGATATGATGAACTCGGATCTAGCTAGGTTTTCAGCGTGTCGAGGTCGGCACATTAACTCTGGCGAGACGGTCAAGGATAGATTTGGATACCCTTTGACTTACGAGCCAGGGACGAGTTTCGAGTATGGTTGCGGTATCGATTGGGTTGGTCAGCTAGTGGAAAAGCTGTCTGGTCAGGATCTAGAAAATTATATGCAGGATAATATCTGGGGTCCGCTTGGAATACAGGGAATTACCTTCTGGCCAGCAGCTAAGCCAGATATCCGCAATAACCAAATCCGCATGGCAATCAGGGAACCCGACTCAGAACGTGTGACCGACTTCACAGGACGATTCTTAACTGAAGGGGTAACAGAATGCTTTGGTGGCCAAGGTGCTTATGGGGACATGGAGAGTTACTTAGAAATTCTCTTCTCACTACTAGTTGATGACGAGAAGCTGTTGAGTCGGCAGACCACAGAAAAATTGTTCAGCCCGCAGCTGAGCCACTCAAGCAAGCATTCGCTGAATGAATACATCAGAAACCACCCCCCGAATGCGTTCATTGGCATATTCGATACCGAATCCGAATATGACTGGGGGCTCGGCGGCATACTGACCACGCAAGATACGCCGTCGGGGCGACAGAAGGGAACACTAATCTGGAGCGGAAAGCCAAATTTATTCTGGGTATGTCCTCCCAGCCTGCGGATATTATTTATAGGTCCACTGACGTAGCTAAAACAGTTTATTGACCGTGTTTCTGGACTTTGCGGTGTGTTCGGGGTACAGGTTCTCCCTCCCGGAGATGAGAAGATAGGCAAGATGATACAGATATTTGAGAACACGTTGTATAGCGCCCGAGAAACACGGAGGATTGTTTGAGGAGAGTCATTAAAGAGTGGATTATGTCTATATCTAAACAAGATTGTAGTGGATTTGTCACCATTGGTAATGATGGGTTCAGAATTACTAATGCTCTTTGCTTACTGTAATACGTCAGCGCAATTAACATGATATGTCTTGATAAGGGTGTTTCTGAGGCCAAGCATTATTAGTGGACAGTTGCAACCGTAGACTATACTAGGGCTTACTCCAGGTTCCTGCATGCATCTAAATAGCCCCCACTGCGTCAAGCAACTCCATACAACAAGTAATAGGCATAACATAGACTCCTCCATGCTCCAGAACGGCCACAGCTGTAGACATGCACAAAATGCCATGCCATTAGCAGGGACTGCAGTACATATTGACATGCATCGCGAGAGATCCAAGAATGATATTGGCAACATGATGAGGCATCTAGCACAGGACGCCCTTTCCGGTAAGATCCAGTATTGTAATCACCTCATCGCATCATTATCGAATTGGTGTTAGTCGAGTAGCACGGTTCCCCGCTGGTTAAAGCGGAGTACTGCATCATAGCATCTAAGCCGCGCCCTCGACATAGAAGGATCGCAACTATGGTCTACCTATATTAGTGCCTGATTGGTACTATGACACCATAGACATAGAAGATGCATGACAAATGCAGTTCATTTGTTAGACCCTAACACACTAAATAAAGTAACCGGTATTACTACATGTATCCTGTCTAATCCACGACCGATTTACTCTCATCCCGTCCAGCCGTTCTAAAATCCCTATTAGCCGTAAACGTTATGACAGAGTCCAATAACCTCACCTATCTGATCACCGGGGCCAGCCGAGGCATAGGCCGGGGCTTGACAGAAACCTTCCTATCACGATCAAACACGACCGTCATAGCTGCCGTCCGCAACCCCTCCAGCCCCCAAAGCCAGTCCTTATCAAACCTACCCACCGGCCCCGGTTCTCACCTCATCATCGTCAAAATTGACTCTAAAGTCCCAGAGGACCCCGCTACCGCCGTTCATATTCTGCAGCACGAGCACGGCATCAATCATGTGGACACTGTGATTGCGAACGCAGGCATAAGTGATGACTTCTCCCGGGTGGACAGCGTCCCCCTCGACGTCTTCCGTGAGCATGTCGAGGTGAATGGCTTTGGGCCTCTGTATCTCTTCCAGGCGGTCTATCCCCTGCTTCTTGAGAGTGCCCGGCCTACCTTCGTCGGAGTTGGCAGCCCCCTGGGCAGCATTGGTGGGATGGAGCAGCGTCCCTATCCATGTACCGCTTACGGGCCGAGCAAGGCTATACTTCATTGGATAGTTCGCAAAATTCACTTTGAGAATGAGGGTTTTATTAGCTTTGTCGCAGATCCTGGGTGAGTGTATCGGTTGGGACAAATGGGTGAAAGGTCAAGGTTGAAACATACTCATGATTAGGGTGAACAGATTTCCCGACACGGACATGGGGAATGCGAGTGCACGCAAGGTCGGGCTGGAGAGGGCTTTTCAGACAGTTGAGGAGAGTGTTGGTGGCATTGTCAAGCTGATTGATGGTGCCACGCGCGAGTCTGCGGGAGCCCAGTTGCAGGTTTGGGATGGTACCGTTTTTCCCTGGTGAATTCAGTTATTGCTACTATGTACCAGAAACTTTCATTTGGAATCGGTATCAGTAATAGTGAAGCATACTTCAAAATACTTACTGCGTCGGGTTGAACCCCATGAGAAAACCCCGAAGACCAGTGGTGTAAACCAACTGGAAAAATGACTTGGCTCTTATAGCACTAAATAGCACAGTATTTTCAACAATTGGCCTGCTGGCCCAATGGTAAGGCGCTTGACTACGGATCAAGAGATTGCAGGTTCGAGTCCTGCGTAGGTCATTCTTTTTTTATTTTTCAATTGTTCGCCCGGCTTCCCGTAGCTAGTGAGTGGAGAGAGAGCAGTTTGCCTTGTCGCTTTCTTTGGTACTATTCTTTTTCTCAGTCTCATCCACAAATGGTTTCTGTGAAGCCATACTAGTAGGCCGAATGCATCAATACACTCCCAGAGCCAACTTTTATATAATATAATTTGGCTGTACACTCTCCAGTGAAAACTAAAGTAAAGAACAATGCCCAGTCCAAGTACAGTCTAGGTAAGACAGTCATTATTGCTGATAATAATAATTCAACGATACTACTGAAATTACAGAGGGAAAATGGTAACGGAAATATCTATCAACAGGCTTGAATTCAGATTATGACTATGGCAGACTGGCCTGGATCCTCTCAATCTCAGTGTAAGTAGTACTCGTCAAAGAATGACACAAATAATTAGACAATATAATCATGAACGAATGACAGCATTGAACCCATTTCCATTTCCCATCCCAGGTGATATACCTAAACCATTTTGAAAACAATCGATTCCCGGAAGCTCGAGGCAATGTGGTGTCACTCTAGAGCGATCGATCGATACCAACGCCGTAACTCCTGTTCACTTATTAACAACCCTGCAAATATTTCAGGATGAAGAGTGGAAAGTACCTTAAGCAGAGAAGTTCAAGGACGCAGAAGCCTTCGCATTAGCGCTAGCAGAGGCCTCAGCGCTACCACTAACGGAGGCCCCAGCACTAGCGTTGGCATCAGCACTTCCGCTGCCGCTGGCAGAGGCATCGGCATCCGCATCAGCGCTGGCATCGGCATCCGCGCTAGCATCCGCATCTGCATCGGCATCAGCTCCGGCACCGGAATCGTCGCTGTCGTCGCCGCCCGTGGATCCTCCAGCCGTGATGCTGCCGCTGGCGCCACCGAAAGGACCGAGAGAGACGCTGGTGGAGGCACTGACCCAAGTGGTGGTGGCACTGGGAGCTTCCGCAGTCGTAGGAGAAACACCGACGTCAGTATCGTCATCACCGCTGCCAGAGGCTCCGGCACCAAGATCAGCAGAGCCGGATCCGCTACCGCTCACATCACCAGAGGCACTGCCGGAACCACCGAGACCAGCACCCGCACCGAGGCCAGCAGATCCAGATCCAGAGAGACCAGCGGAGCCAGATCCAGAGAGACCGGCACCAAGACCGGCACCAGCGCTAGGGCTAGCACCGACGCTGCCGCTGGGGCTGGCACCAAGACCAGCGCCAGCACCGAGACCAGCAGATCCAGATCCAGAGAGTCCGGCGGAGCCAGAGCCGGAAAGACCAGCACCGAGACCAGCACCAGCAGCGCCGGAGGCACCAGCGCCAGCAGCACCGGTAGCGCTGCCACCAAGACCGGCACCAGCACCAAGACCAGCAGCACCTGAGGCACCAGCACCGAGAGAACCGGTAGCACTTCCTCCAAGACCGGCACCAGCACCAAGGCCAGCAGCGCCGGAAGCACCAGCACCAGCAGCACCAGTAGCACTGCCACCAAGACCAGCGCCCAGACCGGCAGAGCCACCAAGACCGGCGGAACCGCCGAGACCAGCAGCACCGGAAGCACCAGCGCCAGCAGCGCCAGTAGCACTTCCTCCAAGACCAGCACCAAGGCCGGCGCTACCACCGAGGCCAGCGGAGCCACCGAGGCCAGCAGCGCCAGAAGCACCGGCACCAGCGGCACCAGTGGCACTTCCTCCCAGGCCAGCGCCGAGACCAGCGCTGCCACCGAGACCGGCGGAGCCACCAAGGCCAGCAGATCCACCAAGACCGGCACCTAGACCAGCAGAGCCCGAGGCACCAGCACCCGCAGCGCCAGTAGCACTGGCACCAAGGCCAGCATCAGCGCTACCACTTCCACCCAGACCGGCACCCAGACCAGCGCCCAGACCGGCACCCAGGTCAGCGCCCAGGTCAGCAGAGCCACCAAGACCAGCGGCTCCGGACGCACCAGCACCTGCAGCACCGGTGGCACTGGCACCACCGCCCAGAAGGGCACCCAGACCAGCGCTGCCGCTCAGACCGGCGCCGAGGTCAGCACCGAGACCAGCACCAGCACTTCCACTACCGCTGCCGCTACCACCAAGGCTGGCGCCCAAGTCGGCGCCGCCGCTGCCGCTGGCACTGCCACCGAGGCCGAGACTGGCACCCAGGCCGGAGCTTCCCAGGAGGCTACCAGCGCCGCTGAGGAAGGGAAGGAGGCATGGGATGGGGATGGCGGAGACGGTGGCGGCGGTGACGAGGGTCGCAGCGGAGACTCTGTAGAAGCGAACCATTTTGACTGATTGATTTCGGTTTCTGTGATGGTTAGCCCTGTGCTAAGGTGTGGTTGTGTCGAAGGACCAGGAAGTGATGGGAAGCCTACCTTCGAGAAACGGGAATCGAGAAGAACGAGAGTTGAACGGAATTATTGAAAAGTTAAACACAAAGAGCGATACGCCACAGGCGATCTGGAAAGCAAACGAGAGCGAGAGGAAAAAAGAGGAGAAAAGACTGATGAGATGGATGAGGATGGGATGGAAAGAAAGTCAACCTGATGGGCGTGGTGACAGAGGCTATATATGCCTATTTTTCCGTCGCATGGTTCCCGTCTTCCTTTCCCGCATCGCGGAGGAGAGCCATGGCTGTCTCCCCATGGATAGGGGCCCGTGAAACCGCGGTGGTTTGATAGTGGCTGCTCGTGCCAGTGTAGAGTTTCTAAGAAAAGCGTCCATGGCCTGGTTCGGACCTGCCAAGCATCTTAGTGAACCGGAGAATGAACCATCATCTGGGTTTTCCGACGGGCACGGACTTGGTTGGGAGTGGATCTGGTTAGGGACGACGGGCTATCCTGGGACTGGAACATCTGCACTGATCACAAAGGGCACAGAGCCGGCAGTCTATCGGGATTCAGAGCTCCGAATCGGGAAGGGAAGACCGGCTCATAACCTGGCCGGTCTCGCTGCGTCGAAACGCGCTAGAAGTGAGACCCAGGGATCGGGATGGAGAGGTTTTGATCGGGTTCGAGAAGGTCAATGCTCGAGTTTAGTTGGTGACCTGGATTAGGGGCCGATGATATTAGGTTATCCATAGTAAGTAGATGCATTGATCGCATATGAGTAGAGGGACGAGAACGAAAGCACCAAACGAGCCACTGTTGATGCCTGAACAGTACTACTGAGTACCGGATAAACGTAAATTCCTTTACTGCAATAGTAGATGCAAGACGGGCTGGAGAGCAGTGGAGGTGTATCAAGATCGCGACCCCTGCACCAGCGATCTGCAGCTCATGTTTGGAGTTTGCCCGAAGATGGGGGGATCGGCTGGTTCTTCCGGACGTTGCGGATGATCCTCGGAACTGACCCCGTTTAGACTTCCAATGTCCTTTTCTGATCGGCAGGCAACGCCAACTCAACTCTCCAAGATTATTCAATCACTTACTTTACCTCTCATCTACAGCTTCGACTCTAAACAGTTCCTGTGTATTTTCAATTGCCCGTACTATACAGAGTACTATGAAGCACGAATCTCTCCCCCCTCCCCCTATTCTTCGGTCTAAGAATAGCCATCCAATGAAGACCCGCTGTTTCGAGCCAAACCCTATTTTGGCCTCGTCTCACCCTGAAACCCCACCGTTCGCTCGACCTCGACTTCCCAACTTTGGGGAGCTCTTTGCACCCTCTCTCTAGTCTACAAAAGCTAAACTTGAATCGGAAATGGTGTCCGTTTCCAGGAACCACCATACAGACCCCGAGCAGCGAACCCGCGACCGCTGAAGCAGCCTAAAATTCCCGAGACCAATAATGAACCCCTAAATAAGAGGGTCTAACTGCATAGTCCCCTCCGGCCTATCCACATGGAAGCTTAGCACGCAAGAAAGAAGCACATTAGTTTACAACTCTCACAGTCTTCGATGTAGTCGGAAGGTGGTGCCGACACTCGACTGGGGCTTTACCTTTTTCCCCTACGGCTGACCCTCAAACTTTCTACTGGCTAACTTCTTTCCCTCGAAACATACCAACTGCTGCTCCTTTCACTGCACCCCAACCACGATGGCATTTTGCCGGGTCTGAGTGTTTCATGTCCCAGTTACAACACTGGGAAGACGGGGAAAACGCGGGAATTTTTATCCACTGCCTCCATCGCAAAAGTCGAAAATAGAATCAATGTCTCCGTATCGGCCGTCTGCCATGGCCATAATCGCGGAGTGTGGGCGTCGTATCGAGAACAACATCTATTCGAATCAATGGTGTGATATCGAGTGACAGATCTGCCGTGCTTTGCTAAGAATAGGTCATGGTCGGAATATGAGGTTGGGGTACGGAGTACACGGTCTACCATCCCTAGTATGTCTGCCCACTTCGGCGGAAGAGTGCTTTTACCCCATTGTAATGGAAAAATCGGCTTCTTACTGCCCTCAGGGTTCCCTGTTGATTGGGTCTCTATCTTCAATTGGATATAGCTCATGGCTCGATATGTTGTCTCCGAGATACGAAAGAAGCAGAACCCGATTGAAGGCCTGGTTCAACGATCTAGACTGCTGGATCGGCGAAAATTCTGCATCTTGCGGGAAAAGGCTGTCTGAGTTTATTCTACCTCGTAGGGGTAGACGAAGCATCGATCAGCGATGAATAACTTTGGTATCGGAAATGAGCTTCCGATTACCTAACTGTCTATGCTACGAGGACTTCGGACTCATGATTGAGGTGATATACTCAGCCATGAGTATGCCGGGCTTGTTGGGTATTTGGCAATATTCTGCGAGTATTGGTGATTATGACGAGTTGCCTCACCAAATAGCGAATCGACTTGTTGTTGATGGCAACACGTACGCTATAGACCATTTGAGTTCATTCCCTGTTTTCAAGTGGCAGATCTACATATGAAGCATGAGATATGGTGCGATCACAGCCACACATAGCTCAAGGCAATTCCTGGCCTTTGATTACGGTTGATTGAGAAAAGCTATCACACTGAGGGAGCTGTGGCTACGAAGATACAGTCTCTTTTGTTAGACGACCGTAGTGAATGCAGAATGTCTGTCTGATCAACCCATTGTACTGTAGACAACGTTTGCCACTTTATGCATTGCAAATTCTTTTTCTCGAAGATTCATCTTATCAGCATCGCCCTTGCTCTCCGCCCCTTAGCTTATTACTGACGCCAAACTTGCACTCTCGTTCTAATCTTGATCTTTTGTTATCACATCCAGTCCGCTAGTGATTCCTCTATCCAATGTCTTCAGCGGTCGTTCCCACGGCGTAAGCATACCTATTCCTAACTTAGATCAAAGGAGTAATCACCAAATTGCTGAGAGGTATCCTGACCCAGATCTTCCATGAACTGACAGTATCAGAATTAGACAGCTCAAAGTTAACTGTGGCCTGGTCCGACATGCTCTGATACGGTGCCAGCGGCTATTGTTTGCTATCCACAGTCCCATCGCACCTGATACCTTTTAGCCCTTGTTAATTCTATAGACTACAGAGTTCTCGTACGGATCGGAAGGCATCTTTGGGGCTTTTGACGACGTATCATGTTCCGCTACCCAGTCTTTCGTGGAACCAGGTCAAGAAATGGCCTCTTTCGCCAATACAACGCACAGCAAAACTTGCGCCATTCCTGTTATTAGGTGTCAGGCAAACAGAATCCACATTCCTACCACTCTAGAAGCGACCAGACTCTCATCTGCTGCCAGACTGCTGGTCCATCACGTGACTTGCATTGATTTCCCCGCGTTTTCCGGCCCCATCCCAATTAGGCAGTACAGCAGCCGATCCCCCCTTCACCGTCAGCCGCAGACGATGATGACTGCTACAACTCTTCAATCCCAATCAGTGCATTGACTTTGAGAGCACGGCTTATTGGGTGTGACTGGGCACCGTTGGTCACCTTAACAATTCATCTTCCACAGATTCAGAGCCCTATGACACTCGTCAATCAATAACCAAAGAATAGTTCGCTTCTAGAAGCCTGTGATCACCCTGCATGATCCCCCAACGACCCTGAAGATCCCGATAATCTCATCAAACCTCGGATACCCAGTAAGGCGAACCACGGACCATTCCAAATTTTGTTCGTCGATCCTCAACGGGTGAAATTTGACTTCCCATTTATCAGACCACATCACCCAGCCATGAAGGCCTGGCAAACCAACTATTACTACCTTCGTGCCTGCGGGCGGCGATCATCATCAAACGCCTGGAGTGTCGCCCAACGACCATCCTCACTAAGAGTCAGGGGGAGATATCAACATCGAGCAAACTATGCAACTAATCCGCAACACCCCCCGAGGCAGCAGTCGACCACGTTGCCCATCCTGGGGACGATTGTCGCTACCGCGGCTGTCACGCTCCTTGCGTCTGAGGCTTGGCGCGGAAGGACGGCCAACAGTCCCGAAGATGCTATTAGAGATGTGCAGTCCGGATCATCTAAATATGCGGATGTTCCGACGATGCTTCGGGTATGTAGCACATTTGCAGCTTAACATGGAGACTACGCATTAATCGCGAGCCATAGGCCGTCGAGGAGATAAAGACAATTATCGGACCTGATAATGTAAGCGTGGACGCCGACGACATTGAACTTCACGGATACTCCGAATGGTCCACGTCCAACACCACCGCACGACCAATTGCAGTCCTCAGTCCAGCCACGACAGAGGAAGTATCCGCGATCGCTAAAATATGCACCAAGTACAAAGTTCCCATGGTGCCTTTCGGCGCCGGATCAAGCGTCGAAGGGAACTTCGCTGCTCCTCACTCGGGTGTCTGTATCGACCTGTCACGGATAAACAGGGTCATTGAGCTGTACGAGCAGGACATGAACGTGACGGTTCAAGCAGGTGTGCGATGGACCGATCTAAACGAGGAGATCAAGTCTACTGGGCTGTTCCTACCCATGGACCCCAGCCCTACTGCGTATGTGGGAGGAATGGTCGCGACCAATTGCAGTGGCACGAATGCTATGCGCTACGGGACGATGAAGGACTGGGTGGTTAATCTCACTGTCGTGCTTCCGGATGGTACAGTGATCAAGACAAAACGGCGACCGCGCAAGTCTTCTGCTGGGTATAATCTGAATGCACTCTTTACTGGATCGGAAGGGACACTGGGGATTATCACCGAGGCTACGCTCAAACTTGCGATCATTCCTGAGGACAGTAGTGTTGGGATTGCCACATTTCCCACGGTCGGTGATGCAACGGCCGCAGCATCGAAGTTGATCCGTGATGGGGTTCCCCTCGCTGCGTTGGAATTCATGGACGACGTACAGATGAAGATCATCAACCAGAACGGTGGTGCAGGTGGGAGATTCTGGTCCGAAGCCCCAACACTCTTCTTGAAGTAAGATCAATATTGGCTGGTATTGCAATAGTCAGCTGACAGTCAAGGTTCACCGGATCCCGCACCGCGATTGACGACAGCGTCCAACGCACGAAATCCATCCTAACCAACAACAAGGGCAATGAGCTAGTGTTCGCAAAGTCCCGAGAGGAAGGCGATAACTTGTGGTCTGCGAGGAAGCAGTCCCTCTGGGCCATGCTGGCTGTGAGACCCGAAGGAACCGAAATCTGGTCTACGGATGTGGCTGTACCGATCTCGCGACTGGCTGAGATCGTTGGTAGGTGGACAACGAGCAGGATTATCGATCAACAAGTATTGACGTGATCTCCAGAGCTATCAAAAGCCGAGTCCAGTAATTTGGGCCTGTTCTCCACGGTTCTAGGACATGTCGGAGACGGCAACTTTCACCAAGCTGTGATGTACAATCCCCAGAGTCCCGAGCAATATCAGGCTGTCAAGGCGTGCGTCTCGAGAATGATGAAACGGGCGCTTGAAATGGAGGGAACTGTATCTGTAAGTGTTATCGTTCCTAAGTGGTCTTTCGAACGGGTGTCTGACTGTAACAGGGCGAACATGGCATCGGATTAGGAAAGAAGGTCAGCAATCTATTAGTCCAGCATCTCACATCCCCAACGCTAACATGCACCAGGCCTATCTCGAGGAGGAACTCGGTACACCGACGATGCAACTAATGAGAGGACTGAAACGCAGCGTTGATCCTCAGTAAGGTTACCTGTGTTGCCCATCTGACAATTGCTTACTAATCAGTTCTAGCTGGCTCATGAACCCCGGAAAGGTCTTTGACGAGCACTTTGAAGGATAGAATCGTATTTTCCCAGTTTGGGGCTCAATGTACACCCCAAAACATGATGGCATGATCTTGAGGCTGCAGTAAACACCTCGGCACAAGTCTAGGTGACAGTGTAGGTTTCAAGAGATCCGTGTGGATCGATCCACACCTGATTGCTAAGCAGAATGGAGCGATATTGATTACATACGATCCTCATAGTCTACCTCATCGATGAATTTACGTAGCAACCTCCAAGCGAGTAGTAAATGCATGCGCATTGCAACTGACTGGTGACAGATCAGGCCAACCACGGGTTGCCCCGGGCAGCGATTTCCGCATATAGTTTAGTTTCCGCTCAGCAATTAGCACATCCCACCCCCACCGCGCCAAGGCAGCGAGAATCACAACCAGATGAAGTTCTACAGGCGGAATCTAATCCTAAACCGGCAGGCAAAGTTGGCAGCTAGGTGTTTGAAGATCATAATCCATTCCCATTATCTTAATACACAACTCTCACTGCACAGCTCCCTTATCTAAGGAGTCTCCGCAACATTGTAGACCAGCTTCTCACCACTGACCTTATCAGCCTTGAGCAGCTGCAACCCCTCCAACACACCCTTCAATCCCTCCCCACGCACACTAGGCCGATGCACCTTGATCTTGCCCTCGGCCAACAACTTCTGCGCAATATCCCAGAACTTCGCAGCAAACTCCTTATCCTCGGGCTTCGCGGGGAACGGCGTCTCACCAAACATGAACTCCTCACCCACAGCAGTATACGCCAGGGTCCAGCGATCATTGACATTGGCACGCTCAATCCCCACAGCCAAAAGCGCACTGTACTCACCACCCTCGGTAGAAATAGCCTCATCACAGAACTTGGCACTAGCCTCCAAGGAAATCGTATCCAGCACCAACTTCAGCTTGTTATCCGTAGCCTTCCGGATCTCCGCAGCCGCATTCGGCGCATTGTAATCAAACACCTCATCGGCACCCAGACTCTTCACCAGGTCGAAGTTCCTCGGCGAGCACGTAGTCAGCACCTTGTATCCAGACAACTTGGCGAACTGGATCGCCAGGGTTCCTGTCGCCGTCGAGCCACCGTAGATGAGGATCGGGCCTGCGTTGCCGCCCTTGGCAGGCTCGGTAGGCAGCTCGAGCTTCAGACTCTGGTACAGGGCTTGTCCAACGGTGGTGATACCCACGCCGAGCGTGGCGGCGTCCTGGAAGCTGAGGTTATCCGGGATGTGCATCTGGATGTCGCCCTTGGCGACAATGTATTCGGCAAAGGTGCCGTCTTCGGGCTGCACGGCGTTGGCGCCGTGGACGAAGCCGCACACCCGGTCACCCTTCTTGAAGGGCTTCTTGACGGCCGGACCGACTTCCTCCACGATACCGGCGTAGTCGCAGCCGACGAGGACGCCGGTGGGGGCCAGGAACTCGATGTGCTTCCAGTCGGTGGGGTTCAGGGCCACGCTGACGGTCTTGATGAGGATGTAGTCGTCGCGGAGCTTGGGGATGGGGCGGTCGGTGACCAGGTCGCCCTTCTTAGGGGCGGTGACGGCGATGGCTTTTTGGGGCATGGTGATGGATGTGGTGTGGGTTGCTTGGTTTGATTGAGTGAGTATGAGGAATTTTTGTAGTGAGGGAGGAGGGGAGGGGATATCCTATATATGCATTTCTGGTATCAGCAGTCAGAAGCACCAAGAAGGCGGTGGAATGGAAGTGGCTGAATGTAACACCCCTCCTCACCCTCCTTTTGTTTGTCGATGACAAATGCAACTTGTGAGATCATCGTGTGTTTTTGTCTTCTCCACTTGGGCCCACTGGCTCCCGGGAGGGACGCCGTTGGTTCTACGCTGGATGGGAGCCAGCTCATTAGGTTGTTGCCAGTAGCCCGGAACCGGAATTAGCGAACTCTAATGCTGCAATGTAGTACTTCGGCGGTTGATAGTTGATTTGCCGGTGCTCTTGGGGAAGGAACAGGTTATCGTGTTGCTAACGATAGTGTGTATAGTATATGCAATCTCTACTGGTTAGGTGGCATCGATCCCAGGAGGGCGTCGATCGAGCTGCCGAGACTATCTTATCGTGGCTAATACTAGTGTGCAATTGAGTGCTGACTGCTAAGAAGGAAGATTCCTTTTGTCAGGGCCAATGGACGCAACTAGACTGTTGGGGTATCATTGAGTTTTAGCCTATTTTCCGAAAGGAGTTTAGATCCCGCTCCGCGCAGATATGCAATCCCGGAGACCCTCCCCAGGACACTAGCAGTAAGCACTGCAATGTAGGATGATCGCAGGATCAAAGGGTCCAGAAATTTCCATTCTGCTGACATATTCACCTTGAGGGATTTCTTTGCGTAAATCTGTAACTTGCTGATTAATGGACATCTTGGTTCTCCTCGAGGAGAGTATTCTACGAGATGGTTGAGTGGCATTTCGAATTTCCGGGAATAAATAGATAGCACTACTAGATACACGGGTCTCTTTCTCTTCTATCATCATACTAGGTAATCTCACAGCTTAGCAAGATGCAGGTCACTCACATTGTCCTACTCCAATTCAACCCCGACGTTACTCCCGAGGTTAGGGAGAATGTGCGTTTGTCCTACACCTCTTACCACACCTTATACCGCCAGATCCTAGACTTCTGACTCGATTCTCGTATAGGTCGCAGCCCAGGTCAGGGGCCTGCGTGAATCATGCATTCACCCCGAAACTGGCAAGCCGTACATCGTTTCCATGAAGGCCGGCGCTGATGTCTCGATCGAGGGGCTGCAGGTGCGTTTACTTCTAAGCTTTTGATCTTATGACTCGTAGACGTGACTGCTAACCTTATCTGAATAGAACGGCATCAGCCATGCATTTGTCTCCGTTTTCGAAAATACCGAGGATCGCGACTACTTTGTGCACAAGGATCCGGCGCACATTGCGCTTGTGCAGAATGTCAAGCATCATCTGGCTAAGGTTCAAGTCGTGGATTTTGTTGATGGGAAGCTTATTTAGATGTATTCTACTGTGTTTCGATGGTCCAATGGCTTTCAGTCGTACTATACAAATTTTGCACAGGAGTAATCGGGGTAGTTATTGAAATCAGCGGTTAGTGTACGAGCAAGAATATATATAACCCTGGTGGGGTATATTGGGTCGAAACGTGCAAAACAAAATGCGAGTAAAATGAGGGAACAGATGATAATATAAGTTCTCCAAAATACTGAACATAAAGATAGACATATTAAAGCATATCAAAGTGCCCTATAACCGTTTCTTAGGCGAAAGATGCCCGATGCTTGACCACAATGACTACGATGGGCTGTGAGATGACATAGTAATACAGCGTCCTTCATTATCCAGAACCTAGCGGCAGATTAATAATAAGCCCTTGTAGCTCAGTGGTAGAGCGCTTCACTCGTATCATGTCATGAAGAGGTCCGCGGTTCAATCCCGCGTGGGGGCATTTCTTTTTTCATTTTCTCGGGTAGCCAGCCTCCTTTAGCTTTTGTTTTTGTGTAACGGGTAGAGTCAGCCGCGCTAAGAGAAGAAGTAAGGCGGTGGCAAATACATATCCGCCCTTATAGCTCAGTGGTAGAGCGCTTGACTTGTAATCAAGAGGTCTGTAGTTCAATCCTGCATGGGGGCATCGGATATTTTTTTTTCTTTTTACTTTCTTGCTTCCTTCATTTTTTCATTCTTTCTTCTACTCACTGCATTTGATGTTTTAAATAATCACGCCACATAATAGGATCAATCAACATTTATTTAGTTTTTTTCTTCTCTCTTTTTCTTCTACCTCGCCATACGGTTCCGATGAATGCTAGAAACTCCAATAATTCCAGTAAATATCGATAAAGCGTCACAGCAGTCTATGTGTATCCCCTGTTGCTATACAACTGCTTTATCAAACGGCCGGGTACACAGTGGGCAGCAACGTGCACTCTGGATGCAGCTCCGACAGTAAGTCACGGTGTCTTTTGACGCTCCACCCTCCCCAGCTACCCCCGGACAGTCCCTGCACTGTGCTCTCTTTCCCAGGGTCTGTGTATCCAAACAAACATCGCAATGCTCATAGAATGGCGCCTGCGGCAGCATGTACCGGACAAACGGGAGAGTGCTTACATGGACTAGATCCTCCTCAGGTAAGCCGGCTTTGGCTTTCAGGAAATCGGTGATCCTGTCCCAGGCCCCTGCATCAGTTATTCCTGGCATGTAAAAGGGATTGTATCTGGTATCGTTAAGGTATATTTTCCTCCGATATGACTCCTGAAGCGGAGTAAACCCCAACTTATCTTCAATATGAGGTTCAATGTTGGGAATCTCAAGTAGCATTTCCACCATTTTAACCTGACCCATGCAAATGGCTGCGAATAGGGGTGTTCGTCCGAATATGTCTCTGGGGTTGGGGTCGCATCCGGTCTTCAAGATGCGCTGCACGAGACTAATGTCGCCTCGCGATGCTGCCCAGTGCAATGGTAGGCGGTGGAATTCGTCTCGAAAGCCGGGACTACACGATTCTCTGAGGATTGCTTCCATCGCGTCTTCATCTCCTTCCACCTCAGCCTTTGCCAAACAGGATAGCCCCCAGAAATATGGGGAGACGTCTGTGTCCCTCATACATCTGGGAGAGCCTGCACCGTTTGCAAGGAGAAGCCTGGTTATCTCGACATGCCCCCTTTGCGCGGCAGCAGTCAGGGGGTCTGCTACATGGTGTTTCCATTTATCGGTGCTGCTTATCCTGGCACCCCACTCGAGTAACAGTTCAACAGCACGCAGGTTGCCATTTGCCGCAGCTATAAACAAGGGGGTTTCCCATCGCTTATTCTCTCGATTGATATCGGCGCCTGCATCTCGTAGAATTTTCATCACCTGTGCATGATCGCCCATGTTGACGAGGGATATAGGACCGAGTCGAATTCCAGCGCCGCTCTTCGCGGCAAAGAATATAGGAGTTTCTTTGTTTTCAGTTTCATAATGAACGTTCGCACCTCTGCCAACTAGCAGCCTGGCCACTTCATGGTGTCCATATGCTGCGGCGTAGAAGAGAGGCGTAAAGTTCTCGGCTGTAGGGGAGTCGACAATGGCTCCATGGTCGAGTAGGAACTCGACTACTGCGCTATTACCAAACCCTGCAGCCCAGGTGAGGGGTGTGCGACCAAGGTAGTCCCGAGTATTTACAAAGTTGCTCTCAGGGCCAACAAGTTCTTCCATGCACTGATCTAGGCCAAAAAGCGATGCAAGGTGGATCCCTGAAAGTCCGTATGCAGTATCTGACAGGCCGAACATTTCTCGCATACACCGTGAAACCTTGACATCATTCTTGATGAATGAAGCGAGAAGCGTGTTGCTGCCCAGGCTCTGGCGGAGATGGTTCCCTAGCTCATTAGCGGAATACTGATAAAACGGGTACTCCTGTCGATGCTCTTGACGACCACTTTCTAACAAGGTTTTCGGATCAAAGGCGTCGAAGGACACGTACGTGAGGCAAGTGTCAGTGAGGTATTCATGTACTGTTGGATACCAAGCCTTCCACGTTCGCTTCAAGTACTCCTGGGCAGTAAGATGCACCAGCTTAGCCGTGTTGCTGCTTTTGTCAACCGTGATCAAGCCGCAGCAGGCAGAAACTATCTCTTCGATGTCCGTGACATTCATTTCGTCAAAATCGGGCTCACCAATCTCAACCGCAATAGCATGTTGTAGCTCTAGAGCGCTAAGTGGCCGTGCAGAGAAGGTGATCCACCCAAGCACTCTTTTGGCAAGCTCTTGAGAGAAGGAGCTTTGCAGGCTAATCCTTTTCAATGTCTCCTCGTATGCATGGTCGTAAGCCCCCGAGCCCGACTGAAACTTACTTCCAAGTGCTCGGACTCTCTTTTCATTCTTCTCATCCAGGATTAAGTTGTAATAGAGACGCACGAGAAGGAATCTACACGAGTCAGTAACCTTTCGATATCCCGGAACTATGTCACTTACATTCCATTAGCGGATTCAAGAATTTGGTTTCGAATATAGCCCCAGAGCTCAGGTTTCCTTCGAAGAAAACCCGGGAGATAGTCGAGGTTCCCGTCGAGGAAGCTTTCCATGTCGTCTCTGCTGGCTTGGACCTCCAAAGTAATACCCCTAGACGATAGAGTTCCAAAATAATCGCCGGGTCGGGCAGTCGCGAGGAGTTTAACCTTTGTACGACCACCAAGGTCAAGGAGGTTTCTAGTCCAGGCAAGAAATTGACGCCTCACATATACGTCGTTGCACTCATCCAGTGCATCAACAACCAACAGGACTTCACTGCATTCGGACAACACCACATCGAAAACCTTTTTGATATTTTCTTTGGTCAAACGGGTAGACCTGGGTGGGAGAAGGTAGCGTCTTTTGGTGATAGTCTCATACAAGCGTTGATTTCCCTGAAGTAACTGTCTTAGGAGGCTTGACAGAAGCTCTGTGAATTCGAGACGTTCCTGGTGATTGAAATAATGATAAGCAACCGCGACGCCGCTATTGTGGGCAAGCTCTTGCTGGAAATGGTCGACTGCGATCGAAGAAACCATCGTTTTGCCAGCGCCAGGAGCCCCGGTGCAGAGAAGGGCCTTGCTCTTTTCATCAGAGATCCAACAACGGAATTCTTCACTTTCAAGGAACCATTCACCCGTGCCTTCGCGCCGGGAGCTCAGAATTCTGTGCTTTTGTTCCGAGACGTCAACAGGACAAATCCAAGCAAGCGTCTCATTGCGCTGCTGCATGTCGTGGTGGCCCTTCATGGACTGAATGCCTGCCCCAATCTCCAAGGTGAGATCTCTATTGGACCAACATCAGCACTGATTATCTTGAAGCATACCGGATGAAAACTCCGATCGAGCACTAGTAAAGCCAAGAAAAGATGTCGTTCATACTGATTGATTTTACCCATAACCAAATTCCACAGCGAGAGACAATAAGTGATGCGATTCCGCATGCTGTCTACCTCTGCAGGGTCCCATTTCACTCGACTCCATGCTCGGACGGCCTTTGTCTTCCAGTCCGAAGTTGCAAAGGCAAGGACATTGTATTTGCTCAACTTGTGTTCAATCTCTAACAGGACTTCACGGCCTCGTTGGACGATTATATCCAGTTCCATTTTCTGGGTCGTACTGAGGCCTTCGTTAGGAATATCATTGAGATCATGAAGAAGCGCCCATAGGCTTTTTACACTATTGATGATGGTGAGCAGCTCTTCAGAAGATAACGTGCGGTTACTTACTTACTCTCCAGAGATAGCCTTGAAGCCACTCGGTGCCTGGGCGAACCGCTTTTTTAAGTCATCGGCGAGTTGCAAAGTAGCCAGGAAATCACCGACACCAAAGCCGAAGCTCATCTTGAACAGCCCAGACAGATTACTCGAGCTCGTGTGTGTTGATGGGACGCAGTCACAGGAAGGATGGTGGAATTTAATCAGGATGCGACAGAATGCGACCGAGCTGGAGGTGGCTGTGTTCAAGGGGGCTTAGCGCTTATGCTTGACGGATTTCGGTTACAGTCAGGGAAACTGCGGGGCCGTCCTGTAATACCAGAAGGAAGTCAAGTTCTACAGGAAGGTATAAATGACAGATAATATGTGAGTGTAAGTCGATGCTGGGTATGTAGTGATCACAGCTTGACAGATTCCTCATTTTGACGATGTTGGAAGGAAAGGGTAAGAGGGTTATATGATGATCGCTGCGAGGCTGAAACACGGCCTTATCACCCGATCGTTTAACCTCGCATTAGACTGAGATGGCATATGCAAATACTGTCTGCTAGTAGCCATACAAAATATTCTGTGCGCCAGACCAGATTATGCTCCCCGTTGGTTTTGCTTGCCGTCCCTTGACAGCCAACTGTTAGTCCATGGAACTGACAAACAGCAACGCACAGATACTTTGCAATTATTTGCCGACTTTTGTGTTAGAATAATGCGAAGTAGAGAGTAGATCCAGGAACACAAAGAAAAGCCGGTTCCTGACCATTGCTCACTCCGGTTAATCCTGATGGTGTTTCATCGCATGGGTCGAGGAAATCACCGATGTAGGAGTACCTCCTTATGAAATTTCCATCGGGGCAATAGTCGGCAGTATATTCCTCTAAGTTGGTAATATGTACATCAAATTATATAGCAAGCTGAAGTAGTTACCTCAGGATGAGCAGTATATGATGATCGGGGTGACTCGTTAAGCCTCAATTTGCCTATTCTCACCTCTTCATTCCCGTCTCTCACCAAACCCAGCCAATCTATCAACCCACGAAGCAACTTACAACCTGTCTATTGTACTCTTCACCGAAGCAGACAACCAGTTCAGCCACCGAGCACTATATACCCTCACCTTTCAAATGGAAAGATCTCCGTTGGGACAGCTGGGAAAGCTGCCCTACGAAATCCGACTGGAGATCTACGAGAAACTGTTCACGATAAAGAAATCACCTTTGAAGATCCTTCGCTGCTCGCGAGCAATCTCCGGGGAAATAACCGATCGCCTCTATGACACCCTCGACATACATCTAACTCCAGTGTTCAACGACCCCTGGGTCGAGATTCACTGCAAACGGCTGCGATTGCGCTGGACCATACCCAATCATTCGTACTTTGTCCAATACCGATTCTCACGGGCCCCATACTACAAGATGAACTTGGTGGTTCATATTTACGCACCCGACCCACGAGACCCAGGCCAAATAGCCCTGCTCTGGCAAAAGGCCCAACACTTGGTGGAAACACTTGAGGACGCCACTATTGCCTCCATAGTTATCCGCCTGCGAAAGCATAAGAGTCACGACTGGCAAGAGGAAGGTCATGTGGTGGAGAGTATCCCTTATCCAAACAACTCTCGTCCTGATTACCACATCGTTTTCCTACCCTTCTGTCGCTTATCCAATGTTGGATCCTTCCGGGTGTTTCCAGATACTCGCCGCATGGACCGTGTCGCCGACTGGGGTCTGATAAACTACGGTCGGGACTTTATCCTGAACAATGGTTACCAGGACTATAACGATGGCCCTCTCAGTCAGGACCGACAGTACCGGGATATTGTCCGAGAGTTTGATAATATCGACGCCCTGATTCGAGATACCAACTTTTTTCTGGAAACACGTCTGGACACTCTGCATGGCCATACAGCAGCAATGCTTCGCCTTGATCGAATCGCCCATTGGCCCCTGGGAGCACGCATCGACAATCATAGGATCATGCGTAGCTTGCTGGATATTCGGCAGCACCCAGGCTTAGTGAAACTTCACGATCCCGGGCTGAAGAGTCATAGCCGCCGTATGTGGGCGTTCCGTAACATGTACCACCTTTCTTCCTCCGTACTAGACAAGGATTCATGGGAAGAGTGGCGTTCGTGTTACCCCGAAGGACTCGGTCCCCATGATAAGGACAGTATTGATGGTCAGACGGACACAATCAGGAGAACTCCCTGGTGTTATAATACTTGGGATTCCACTCTGGAAAACTAAGAATACGAGACCAGTCTTGAAAACTATTTGCAGCGGAATTGTGGCGGCTCTTCTGGATGTCGCCGCCCCGGCTTTGAACAGGAGTGGTGTACAGACTGCCGTCGGATAGGATATCGGACTGGGTGTGACCAAGAGTGCGAGGATATAGATGATCCTTACAATGGGGAGTACTCCGATTATTGGAGCATCATAGCTCGTGATTTTTCTGATCCTAATATGTGGTAATAATGATAGCGAAATGAGTAAGTACACATGATTTGAGCCCTGTTGACAAAATATGGACCTGAAATCCTCCTAGCCATGTATACATGTAGTCTACTGCAATTCTACTGGTACTGCTACTAGTACTGTTTTCTTTTTGCTTTCAATAGTAGTCTGACCGTTGTCAAGATATGTTAACCACCCTGGCATTCGGGAATGTATACATCTTCAAGCAAAGGGCTAAGTGAAGCTTGGGCTTCATGCCATCGTTGACTGGCTGCAACAGTGCACAAAGTCATCTGTACTCAAGGAAAATGGACTTATTATAATGGAAGTCCTGATCCACCTCCAGATCCCTGTGAAGTGTACCGTATCCATCTCCCGCGTCGTCCCCGTCACCACCGAGGCCGGTACCTCCTTTAGCACCGTCTCCCCCTTCTGCTCGGGAACAAATGTGTATCTTTCCAGACGTGCCGTCGTTTCCTCAGGATTCGTCTCGTTGTCCGAATACACCAGTCGCACGGCCTTCAACCTTTTCTATTAGGCTTCTCCTCGCCTTTGATCTTGTCGGCTGTCGTCTCCGCTTGCTTCGCTGCTCCCGAGACATACAGACAAAGTTCGAGGACTAGCTGTCACCTAAATCTCCATAAACCTTGTCGTTCACTTTCCTTTCGTATATCTTATTTCGAGGAGTGTGCCTAATCTCGTTGAAAAGATTCCTACCGTTCATCTTTCGCTTCGAAGATAACGTATTTGCTCGACTCTTTGTTGGGGTATAATCTGCCTTGCCTGTGAGGGTTCAACATTTCCCCAAAGGTGACAACGGATTCGAATATTTGCTCACAGTGAAGAAACATTCTATGGACATCCTTTGATAGCCTCCCATTGTTCAGGAGGCTGCGGTAGGTGTGGACCATCATCGCGTAAAATCTGCATCTTCACAGACGTCGAGATCGCGTCTGCTGGCGCTACCATGACTGGTTGCTGCGGGGGGCTGGAAGATAGAGGCAGGCTGCCTAATTGTAGCGGAATACTCCAGCCGCCTGCAGTGGAGTATAGGATGGAGGAGGTTGTGCCGGGAATACCGAGAAAGTAATGCCATATGTCGCTCAGGGCGTGCCATAGAACGGCTGCGCTAGTCCCGCTGGAGGGAACTGTGCGTTGGGAGGGAATTGCAGCTGTCCAGGGGAGAAGTTCGGATAAGCAGGGCTGCCGGTTTGAGGGTGCGGTCTCTATCTTAGAATAAACTCAGTTATCGTCATAACTTGATCCTCAATTGTGTCCCACAAGAGCAGCTGATATGTGATAGATGGTTGCCTACTCACAGTTTGAATTAGAGGCCATGCGGTTAATGCAGCCCGGATTCACCACCGCGGCTCAACAGCTATCGTTAGACTCGTTCTCCATCATAACAACCTCAACAGTAATGGATACTTGGCATAATCCTAAACTCGCCCACCACGTGCGTTCCTTCGACGGATGTAGGTGTTGGAGACAGGATGGATCCCGTATGAAGAGGCCTGGCTCGATGCGTGCACTCAGCTGGAACACCCGACGATCAAGCTAGCCATGCGTCGGGATGACGAACCCCGGAAAATATCGGTTTTGTGCTTTGCAATTTCGCCGGCACCTTCTTCGTTTCCGATCGACACTGGAGATTCTACATCTCGGGGGCAAAAAAGATGCTTGACAGTGAGGGAGATGATATGTTTGATGGGGGTGGACCATTGGTTCTTTGCAGGAATTCACCCTCCTCCACGATCTTGCCGTCCGACATGCCCATCCGCTTCGACTGGCCTCGCATGGTAGGGCAGTGCAACACCACACACAACTCCTTGGAGCACTTCCTGTCTATTCAGCTACTGAAGATTGGGCATGTTGTCGAGGAGGATTATCATAGTCTTCTGTCGGAGCTGTTAGATGTGGTGCAGCGGCGGGACTGGTTTCGGCTCGAAGAACTCATAATCGAAGCTGAAGATGTAGAGAACAAGCCCATTAGATCCTTTGATACGAGCATGCACGGCCGCTGGTGTTACAATTACCCCTATATTGCAGCAGGTCTGGTAGTAGGTGCATGGTGGTTATAATTGGACCTAGCTGGGTTGTTTGTGTTCCATGATACTACTGAAGTTTATTCATGAAACTTCTAGACTGTGACTGTTGCTTCGTCCCTTCACGCTAGTAAGCCATTAAATTGCATGATGTAAAGCACAGTTTCTTCTTCTTGTCTCCCATCTCCTATATATATGAGCTCTAGTCTCGATCAGACCAAGAACCCAGATTTAAAACGCTCTTACAGTTCACATCGAGTTGTTCAGCCTTTGGTTAGCTTTTCGTATCGGCGGAGGTCCGGTGTCTCATTTGTCGTGGTGGTTATTGTTTCTCTTTGGGAGGTGTGATGGAGGACACGGATAATCGCGATAGTTGTTCTATAGATGCCTGACCTTCCTACATTACCAGGAATAGATGATATCCTCCATCCAACGAATATATTTCAAATCCCACTATAAGAGTTCCTTTAGAAGATAAGATAAGCACATACGACCACAGGGTGTGGAAAACAGGGCTTCCCGTCCGCTCAGCCGTACTTAAGCCACACGCCGGGAGGTTAGTAGTTGGGTGGGTGACCACCAGCGAATCCCTTCTGTTGTATGTTTTCATTTTTGATGTCTTCCCAGTGTTGCAACTTTTGGCAAGATGAAAGGAAGTATGCAATTGGGGTCACACAGTACAAGGGTGTTGTAGCAGATCTCATGATTGTTGGGAGAGGAGGCGGGTTCTGCTGACTACTTTATTCCTCCCGCAGGCGGACGGGTTCCCTTCTCGATTGCTGGATGCGCCTTAACTGTGCACAAAGAGAGACCATGAGTACCCTTACCATTTCAATCACTCCAGTACCTTAATGAATGTATCAATCTTTGGGTCTTTATAGTTCCTACTCCGTTAATGCTTTTCTTCCTTATGGAGCTGAATAACATCAGTATCCGAGCTAGCCAAGGAGACAGCAACCGAAACTCCCAAAGAGAGAGAGGGTGGGGCAAGTGACTGGTGATGAATAACACGGAAGAGACTGGACTTGCTTCCATTTCTACACAAGGAAATTCAAAGCAGATATCGTGCAGTATTCTATTAAACATAGCCTGGTAAGTTAGGCAATGGCATTGGCTGTTAGGATGCTGGGTAAGGAGTGGTTCCTGGGGCAATGTCTTGTGAAGTATCGATATATGTCTATCTACTGCGGGTGTACTGTACATAAAAAGGGATATGGATCTCCACTGTTGAATTAGCAAATAACGATTGAAAATGAAAGAGAATTAAACCTTAGAAGCCATTGATTTATTGTTGAAGAATCAGAGCGTGATAGAGCGTAAACAGTAAACAGGATACCTCCTATCTCCATCCTGATACTGTCACTATTTACTAATTACTTAGTGGCAGTCTCATGAGAATAATGACTTATAGAAGGTATTGTTACTCATAATACACACTTTCCTGTGTATTATATAGCTACTACTAGCGTCTATATTTCGTATAACTTGGCGCCCTCTCGTATCAGTGATGTTAGACTCCTTCAGAAATGTTATATAAAGGACGGGGAGGATGGACTTCGTACCTTCCACCAACAATGACAGATACGATATTACCGCCCAGCAGTTGCTTCATTACTAACCTTTTCCCCGAGGACCCTTGACGATATTTCTGGATGAAATGGACGGCAATATCAGTCTTCAATTGTCGCTCCATACACTAACGCGGAAGGTAATCACCCAGTTTCGGTCCTCGACGCGCCAAAAGCGGACCACGAAGCGAAGGCGACCCCAATGGCCCACACCGCGTGGCCGAGAAAGCCCAGGATTGCAAGTGCGAATCTCTGCTGCGTGATAGCATGATACCAGATCTGGGCCCTCATCATGCCGATTGATATTGCACCTGTGAATCGAATATTGTATTTGACAGGCCCCAATGGGGCTTGTCATGCTGGAGGAGGAGAGATGGTGATTTCAGCTAGACCTGTTGGCACCGGGATCAATAGCACCTCTTCTTGTTGGCAGATCAGGGTAAGACACCGACCAGTACTCACCGATGTTCTATACTTCTACTGCATAAATAAGGCGAACTAACTGTGAGACCCCGACATTGGGGGCGGGCAGCGCGGATGGACGCAATAGTGGATACTCTATTAGGTTCGGACCGGTACGGCTGCCACGGACCACCACACTGTCACAGACCAAGACACCAATGGATAGTGCTATAGATTTTTAGAGATATAGAACCCCAATGCAATTATCCAGGACTTGTTGACCACTAATATATTTTGACGCGTTGATCTGAGGCAGTGCACGCAGTAGTCTGTGGATAGTCGGAGTGATCTAAAAGGGTGGGTCTGTTGGCAGCCAACGAGACATCAGATTATGACCGAGTAAGCACTAAGCGCCCATGGAACCAACTACTTTTCCCAAATAGACAAGGCCAGAGATGAATGAAAGAAAGCCTATATAACCTGCCACTTTCCTTAACCCCTCTTTAACACTTCTCCTCACTCTCGAAGTCCCCCCAATAGCGTCTCATCTGAAGAAATCTCTACAACAAGCAAATAATCCCAAGTCAAAACCCCATACTTCAAGCATTGCACAATCTCTTTCTCATAATTCAAAAGTACCAAATCAACCCCAAAATGTCCGTCCGGGTCATCATCTACGCCTACCGCAAGCCCGGCCTTGACCTCCAAACCTTCAAGGACCGTTACGAGGCCCACATCGAGCTGGTCAAGCGTCTCTCTGGCGACGACTTCCCCCTATCCCATAAGCGCATGTACGTCGCGCGCACCACTATTGAGAACCCCCAAACGGGAGAAAACAACAACTCAACCCGCAATGCCCTCACTCCCGCTACTGTTCTCGTCGGCCAGCAGACGGACTTTGACTTCGACGCCTATGCCGAGCTCACGTTCGCGGACCAGGCTGCCTTTCAGACGTTCTCCGCTAAGGTGATGGCACCTGAAGCCGCGGCGCAGATTGCCGCAGACGAGGAGGGGTTCTTGGATCGGAGCAAGTTGGGGATTGCGCTTTTGGGGGATGTGGTGGAAACTACTAACTGAAGACTGAAGAAGGGATAGAAGGGGTGTGTGGTGTGACTGGAGATGAATACCTTTTGAATTTCCTATTTTAAATGAGCTAAAATGTACATTTGAATGTCTTTTAGATCAATGTATGACGCTAGTTGCTTATGGGTGGTGATGGGAACCCTTTCAAGACTAGACGCACCATTCTGATCCTCCTAGTTTTGTAAGGAGCTATTGCAATGAAGTGATGTAGCAAAGTACGAGGCATTCTCTTGATAGTACACGATTAGGTCTCCAGGGGAGATTCTGCATACATCCAACAACTGTCAGAGCAAATACCTACTAATACAGACCCCACTCGACCTTCTGACTACCTGCATCACCACCACACTCCATATACCCCTTTGCACCAACAAGACCATTAGAGGCATACTTAGAGATTGCCTCGTTGATAATTGTCACAATATCCTGACTGCCAGTATGATAAGTGACATCACCAGTAACGCCAACATTTTGAACGCCAAAATGGCAAGATCCGAATTTAGCAATGTCACGTTGGTGACCGATACCAGTAGTCCATTCGCCGCCGGTGCCCTGGATATTCTTCACGATGGTTTGGCAGTCAGACACCTTCGGGGAAGCGGACGAGGTCTCATCCTGGTAAGTGTAGCCGCTGCACTTGGTGACGCCCTGCAACGGGTTGCAGGGGTAGTTCGGAGCGCTGGAGTTGGACTGCGATGGGGTGGACCACGAGGCCCAGGCGACCTGGGGACTACACACAGGGAGGCGGATATAGCCGGGAGTGGTGATGTCTTGGTTCGAGAGATCTTTCAGAGTATCCTTGTCTAAGGGGTTGGCGACGGGTCCTCCGTTGGCATTGCCGTTGGCGACGTAAGTCCGGACGGACCCAATAATAAGATCTGACAGGGTGATGTTTCCCCAGGACCCCGAGCCAAGCGAGCTCAGTCCTGGTGGCGCAGTGAAAAATGTCTGGTCGGAGCACGTTGATGTCGGGCCACAGTCAACGCAATCGGTCTTCACGGTATCCTTGCCGGGACAACCCCTCCACTTGCCGTGGGGATGGACTAGATAGTACAATTTGTTATCGTAGCATGCATAAGTCGACTCTTGGGTGGATGCAGTCATGTAATCGGTCAATGGGTTTTGCGCACTGCAGTCATAACCCGAGTCGATGACGAAGGCAGCGGTGCCGGAGACGGCCCATACGGATGGGATGGCGAAGCCGAAGAAGGCCTTAGTGATGTAGCTCTCGATTTGGCTATTTGTGGTTGGATTCGTTTTAGGGCTTACTGATGTGCTGCTGCCACTACCCGGAATTAGATTACCGTTGGCAATCATGGTGCTAAGGAGACTGATGGAGGCATCGGATCCATTGAACAACGTCCAGAGTTGATTTTCGGCGAGGGAAGCCCAGCCGGCTATTACTGACCCCATAGTCTTGGTGAAACTTTCTTGGGATTGTGCTGTCCATGTACCCCTGCCAAGATCCAATAAGCGAGTTTGAACTTCATAAGGTGCAGTGGTACTTACGGCGCTTTCGGAGAAAGTGAATCGCTCGCAATTGACGCTCCATACGCCACAGTAGCACTGGTGATATCGGCAACGGTATCGGCACCGGCATCTCCGAGAACGCTACTAAGGGCCGGTAGACTCGAAAAGACTATGGGCAATCAGAATTGGTGGCCAGGCCGATGATGCAAGCGGAAGAGTCTATATATTGCAACTCACTTCCATTGAAGTACGGTGCGGCGACCGCAGTGATACCGAGACCAAAAAGATTGAGCAAGATCTCTAGCCATGTATCGCTGGGAGCCGGAGGCACCGGTGCGAACGTAGTCTCAAAGTCCTGCAGTTGGTTGTCGATGTACGTTCCAGCAGCTGCGTCGATGGCGTTATGGAACTGGGTGTACGCCTGGGTGGAGAGTTCCGTCAGCCACTTCCATTGTTCTCAGGGTCAGAGTTGCAAGTGTTACCGAGTTGATCAGTGTGAAAGACTGATGGATCAGCATCGCCGCGGGGCCCGAGTCACCGGTGCCCTGACCGAAGCCTTGGAATGATCCGCACGGTGGGGTCTTGGTACAATGGCCTAATGGAGCGATGTATCCACAATACGTGTTTTCACCGGCATGGAAAGTGTTCATGATGGACTGAGAGAAATCTTTCTCGTCAGTGGGCGCCATTTTCGGCTTATCGATATTCTTCCAGACGCTGATGGCATCAGACCAAGCATTTGAAGCGTCTAGCTGTGCCCAACGCTGGGCGCATGGCATCCACAGGGCATCTTGGATGGCCGGATCAGTGCAAGTTAATGAAGTCCAGTTGCCGGTTCGGTTACCCTCTTCGTAAGGGTCTTTATCCAGGACGACGTCGTCAATGAGGCTAGACCAGCTCTTGGCAATGAAAGGGGGTGAATTGAACTTTTGCAAGTCGGTAGCCCAATCGGTGGTTCCCCCCATGGCGAGGCGTTTGTAGAGCGACTTTCGTGTTGACTTGACACCATCACTCATCCAGCCGACCCATTGGGTGTCGTCATAAACAAGGATATTTGTGTCACTGGTGGCATCGATATAACTCTTCGTGACCCGGCTAGAGTTGGCAAGGATCGCTTCGATTTCAGCATTGGCGATGTAACCTGCAGTTTGAGTACAAGGCCCTGGCGCAGCTTGGGAGTCGTCGGCTGAGCCCAAGAATTGGCATTGGGGCCCGTAGCAGCCCGCTTCAGCCATGGCAAATGAGCGTCCGTAGCTGGTCACGCCGACAACGACCTGGTTTGAGGGGACACCGGCTTTGGTGATCTGTTGAGACGATGTTGGCATTAGAGATGGGGATGCAGTGGCTTCTAGTAGCAACAAGTGCCTTCAACTCACCATGACCAGAGAGCCGATAGTTTCGGTGAGGTTCACATCCGACCGCAAGCAATTGCCAGTCGGGCAACCAAGCTGTGACCATTGATTGTTGGAGTCCCACTGTAGACATAGCGAGTTTCTTGGTTAGTCCTCTCTGCCACGCACCGCATCTTCAAATTAAGTGGGGTGCCATACCTGCCCGTGCAGATCGTAGGTCATGTAGATGATGTAGTCTAGGACTGGGGCCATCTTCTTAATTGGGAAGCCCTTCAGATACCAATATGATGACGGTGCCGCGATCGTGATTTCTTTTTTATCGCCAAGGAGGTTTCTTAAAACAACAAGAAAAGCGAGATAGTTTTCACCGTCGTCAGTACTAGCAGCAGGGATACCAGGGATATCCGGTGCCTATATCGAAACGAGGGTCAAGGGTCATTAGCAAATATACATAATGAGGCAAAGACGGCGCGAAAGTGGTGATTGTTCTTACCCCAGGGTACTCCCAGTCAATATTGACGCCATCGAGGTCGTTGTCTTTGATGAAATTGGCGATGTTGGTGGCCATGGTCAGACGGTTGGCGGCAGTGACGCCTTCCCGAAAAATCATGTAAGTGCTTGGGTCGGTGGAAAATGCCCAGCCGCCAATGGAAAGAATGCGTTTTGCGCCTTGGATCTGTCTGAACAGGTTGAACTCGTAGGTGGTTGTTTTGTTAGGAATCTGGACCTCATAGGAAGAAGATAACACCCCAAAGGAGAAATAAATGTGAGTGTAAGCCGAAAAGTCGAGCTGAGAAATGTCTTGATAGAGGCAGGGACGTTGCAAATTAAATCCTTCATAGAAGCCAATACTCCGGTACGTCGCAGGAGGGCTGCTCCGTACGATCTCGGTGCCACAGTTCGAGATACAGCCGTTGGTGCCTGGCGCCGCGGTTCCAGGCGCACCCGTGCCAGTGTTGGTGCAAAACCCGGCTGTCGTACCACACTAGGATCATAGTCAGTCAAATCATCAATTGTCGAGTGAAGAGACTAGTATACTTACTTGGCCCCATACATCGCAACACGCATTGAGAGGGCACTCGTTGAGCAGGGAGATATTCGTCCCACTGGGAGGGGTCGGAGTGCCAGGCACCTGTGGCCCACAAATCGCATTGGAGACCGATGCGGGCATCGGCGGGTTACCAGTACTAAGACAGATGATGTTATGAGGGTAGAGGTGCTTGCAGCCGTTCCAAGCCCATGTGTCCTGGTTAAAATTATTGATATCATCCACGGTGATGCTGTATGTAGCGGCAATTTTGGAACAGCTGTCATCTGGCTGGACAGTGTAGGTGGCACAAGTGCCATCAGACTGAGGCTTCGGCGCGAAGTCGGGCAACGTGCCAGCCGAACAGCACACGTGCTCCCCGGGTGTCAGGGTAGAGCACTCGTTCGACGCGGGATTATACTTGGTGAATTGAGCCGGGGTAATCCCACATTTCTGAGCCAAGGTACTACAGCTATCACCGGAGACAACCTGAACTGTGGAACAGGTGGTCCGAGGGGTGAAGGCTCGGCCCCGAACGGAGGTTGCATTACCATAAGTAGAGGTGGAGTTGGCCGTGGAAGGGAACAATGGCGTCACGAGCGGGACGGTGCCCGTGACATTTTGGACTGACGGGAAGGTCAAGCATTCCGCCCTGGACCATGAGGCAAGGGTCTCTTGAATAGTAGCGAATGTTCCATTGCCGGTAGCCATCATGCCAAAAACATGGTGGGAAGTTTGACCCGGCTGGCAGAATTGCATAGCCACACTCGCCGACAGACTAGCGTTGGGTTTTGTCATGAAGCCCTCCAGGTATGCCAGAGCTATGTTGCCAATGCCCTGTTTCTGCAGCCCTTGGCCGATGTAGAGCCCAACCGAGGTAGAGCCATAGCTGGCAAAGAGAATAGTCGGACGGTCCCCGGCACCCAACCCGTTTGAAAGATATTGGCGGAATTGCTTTGTGAGAGTGGCGAGAGACGATGAGACTGGTGAGCCCTGAGCGGAAGGCCAGGATCCAATCTGATATGTGCCGTTCACGGGGGCTGGAACCCCTTTGGACTGCAAGACTAGGCTTGATGTATTGGTCGGCAGATTGGCCCAATCGGGGCCGAACGAGGTGCAGGTGTAGATGCGATGAAGGCTGTTCGGATCATCGACGGGATCAACAAAAGAGAAAGAGTAAAAGAGAGACTCTTCGCACAACGCAAATTGGTCGAAGTTGTGGTAGAGGGACCAGTTGGCAGGGTTAGGGCCCGATGCGGCACATCGTACTGGACAAGCAACCGACCTGCCTTGATACCCAGGACTAGCGGGAAGCCGGAAAGGCACTGTGATGGAGGAAGAGGTGCGGAAAAAGAAGGAAAAAGTGAAAAGAGTGAGATGCAGGAACGTAAGGAACGTATTGCGTGGCCGAAGCCCCGGCGAATAATGGAAAGAGAGAGACATGATCTAGCCACGATGCGCCTGAGGAGCCTGAGAAAGACAGGCGATGTAATGATGGATTTTATACCTGCTGCTGGAACTAACCCCTCGGACAAAAGAACGTGTTCCCGGCCAGATCAACCTATCAGTGGTTGTTCTACTGTCGTAATTTCCGCCAGGTAGTCAAATCAGCGAAGGAATCATCACGATGCCGCACATGCGAACAAGGCTCTCCCGGCGTTTGGTCTCCCCTGAGTGCTGATGCAGTGTCTCGCTGGGCTCCTATAGTAGGCGAGACGGAGCTTGTATCTAAAGTAGCCCGCATGATGCAACAAGGGTCCTTGTACTATTGTGGAGCTACAAGATATTGGTAATAATACTAGGAGCGTAAGAAATTCATTAATGGAATAATGAACTAATAATGGACGGTTACTATCGGAGCCCTATGTGCGCTAGTCCACTAGGGTTCAGCATGAAAGACCCTGGATTGGGCAGGAATAGCGGAGGCTGCAGGCATCGGGCCAGCTCAGGCGTGTTAGCGTGATAAGGGGAACACCTGTAGCATCATGCCGTGACATCCGTTTAGCCGCTCGAAAATTTTCCCATGACTTGTGTTCTCCTTCTTTCTTCATTTCCTCCTGTGGTTTCATAATCTTTCACCCCCTAGACAGCCAGCAACCAGGGTTGCTCCTAGTCTGGTACTCCATCTCTCCCGCTCTTCACTTCAAACTTTTCCTTCATCATTATCATCATCATTATCATCATCATTATCATTATCAACATGAAGCACGCTCGCTTTCTTACTTGGACCGCACTGGTGGTACAATCAATAATTGCCATAGGCTATCAGTCTCCAGATATCTATTCAGCCATCTTTGAAGTGGACTTGATATCCCCACGCAACGAAACCTACACGCCCCAGGCGCTGATGCCCATCGTATTCGCGTTGCAGAATCCGTCTCTGAGTCCTGATTTGGTGGCCTACATCACCTGGGACTTGTTGGAAGGCAACAACTGGACTTCTCCAGGTTCCATAAACGGAGGGATCCTCGAGAATCTTTGGTCGAACCGTTGGGCCCGCGATCTTCACTTTCTTACCCGCTTTGTGGACACTCTCTCCTACCCGGAAGGCTTCTGGAACTTTACTTGGACACTGCATATTTCGAATTGCTCTCAGAATGATAGCGACCCCCAATACTTGAAGATCCACAAAGACGTCGTCTTCACTGTCAGCCAGTCAGGGCAGGCACCCAGTCTCCAGGCCGCCACATCTTCCGATACGTGCGGCATCCAAAGCTCCGAAGCGTTGAACGTAACTTCTCTCGGGGATGTATGCGGCTTCCTTGGGCCCAGTCCGACCACAAACCCGTGCGCGGCGACAGTCAACGCTTCCGCGGCGTCCAGTATATCGGCAGCAGCCACTGCCTGGGCCTGTGCCCCCGAAGAACGTTCGGCGTACCCCAACGTTACTTGTCCGACTCCCTCGTCCAAGTCTAACACCGCGGGACAACATGGCATGGCCGCAGCATCGACATTGCTTACGCTCTTTACCATGGTGACTGCCTTGATCCACCTTGGGTGATGACGATGTACCTAGTCCCCTAAAGCGGGCCTCTGGCCTGATAGTGCAAGAGGCCCCTTTTCATATGTAGTATTAAAATCGAAAATAATTTGTCTTTAGTACTCGTCAGATCTAAATCGTTCACCCATAATCTTACTAGTAGTGTGTAGCAGTGTTGCGTTCATCCAATTTCCGCGGGAGACTAATAGTCGCACTAGTTCAGCCTTACAAGGTAGAATTCTACGGAAAGTGAAGCGAAGCGAGGGTTCAATACCCATGAGCTTGTCTTCCTTGGCAAAGATGTTAATATCGGGTCGCCACTCCGCTCCGGTGGCCCTTCGGCCGGGAACTGATATCACACATGGTGCTCTATTCGCCCTACGGAATGTACCTCAAGGGTCTGAGAGTTCAACAGAATGCAACAATACTGAAACCTCACCAATGAGAAAGCCAACTACTAGCAAGTCTGTCCTTGGCAGGGGGGGAGCGGGGTTACTGTGCAGGATAATTGGCCGTCCTGACAAGCTAGTCAGCGGTAGCGCCTAAGCTAAGCCTTGCCAGGCTTTTGCGAAGCTTTCCGATGGCCGATAATCACCGCACTTGCTTTACCCGACCCTCCCCATTTTTTCGACCACCTGTTCGCCTTGCATTAGTATTATGCAGGTGCTATTCAACTCGCTCAGCTCGAGTTAAAGGGATCGTACGGACTCCGTCCACGCTCCGGATAATGTCTCAGTTCGGAGTACTCCCGACTTCCGCCCAAAAGCTCCCCATACATTTGTTTGTATGAAATCGAAAACATATGCTATCTTAGATGCCAAGATGGCGTGAAATGTGATTAGTGATAGCAATTCCATAACTGTGCAGTTGCGCGCCAGAATATGTCGGTGTGCTAACCGCTAGACCAGAAAAGATGAATTGCATCTCTCCGATCAGCCGACAGAGGCATATGTCCAAATTGAACGATAAAATGAGTTTTTCGGTTACTTAAATGTTCTTCCTATTCCTACAGGACAGGGTCTCATTTCCCCGATAGTCACGTTTGTATGTATGCTCACACCCGATTTGCTGTATTGATTTATCTATCTGTGTTCCCGAGACCAGCATCAGCCATGAAGGTGCCGACATCACTCAGGGCAGGTCTCTTTGTACTCCCGCAGCTACATGTGGCATGGGCAATAGCCCTAGCACCTCGCCAGCAGATCAGTTGTAGCTATGAGTATGCTGCCAGTTCCGGAGATACCTGCCAGTCTGTTGCGGCCGACTGGGGTTTGACTGTGCAGGCCTTAGAGGCCCTCAACCCGGGCATCACCTGCCCGGACCTCGTGGCGGGCCAGACTTATTGTGTACTCGGCACGGTTTCATCAAATGGGCCAACTGTGAGCTCCACATCTCTCACCACTTCCACTTCAACTTCTACCGTTTCCATCATCTCCATACCATCGACCACTTCCTCCTCCTCTTCATCTTCGTCAACGGCCCCATACCAGCCCCAACAAACGGGTACTGCCGCCGACTGCGACAAATTTTATCTCGTTGAGAAAGGTGACTCGTGCGGGAAGATTGAAGCCCAGTTCGGCATCAGCGCAAGCGAGTTCCTTGACTGGAATCCATCTATCAACTCAGGTACCCTCTGCACATCCACATGTGCTTGTGCTCATAGCTGACCAGACCGAACGCGCAGATTGCACCAACATCCTAGCCGGATACTACTACTGCGTAGATGTCCCCGGTGCTACCACTGATCCCGTCACAACTACTACCGTCCCGGTGACCACAACCACTCCCGGCGACGGCATTACCACGCCCACACCCATCCAGACCGGTATGACAGGCAAATGCAACAAATTCGACCTCGTTCAATCTGGCGACACCTGCGAGGCCATCGCCGCCAAATATGATATTCCCCTCTCTACCTTCTACACTTGGAACCCGGCTGTCGGCTCGTCCTGCTCCGATCTGGACTTGGGCTACTATGTCTGTGTCGACACCATCGGCTACACAGTGCCGACTACGACAACCTCGGCAGGTAATGGCATCACCACGCCCACGCCCTATGAGCCGGGAATGGTGAGTGACTGCACTACTTTCTATTTTGTCCGTTCGGGTGACACGTGCGTGAGTATTGCTAGTAGTCAAGGCGTAACAGTTGGAGAACTCGAACAGTGGAACCCTAAAGTCGGGTCTGGATGCACGGGGCTATGGTTGAACGATTACATTTGCGTTGGTGTCTGAAAGGAGAAACATGAAATAATATGTTCCCTGAGGACAGTGATTGTAGTATTTAGGAGAAGCTTGATGGAAGGCAGGCAAGGGCAGAAGCTTGGAGGGTAGCAGAGAATGTATTAGAAATGTCTGAGACCTCTCAGTCAAATTGGCAAATAGTACGACGGGATATAGAAAAGGAAGGGAAAGGGAGAACAAAAGTCGTCCCGGGAATAATTGGAAAAATGAATAGCACTTCGGCTACAATATGCGATATTCCAAGCTTCCTCTTTGAGTCGCTCGGGAACGATAGGAATTCCTCCTCAATCCAGAAAGGGAGATTAATCTAATATTGATCTAATTCGACTATAATACTGGGATGTATATGGATTGCCTCCACCTTCCTTTTCGAGTAATTGTTCCGAATAGCTTGCATCTGCTCTCTGAATGGATTTCTTGTATTATCCACCGACATATCTCCACATGCATCTTCTCCAGCCCGTACTATAGTACAGGGTGGTGAGAGGCCAGCTTGAAGCCAACAAGTCCGCATTAGCTTCGCGTTAGCCTTTATCTTAGGGCTGATATCTACGTGCGTGAGTTTTGTGACTGGCTGAAGGAGGAACAAGGAGGAAGAGGTGGTAGCATTCATAAATCCCTGCATCACTGGGACCTGCATGGATAGAGTCGCTATTCCCCGACTCAACAATGACTGGGTTTCTTCTTGCCGTTACCCGCAAATTATTTTAGGTGACCTAGTTGTTCCTTTAGGGGTGATATTCTGTTGGGGCAAGCTTACGGCCTCTTGCATCTGGAACAGCCCGAGAGCAGTAGACCAATCCTGACTATTCCCATTATGGTCTGTTGGGTCGAGTGGTGCATCGTCTCTGACAGGATTCCAAGCTAAGTATCGTACTCGGAGCTGAGCGACATGTAGATTCAGATTTCATTGAAGAGAGCAGATAAATTCATCATTGACTTGTACTTATTCACTTCATTGAATGGTGTACAGTAGTTCACATATATAACAAAGGGTTCAGGCTTGGCCAGCTATCAATATTGATACTCTTCTGAAGTTCCAAATTGTTTTTGCTGACTTGTCAAATCCATACCCTTTCGAGCTCGTGGCACCGATATGTTGAAGGACTGGTGGGACTACCGCGTGACGTTTCCACTCCTCTTTGTTGGCAATTTCCTCCACCATCATATCAACTAGCCAATCGGTTGTCAGGTCGGTGTGTTCCAGAAATTGCGGTACTATCCGATGCGGGAAGACCAGGCCCTGCGAGCAGCATCCATATTTGTTCATCTCGTGGACCCCGGAACGAATCGGCCACATTGTCTGCCGTCCTGCGGTGAAGTGTAGTCCGATGAATGCCGGGATAAAAAAGAGAGATGTCATCCAGATGGCACTAGCAGGTGTTGACTTGAAGAACCTCCTCTTTATGAATACCATGGCCCCCGTTAAAGCAACCCAGATAACGAAAGACAATGCGAGATAACTTGGCCACTCCTCTGAGTTCCAACCAAGCAGGTCATCAACATAGAATAGACGAAGATAGACCCAGTCTTGCCCTGCTACGGTGCGCTGCTGGATCACATCAAGGGCATGTAGCGTAGAAGAGAGCCAGCCCTTGGCAGCCAATGTATCATCTTCAATCATCGCGACATAATCTGCGCCCGTATCATAGCAATCCTTCATCAAATGTGTAAAATCGTAGATGGTCTTGTTGCGATACCACCCTCCCTCCTCCCATTCGCGGATTTGCTCGTAATCAAGATTATCTTCTTTCGGGTACAGGAGGACGCGGTCGGGTAGGACTTCTAGCCACCTCTCTGAGAAGATTGGGTGGGTAGAGGGGTCGGTATGTGCAATGAGCAGATCGAGGAATATAGTGCTTCGTTCCGACTCGGTAAGGTCCGCCAAAAGAGAGGCGACCGTCAACCCTACATACTGTTCTCTTCTTCGCCGAGCCGTCACTATTCCTATGCAAATCGTAGCCTGGTTTTCATTAGCTGGCTTTGCTGGGGAGGGAAGTTCGTCAGCCCTGCTGAGAAAGGACTTTGCTTCTTGGATTCGGTGGGTAGAGTAACGCTGTTCGTAGGCACGATTTGGGTCGAAGAAATAGGAAGTAGGGTCGCGGTAACTTGTTGACCGATAATAGCTTATTGAGAGAAGATAAAGAACACTAAATACGCAGAATAATAAGCCTGTTGGATGTGAAGATGATCTACCAAGGCTTAGGTGACGAAGACGCGATAAATAAGTCATTTGTGGAATTGCGAGACGGCCTGAAGGGCCGCAGTGATACAGGAGACATTAGTAGCGGGGGTAGAGAAGCAATTCGAAGAGAAAGGCGGAAGATGAGGGTTCAAGGGATGCGGAGGCAGACAAAGGAAGGGATGATCCAATGCAACCCTTTGTACCATCCGGGAAAATAAGGTTGGGTCTAGAACGGCTTAAGCAGCTGACAGGGGACCCCCACCCCCAGACTGATCACCGTAATTCTAGCATGACGTCTACTTGAAGTTAACACTTCAGTCGTCTAGTCACAACTAATTCGATGTTGAAGCAAGCTTGTTGACCTCAGTGCAGTGACCGCTTTCAGTAACATCATGATGTGTCAGGATTCCTTCAAGATACGAACATTGCTTGCCTGCCAAGTAAGCACTAAGGGTTGGGCTGGACACGGGGTGATTTCGGCCCGAGAATGCACTAAATCCAGCCACGACTGATCAACTCAGACTCTACTCCAGATCTACGTTACATTAGTCAAGGCCAGCTTTGCAGCAATCATGGAGGAGCTGCTGAATAACGGTCATCTTCTTACAACTCCGGGATCAGGCAGTAACTCATCCGCTCCATCATCAAAGCGGGTCCGCATCGTTGTTTCGCAGTCGAAACGAGGCTGCGTGACTTGCAAGTAAGGGATGGGTCTTCACCTTGTCATCATGGCGCCAAATCAACTGACCAAGATGCAGAGCACGTCGGGTCAAATGTGACGAGCAAAAGCCCCTTTGTCGGCGATGTCTTCAAGCCGGTCGATTATGCGGCGGCTACACCCATGAGATCATATCATCGTCGTCATCAGCTTTGCAGCCTACTCTACAGTTCGGCGTCACAATGGACAGCCATGCGGAGAGACTAAGCTATCTCGCAGCTCATGTGTTGTCTATAGACAACAGCCCCCGTCCTCTGCAACAAGATGGTGCTTGGGAGCGTGTATTTCTGCAACTATCGAGTCAAGTCGAATGTGTCAAGGCGGCCGCGGTCGCTTTTGGGGCAGCGTATGAATCATCACAGTTAAACTCCATCGCCCAGCGGCCCTGTTCCACTTGGCACTACTATGGCTCAGCTCTGGCAAGGCTGCGATCGGATATTCACAACAAGACCGCCGGCCCAGAGTCCCTTGCTCTGGCATCGATGATCCTAGCTTGCATTGAGATCCTAAGCCAAAACGAGCAAAATGCATTCGCCCATTTCCTTGGAGCCGTACAGATCCTGATCAAGGCCGAGCAGGATCGCCGGGAGGGTTCATCTGCTGACATCCTCAGCACAATAAAAAACGCGCTAGTCAAATTAAACCTCTTGATTGGCAGCTACGGTCTGTCCCAGACACCACAATACATGTACCTGAAATTTCCTAGAGTAGCAACTGGAGACGATGCGTATCGTGAACCGGAGCTTGCTATTGACGCCGCAATGCACTGCATATATCGATCATATCAGTTCATAGAGTCGGCTTCGCACCTGCGATACACGTATCCAAGCTGGAAAGAGCATGATCCCACCATGTGCAAGGCTCAATCTGATGCGGCGGCCGAGTGTCGTTTAGTTATCGATCGCCTTGCGGCGCTCGCCACAACACTGCAAACACGCTGTTCGTCCGCAACGTGCACGCCGAGAGACTCGGACATGCTGGCGGAAATTTATGCGGTTCGCACACAGCTAACATCGGCTCTGATTTTCATACTGTGTGCTCACAGTCCGTACGAAACAGCGTACGATGATCATCATGACCGATTTCGAAGCATCATAAGTGATGCTGCCGCGTCGGCGCGGCTGAGGCGGCGGACCAAATTCAATGCTTTCAAACGCTTCTCAACGCGCCCGGGTATTGTTAGCCCTCTCTTCATCGTGAGTGTCAAGTGCAGAGATCCGTCACTGCGTGCTTTAGCGACAAGGGTACTGAATGAACAAAGCCGCGAGGGGCCTGCCGATGGACAAATTCTGGCGGCAATCGGTGCTCGTCTGGCCGCCCTAGAGACATTATCTACCGCGCCTTCTTCCCCCAGCGCTTCGCTGACTGCCTGCGACATAGTCGAAGAACATAGAATTCACGGCTACTCGGTGCCTCCTCCAAGACTCAATGGAAAAGGCCGCCGGGTCGTGGACATTATTTTCCAACGCCCCAACCCGCCTCTCGTGCAAGGGTGGGGTCATGTTGACTATTCTTGCCCGGATGGATGGATCTACTGGTCAGAACCTATCGAGATATAGGATATTTATAGACTCCTTTGGGCAGGAAAACCGACCGTCGCTGTATGTGTATGATGGGAACCGCCAAATCGTTGGTACGCTGCTTGCATTGCCTGTTCCTTCTTAGTCCTCTGTTGAATGCCGAGCAGTGTATAATTGGAGCAAAAATTGTTTTACCTAGCGTTCAGTCGCGATCGAGTGAAATTACGTGTGCATTGGCAATGCATTGCCGGCGATGGGTCTTTACAGATTTTTAGACTAGCATCTGCCAGGAGATATTAAGGCCTTTTATTCGCCGCTAAACAACTGGTGGAGCTCAGCTCGGTGTTTTTTTGCTGCTAAGCCGGATTAAGTTAAAGACCTGAGGGATGCGTGGGTGGAGGCCATCTCGGTCTTCCAACGATTAAATAGTCCCTGATTCGTCCGCGTGCTATATCAGTCAGTAGTATAGGCTTGCTTATACTTTCTCTGGACATCTTTTAAGTATAGCTTAGTTTCTGATGCGGCTTACTTCCGCCGCTGCGCCCAGGTATCCTTGAAGATGATTTCAGGATGCATGGAAAGGGCAGCAAGGAGGGGACTGAGGTGGTTCCTAATAAGTTTGTCAACCGAGTAATGTCGCATAGGCATCAATTGAACTTTTTCACTAAACCTTTTGCTGGCTACTGGGGCTGGTTATTAGAACGACCGCATCCCCCCAGACTCTTAATCTACGCTGTGTTCCTCAGTCCTTCATCTACTCGGCGTCCCCGACCTCCTCCCAAAACTCGACCACAAACCGTTACACATCATGGCCAAGAACATAAACATAAACAAAACGGCGAATAGAACAGTCGATGTTACCCTGCGAGCGCTGCAGCTCATCTTCGCCACCATAGTCATGGGAACAGACGGCTACGGTACAAACCCACCATTGTATCCTGTTTGATCAAGACACGCATTTAGTCTGACTACCATCACATAGCTATACACGTCTATCGCGGCCACACTGACTACGTGCACTTCGTTTACGGCAACTTCTACGCTTACGCCGGCGTCCCTGACGAGTGGGGTTTCTTGATGTTCTGCGCTGGGTGGACATTTCTGGGCGTCATCTTCCTCTTCTTCGCTGCTGGGATCAGCTTCGCGGAGCATGCAGTGATTGGTTCTGTTTCTGTCATTGTTGAGGTTGTGGCTCTGCTTTCATGGTTTGCTGGCTTCATTGCCGTGTCTGTGAATGTGGGGAGTACTACATGTCCGGCGGAAGAGAACCACTGTGTGTTGCTCAAGGTTGCAATAGTCTTCGGGGCATTGGAGTGGCTGCTATTCATGATTACCACGATTCCGACCATCAAGCTTGTCTTCAACAGCACTCGGCGGCATAAGACTTCGATAACAGAAGTTACGACACCGGTTTGAGGAAGCAGGATATAGGGGTCTCTATCAACAATAGAACTGTTCAACACAGCCATCCACTAGAAACAAATACTTGATCGTGTCGATTGAGGCGTCTTGGACAAAACGGGGTTGAGATCTTTGCAGCTTTCCCTTATTCTGGGCGAATGAGGATATGGTTGATACGAGCCAGCAAATTTCTGCTGAAGTTTTAGGGTCTTAGTGCAAGTGTATAGGCCAGGGATTTCTGGTTGACCAAATCAGGCCGAGCTTTGCAATCTACTCTAGCGCCATTTGGCTACATGTTTTAACCATCGAGCTAGGAACTGACTCCCAGGAGTTCGTTGTGCAGTAGGAACGTGTTATTTTCATACGGTTTAGGTATACCTATTACCGACAATTTGACCTAGTGAAACTTGGAGTCGTAATCTTTGACCCGTGACCATTTGCTGATCACAAAACCATCCAGAAAGCACGGCGTACCTCACCCAGCGCAGTTGGAAAACTTAAAGAAGAAAAGGAAGATATAGGAAGTAAAAAAAAATGAGATGAATGCAAATAATAAAAATTATAACATACAACAGAAGGGATTCGCTGGTGGTCACCCACCCAACTACTAACCTCCCGGCGTGTGGCTTAAGTACGGCTGAGCGGACGGGAAGCCCTGTTTTCCACACCCTGTGGTCGTATGTGCACGTTTAATCCTTTGCTAGATAGATATAGCAGTAGATTATTCTTATTGGGACTAGTATTTTCGCTTCCTTTGTACGCCGGCGATTCGTTCATTTTGGCGTTTGGTCAGATGCGCAGAAATATCGGGTTGTTTGTTGAGAAGATCTTTGCTCAGCCCGAGAACAAACCCCCCACCCCCGAGAAACTTATCGGCGTTTGTCGGAGAGAGTGCACGGCTTGGAGGGGCTTTGGAAATGCTTTGATGTTTTGATGCATTGATGCATTATAATTGAATACTAAAGTTCTCTAGGAGAAGGGCTTTAGCATTCAAGTGTTCGAAGCATGTCTTTCTAACTTGTATTTCAATAGGTAGGTGAATCAGATATCAAAGGACAAGAAGTTTGTACAAGAATAAGGCATGAACCCAGCCACTATTATGCACAGATAGCCAGATGGCCCCAGCGCAGGCCGTAGGACATACGGAAACCAAAGCTTAGACAGAAGGCCATCCACCAGACCAGTTAATGACATTCCAGCCGAACTGCTTATCGCCATCAGCATAACCGATGTCAGTATTGAGGTAATGGTAGTAAAGGATCGGTCCGTGTTCAGGATCGTCAAAGACACCCTGACCACCAGGTGCGTAGATGTTATCATGACTTTCCAAAACGGGAGAGCCGCCGTTAGCCTGGCAATCATTGCCATCTTTATCGACCTATATATTTCAAACTATCGTTAGCGAATAGATAAACAGAAGCCTCATCCGGAGGACACTTACAAATCCACCAGTAGCTGTGGTGCTGCGACAAACCATTATCTTGTACTCCTCGCCAGGAGCCGGACGATCGGTGTCAAGACCGCAGCATGTACCTGATGAAAAGAAAAGATAGTAATAGTTACCATGCTGATACATGTATGCCCCTTCCTCGGCCTGATTGCCCGTGGAGTTGAAGGCAATGTTGTATGCAGCACCGCCGGCAGCCTTGGTTCCCGCTAAATTCATTTGGACTTGGTAGATGTCGTCGTAGAAAGAGCCAAAGTTCATGTAGAAAGCTCCGTCAGCCATGATGAGGTTGGGGTCAATGGCATTGTAGAGCTTGCCACTGTGAGAAGAAACGCCGATCGATCCGTGATCGGTCCAGGTGTTGAGCTCCATGGTGGGAGATGTGGCAAGGCCGATGGCAGAGGACTGGGTGCCGAAGGTGGAGACAGCATAGAATACGTAGTAGGTTTGTTCGATGTAATGAACATCGGGTGCCTTTGTTGACACAAAGTGTTAGCGATGGGAGACGATCAGTAGCGTAGGGTAAAGTCAGGATTCCGCAACTCACCCACAAGTCTGTGTTTCCAGCCATGTTTATCTTTGATCCGCCAGGGACAACGGATCCAACACCTTCCCAAGGACCGTTCAACGACTCTGAGTTGGCATATGTGATACCACCACCAGTGGAAAAGCGGAAGTATTTGCCATCAGATACTCGACGCATAAGACCAGGGTCACTGATGACACATAGGCCCGAGCACGGTTCAGGGTTGGCGTAGGCATAAGCCAAGCCGGGGAGGATGGCGAGAGCTGCAAGATAGAAAAGCATGGCTTGCGAAGGGGATAGAAGGCGATGTAGTAGTTAGGAAAGCAGTAAGGTTCGTCCTCAAATAAATAGATTCTATGGTTCTCAGCTGGAAACAAGAAAAGGGGCTTCCAGATGGAATGTCCCTCCTGAGCATCCGTGTCCACCAAGTATTCTGTATCACTCGGAGAGAGGCAGGTGGGCTATGCTCGAAGCAACTGCACCCTGTCCGACTGAGTGGCAATTAGTGAACAATAACAAATTGCCTGATATATTATGGTAAACCAATCCTGGACAGCTTACGGGACTATGGAGCACCATGCTTTTTCCGTAGAGTCCCAGGTTACGAAGGAAAAGACATAACTAGGGTCTAAGGAATCCACTACCATATTTGTCGCTGGGAAGGCTGCAAAGCTCAAGGCGTCTCGCAGGTCTTCAGTCGCATGCCAAGTCAGATCCACATTAGTTCTAGTTGGGGTTCTCACATACAAGGGAAGGGGTCCAATTAAATTTAATATCTATCATCCAGTTCCGAGAGCCCATCGCTTCAGCTGACTTTTGAGTATGGCATATTGGCCAAGGCGAGGCACTCCATCTTCCAAGATCCCTCGGTGATATTGACCTTTAACCAGAAAGTGCCGGCATTAGGTCTTGCATTCTAGTATATTTTCATTTTCCCTGCATTAGACGGTAGCATTGCCCATGTCAGCACATATATCACAGTATATTAAAAGGAATGGGCGGTATGGTGAATGGATAGTAGGATCAATGAATAGAGCTCTGCTGCCTACTGCTGCGCCTACGACAATGGGTTTCGAATATAGAAGTTCACCGTAAAGACAAATTCACTTGCACCCTGGAAGGGCCTGATCGGGCTCACTCTTCGGCAGTTGAACAGCCGACAAACATACAACAGGGCTGGTGAGAGTGGGGTGTGTTTCTCCCGGTGAGCATTCATTGGTGACAGGCGCTGCAACGAAGTGGGACACTCATGTCCCTGAAGCGCACGGTCGTAAAAGAGAAACCGCGTCGAAGATAGGAGCAGGAACCTGGATAAGTCATACGCTAAGACCAATTCGCTTCGAGGATGTCTCAGATCATAGCTAGCGGTGCTGCTGGCGCTGCTACCGCCCAGCCTGCCTCTGAGAAAACGGAAGAAGCTCATCTCTCGGTGTTCACGAGGACAAGGCAATCCTTGCAATGCCCGATGTTTACTAATCGACGAGTGATGCTGGCTTGAATCAGGCTTGTGTAAATAGCGTCACTCTTTTGTATGGGGTGTTAGGAGACAACTACAGGGGGAGTAAGAGTCAGCAGAGCAGAGGGTCGTGGACGTGGTCAGAATTGCAAACAGTCTAAACTAGTAGTCAAACACGCCTAAGCGGGGACCAGCCAATTATAAGCGATCGCTGTAAGCTATGAGATCGTTGAGATGGTATCGCACCGCCGCAAACACCAAGGGTTTCATCAGTGGATCTCGGGATTACACTGCCCAGTGCCCACAGCTGACCAAAGGGGTAGATACTAGATAGCCACTGGTTAGAATCTTCAACCCGAAACACTAAACGCTTGAAGAGTGGAAACTGATAGCGCGGAACTACGGATACGGAGTGCCCACCTCTTAGTACTTGAAGCTCCACCTTGCACCGATAAGCATAAGCTTCGGACCCTGCCAAAGCTCCCCAATTTATCCGGGTATACTTCGGACTGTCGGGATATAATTACCCTACGGCCCTAATAAGCTAGGCCGATCCTGCTCACAAAATAGGTCTATATTCATCTTGGCAGGCAAAGGGGGATATACATCAAGGAACTACGTAGGTAGGTGTAAAGCTCCGCTGTTCAATCATATCTCTGAGAGGCAATCATGACGGTGAGTATTATGGAAACATTATCACTGTCAAGTGAATCCTTCGCCTGCTGCGCCATATCAGTCTATAATTAATCAGTCTGTCCCCTGTTCTAAAGCATGTCAACAAGGCTGAGAGACTGGCTCGGGCTATTATGTGGTTTTTATTCACTCCGAGATACTGCGATAGCCTGTAGTAACTAAGAGTGTTTTGTCTTTACCGTTACGCGACCCAGCCTATCCACATCAGACGCGCCAGTATTATCGCAGAATAAAACAAGAACTGTCCAGCCTATTATGAGGCATATACCGCACTGGTATATTAGGATGAACGGTCGATCGGGTAACGTTCGCAATCACAAGAAGCAAGAGACCAACCGCGAGGGCTCTGAACCAGCATGTTGGAGGTACTCGGTTTATCATCAGGCATTCACCTCCACTACATGAATTTTTATGGGGGTCCAAAAACGGATTAGCGGGCTATACACAGTATGGGGACAGTTATGTTCCGCTAATGACAGGATTCTGACGCGTTCATTTCCCCCCAGACTCTTTTAACCTTCCGGCTTTTGTTGAAAGCTCGCGCTCTTAATATGTCCATTGGACGAACCTGGGGTCGAATCGTGGGGAGCATGAGAAGACTCTCCATCATGGACAACGCCAAAGCTGAAGAAGCTTTAGAAACGCTGGAACGCACCTGCTCTATCCTCTGGAACGCCAAAACTGGCACTATTCCAGCCGAAGTACTCGCTCGTCTGCCGCTGTCACTTGTAACACTTGATCATCAGTCTGTTATCTCCGGGGTGAACGTGCATTACTTTACTCTTTGGACAGAGGAGGATCTACGGCGTTACGAACGAAATCTTGCGCCCGTGGAGGGAAATGAAAGGATTTCATGTGATGAGACTGTCCTCCTAAACGGATGTCCGATGGGATACACATTGTCCAGGCCATGGGGAAGCGGTGGAGAATGGGCGGAAACAATGTGTTCTCGTTTTCTTTCAGAAGTGGACATTGCACCCCGCAAAGGTACTAAGGGCGATATGCTGGCCTTGAAGTCGCTGACTGGATGGAGATACTCTATGTACGTACATTGCCTGCGTCTATGCTACGAGCATGACTTACTTTATGGGTGGAAAGCGGGATACCTGATGACCCCCCGATTCCACAGCCGTGGTACATACAGAGAGAGTCCTACGAATGGGGCCCTTGTTGCTATTGGACAATGCGCGGCAATAAGCACCCGCATGTGAAAGCCTCAATGTTTCATGGCGTTGATGGCATCGATGGGATGATCTTAAGGGAAGAGGTCATGGTTATCCTCCTTGTGATGATCAGTCGACTGAGCAACGAAGACTTCAAAAAGCATGCTGTCGTCCCTGTATGCCATCTCCATTCTTATGGGAAGCGTTTTTATGTCTCTGGATTTGCTAACCCTTTTTGCTTCCCAAAATCTAGGTTATGCTATTTTCGTGGATGAGAAACCGCCATGGTCGCATTCTGTTGGCTCATTGCCTGGAAAGCAGACTTGTTGTCGAGATGTCGCCTCTATATCCATTTGAAGTTAGAGAAGAGGAATGGCATGATTCTCTGGCCCTGTTTACGCGCTATCAGGCTGGTGGACCTTCATTGTCAGTTACAACTAAGATTCCAGTACCAGCTGTGCCTTGACAAATATTGCGAAAGCATTGTGGCATTCCCTCGCCTAACAGGAGGATTTTACTCTAAGACTATTATGCTTGGCTCTGAACAAGATCAAATGACCCCGTCCGCCTCGATGGCTTCGTAGATGCCATGCCTGGGAATCTCCTTTTGGCATTACACCCTTTCTCTGACGTTCCAGCCAATACTAGCGATGAAAGAAGAGCTAAAAAGGGGAAGGGAAAAAAAGGAAAAACTCAAGACGATAATATAAGTTGCCCAAAGACAACTCCGCTTAAGATGTCGATGCGTCGTGAAATGGCCAAGACCCTCTCTGTCATCTCGGGTTTTAGTCGCAATACATGCAATCGTGAGGTAGGGACTGTCGTTGATGAACCAAAGGAGAGAGAGGCTGGAAATTTATTAGTATAAACTCTAGGGAGCTGATCATTCTTGGTGAACTAACAGAACATACAGTAGCTTACTAAGACAATAACAGCTAGTTGCTTCATGCTATTGGGACTGCTCACCAACCACGGGCCCCGTCTCTATATGATTAGGCCGCCTCTCCGGCACCTTTGCAAGCATCAGGAATATCTCATTCAAATTCTTTGGCGGTAGGAGCTGTCATAGGCGTATATTAGGCCTGAAACAACACGAACATTCAGTTGACTAAGTCCAATATGATGCGACGCAGAGAACAGAATAGTACATACGACCACAGGGTGTGGAAAACAGGGCTTCCCGTCCGCTCAGCCGTACTTAAGCCACACGCCGGGAGGTTAGTAGTTGGGTGGGTGACCACCAGCGAATCCCTTCTGTTGTATGTTTTTCATCTTCTATGATTTTTTTGTTGTTTATGTCTATATGATTTGTCTTGTTTGTGTCGTAGGCTTCTTTGAAGCGCTTGTTGAGATGTTTGTCTCACTTTCTTGGGGTGGTTTAAGTCAATGTATTAGCAGAGATAAAGCATCTAGCGATATACATGTCCCCATACCTTATGGGGCCGTAGTCTCTCGGTTGTGACTTGATTATATTTCCTCGAGCGGTTCACAGCTGTTCTTCGTGACTAATAGGTTCGCATCCGTCCACATCTCCATTTAAAAGAATTAGAAACACTCACGTCTGACTTGGAAAGTTCTCTCAGGATTTTTGTCTAGATACAACCTGGTTCCTGAGCATATCCCCTCCAGTAGTTCACGGTTGTTCTGTCGGGGCGCCTCCTGAGTGCGCTTCTAGGGACGAGTGAATGTGAGATCAGCCGGATCCTCACACATTTGTTAGGAATGGCGGTCCTGGTCTCTTTGGCGCTTGGTGGAGAGAACAAGATATGGAGTTGGTTGAACAGAGTACCATTACAGATTGCGATCGACGGTTTCTAAGCTGAAGAGCTATTCAACATAGATATGTCCTAGCACTGATTTGTATAATGATGGCGTTCGGGAACTGCTGGATTGCGGACGAGAATCCGTGCGCCAAAAGCGGGAAAGACCCAACAATGACATTAGATTGCCCATGCACACGTGCTGGTGATGGGGCTCAGGGTCAAGGTGAAATGCGTGGAGATTCTTGCCACGGCGGCAGCGTGAGCTATTTCTTATTTCTTATTTCTTTTTTCTCCCGGTTCTGGATAGATAAAGGCTAACTCTGCTTGCAGATCCGCTGCGATCCAGGTTACCATCCTTACGATGGAATGGTAGTAGCTCTTGATCTCTGATGATTTCGAGGTATTATTGCACGGAATGCTAAAGTTCGAATTTGTCGAAGATGACTGTCATGGATCAACCAGTAGTATTTCCTTCGCGTATATATTTTCATTTACAGACTCATTTCTTATTCGACCGGACATGCTTCACGATTATCAAGGTACGAGATGCAACGGATCGCCATGCTATTCTGTGCCCGTGTCGAGCATTCCGATCGCCGATTGTTAATCAACGAAACCCTTGCGTCCTACACACAGCATTTTGTCTAACATGTCTTAGCAAACGCGCTCTTTAAGTACCCTCGATCAAATTAGTTACCGAGTGGAAAAGCGTCGTCATCAACTCCGCAACATAGCGACTTGAATAGCGCGCAAACCGACTTTGATCCGAATGGTCGAGATCAGACCCCGAGGTGGGGACGCCGATTCCACCGAAATGTGTGCAAAGTACGAAAGTTCACGCCGTCAAACGCCGATTGGCCAAGGCTTGTTGTACCCCGCACAAAAACCGAGAACGACCAGACTGTACTCGTCTCCATAAAAGGCTTGATTTGTTCGGCTAACTGATGTCTTTCCTAGCTGAAAATCAATATCGCTCTCAGATACAATGATCACCCCATCATGGTAGCATCATACACGGTTTCCAACTCCCTAACCATCCTCCTGACCCCCTCATACACCCCATCCGCTTTCATCGACGCTCTCAGCGCCTCAATTCCCATGTGTAACTCCTCCTCGAGCCTTTCTGCATCTTGTATCGCCGTCCGCTCACTCGGCCGATCTAGCAAATCATAAACACTGCTCAGATTTCCCGCAGACAATGCCGCTCTAACACGCCACAACACCATGGCAAGTACATAGAAGCTCTGCATCCCACACCAAGCCATGTATGGTAGAGACCGTGGTGAACTAGTTGATCGCCTCGAAAACCCACTACTAAGTCCGAGCTCAAGTCCGAATCCCAAAGTCTCTCCATCGGTTGGAGTGTCAGAGTACATCGGATTCGGTGTAGGCAGGTGACGAAAGACGCGAGATACAAGCAGTGCGGAGCGAATGCAGATACGCATGGATTCTTGATCGTCAACTGGAAAGAGAGCGTCAACTTCAGTCCTTCGGGATGTAGAAAGGGGTGTGTTAGTGCCGCTAGCACTATTACTGTTGTTTGAGAGGCTATCGACGGGACGGTCAGGGAAGGCGCGGACTCGATGGAGAAGTAATCTAGCAGTGTGGATAAGGATGCGTGACATCGCCCAGAGCACGCGCTCCGCGTCGGCTTCGGTGCCTTGGCAGTTGGCTATGCAGCGGTAGCGGTCTGTTTCGGTGGCTATGTCAAGTAGAGAAGACTCAAGGTGTTTGATTTCATTGTGCAAGGAAAACGGAAGACATCCTTGATCTTGAATGGTCTCGTTGGAGAGCTGGCGGATGATGGTGCAGCTGCGGTGAAGGAGGGATTGCGCTTGTACGACATAGGGCCATGGCTGATGCTTGTTAGAAGAATTGGATATCAGGTGGAAGGGAGTTACACACCTCTCGACAGCCACGAATTACTGTATATGGCGTGGTGATGCGGAAGTCTTCGCTGGTTATGAGGGGCGGCTAAATCGCCGAATTAGCGAAGTCATACACACAAGGATGGAACGTTGCAAACAGACCGAAGCTGTCAGAATGGAAGAATGATAAACGAGGAACATCTGCGACAGTCAGTATGCTTTCATGGGCTCTGAGTGAAAGAAGTCAAGCGACATACTGTAGACCACCAGCAGCGACGAATCGCGTCGGAACAATTAGTTGCCGACTTCTGTGTATGTAATGAGAGGTCCATAGCCATTGTTAATGCCTGATTGGCTCGGATACGCATCTTGGAGACGTTTCCTCGCTGGCAGCATTCGTATAGGCTGAGGAGCGCTAATGCGAGGACCGGCTCCATTTTCCGGGGGATATCCGGATGCAAGGGGCTGCACGGGCCCTTTGTCAGATCGAAATTGGAAGACGGCTCGAGTGATTCTTCCGATGCATCTAACGCCGAGCGTGCAAAAAGATCGGCAAAAGAGCGCCGCAGGGTAGTGGTCTCATCGTCTGTCGCGTACGCATCTCCTGGTGGCGGTATCAGTGCCAACAACGCCGCCAAGGCCAAGCCCAATGAGGTAGTTGGCCAGTAAGGCAGATGAGATGCATTTGCCTGAGCCAAGCGGATATTTAGTGTCTTGGGCTTGTCCACATACTGGAGCACAGCTGGTGGAGGTAGGAGAGGTAGATATGGATGGATGAAGATATAATAGGCATTAATACTGGAGGACGATTAGAGAACAACCCTGTACGACATCGGATGATCACGACGTACAGATCCTGATCACACCGATAAACACGGAGGCTCCGCGTCGGCTGGCTCAAAGTATCCCGAAGCTCCTGACCGGTTCCAGGGCCTTCAGGTGATAACGGAAATCCCGGGCTCTCTAAATTTTCTTGCGGCGTATCAGATGGTCGGTATCCGGTTTCGATGGGAGATGGAGACGGTAGAGAAACCGGGGTGGCTGCATTGATCTGCGCTGTATGGGGCCGAGCCAAAGTAAACGCATCATTTGTGATGGCATGATCGCTGACCCTGGTTGCATTTTGCAATCGTTGGGCCTTCTTCCTGGCCCGCTCCTCGGCGGCAACAGGACCCCGTCGAGCGCCCCCTCGCCGACTCGGTTGATATTGGCATTCCTGCCGATGGATAGTGCACTACACGGGGTTACTAGAGATCAATCTGGCCGCTTGAATATCCATCGGCTTACATTGTTGCACGGGTTCTGCCCGTCGCAGCGAATTTTGGAGGCACGACTGTCCAGGTTAGAATTCGGCTCCTTGCATCGGTCCCCGTGGAATCATCAGTCACTTACCAGGCCAGACACGCCACCTTCACCGGTCGAGAAGTGGAAGGCATTGGTACACTCTCCCGTCTTCTCGTAACCCTGATTCTTGTGAACTGCTTTGCTTGGGTATATTTATCGCGTCAGGGCAGTATAATATCGAATACAGGCATCTTCCAGTTCTGGGGGAGGAAAGAGAGTTGGGAGGTTCGGCGTCTGAAATTCGGCGATTGAACCGGGTATTAGTCAAGCGTCATTCTGATTGCGCCACTCTCGGCCTTTCCGGGGACCCACTTGCCCCCTCCTTTGACAAACGGTGTACTCTTCGTATTTAGATCCAAAACAGCCGATCCCTCCGCCCATATGTCGTAACCTCTCCTCTACGCAGACATCTATTTGTCAAGCTTCTTTCAATGATTCTGGAAGGCAACCCATCATGACTAGAGAAACAGTCCAAGCTATTCCGGCAAGCGAGGAGTACTACGACCTTGGCTCCTACGGTCATGTTATCAGCACCACCAGCCCCGACACCCAGACCTGGTTCAACCGGGGTCTAACATGGGTCTACGCCTTCAACCACGTAGAGGGGGCCTACTGCTTCGAACAGGCCATTGCAAATGATCCGACATGTCCGATGGCATACTGGGGGCTCGCCTATGCCGTAGGTCCGAACTACAATAAGCCCTGGGAGAAGTTCGACAAGAGAGACCTACATGCATGCGTACAACGAGGCTTTGATGCCGCACAGAAGGCCAAGGAACATGCCGGGAATGCAACACCCCTGGAACAGGCTCTCATCGAAGCAATCCAATCACGTTTCGTCGCCAACACCCCGCCTAACGATTACCCGACCATCAACAAGGGCTACGCCGCCGCCATGAAGATAGTTTACGACGCTTTCGGAGATGACATCGACGTGGCCACGCTCTACGCCGACGCCTTGATGAACATGACTCCTTGGGCTCTGTGGGATCTCTTCACCGGGATGCCGAATCCAAACGCACCTACGATGGAAGTGAAAGCTGTTCTAGACAGAGCGCTCACTTTTGAGAATGCAAACCTCCATCCCGGCCTGCTTCACCTCTATATCCACTATATCGAGATGTCACCCACCCCAGAACTAGGCATAAATGTGGCTGATAATCTCCGCAACCTTGTCCCGGATGCCGGTCATATCCACCACATGCCTACCCATCTTGATATCCTTATTGGAGACTGGAGGCGTTCCATTGCTTCAAATTACAACTCGACCCTTGCAGACGATAAATACTTCCGCAAGGAAGGAGCTGCTAACTTCTACACCTTCTACCGTATGCATGACTACCACTCCTTGATCTACGCAGCTATGTTTGCCGGAAAATCTCAAATGGCACTCGAAGCAGTCTCACGCATGGAAGCCACCGTCCCCGAGGAGGTCCTCCGGATCCAGTCCCCGCCTATGGCTGACTGGCTCGAGCAATTCCTAACTAGTCGGCTGCATGTAATGGTGCGCTTTGGCATGTGGGAGGAGCTAAAACATAAAGAGCTACCCGCAGATCAAACTCTCTACTCTGGTACCACTGCCATGACGCACTACGCGCGAGGAGTCGCCTTCGCAGCCACCGGGGACGTCCCCACAGCTCGGAAAGAGCAAGAAAGGTTCCATCAGGCATGGAAGCGGGTTCCAGAAACCCGTCTCGCCTATAACGGGAAGCTTGTCGACGTGCTTCAGGTAGCTGCGGCCATGTTGGAGGGGGAGATTGAGTATCGGTGCGCGAACTACGATCAGGCCTTCGCTTCGCTGCGTCGTGCTATTGATATCGAGGATAAGTTGCCCTACAGTGAGCCGTGGTCGTGGATGCAGCCTTCTCGTCATGCGTACGCGGCTCTTCTGATGGAACAGGGCCATTTGGAGGAAGCGGCGCAGACGTATCGTGCGGATCTGGGGCTGGACAACACGCTTGTTCGTCAGTGCCGCCATCCTAACAACGTCTGGTCGCTGCAGGGGTATCATGAATGCTTAGTGAGGCTGGGAAAGGTTGATGAAGCGGCCATGATTGAGCAGTCGGTTAAATTGGCTCTTGCGGTGGCGGATATCCCCATCAAGGCGTCATGTTTCTGCAGACTGGATACTTCGCAGGCGCCGCAGGTCCTTGAAGGATGTTGTTCTAAGGAGTAATTGGGCATATGAATGATCGTCAAGGTATATTATGTGTATGAGCATGCGCAATTTACATATCCAGAATGAGCAGTCTGATTCTGTGAAATACCAATTCGTCCTCTTATAATACTCAGACATTCCGTTCTTGCTCCAGTTCCAACCGGTGATCAACACAATTAACACCACATTACCCTAAAACCCATGACAATCAAACGCCACCCTATACCAAGTGCACTGATAATCACCCTCCTTGCAGTCATCCCAAATACCTCCCGAGGGCATGCTGTACCCATACAACCCATCACTGTACGCAATCTCGTACTTGAGATAGCAGGATGGGTAGCCAAAAATATTCTCGATGTCCACAGTATACGGCAGCTGCGAAGCCATGGCGTCTCCCTGGGTGAAGTTCTCCATGTGGCCGATGATGTTGCATGAGTGATCGAAGATGTAGGCAGCACCCTTTTGTTGGTGGTAGCATTCTACTTCGGGATATAGCTGGTATACGGCGAATTGGCAGCTGCCTGCACCTTGCGGCTCGCAGAGTTTAGCCCCGGATGGGAAGTCGTCGCTATCGGAGGCGAGGGTGAGGGTGGGTATGAGGGAGAGGAGGATGGTTGGGATGAATTTGGTGGGCTTCATTGTGATCTGCTTTTCTATTTTCGGTTTGTGGTTCAAGTGGTTTGATAAGGAACTGAACTGAGGTAATTCCTGGGGTCTGATGGTTCAATGCATGTGGGAAACGTATCTGGAGATCAACACAAAAAGTGTGCTTCTGGCGAAACTTATAGACTCTCTTCGTGCTCCCTGGAGCGGCTGATCGAGAGGGCTAGTGCAGGATCAGGCACCGCCCCGAATGTATGGGGATCGGCAGGCCTAGCCAGGAACTGGGGCCAAAGGGGCCAAGGAAGGGGGCCAAACATGTGGAGGGAACGAGTCAACCTTATGCCTCTCTGCGCAATAATTTTGCGAGGTGCTGAACATGAACATGTCCTCGGTGCAGGTTGTTGTGAGCTTATCTTGGCTGAGAGATGATGTGCAGGATTGTAACCCTCCACAGTTTGTGATGAACGACGCTCAGTGGTTGGGCCGAGGACGTTACCCTGGGTATGATGATACGGGGCCCGGGTCTGATGGAATTGCTGGGACAGTCAATAGGCATAAAGCCTTGAAGAATGTCATGAATACAATTATTCTGGAGTTGAAGCGGTCGAGGTGAGGAATGGACATGCTTCGAGACAGCAGCCATTCATTCAGCAAATCGAACCATTATAAGAGAATTGGCCCCATACGAGGCTGTACTCTGCCGGACTTGACCGACGGCCAGAGTGTGGAGATACGCGGAGTTGAAAACACCCGACTGGTCTATCGCTTATTAGTCTGTGTTTTTCTAGGACCCTGGCGTTGATGTTCGGTGCTCTAAGGGTGACCTAGTGCATTGTCAGCGACTACATGACATATTTATGTGGGGATGTTTTCTCGCTGTCGAAATTAGGGAGGTGCTGTCACGGAAGAGATTTCCGCTGTGGTTGTTGTCCAGTCGGACAATGTGTTACCTGTATACTGTGTTTGAAAATGGCCATGTAATCGAAACGGCATAAAAAAGGAAAAAAGACAAATCAAGCACACACGCCAATTATTGGCGCTGCTGGGAATCGAACCCAGGTCGAAACGGCGCTGCGGAGAACCACAACGTTTCATGATGACCACTACACTACAGCACCTTGATCTGTGACAGGCGGCCGCTATTTTTAAATTACGTACCACAGAATACCCGTAACCATTAAGATCTTACTCGACTGCACACATCTAGAAGTTCAGTAGTGTTAGCGATGCAGAAACTACGAGCTGTTGACTCTCTAAATCGAAGGATAGCGCTCCAAAAATTACACTAGATACCTATGTACTGTTTATCTCTTTTTTACCTTTTTCCCCCGACGTTGTATGTCACTCTTCAGTCACATTGGGTGGGCTCACAGCTTGATCAATACTAGAAGCACCGATGAGGAAGGCCGTGATGAACCATGTCCTCAACCTGCTCATTTACCAAGGGTGAGCAATTGCACTCCCTCCGAACGACAACATTGCCAAGATGGCCCCTGTGCTAGCTGGATCATAAGGATAGTAGCCAGTAGACCCCATCGTGTTGCGAGTGGGGTATTAGACAGCGATGTGTTGACAAAGAGGAATTCAAGTAGATTTAACGGAAATGCGATTTACAGACGAAGAAAAACAGCAAGGTGTAGAGAGCGTCGTTTATGTGCATCAGCGTGGTGAGTTAAGGAAAGAGAGGTTGTCAATACGCAGGTAAAGAAGGAAGATGGAAGAGAATTGATAAGGAAAAGTCTACACCCTGAGAAAGTTAGATAATAATTCCTTGGCCATCCTCTTTTCTCACAGGCCTGTACAAGAATATTACTGTGAACCATTATTGCTTGCCTACCATGCTGCGAGTGAGTATGCTCTTTGATGTTCGGAGGGCTTATGGAGCGGGAGGAAGTACGTGGCAAGAGCAACATCTGGTTCGCTCCCAAAGCAGCCCAAGATTAGGGTATCCACAAGGTCTGGCCACCCCCCTACGGATATAGATAGTACCATAGCTTGGAAATCACGCAGGAGCTGTAATAGGAAGGGCTACAGCTCTCTTCTCTGATTCTAGGAAGACATCCGGTGCCATTTTTATTACGCCGAACAGAAATTGGTCTCATGATGATTGTCGAAGAGTCAATGTCTTTTGTTCTTAATGCTATGCCTTATCCGAAGCAGCTAAGTGTTTTTAAATTATGGTCAAACAGGATCAACCACCTGATATTGGCTTTCCTGCATATCCTCTACAAGAGACCCTTCAATCCGCTTGACTTTTCGTCCCTCCCACCATGACATTACCCCAGCCAAAAGAGAGCTGAAACAACCTAGGCCAATGAAAAGGCCGACTCCGTAACTTGGGCGATTGTGCCGGTCATAGCACCACATAAAAGCCGCCATGCCTACCTGGAAGAGAGTGTTCAAAAGCAAATTGATGATGACGAAGTCCATTTTCCATTCGCTGGTAGGCGGCGCAACCTTACCGGTCAGCGTCGTTTGGAAGGTCAATTCGTCAGAGTCGGAGGTCTGCAATCTGAACCAGTTTGCATGTCGCTTTGCAAGTTTCTCTATTGACTGTCTCGATCTTACGCCGGTGCGCAGGCGCCATTCGAGTAGCCAATATGTGTCGCGAATTCGCCATGGTGCCAGACCCCACGAGGTCAAGCAGAATAAGCCATTCAGGATCTGCGAATCTATTTCAATCCATACTTCTTTCTTCTCCTTACTCATGGATCCGACGTTCAACAAGAGAAAAAATAGCATAGCGCCCCAAGCAATTATGTTAAGGCCATAAAGAGCTATGAACAAGCCCGTAGGTGTGCAGAGGAATCTCCAAGCCACAAGCGACATTCTTTTGCACGTGTCGCCCCATGAAATTGCTCCCGCAGGAACATCTGCAAAATGATTGCTATTGGGGGGAGCTCCGAGAGAAAGCTCTTGGTCCTCTACTTCCAAAGGGCCAGAACTAATCGTGGGGGCTGTCGCTCTTCGTGGAAGTGGGCCGTCAATCGTAGGTTGAGTGTTCCTTCGACGTACACTGCGAGCGTGGAAATCAAATGCCACCTCGTCGGATGATCTCAGATCCGCGAAATTTGGGGCGTGCGCGATAGCGGTTCCTGTGGCTTGCCAAACTCCCGCTGCAGGATTGAAATCAAGCAGCCTCACGGCAGAAGAAATTGAGGCGGAGCGCACTGTGCGCCCTGCCCGGAATAGAGGCATTGTCGACCGGCCTTGCCTGTCCACTGCAGCCAATTGATCATCGGCCATTGTACCCAGTGTAAGTCGCCGGAATGAAGTTGATGCGGTCATTTGAACATAGCCCAAATACCCAACAGGGTATTTAAACATTTCATAAACAGGAGCCAAGAAAAACCACAGTCTGCGGGTCCACCGTGGATTTCACCCAGAAAGCATACTTGGGACAGCCCACAGGGCAATTCACCCAGCAATCGGACTAGGGGAACGCTAAAAATATCCACCTATCATACAGGTCAGATAAAATTTGTCGGTGAAGGAGTCTACTTATTTCATTTCTACATTATGGTGATGCTTGCCTTGCCGCACTCAGGAAACATGGGATACAAAGGATTTGAGGGGTCCTTTTTGTTACCTTCTTTCTCGGCTTAGCTCGACAACGATAGATGAGAGAATTCGACTAGAACGTTGAAAGAAAAGAAAAAAGTCTGCTATATCCTTATTGCCAAGCATGATTTGCCGCTCTTCAGGAGTACCAACTTTGCCAGGGTTTCTGCAGTTAAACTGTGATTGAATGGACAAGAGGCTGTATTGAGAATAGCGTTGAAATCCGGTCATTCGTTATGGAAAGGCCTACTAATGTAGCGGATCCAGATTAGGTCTCGTTCGCTATAGGTTCAATAGGACCCAGGGACCTCGCGACAAATCCACTGCGGCCGTTCCCCACCATCAAGCTGGCCATATCGGAACATCTTCTATACGTGTATTCGGGTGTCCAGTCCCCACTGCGGTTAGGACCCACGCATTCAGCGTCTATCCGTCGAATGTTAAACTAGTGTCTTAAGTCGTGGCAGTAGCGTTCCCGCTGACGTTCGTTCTCGCTTTCATCTCCTTTTCTGGGATATGATATTCTCTGTCTAGTAGTAACTTTTATTTACATTTCCCAGAGTTGATGGTGGCAGTGATCATTGTCTACGTGTATCACAAACCACACTTAGGCGGACATCGGACAAACAACCTGAATGGGCCATGCCCACCACATTCCGGACATAATCCCTCATTTAATAGTGATCCAGACCCCCTTTGGTCGCTCAGTCTTCATTGTTCCTGTGTCACAGTCCTCTTTTCCAGTTACTCACCTATTGCGCCTGCCAAACACCCATTATCGCCTTCAGCTGACTTCACCACTTCTGTTACTCATGCCATCAACGTGCCCTCGAGCGCTTGGCAGGCTAGTGGAAAGATCTCTCCAACCTGCGAATGGGAACTAATTCCGTCATCCTCTGGCGGTCAGTCGACTCTTTGACTAATGGCCTGTGGACCGAGGACCGGTCACGGTGCTAGAAAGCAACCATGATAATTTCGAAATAGACAATCTAATCTTGACTGTCCCGAGACAAAGCTTGACACTGAATTAACGTCTACGTACATTACTACTACTATTGTCACGGCCCACAATACACCCCCTCGTCCATCTCATCCATATCCTCCCACGAATTCCTCATCTCCTCGCCATTGCCCATCATCTTCCACAGATCCCAGTGCTCGGGGCGAACACTTCATCCACCCCGGGAAACTATCATACTCGTCCACAGTCAGCCACGCCTCGAGAACCTTCAAAAACCGCGTCGTCTCGTGGACGTGCGTGGGTCCCTCCGCCTCCAGGCCCTCCACCGATGCATCCAAAAGCGTGAGCAGGGACTCTTCGTCAATGACGATGCACATTCGATCCGAGTTGAAAAGGTGGCGTCGGTCCTGGCCTTCCACAAAAGCCTCGAAGTGATCCCGGACTGACTCGATAGAGGCCCTTGTGAACCGCGCCGCATCTTCAATGACGGTGGACTGATATCTGGTCCAGATGCCCTCGTAGATGGCGGGGTCGACTCCGGGGGAATCCTGGCTGTAAGAGGCACACTCGGAGAAGAGCGATTTCTTGATGCAGGCATCAAGGTAGCGGAGTATGGTGGGGCATGCGGCGTCCGCCTGCGCTGAGAATGTGGTACGGTAGATTGTGTATCCCCAGTGCTGCTCGGTTTGGAGTCTGTTGTGCAACTCTGCAGTGGATCCGGGCGGCGGTGCGAAAGTCATTTTGGGTACAATTAGGGAAAAGGAAAAGGGAAGTTGTGAAAAGGGAGGAAGAGGCGGAAAAATGGGGAAGAAGAATCCAAGAGAGTTCACCGGGCTACCTTGGCCGCTGCCGCTCTCATTCCCCGGATCCTGGTTCCAGCGCACGCGGTAGAACTAAACCTGCACCCCGCAGGAGTTGCCGGATACTACTTGACAGAACACCTTCTGATCAGGAATAGCATCTGAATGATGGAATAGGAAAAAGATCAAAAACATACAACAGAAGGGATTCGCTGGTGGTCACCCACCCAACTACTAACCTCCCGGCGTGTGGCTTAAGTACGGCTGAGCGGACGGGAAGCCCTGTTTTCCACACCCTGTGGTCGTATGTGCTTGTTTAATTCTTGGCTAGATTAATATAGGCAGTCTCAATAAACCAATACTAGAATCCTGGTCTATCTTGGGGTAACGATCTTGTGAAAGTGAACAGTATGTATGAGCGTGTGTCGGACATCGCTAATGTATAGTATGCCAAGTCCTTCCATAAGTACAGACTGGTCCATCATCTTTCCGATGAGCGAGGCCTGATTACCAGACAGCTGGGAAACTATTTTGTCAACATGCGAGCGGTCGGTATGAATATATAGTGAACGGTAGGTCTATCCATACGAAAAATTTATATCGACTCTTATGGGAGCAGTATCACCGTGGCACCAGCCCCTCGTCTCAACGGCGTTTCGAAGAAGCACTCGACAAGATATCGAGCGTCGGGGAACCCCTGTTCTGTGCCTACTCGTCAGTGGCACCAAGGCAGCTGATTGAGACAGCCGCCTGTCGGAGACTTGGAGGCAAGCTATATCCAGCTTCTTTATTGGCAACCGCAGGAAGTCTCATTAGTGATTACAATAGTTCATTATGCCTACAACACAGTGCCTCTCATCTACTTCCATTGTCACGCGGTATGCTTTACTTAAGGGAATCAGATTCTACCCATATCTGCACAGTTGGCACATGATTTCGTCTCCCGGTGAGTGGCTGCTGTGCACCAGATTTATCCGTGGCCCTTGCTTGAATGTGATGCCTACCCGATCGGTCAACCTGCACTCGGAAGGTAAATAGCTGCCACTCAAACTGCTTTCGCAGTGCCACATTTGCCTCCTTCCAAGTGTTCCCATCGAGACTGATTTCAACCCGCGAAATCTCGTCTGCCCCCCATGCGCGTCCCCAACCCTCAACGTACCCGGGACCGAGGACTACTTCGTCCGGACGAGGGCGGACTATCATCGAATTTGGCTCAACCCTCCACACAGGTCTTCTCCTGACGCCTTCAAAGTCCAATGGATCAAGTTCATTATAAAATACTGTCGTAAATGGTCCCATTGATCGTCTTGCCTGCACAGACAATCGACACAACCATTTGGTGGAGTTTGTCCCAAACCATCCTGGAACAACTAACCTCACTGGCCCACCGCGCTCCTTAGTCAACGATTGGCCATTCATCTTGTAAGCCACAAGAACCTCGCATGATAAGGCTTTCTCAATGGGTAGGTCCTTTTGGTACCTATCTGCTGAGACACCGGCAAATGTACCCGAGTCCAGCCCATCGGACCAAACGAACAACCCTCGCTCGAGATCTGGCCGAGCAATTGACAGCAGATACCGCAGCGGAACCCCGGTCCATTGAACATTGCCGATGCGCCAAACATTTTTCGTTGGAGGATTAATGGGACTGCCATAGCACTCATGGAAAGATGTGACTGTCTGGGACGGCATCTGTCGTAGTTGTTCAATATTGATGGAAAAAGGGCGCTCGACAAGTCCGTCTACAATGAGCGTCCAGCGACTGGCATCCACGACGGCGGCTCCCATGTGAATAGTCTGAAATAACTTAAATTCTGGTGTCAGATCCTCGTCAAGTTTATGGGGCGCAGGAGGGTGTCGTATGAAAAAGCCTTCCGGGTGGATGTTGGTGAGAGTCTTGCGCTCCGAGTCGGGGATGAACCCCCTGCCATCAATAAAATCGACAGCAGGTGAGCTGCCATCAGCCATCACCTCGTACATTTGTAGGATCCAGGAAATATATGCTTCTAGAAAAAGAGAAAACCCGAGAAAGTTCAGGGTAGAAGAATGTCGATGATCTTCCCATTTTACCCGCAATACCCGCAATAACATGCAGATGCGCCTTCCCGGAACATGCCCCACGTGGCGTCATGTGAAGAACTTAAATCCTATATTGAGTTGGGGCTTTGTACCATCGTGTATCTTTGATTTTGCATATTTTTTTTTCCCCCAAAATCTATAATTGCATACAATTCAGCATGGAAACCACTTCAGCAAGAGGTAGGGCGTTCGCAGCCCTGAAACCGGCCTTCCTGGATGTTTTGGGGGACCTGTGGTATGCGCAGTCCAATCCCGATGGTGTTGTGAACCTGGGTCTGGCCGAAAATGTAAGACAGAAATGCGCGGACTTCTTTTTGAGCTCATCATTGATATTTTTCAGACCCTCATGCATGCGGAGATGATGGAATTTGTCAACAGCAATGTAAAAGATGACTATATCCACGTCTACTCTACCAAGGCCCCATACTAATGGTGCCAGGTCCAATATGACGCACATGTATTAACCTACGGGGACGGGTTTAGTGGCTTGCATCGGCTTAAAAATGCCATCTGCCAGTTCTTGAACCGTTATTTCAACCCCGGGACTGCACTATATCCGTGTGACATTGCTGTCACATCAGGTGTTAGCAACGCACTCGAGTGCTGTGCTTGGGCTCTAGCTGATGCTGGGGATTACATTCTCGTTGGACGCCCATACTTCAACGCTTTTAAGACTATATTTGGAACGCGACCACAGTAAGGAACGTTACAATGCTTCTGTGGTGAAGCGCTGATTGTTACAGAATCGAACTACTTGAGGTCGCCTTTGGTACAACCGACCCATTCAGCATCGACGCTATTTACGAGTATGAGCGAACTTATGCAGAAGCCAAAAGGAAAGGCGTCCGAGTCAAGGCTTTACTGCTGTGCTCGCCACATAATCCTCTTGGTAAGCTCCAGTCCTGCTCACGTAAATTAATAGATGCACTTCATTGAACCACTATCAAGGACGCTGCTACTCCGACGATGTATTGAAAGAATATATGAAGTTCTGTTCCAGAAACAGACTCCATTTGATCAGCGACGAAATATATGCGCTTTCCGTCTGGGAGAATCCGCGCCTTCCTGATGAACCCCGTTTCAAGTCGATATTATCATTTGACATAGAGGAGTTCATGGATCCAAAAATGGTGCATGTTGTTTGGGGGTTAAGCAAAGTATGAAGCCCTCGGAACTTCATCTGAACATAAGTGTCTGATCATGAGTAGGATTTTGGTTCAACCGGTTTACGAATCGGATGCCTAATCAGCAAACGCAACAGGATGCTCCTTGATGCCGTAGAAGGCATATCGTAGGGATCTCAAAATATGCCTCAAGTCGGGACAAATGCTAACAGTTCTCTTGATTCAGTCTCTATAATTTCCCGTCTAGTGTTGCAGACCGAATTGCCTCATTATTGCTATCAGATGACACGTTCTTGAAGCAATACATCTCAACTAACAGGCGTCGGTTATCGGAGAGCTATCAATTTGCAACAGAATTTCTTCAGGCCCATAAAATTCCCTACGTGGAGTGCAATGCTGCCTTCTTCATATGGCTGAATTTAGGGGCTGTTAAGAAAAACCGAACAGCCACTGATCAGGAAATCCTTGCGAGACTTAGACAAGAAAAGGTATACATCGCACCGGGGACTATTTATGCTGCAGAAGAAGCGGGATGGTTTCGCATGGTGTTTGCTCATCCTCCTCACGTCTTAGAGGAAGGGTTAAATAGGATGATTCGCGCTGTCCGGTTAGATTAGATATGTGCGGGTGCAGGAATATTATCTGCTGCATTGAAAGAGCTTTGCGCATTTATTCACAATTAGTATAGCTAAGAAGCTTGTCGCACGTCAACTCACCCTCAAAATGGACAAAGGAGGGAGATACTTCGTTGAATGAGATACGATTGTGTCTAGGAAAGCATCAGCTGCCATTGATTCTTTGTTTGAATATATTACCATCCATCGCCCAGATGACTGTGGTCGATGCACCAAAACTGATACATAGATAACATTGTATATTGGAGAAGCCCAAGGTTTTGTATTACCAAACTATATCACAAAAGTTAAGATAAAGAAAGTGAAAAACAGAGATTGTATAATTGAGAGCCGAGCCATGTTGCCGTATGTAGGTTGCGGACCGAAAGATCTATTTTGTACCACTGATTAGAATATAGTAGATGTATGTGACCGAAGAATTGATTCCATCCCTGGTCGTAAGATGGGCAAAGAGTCACTCTGCCCACACTGCAGCAGCCCGGAGGAGATTTCCTTCCCCAAGAATAACTAGTTGGCATACTTGCTCCACGAGCGTAGACGCTTTCCATACTGTCGAACGATTAGCTAATACTCCAGGTTTGAGGCACTGTAGAAGTATCTTACCCGCTCCAAAATAAAAGGTAAGGGGAGCATTGCAACGGAAATAAAGCCTAACGTGCTCGACGACCATCCAATACCAAGCGACTTCAACATCTGTGGAGCAGCCAAAGGCAAAGCACCGCCGAATGAGCTCCGGAAGAAGGTATTTCCAGCAAATACACTGGCTATGTACCTTGGATAAGACTCTCCAAGATAATTGAGTACAGACTGGAATGTGAGATAAAAGCCTGGTGCAAAGAAGGCAGTTCCAATGATGGGGGCGATCCAATGCACGCTAAATACGCGATATTAGTACTGGCTTATACATATAAACGGCATTGATTCGCTCACCTCTCTCTCGACGTCCATGCGAATATGAAGAGGCAAATCGGAATGCAGACTGCTCCGATTTGACCGGGGACTAGGCGAGCCTCAGGCTCCACAATGATATCTGAATTTGCGACTCGTGGCTGGTATGAAAAATATAGCCACAGCGCGTATACAATGACGGACACTACGGCGCCGACGAGAATACCAAAAAATGCAACTAGAAATCGAGTTAGAGTAGATCAGAGAGGCTTTGGCTAAAGACTTACGGCCTTGTTGGATGGCAGTGAAATGGTAGATTCCATCGAACACTATGAGCAGTGAGTAATTTGCAGGCAAGTACGGCCATAGAATCGAATTTGACTCACCGAATGGGAAGAACTCAAACCATAGGTACAGTATGCCGTAAATGAGCATCGTATGCATGTTGACAAACAGTATTACCGGGTCCGTGCAAGATAGTTTGAAGTCATCCACTGTTTGTCTAACGATGCGCACAGCAAGGTTTGCTCCTGGTGTATCTAACTCGGCCTGACTTTGATATGCAGGGTCTCCCGTTTGTCTATGTAGCCTTTGTGCTCGGCGTAAAAGGATATTGGTGTACAATGTCTCGGGCAACAAGAAGAATATGAATACTGTCGTGAATGCCGTGACGCCTGATATAAGCCATAGAGTCGCGGTCCATGTTTGCCAGCGCTCACTATTTTGTCCATTAGCTTTGAAGTTGCCGGGGTAGAGGAGACAAGTTCTTACACCGCAAGAGTTCCAAGAATCTATAGTCACCAAATTAGCTCAGGAACACTTATTCGCGCGAGGAAGATAACATACAGGTCCTAAAATAGGCCCACAGACCCCACTGACTGCGTACAGGGCAATTGCATACGGGCACTGGTTAGGCTGAAAGACCTCCATCAGAGTAGCCCCTCCCACACTAATAGGGGCACTTCCAACTAGGCCTCCAAAAAACCGTAGAACTAGTATGGTTTGCAGGTTCTTGGCGAGAGCAGTCCCGATATTAAACAGGCAGAATGCAAGGGAGCCAAGGACATATACTGGAGTACGTCCAATCGAGGGTAAGTTCGACAGTGGAGAAAGCTGTAAGTACTCTCTGATTAGCCGACAAGCAGAACATTATACGTAAATGGGTGATGCCGACGTACAATGAGAGGCCCAATGCCATATGCAATGACAAAGAGGGAGAGTCCTAATGTTCCCTCCGCATTTGTCGCACCGAAGTCCTTCTCAATTATGGGAATACTTGGCGTAAAAATTGCCGATGCCGCGTAGAAACTGAAGTTTAATAACATCACATCAATCATGACAATAGTCTTGGTCAACATTGGCCAATTTCTGGGCATGTCGGGATCATCGGGCCCGGTAAAATCCACAAGGATAAGGCCAAGAGTATCTGAAGAAGTAGGCGACGGACTTTCTCTTGTCGTCACTTCACTTTTCGTTTTTGCGTGATCTGGTGCCGGAAAGAGTTTGCCATTGGAGAGGTAGTTGACAATTCGGCCGAATGTACTATCTCGCAATAAGACCTCCATGTTGGAGGACACAGCACTCATGTAACAATTGACGGATAGTATACTGTAAATTTAATTATGAAAGATAAAAGAGAGTATATTTGAAGAAACGAGTGACAGATAGAAAATCAAGCTCTGCACTCTCAGTAGGTCATTCCTTTGAAGTTTTATAGACGGATGGGGTGTCTACTGCAACTCCGAGAGCAGGAAAATCTATCATCGGAATTCCGAGCATACCGCCAAATTAAACTTCAAATACTAATAATTCCTCTTCCATGGTACAACTCCGAACGGTATTGCTCCGAGTAACCGCGGTATCTCCGCGTCATAATGACAGGCCGTGTTGTTTTATATCTTGTCATTCCTCCTAGTCTGTAATCGCACATTTATGCATCCGGAGTACGTCACTTTTGATTCTTCAAGACCGACTCTTCGTGATCTAGGAAAGAAAAGAACCGACTGAAGAGCACTGAAAGGCAAGGGGACAGTGGCCCAAATTCTTTAGCCCAGGAGGAAGTCGAACAGCACTTGGTCAACCCCTCCACGGATTCGCAAACGTCCAGCAATCGACGTTTTTCTTTTAAGTATCCTCGCCGGCTGTTCTTAGCCTCCAACACAATAGTACGACAATCGATCGAGAATGGCTCCCCGTTTCATACCCGAACAAGGCACTGCGCCTAATGTCCCTCGCGATGCTAAGCAGACCTACGACACTCTAAAAAACGGTGGAGTCGTCATCATCCCAACCGATGTCGGCTACGCACTCTTGACGAGCACGCAGGCTGGAGTCCAGCGGATATTCTCAGCCAAAGATCGTCGAGCGGGTCACAACATCGGTATTATCGGGACATACAAACAACATCGAGAGATCCACGTGCTTTCGGAGGCCAAATTCGAGATGACACGGGTCCTGACTGAAGATATGGCGATGATCGTCGGGATCATTGCTAAATATAATACCGAAAACCTTCACCCGCGTTTGGCGGCTCTCGATCCGGCGACGCTATTGCAAGTCACGAAGGGCGATATGGTCAGCATAGCAGTCCCTGAAGGCCCATTCTTGCGAGAACTGGGTCGCCTTTGCGACGATGATCCGACGGGTATGTTGATGTTCGGAACTTCTGCCAATCTGACAGGCCAAGGACAGCGATTCCGGGTCGAGGACATTGAGCCCAAGGTGATTGATGCGGTAGACTTGGTGGTGGATTACGGCCTACAGAAATGGCAAGTGTACAAGCGCGGTGGTATGAATTTCGATGCGGAGAACATGAGGGTGCTGCGGAAGGGAGCCGGATATGAAGTCTTTCGCGACCGGATGTTGAGATGGTTCCCTCATTTGCTGGAGGAAGCTGGTGTTACTATGGAGGAGGATCCAGAATGTCAAACCAGCGAGCCGAAAACTGCAGGCTATTAGTCTCCCGCAAACCTATCCTGCGACATATCGCATAATTGGTGCTTTGCTCTAGGAGATTCGTGGCGTTGAATGTATATGAATAACTCGTTATAGACATTGAATAGCAGAATAACTCGTTATAGACATTGAATAGCAGAGATTACACTATCCATCATATATTATAGCAGAACAGGTAGGGCAAACACTGATACGAAGGCGAAGGTACTACCCACACGCCATGTATGAGACATTAACTATACTACGGATTCTGTGGGGCGCTGGTGTTCGTCGGGATAATATATCATTTGTTACAAAATCTGCGGGGGTAGTCAGTAGAGCCGGCAATCACTGGAGGCGAAGAGTCAGCACATACTTGCCTGCCCATAGTTTTTCCGGCTCTATTACCAGCAGAAATAAGTGGATAAGGGATTGTAGCAGTTCACCACCCGAGACTGCATATCTCTGACTATGAACCATGGATATGGGCACAAACACTATATAACATCATGCCAAACTCATCAACTGTTTGAACCCAGCGTTCGATCCTTCTCCTCCGCTCCGGCTCCTCCTTTTCCGTAGATGGCCATAATTCAGATATTTCCAAGCTTCCATCTTGCCAATCTAATAAGTACCTATCATACTCCTTATTCCACGTTTCTCGATCAGCCGCTTCCCAGAGTGCCTTATTACCCGGGGCATAGACACCTCTCAGCTCCTCTGCGACGAAATTGGGTAGCATACGGTCCGCGTTATAGATGTTACTAAAAATATAGAGAGTAAATATTGCACGGCGTTTCGTGGCTGCGACAATCCAGGATTCCCATGTCGGTCTGGTCTGCGCTAACTCAGCGGCACAGAAGAGGCCGTTTCGAGCGGTCTGAGATGCCATATTCATGAGAGTTATTATGGTTGTGTCTGAGAAACCATCTTGAGGGCCAAAGTACATCAAGATTGAGTAGATGAGGTAGGCTTGAAAGCTAGATAAGAGCTCGTAGTCATGCTGATCTGGACTCTTCGAATCTGTTATCACCTGTGGTTTGTAACTTGTGCAGTGTATAGACATGCATACCTCACTGGCGAGCCTTTCCATCTCCCGTGCAACTGTATTCACGACTATCTCCTCACTCCCTGGGACTGCCTGTTCCCACATACGTACCAGACTGTAGCAGTTCGCCAGTGCTCGAGGTGTCTCATTCTCCCTGACCTGGACATTGTGAATAATAGGAGGGGGTCGTCTGTCCCTCAACATATATCGCGGATACGTTTTCAGAATCCGCGCAATAAATTGTAGGGTATGAGGATGGCAGACTTTTGGAGTTTCACTTCGTCCGTGCGCAGGCAGGAAAAAGGGCCTAAGCCACCAATGCAATTGAGCTGGGGGTCAAATTGATCGCTTCGAAGTCTAATTCCTTTTCTTTCGAAAACGCTTCGATGGGAAGCTCCTGAGCCTGCTGGTTTGGCGGACACCATATAGTATTGTTCGCAGAAGGACTGGGAGTATATGACAAAGATGGTGGCGTCTGCAACACTCTTGAGCTGAGTTCTGGGACTGAAGGCGAAGGTACACTTTGACTCTCTAACGAATCGGCTTCTCCAAAATGTGTTTCTTGTAGGCGAGGAAAGTGGCGATGCTCCAAGGCTGTAGTCGTAGTACCATAATCGCAGGGTCGGCCAGTCAACCTGCACCGAGAGCATGCGGGTCGATCTAGAGTGCACCGTACCTTAGACTTGATACAGTTACTACAGGCTTTTCTGCGTGGAGGACGACTCTGGCTTTTAGCCATTTCTAATCTTGTCATAGACCACACTCTGTGATATGCAGTGAAGGAGATTTCAAAAATCATGAAAGAGAGAGAGAGATGTAGAAACCACTCATTGGAGAGCGAACCCGATGATCGCCTTCTCCGACCGCAGCCCTCGGGTCATCTTAGTAATGCCGTTCGGAAATGTATCACGGAAGAGGATTGGTTAGAATACGAAGTTATTTCCGTTCCCATGCTCGGAATTCCGATGAGAGATTGGTTTGCTCTCGGAGTTGCAGTAGATAGTGGTTCTTGTGGGTGTTACCTGGAGGTGGTACTGTGTGGAGTGGAAATAGCACCAAAGCTCACGTCATGATATCTGTATTCTTATCCATATGTCCATTGGCCCCTGGCGAGACTGACCACATTAGCTATGGCCAAGGCAGGGTATTACTTTTTCTGGTTGTCACCACCCATAGTCAGAAGCACAATCCTGTGGGGTATTAATCGTTGAGACGCCCAGGGATTCCGCCTACACATGAGCGCACCATCCCACAAAGACCAGGTAATCTTGTACGCTAACAAAAGAACCTCATATTGCTGTCGTCTAGTTAGTAAGCTCACCAACTTAGTGTGAACAACAAATACTCTGATGGGGCGGACGTGGCAACATTATTCTTGTTCCTGCAGGTTGTTACAGCCCTATCTGGAAGACACCATGTAATTGGACGAACCAAGCCGTATCCTTTCTTCCGCAATTTTCGACTGGATCTCTTCTTCGGTCGAAGTGTAGTCTTCGCGGTATCTACAGTTAACTGCAGTTTTCCAACGCAAGCAAGGCAAGAGGGCTCCAAACCTCATCAGGGGCAAAATCTCGCTTCGTTAATTATGCCAAGGCATGTTCTACTACTTTTTGCGCTTTCTTTGTTGCGTTTTTTGATCATTTTATTGAGGCAATCACACAGACGCGACGCGAAAGCGTGATTCCTGCCCCTGCATCCCTTTCGCATAAACGCCAAGATCTCAAGACAACCTCTGCAGAGTCACAGCCAATCACGCAACAACATATTTTATGAGCGTTGCACAAAAGGGCGATACACCAACGTTCAGAAGAAAGAATGCCAAAGGTCAATCTCGCTATAAATTGTAGCTTGCCCACACAGATGGCAGCCACCAAGCCTGACAAAAGCCAAAGTGAACGATGAGGTTCGTCAGTACGGCAGCGCTCATAGCAGCTTTCGCTGTATGCGGAGATGCTCGGTCGTGTACTGAAACTGATGTGGTAATTTTGTATGTCTCCTTCACAGACTCTGACACCCTGGTCCAAGTGCTGACGCTCCCCAGAGGTGCTGGCATGGCGGGCGTGACTGCTGCAGTATGCCTACATTGCAGCTCGTGTAGGGACATGCTGATGGTTGTAGGAAACATTGGAAAGACATTCAGTAAATGATTTTATTGTACTGGAGTACCAGGACCGCATTGGTGGACGCATGTTCGAGGTTACATTTGGCAAGGCGCTCCAATATGTAATTGAAGCTGGGGCCAACTGGGTGTGCTTACACTTCCCCAAATCTTAGTGGGCGGGTAGATACTGACAGGATTGATTATCTAGGTACATGGAACTGGAGGGCCTGAAACACATGAGAATCCTGTTTGGACACTGGTAAGATTAAATAGACACTCTTTACTCCAGCACAGAGTGCTAATGTACAGCCAACATAGGCTAAGAAAGCTAACCTCCGCACACTGTATGCTCCCACTCGCCACTATCTAACCTTACCATATCCGATTAACACACACCAGGACGACCGACGTCGAAAATGTCACAATATACGACCAGACGGGCGAAATACCGTCTGAGACTCTGTTCGCTGCGCTAGAAGCTGTCAGCGATGCTGATGCCAAAGTCCTCGCCGACGCGGGTATTCGGCTACACCACAACCTCGAAGATCGCACATACCGCGCAGCTCTCCGACGACAAGGCTGGAACCCCAGAAAGAGCAATCAGTACGAGCAATTTGCCGACTATCTCGCATTTGACTCAGTCACGGCAGCTAGGCCAGAGGAAACCTCAGAAATCTATACCGCGGTAACCACCAATGCCACTGCAAAGTATTTCTCGCACAGGGAGGAGTTCAGCTTCGATCAGCGCGGGTTTTCCACTATCCTCAGGAATGAAGCGGGCCCGCTATTCGAGGGACAGAATGCTCGTCGGCTCCGAACGAATACGGTTGTGAATGAAATCGCGCAAGATAGATTCTCCGTTACGGTGCATAGCACAGACGGGGAATGCGTGCGAGCTAAATACGCTATCACGACATTTTCTCTGGGTGTATTGCAGCACCCTGGGGCGGTCAAATTCACACCGGAGCTGCCTAAGTGGAAGCAAGATGCCATTGCGAGTTTCGAAATGGTTACATATACCAAAATCTTCCTGCAATTCCCGTATTCGTTCTGGCCCCAGACGCAGTATCTGTACTACGCAGATCCGGTGGAGAGGGGATATTATCCTCTTTTCCAACCTTTGGACTTACCTGGGGTGTTGGAAGGATCGAATATCCTCATCGCTACGGTCGTCAATGAAGAGGCGTATCGGGTTGAGCAGCAGAGTGAGGCCGAGACCCGGTCTGAGATTATGGAAGTATTGCGCAAGATGTTCAAGGATAAGGATGTTCCAGATCCGGTGGACATATACTATGCGAGGTGGACGCAGGAGCCTTGGTAGGATATCTTCCCAGAAACTTAGTTGGTGCTTTCTCGTGCTAACTGGTCAGGTCGTATGGCTCCTACTCGAACTGGCCACCGGGAGTATCTGCCCGGACACATCGGCATCTCCGGGAGAATGTTGGGCGGGTTTTGTTTGCTGGAGAGGCTACAAGCCCACAGTTCTCGGGGTTTCTGCATGGCGCTTACTATGAAGGAAAGCGTGCGGCGGAGTCCATTGCTTCGTGTCTACGAGGCCCAAGATGGGATGACTGTGACTTTAGTAAATGAGCTGAGGGAGCCCCCTCATATGTTGAGAGAATGGATCGCCGATTGTTGATTCATTGTTAGGTAAGGCATATGGCCGCTAGATCTACTTACTAGTAGTATTCCATCTCAGCTTTGGGTGTTATTCTGTCGAGACTTTGACACGTACACGAAAAACGGTATATCGCGTCTATTTGGTGGGAATGTGTATGAGAATCCACATGATGATTAGTAGGGCTTTTATGCCTCGGTAAATGTACTTCCTAATAGAAGGCGGTATGTAATTCTCTCTAATTGCTCATAGAAGGAACAAGATAGAAACAAAGGAAGAAGTAAAGAAGAAAATAGAAAGAGACATGATACGGGAGGATAGATCGTAGATGGATGAGCTCAACATCCTTTGCTTGTTATACTACTAATAATCCTTTCGATCCTTCCAATCCTCCGGGCCTCGGGTTCGGCGACTTTTGAGTCTCGTCACTCGGGGGGATTTTGTTCGTATTTGTAAGCATGCCATCACCTCCGCACTACGTTTCGAACTGCCGAATCTTCTTTCCCTCCTTCTATCATTGCATAATCTCCTTAAATTCATTTAAACACTAGAACTAGTTTCCAATCGATCATTATCTTATCAGACCTAACAATGGCATCGTCATCTGTCTCACTCAAGGCCTCGGCCTTCTCGTTTGTCGCTCTGGCGGTCGGACATACGGTATGTCAGCTCTAGCTTCTAGCTACCCATGGCGTCATCCACCCCCTTGCATTAGCAGGAGCTCCAATAAGCCACACCATCCCATCAAAACCCACAACATCCGTTAACCCACAGTCGATCCACATCTGTATAATCTATATAAACTACCTACTAACCACCATTAACCAGCTCGGAGGAACCCAATGGACCGCCGAACCAGCCTATCGCACCATCGCCGGCACCAAGCCCTGGGCTCTCGGCATTGTCGGCTGGTACCAGGTACTTCATCTATCCTCCATAGCAGATAAACCAACAAGCCATAGATACTAACCATACATCTAGGGAAGCGCCTTTCTCTTTACGACCGGTAAGATTTCTCGATCTCACTACCAAGCAAGAGCTTAATTAACAATGCTTATAGGCATCCTCCATTACCAATGGGCCCGCAACCCCCGAGCCCTTCAGGAGCCTACTAACAAGGCCATCGCCATCATTCTCAATGCCGCGCTGTGGGCTAGCTCGGCGTGGTATTTCAAGCATGGTATCAAGGAGAATGGATGGGTTGTCGGAGCTGCGGCTGCCTGGCAGGCCTGGTCGGTCGTAAGGGCTTGGTTGAAATATTAGATTTTTGCAGGAGACGTTATATAAACGTATAGCGGTAGACTACTAATCACTTTGAAGAAGATTACTAGCGTTTAGTATTATTAAACATTCAAAAGCTCATCACCGCATCAGACATCACCCACCGCCGTTTCTTCGGCTCTCAGCCCCTGAGACCGCATCCTCCCCATGCCCCGCAAGCACCCTCCGAATCATATCCTCCCTCTCCTCTAACATCTGTAAATACTGCAATCGCTCTCTACTCCTCGCCACCCTCGCTAATTCCTCCTGCAACTCTGACGGACTCATCCTTTCATAAGCCACCACCGACGCTATCGACTCCCCGTCCCTAACGCCATCAGACGATAGTTCAGCCGGCGCTTCGCCTAATGTAGCCGAGGCTGATGAAGCTACCTCACCACCACTAGCACCCTGCTTAGCATTCACCCCATCTATCACTGCAGCCCCAGATCCAATCTCCGGATCACCCCGCCTCGGCTTGCGAACAGACCCAGTACTTAGCTCGAATACAGGCCGATCAGCCGAGCTATGTACCGGCCGACTATCGGATTCGTTGAGTGGCGCACCATCGATCTCTGGGAGTAGAGCCGTAGTGTTCTGAATTATATCTTGGTTCTTCCCTTCTGCATGCTGAATAGTTGTGTCCTGTCCGCTTTCTTCGCTATTTGTTCCACCCATCTGTTGTCTTCTTTTTCTGAACCTCTGGAACCACGCCAATATGAGAAGCGCGATGATAGCAACAGCGATGGGCACCGCGACTCCTATTCCGGCCTTCGCGACGGGGGATAGACCAGCTGTACTATTATGATTGGGGGAAGATGCTTGCGTTGCTACTGAGGTCATATACATTGTCGAGACGAGACGGGTTTCTGTTACTGTGACGACGTTGGGTTGTTGGGATGTTGTTGTGGCGGTATCGTCATCTGAGAATGTCGTGGGAGCGGTAGTGGAGGAGGTTGTATCGTCAGAGTCGATGCTGGAGACTACTCCCGCGGTGGCTGTTATTAATGGGTCTTGTGTTGATGTTGGTTCGGATGTTGATTGGGTGGATGCGTAGATTGTTGTCACGACGGAGTAGATGGTCCTCAGCTCGTTAATGTACTCGCCTCGGCGGTCGAGGTTGATGTTTGGCGACATGTAGTCTGGGAGGTTTGGGTGGATGTCGAAGAGGTTGCAGAGGGAAAGGAGGGAGTTGGGAGTTACTGTTTATTGTTAGTTAGGGCGTTAGATGATTGGGGGTGGGTGTATTGACGTCGCTGGTCGGGGTTGATGGGACATTGGTGGAAACATGTTTGAAATTGTGTAGTCGCTGCTATTGTGGGTAGCTCGGTGCAGAAACATGGGTAGTCAGTATAGGAGCAGGTTGTGAGGATAAGGGGATATAGGCAGTTCAACTACGTTGACGAGGTTAGTGGGAGGTTGGGGTGGTGGTTCAGGGCCAGTACTGAGCAGCTAGGAACTTCGCCGAATTTGTGAGAGACGAGTTGACTTCGAGAAATAAAATTCTCAGACACTGGGTGTTGTGTATCTACTGAGAAGAAATGCTGTATAGCTTGTTGCAGGTTCATGGTGACTTGTAAAAGATGCGCCCTGCATGCTGTAACCGGTGGGTAAACGAAGCCTCCAGCTGTGGCGTCGGGTCCGGAAAGAAGATGGCGAAGTACGGGGGACCATCTGCATTATCTATGGAGACTGGTTGGGGAAACATTCTGAATTGTCCTGGTACCATGCAAGGGAGCAGCGGCCAGGGCTTAGATAATCTCTCGTCGTTAGTGAATGGGGTATCTTGAGATAGGTACCTTACTCCTCCAGCTACTGTCATATCCGCATAATATAATATCGTCTATTGCATTATGTTTCATCCCAATGGAGCTATAAGCGCCCCTCATAAACAATTTCAACACCAAGTTGGCCAACCTCAATGTTCAAACACCTCGCACAGAACCGTGCAATCCCCGGAGTGCGGGATGTTTTGGTCTCAGAATCGCCGACATGGAGTAGCCACGAGCACGCCAGCTGCACGCCGCCGGGGAGCTTCAAGATAGTCTACCAGACAATAGGCAGACGGCAGCAGCTAAATGCAGCTGGTGGCCAGGATTATCAGATTTTGATTAAACTCATTGGTGCGCCGAGCACCAACGCTCGGCGCTAACCGAAGCCAGCGCATGGCGGTGCCTTAATTGATCCATGGATCGCTCGGTTAGGAGCCGATCAGCGGTACTCAATGAGATGTACATCAGTGCGTACGGAGCACATGAATTGGAGTATCGCCTTGGATCTAAGACTACATGAGGTTGTCTATATTGAAAACGACTATATTACCTTGACAAATTTCCTATTTCCTGAGAAGATTCTGAAGCCAATACCTCCCGTTCGGACCCTCCGCGGACTGTCCGAACCACAAACCTCCGTCCCACCACCCTTAATGGCTATAAAACCCGCACAATCCCATAATCCCTACAACAAAAACTAAACATTTTATATCGCCCAACCAAGCTAGATATGTCTTCCCCCACCGTCCTAATAATCGGCTGCGGCATCGCCGGTCCCGTCCTCGCCATTCTCCTAAAGCGCAAAGGCTACAACCCCATCGTCTTCGAAAAGGTCCAAGCTCTCGGCGATGCCGGTGCATCATTGATGATACAGCCAAACGGGTATACCTCTCTCTTACCATCCCCATCCACAGCCTCATCTTAGCAGCTAACAATGAATCAGAATGAAAATCCTCAACCTCATCACCCCAACCCACCCCCTCCCAATAATAACCCCCCTTCAATCCCTCTGGCACGGCACAGCCAGCGGCAAAACCCTCGGCCACTCCACCCTCCCCTCAACCTACGTGGACCGTTACACCCAGCCCGCGAGCGGTATAAAGCGCAGTGTCCTCAACCTCTATCTCAAAACCACGCTCCGAGAACACGACATCCCACTGTACGAAGGATACCAACTCAAGAACATCCACGAACTCCCCCACCAGATAACTGCATCCTTCACCAACGGAAAATCAATCACCGGCACGTTCCTCATCGGCTGTGACGGAATCAAATCCTCTACGAGAAGGATCCTCCTCTCCCAAAAAGCAGGAATCGCCGAAGGCCCACCTACATTCACTGGCTTGATTCAAGTAGCGGGGATATCCAAGATCCCACCTTCCATAACTGAGAGGGATGTTTCCCTGAGTAACTGGTACGGCGAGGGAGTGCATGTCGTTGCGTACCCCATCTCTGCCGAGGAGATTTCCTGGGCTGCTACAATTCCGGATACAGAGGGTGAGGAGAGTACGTGGCGCGCTGCTACTGCTGGAACCGAGGTGGAAGACTTACGACAGAAGCTGAGAGAGAAACTACTTGGATTTGAAGACTGTGTTCTTGAAATGGTGAACACAGCGGAGAGAATCATCTCCTATGGATTGTTTGATCGACGAGAGGTTCCTGTCGATCAGTGGTTTTCTGATCACGTAGTGTTAGTGGGTGATGCGGCGCATCCGACGAGTCCGCATTTGGGTCAGGGGGCGAACCAGGCTTTGTAAGTTTCTCTCTTTCACCTGGAGGGTGATAATAGGGATGAGTGCTAATGTTGGATTGGGTAGGGAGGATTGCTATCATCTTAGTCGCATGCTTCCGGATCTGAGGGTGGAAGGGGTGGCGTGGGATGAGGTTGAACAGGGGCTATCTGGTATATTTGAGAAGTTTGCGCGGTTGAGACAGCCGCGCACCTCGGCGTTAGTTAAAGAAGCCCGTCGGCTGGGGGAGCAGCGCGTTGTTGTGGGAGGGCCGGAACGGTGTCGCCAGCGCGATGCAAGAATTGCAGATGCTTGGAGGGATGAGGAGGCTGTGGCGAGGGGACTGGATGGGCTGTTTAAAGAGCCATTCTGAGGTTGCTTGTGCTTGTCCACAAACACGACGGATCATTTTGTGGGGTAACTTATGCTTCGAATATGTACATAATATTCAGTGAATAATTCTGTTAGAATAGATCATCGCTATGCATCGCTCATCACGGCATAACCTGCTCCGTCTCAATTCTACAAAACAGTCTGATACACCCTCTCATCCGCATCAGACTGGTTCCCCTTCCACTCCTTCAACCACACCCCCACAAATCTCACCACCTCCTCATGCACACTAACAATCTCTTTAGGCGCCTTCTCCCCCTCCTTCTTCTGCTGATCCGACAATCCGTTCTGATCCCAGTGATGGACCGCACCTCTCACGCCATCCCACACATCCGCCGCCGGAATATCCAGCAAAATAATCGGCTCACTATCAGACGACTTCCGACTCTGCCAGTCGACTCCGTCCGCTAGTGGTGTCGCGTCGCGCCACGGATCCGCCAACCCGCCTATTATCGCGACGCGCGGATACGAGAAATTGAATCCGCCGAACTGGTTAATTCGCTGAACATCTGGCGGTGTCGTGATTCCGAATGTGTTGGGGCAGAAAGATGAAAGGTAGGGGAGGTCGAGGAGACGAGAGATAAGGGGCTTAGTGGACGAAGGCACAGAGGAGCCTGTAGTGAAATACCCCCATTCAACGCAGACTTGGTAGTTCCAACTAGTGCCGGAGTCCTTGCTGAGGGGCTGCGGGGTGGTAAAGTTCGTGATGTTGGATGATGAGGACTCCGAGGATGAGTCGGCGAAGACTTTCGAGGTGCTTAGGAACCCGATCCAGTTGAGGAAGTTGGTGACCAGGGTCGTGTTGGAGGGATCGTAGCCTGCAATTTGGACCAATTGCTTGACGGACGCGGAGGTGGGTTCGGCGGTTTCGGGGTACAGCAAGTCCGAGTTGGTGATGTTGTTGCAGAAAGCGCGGAAGAGAGGGGTTCCGATGGACTTGTCCCAGTTGCGGGACTGAAACGAGTCCAGACCATAGGAGAGGGAGGAGACAAAGTCCTGGTTACTGAGGTTGGTCGCTGAGCCCCCAAAAGCGGATTTCAGTTGCTGGGCCAGGGTTTTATTGTCGGCATGGTCGATGAGAATGCGATCCACAATATCAATTGACGTCTGTATGGTGGAGATGCACTGAGATGGGCCATACAGTCGGATCGGTTCGTAGTATTCCCAGTAATCAATGATGGCTTCCGTGACGCCAGAAGACGACACCGCGCCCCAGTAGAGCTCCGGGTAGAGTTTGCGGAGGAAAGCGACGAAAGCACCAGCATAAGAGCCGCCATAGGCGATCCACGGAGTGGTGGCTGCCGTAAGATCGAGATGCTCCAGACCGGGGAAGACAATGTTCAAGGCAAAGTAAGCATAGTCAGCGAGCGCCTGCTCGGTGGTCAAGAATCGAATGTTCTCGGTAGTAAGGTTGGTGAATGGGTAGCTCTCGCCGTAATAGCGATGTTCGAGAATGAGGCCAATTCCATGGTACGCTGCCGCTAATTGAGTAACAGCCCCTTGTGAAAGGAAGGGAATACGGTCGCTTCCATCGGTTTCGCCTGCGGCAATTACAAAAACGGGTCCTCCAGGCTGGTAATGGCTGGTGTCAAGCCAGTAGCGCAGGCCAAATGTGGCATTGGTGTGTGGCTCATAGCGTGATTCATTGTGAAAATGGTCTATAGGCACAGAAAGGTTGTACACCGGGAAGCTTGCTGAATCCTGGTTGAGAGAAGCCTGGTGAGACTTGCTGAGCTGGCTGAGTTGGTGCAGATGTGGTACCCGCAACTCCAGGGGGCTGGAGTCGAGGGCAACCGTGGAGGCAATCAAGGTCCCCAGAAGGGGAAGCGAAAGGAACATGATGGTCGTGCGATGGAAGAGTCGGGGGACTCCCCCGACTTTATTACTCCTAGACCCTTATGCGGGGTTTCTTTGCAAGACGAGCTTTATCTAAGCGGTGGAACTGGCGATTGCCAATCAGCCCAGCCAACCAGCAAGGTGTGATGAGGTTGGGACGGCGATCGTCGCGTTATCCGTCGGTCTCCCGGCGTGGCTGGTTTCTGCACTTGCCAATAATTGACAATTATTCCCCGTCTCCTCCATTGTGCTCACCTCCTCGGTTTACTCGTCATTCAGAGCTCGCCAGCCAACTGGTGTCGCTCAGAACGAGTGACCGCAAAACCATTCGCTCCGACATACAGCCCAGGATGGCGTGACATTTGCGGGTACTCGCTGCGCCGTTGAATTTTTAGGGCGGATCACGCCTCGGTCACCCATTGATTCTAACGCACTTCTACCCGGTAGTATCAGCACTGTGTAGTAATGTCGTGATCAATATACTTGGTTGACAATCACAAAAGGTCAATTCGCTCAGAGCAGGGATCGAACCTGGGATACTCCGTGTTCTATCACGTGACTCGACGGGTGAAACCGGGATCGTGAGTCAGTCAACTATTCTTAGTGAATGTTTGAACCCCCTGTTGCTGTGTGGGGGCCGCATTCTGCAGCTTCACCACCAATGCAGAAACCCGGTCCTATCCTGACCAGGGTCATCGAAGCTATTATGCATGGGAACCGACCGTTTATATTGCAATCGTGTTGAAGCTCCCAATATGCTATATATTTCATTTAAATGTACATCATGAGCAGGACAACAGTTTCTATTTCACGTCTTACCCAAAGCGCCAGTTAGGGCTGACAGGAGTCGTCGAAAAGCATCAAGTATCACCCAATGACACCAGACTCTACAGAGAACGTGTTGGTACCTCTACACTACGCGACAGATACGAACCCCCTAATCTACAAAAACTTCCAGTTAACCCAATGCTAGGAAACTTCGGTACAACCAGGAATGCTAAATTGGGGCCGCCCCCAACTCTCACCGTCGCACGCGAGCTTCCATTTGCTCTCCCACAGCATGACTACGACCATGCCTTCAACGCAGCCACTCTCCTCCCTCACCAAGTTGGAAGGAAGTGGACATATCCAATGCTACGCATCACTTCGCCTCCACTCATCCAGGCAGGCTGTGTACATCATGCCCCCTTTCGCCCCAACGATACGGCCTTATGCAGGAACCAGATCACACCCCTAATCAACTCTCCTTCGTCCTGCGTTTGAAGTTTCTTACATTCTTCTGTTTCTATTGGGGTCAGTCTCTCGCTATTCTTCTACCTCGCAGCAAGTTCACTGTCTCGCCGTGGGCAACAACAACAACATGGCATCACGCTCCTTTTCTTCCCAGTCCCTCTTGACCGGCTTTCTCCTGACACTCATTTCCTCCCCCTTCGCCTCCGCTGAACTCACTCTCGCTTCTAATCCCCAAACCACATCCGCTCCCGTCGAGACCGTCTCCCTCATCGATGCCAGCGGCATCCCCATCACCACCGCCAACGACCCAGCCGACAACGCCTGGGTCATCCCCCTGACCGGACCAGCCAGCGCTCCCACCGGCGCTGCCTGGGGCGCGCAAATCCAATATAACAGCGACCTGGCTGGAATACTCCCAGTCGCATTCGGGACCCCTACCACCACCGCCAAACCCACCGCAACAGCGACAACAAAAGCAGCAGCAGCACCAACAACAACAACAGCAACGTTCGTATCAGCCGGCTCGCCCGGCCAAAAGAGCGGAAACTTCGAGCTCGAAATCGCGTTCAGCAACACCCTCCTCCTATCGCAAGACACAAGTCTGAACATCACCTCCACCATAAACAAAACCAACTCAACAACCATACCCTCCCTCCCCGTCGGCCTCAACCTCGGCCTCCAAGACAAATGGAATGGCTCCATTGTGCTGGGAGGTAACTACGACTCCAATCGCATCTACGACGAACCGCACTGGCAAACCACCCCGGAAACCAGCGCCGGCAACACCAGCTTCATCGATACAGGCATGTTAGACATCAGCGCCGTCATCCTCCAACTCTACACCACGCCCAACGCTACAACCAGCAGCAAAGACGCAGAATACCCGTTCGGCGGTACCAGCGTGCAGGAGACGAGTAAGACTCTCCCCGCCATGCTGGACTTTAATTCCGAGTTCCTGTCCGTGCCGGATGAATCCTGGTGCGGACGGAATATCTCGATCGTGTTTAATCCAGATAGCGAGTCATATCCGATATTTGATATTCCAGTTTGGGCCGAGCTGGTTCCCAAGGAGAGGTGTCAGGTATCCAGTGGGAAGGTTGTGCTTGGACGGCCGTTCTTCCAGGCTGCCTATGTGTATGTGAACTCGGCGGGCGATGTGTATTTCAGTTCGATCACTACGGAGGACGTGGATGTTGCGACCAAGCCGTTTGATTTGCATGTGCAGCTTTCGGAGGCGGTCAATGGTACTGAGACTTATGGGGGAGGGAATGGAACGGCGACAGGGTCGGGGAGTGATGCGATGGGGACCTCGGGGGCGGGAAGGTTGGGTGTTGAGGGGGTTTGGGGGGTGGTTGTGGGGATGGGGTTGTTGTTACTGATGTGAAGTGGAGGGTTTTTTGATGTCTTTGTACGATGTGAGCAGGTGTGTGTTATGATTTTGTAATATAGGTTCGCTTCTTCGGTCTGTTGTATGACAGGCTGGGTTTTCTTGATTGAGTGGGTTGGACGTCTATACCCGTTGATGGCAGCTTGGAGGTTATGCTTTTGGTAACGTGAATTGGATTTATGTCATTATCAACCTTCCACTTACTAAAGGAGGCAGACTGATGTCTATAATATTCATATCTACTGCATGAGAGGAGTAGAACCTGCAGGTTGATTACATAAATAGGTCAAAATGCACCTCAAAGCTAAACTTACTTCCATTATCTTCTGAGACGAGCACGGATACGCCTATCTTTGAGGAGCACACATGAACAACCTACCTTGATGAGCTAACTTTCGAGTATGGGGAAGGTAAGCGAAAACGCCCTAACAAGTGCATCACCACTCAAACCCCCGACAACTAAACACCTACCAGACAGTAGCTGAGCCGCACAGCCATAACCACTAATTCCTTGGCTATCTGGCTAGCTGAACAGCCCAAGCCTGCCAATCTTCTCCCCTTCCACAGATATTCTTATCCGCCGACCCACCACGCTAATTCCATCTCACGCACGAAGGATCGTCGCCAATTCCCACGCGTCCATTCCGTAGACGAACCGACCAATCAGCACCTCCATCTCCACTGCCCTAAATGCTACCTATGTGGATCGGAATCAAACGAACAGTCGTTGTTGTATGCCCGGATAATGTCCGCTGGGTGTGAAGAGCCTTACCTGCTAGCATGGTCTAACTGGGATGCGTGAGGCTGAAGACCCTGTCAGCATGGGTTATTAATAAGGTATGGGGTACTCACGCGACGGGAACTTTTTTTTTTTTTTTTTTTGATCGTTTTGCAAAGCGTAGAGCTACTTAGTTGAGCGCCATTGCTTTCTTCAGACCAGTCATGGGTTTCGGGCGATTAGGCGGGTATGCCGCTGTCTTTGCGGGGTTAGTGGTTAGTGTTTCTGCTATTGATTTCAATATCAACAGCACCGGTATGGGACTTCATCTGCTTCTGCGATTATCAGAAGACCCGCTAATGCAAAGTAACCAGACACAGTCAAATCCGCCTCCACCATCGAATTCACAAACCTCCTCAGCACCGCCAACTTCAACGGCACCGTCAACCCCATCTACTCCTCCTCCTACCCAGAAGGCATGCTCTACATGTCCCTTATCCCCTACTGGAACGCGACCGGCAACACAACCTACAACGAGTTTATCATCTCGCGCATGCACAACCACTCGGAGAGCATATTCAGCGGCGAATGGGAGGAGATCGACGTCTTGACGAGCGACTTTGTCACCTGGGGTCTCGCCGCCATGGCTGCGTCAGAGGCGGACTTTCCGGGTAGCCCGACGAACTCTTCTTGGCTGACATGGGCGAAGAAAGTCGCGTATACGATGGAATTGGTTGTTAGTCAGGGCTCGATATGCAACGGCGGACTATATGACGATGAGAGTCAGACGCATGGGACGGAGTTCGATTGGTTCAGCAACGGGGCGTATTTCCAGCTTATTTCGAGAGTGGCGTATGCGAGTGAGGGAGACGACCAGGGGACGTATGCACAGTATGGGGCGAGTGCATGGTCATGGAGTGAGGAAAACGGCATGGTGAATACCACGGATTGGTCGGTGTATGATCTAGTCTCGAATACGACGGTGAATTCATCGACTTGTCAGGCTGTGGATACGGCGAGGTGGAGTTTGGCGTATGGGTTTTATTTGAGTGGTGCGGCGTATATGTATGAAGCGGTAAGCAGCACTATCCCCAGAGATAGATCGTTGTGGGATGATAGCTGACGACACAGCAGACCAAGTCGGACGTCTGGATGACGCGAGCCGAAGGACTCCTCAACAGCACGCTTGACACATTCTTCCTCGACGACATCATGGTCGAAGTGGGCTATAGCAGTGCTAGTCTAGGCACTGCCGAGCAGTCCAAACTGTCTGCTTACCCGTTCAAGGGATTCCTGGCGCTGTGCCTTGCATCCGTGGCAAACCTTATCCCGGAGTTCGCCGGTCGGATTGTGCCGCTCCTGGCAGACACAGCTGTGGCGGTAGCTGAGCAATGCGATGGAACAAGCAACCAGACCGTCTGTGGTTCCGACTGGGGGTCTACTTCGTATAACAAAGACCCGTCCTTCGAGAATACCTGGAATGCCGCCAATATTTTCGCCTCGAAGCTGCTTGCGCCGGAAATATCCGAGTCGGGAAATACTACGAGTAGCGGCAACTCCACGACAAGCAATACAGCAAGCAAAGATGGAAGTGGTATCTCGAATGGCGCGATCGCTGGTGCCGTGGTTGGTGCGGTGGCAGGCGTGGCTTTGATTATTGCGGCGGTCTTCTTCGGCCTGCGTCAAAGGAAGCAGAAGAGAATCCCGGTCCCTACAAAGGAGCCGGATGAGATTGAGTATGCTAAGAAGGGCCCCGCAGAACTGGCGCAGGGGTCTTATGTCCCTGAGATGGATAATGGAGTGGTGACGGAGCTGCCGGGGAAAGTAGATGGGGAGCAGTTGAAGTCCAGTGTTCCTCACGAAGTAGATTCAGCCCCGGTGTCTGAGCTTCCGGTCAGGGTTAACACGATGCGTTATGAACTGGAATGATAGCATAGTTTCGAGCGGTCATGGCTCTTTAGAGCATAATATTAATCAAATTAAAATTTAGACACATAACTCTTATCTGACGTGCTTTGCTTGATGCTATAATTAGTACCTAGACGCCTAGGAATGCTTCGATAATATCTCACGTAAGTCCAAATGCAGCATTCCTACTTCTTTCTGTCCGAGGAAATAGTAAAACAAGGAGAACAAGGCTAACAGTGTACATGAACAGAAAAGAGACTGCAAAATAACGCTATAACCCACTAGCAAGTAAAGTAGCAATTATATAACAGGTAATAATTATATGTGTAAGGGGTCCGTCTTCTTACAACAATTCCAACCATCAGTACCGTCTAAATATACCCCATTTCTCTACTCTACCCGCAAAGCATCTCGCAAAAATACTCATATCACCTCGCTATCAACTCAAATATCAGCGCTGTTCGACAAATCAAGAAACTCTAGGCGGTAGAGAAGGCCAATGAACAAAGACAGAGAAGACATACTCCAGCTCCTCCAGGAAATTTGACATCGAATAAAACTGGCCCGAGTCCGCTGGAGGAAGCGCCTCGTAGCCACTGAGAAAGGTTGATGGTAACGGTTCAATAGTCTGCTGCCACTGATGGCTTCCATATAGTCCAGCCTCTTCCAAGAAAAAGGGATAGTTGTAGTTATAGCTGTATTGCGATATTGTGTTTCCGTCACGAGCGTACTGGCATTGCTGCACCTCTTCTTCGAATCGGACGCGGCATTTTCTCCGCTTGTTCCAGTCTTGGCGGGAGCTGAGGATTATCTGTGGGAAGAAAAAAAATCAGAATTGATGAAGGAAGTATGTTGTCTGCTTTCAGCTTACACTAGGGACTGAGTGGATGGTTATGTTCCAGAAACGGCCAAGCAGAGACTTTCCATCTGTAGAGTCGTTCGATGTTGAATGATCTTCTGGAAGCTCCCAAATACTGGGCTTTCGCTTCAGAGAAGGCTTCCTGGGGGCTTGCGTCGAGGGTGCTTCGCTAGGTGTTGGGCTGGGGCTTCTGCTGGACTTCAGTGGGCCGTAGAGCCAGGTGATGTCGCTATCTTTGTCCCTGCACGAAGTCAGATAATCGCGATCGGGTAAAGTGGGAATCGAGATAGCACTCACCACGAGATAAAAGCCGCTGGCATGCGAATAGTTTGTCGAGTTGAAGCCATCCATGCTCTCCAAAGAGCATTTTCGAAGCGACATCTGACAATACTGTGCTGGTTTATTTGGCGAACATGTTTTCTAGTAGCCCACATCTCATCATACGTCCAGGAATGTGCAAGGTAGTCAACATTGACTTTGGCGTCCTCTTCAATCAAGAGATCATCACGCACAGCCCTTGGACGGGACATGGTAGCCTCGAGGGGCTTAGAAGTCAGAAGATCCGAGATTGGAAGGAGAGGAGGTAGAGGGTGGCGATAGTCACTGGAAGTCAAGGGTCGTCTCTTTGAACCAGGGTGAGTTTATCAAGAACTGGCGCGAGGGTGATGGAACACCTAATATATGGCACACAAGAATGCAAGCATTCACTATCCACCTAGTAGGCAAATGTCAGCTCTACCTCCTCTCTATCGACGCTGGACTAGCACAGTACCAGTCCCACAGCTGATAAGAGCTCTACATGTCATACTGCAATGCCCCCACTCCGAACACGGGCTAATCCAGACGCGTGAATCTGATATTGAGCCTGATTGGCGAACCAGTATCTACAAAAAGACTATATGGGGGAGCTCCCCGGTTGCGGAGAGCTCGAAACACGGCGCGCAGAGGAGTTGCAGTGGCCCAGCCGCCCGGGAGAGCCGAGTTACCGAGATGGGGAATGGTGGACATGACAGCCGGGTGCCACCCAGACCGACGAGGCCGAGTAGGGAAGGAGAAGTTGTAACCATGGGGTGACATCTGGTCTTATCAAGGGACGCGTCCGGGGCTGCTTGAGTCTCCCAGCCAACCACCGCCTCGCTGGTAGGCCGGAAGAGTCAGCCGCCCAATCAGCATCCCGGATTCCACATACTACGCCAGTGCATCAAAAATCTTGACTCCTGGCCATGTCTTGATTCATGCTCTCGGCTGCAATATCCCCGATCCGTGGCGACAGCCGGGGAGCTCCATTTAGGTGGGAAATCTAGACCTGCCGATGAGCGAGATGGGATTCCCCGATCTCCTTCCTTAAGGAGCCCAGCCCGTCCTGTCCAGCCATGAACCACCGTATCGATTCATCGCTACCATTTACCAGCCTAGCATACCATGTCTTCCATAGAATCGTGATGTCTGCGCAAGAAGAATGCTCGGCGTTTTCTCGTCTCGCCTGCGGTTGTCGGCCCCGCCCTATCTCGTAGAGGATCCCTATCAGCATTTTTTCGCGGGGAATGTCCCAGGTCGTAGACAAGCAGAAGTATTTGAAGCAAGCAGGTATCGAGCGAACGTCCTCTGTACTCCTCCACCGCACTTATCTATCATATCAAATAAAGATGCCTTATTGCCTTGGAAAGTCACTAGGCCTGATTGGCCGCGGACAAGAGCCACTCTCCTTTTCTCTTACCGGAAGCCCTACTCTTTGCACAAACACCCCTTACATCTCAGATCTCAACGCCTCGAGGCTTCTCGCTCCTTCGGATCGTACTGAAGCAGATATCCGCTGGACTTCTCACGCCGAACAGGCCTGTGACCCGGAAGACAGCTTCAAAGAGCACGCTGTGTTATGCCTTCCATGCTGCCACCATACCGAAGACAACCACCCCGGTATGGATGATACTCCTTTGGATGGAAAGGCTCGCAATGCTCTTGAAGAGTATTCCAATTCTTTCGATGAATATCGTCTGCTCAAGCGGAGGTTATCTACGTTAACGCACTCGCCACGAAGTGAGAAGGCTGCATAGCCAAGTGCAACACGCTGCGACGCATGCAGTTTCTGGAAGCCATTCAACCTGGCATAATCACGGCGCCACCACTGATGGAATTCTTTGATTGAAAGGAGCTTGTAACACTATGGTTATTTTAGAGCATCGAGCTATATGTAATTTAAATTCTGCGACATGCATTTTCCAACGTTCAGCATTTTCTTATTGAATACAATCTTCGAAGTCGCTGGTGCTCTACATCAATTTTCTTTGTAAGCCAATCTTGGCGAGTCATCCATAATTAAATCACATATATCAATCATATTTATCAGACACCAAACTACTCTGTGATGAATCAAAATGCAACACTCGGATTGAAACATTGAAATGGCGATCGATATTCCTTATCAAATGCTACAGATGCAAATACTTTGGCTTTATTGCTATTAATTCTAGAACCGCTGAACGCAGGGCGGGAATGCAACCTAGCTATCTATTCACAGGAAACAGTAGCAGTGGCGAGTCACCGTCTTATTGGAAGATAATAGCCGTTACCTTAATCCATGGCAGCAACCCAGACCTGCCTTCGACCCTGATCTTAGTCAGGCCGCATTGACCAATCTACATTTCCATGGTCGATGTCAACACGAGATACTATCCTTTTCGTGTGACAAGCTTTCTATGTGCGGTCGTCATGATGGCTGTGCATATAGCATCCCTGTTTGAAAACATGTATGAATAACACTTACGAGACTGGTATACTTATCTAGGTGCAATATAATTATTTTTCACTTAGTAAATCCTACCTTTAGATTCTACTACACGCAGTTAAGGAATAACTGATCTACAATTAGTGGTTTTATCTCTCCCATAAATCTATCTTACCTGACACAACCCAGAACATTCAGCCATCACGACCAACCATGTCCGCCAGAAACAACCACACCTACACCTTCATCCAACCCCAAATCCTCCAACACATCAGCACCTCGCCCAATGCACCATCCAAAGCCCGCCGCGCCGCCACCCGCACCCTCGCCCTCGCCAACGAAATCCATCAGACCCGCCTTTCCTCCTCTCCCTATATTTCCCTCACGTCGCACGCCCAAGCCCGCGAAATCTACGACTGCCGCAACAAGCGCGGTCTTCCAGGCCTCCTCGTACGCACCGAATCCTCCTCCGCCCCGACCACCCAAGACGACACCGTAAATCACGTATACGACAGCTTCGGCATCTTCCTGCACTTCCTCTCGTCTGTGCTGGGCCGGCAATCGATCGATAACGACGACCTCCGGCTCATCGGCTGTCTCCACTACGACAAAAACCTAGACAACGCGTTCTGGACCGGACAGGAAATTATCTTCGGCGACGGAGACGGGGTGTACTTCGCTGGGTTCCCCAAGAGTCTGGATGTCGTCGTGCATGAGCTGATGCATGGAGTGACGGATCATACAGCTGGGTTGTTGTACGAGGGTCAGTCTGGAGCGCTGAGCGAGAGTATCTCTGATGTGTTTTCTTGTGTGATTGAGCAGTGGTGGAGGGGACAGGGAGTCGAGGAGGCGGATTGGGTGGTTGGGAGGGGGGTTTGTGTTTGGCCGAAGGGGAAGAAAGGTGCCGGTGCTGGTGCGGGGGAGATGGGACTGAGGTCATTGAAGGCGCCTGGTACAGCTTATGACGATCCTGTCCTTGGTAGAGATGGACAGCCGAGTCATATGAGGGAATTGGTGTGTACTGAGGAGGATAATGGTGGGGTGCATTGGAATTCGGGCATTCCGAGCCATGCGTTTTATCTTTGCGCTGTGGAGTTCGGGGGACGGAGTTGGGAGAAGGCTGCGGTCGTTTGGTATCGCGCGTTGTTAGATCCGAGAGTTGAGCCGAATTGTAGCTTCCAGAGATTTGCGAGTGTGACGGTGGATATTGCGGAGGCGATGTTTGGGGGAGAGGCTGGTGAAGTCGTGAAGAGGGCGTGGGTGGCGGTTGGAGTTGAGGTTGGGATGGTGTTGTGGACGGTGAAGGGTGATACTGGTTGCTAGAATTGGTGGAATTAGCTTTGAAGTTAGCAGTATTATGAGGTTAGCAGAAGGTACGAAGGAGACTATAGGCATATCCCACTGTTTCTTGCAGCTTGTATCGAGGTCATTTTTAGCAAGCATCAATAAAGTATGCTTTCTAGTACTCACAACTCACATTATTCGAATTCTGGTCTGCAAATAGGAGTTTTCTATTAGTGTTAGACTTCCAAATCACTAAAAGGGGCGGAAGCAACTTGGAAGAGCATAGAACACATCCATAGCTCGACTATGGGCGTTGTATGACAGGTACATAAACACGTAGAATGCACATGTTTGGGTCCTACCAGAAGCTGCAGTTAGTACTCTGTCTGCTTGATAGACTGCTAGCTGAAACGGACGAAGTAGTCCTGCTTGTGTACAGTATACCGGAACTGTTGGTCCTTTCCGCACAACGATAGTATGTCCTTTCCGTATTAGGAGAATGATGCTACAACAGAAACCTGAGTGTATAATTCTATCATGCACAGTCCAGGCAATAAAGCACATGAGCTTCTATGCAGGCAGCACAATATGTTTGACACGTTTGATTACTGACCCAATATGATCCCCTCGCTTAACCTCACCACCGACACTAAAGCGCGCTGATTGGCTCACCTGCTTCAAGAAAGTACTATTCACGCGGCCTCACTGCTCAGTGTCTACAACTACGCGTCTATTTCCTCTCACCTTGGTATTCCCTCTCTCTTGCAGTAGACCGATTCGGACCCAGCGATAGTCAAAGAAGGCTCACTTAGTGAGTAGCAATGCACGACGTTGCCTGATAGGCTGTCTACTATCTGTCCCGGACCAGCAACTTATTTCAATTCAAAGTAAGTAGAATGAAAGCTTCACTTTATCCTCATCTCACTTCACGCGTACTTACCGAAATCCTTTGTACAGGCCACGCGTTGCAGGACTACCAGCCCACTCTCGAACCCATAATAGAACTGACTAGGATTGTTTAATCTAAGATTCAATTCACAAAAGGATAGAGACTCTTCCTTGCATGGAAAAATGGCAACTCCGAGGAAGGCTTCGAATAGGCCGAAGAAACGGACTCTGGTCCGCTGGGACGGTATGTCCCTATCTCGGCTTCAACAATCCCATCTTGTAGAAAAACTCGTTCGACCGAGGCTAACACGTATAGAAAATCTGAACGAGCTCCTTCTGTTGACTGTTCAGTCCGTTTGCAATACAAAGTCGATCAAGATTCCTTGGGCTGAGGTCGCTAATACCATGGGTCATAATGTGACGGAGGGCGCAATTGTACAGCACCTTGCAAAGCTCCGCAGTCGTCGAGTCTCTGCAGACAAGGCCGTTCCCCCTCCTCTTCGGCGTGGTGCTACTGGTATGTCCAAGTCTTCTGAAGAAACGCCCACAAAGAGCGTCTCGGACGAGGCACCAAACACTAGAGCCAGCTCAAGTAAGAACAATGTCTCCGGGTCCCGGGCTAGACCTCGACACCAGGATACGTCCTCAGATGAAGAATGGGTCCAAGGAAGGGCTTCAAGATCACGAAGGCTGCAGAAAAGAAGAAAGTCGGCAGTCAAAGCTGAGGAGAGCTCTTCAGAGGTCGAAAAGAGTGAAAGTGATAACGAGGACAAGTGCAGCAGCGTGGGTAGTTCCAATGAGCTTTTGGTTCCCGGTGCAAAATTCCTCGAATACCCCAATGACGTGGGACAACCACAGCGTAAAGTCGTGACACTCAAGTATCGTCGTCCTTCCGCTGCTGAGGCTGACAATGCACCCTCCAAATCTCTGGACACGGCCAACGACACCACTGGTGTAAATACATCCGTTGTCGTATCTTCCAAACAGCCCTCTGGTGTCTATTCTTTTGACAATGATCCCCATATGATGGATTATTTTCCACACGACGTACCTAGTAGTTATGTGCCTGGGAATGCCTCCAATGAGCTACCTGAATTGCCTTCAGGAGAGAACATATCTTCGGGAGATCTATGGAACACTGACCTCTGCCCGCCCTTCTCATCAGGCATGGTGTATTCGGGCTACAATCCCGATTTCAATGCGATCGCTGCAAATGACCCATTAGCATTCTCTCAAGACATGGCCAGTAGCCTTAGCTATGAGCCTGGCAGTTATCCAAACATGCCCATCAGTTATACCAGGTCGGACCGGCCATTGAACGACTTCGACATGCTTGAAGACATGAAGTGATCAAATCTCCTCTTCTAAGATGGTAAATCAAGCCGGATCAAAGCCCGACAGACTTTCTTTACATACCTTTGCCCTTGCCCTCTTGCATTCTCGCTTCGGCTGCATTGTTATTTATTTCGTACACATTCTGAAGTTTTCTTTCCTGTTCATCCCTTTATTGCCTTGATTTTCATCTCTGATATTTCTGACATCAACGATAATTCTCATTCATGCTTTTCGTTATTTCTTTCATCTCGGATATCTCTCACATCTATGATCAACATAATGTATTTCCCTCCGAATTATTTAGCCAGACAAATCAAGAAGGGCATCGATGCAATTCAACATCAGTAAAGTTTAGAGTGAGATCAAAGGAGAAATACAGTTCTACTAGAGTCAGCCGGTTCAAGTAACTCGAGCGACCGAGATGAATGGAAATATGATGCTATTGACAAATAGTAAACATTCAATATCCGCTTGCACAATTAACTATCTCGCCAATCAAGCCTTGGTTATCAATGATATACTGGATATTTGTCATTTCTTTCCGTCTGCGACCGAGGAAACTCTTTTCGCTTCTCATTCCCGCATTGGTGTACTACTTTATCCACGGAAAATAAACCACCAACCAATATTTACGCAATACCATCGTACCTCTCCAAGAATTTGTGGGTCTGACACTACGCCATTATGTTCGAGCAGAGCTGTCATGGTGAATTTGACCCTTGGAAAGTGGTCAGTGGCGAGAACTTTGTTTTCGCGGGCGGGCTAGAAAGAACCAGGGGAGGCACAGCTGTGGCGTGCGGTGGAGGTTGTGTGCGAAGGCTGGTACTACCAATATGACATTTACTCGTCGTAAAGCTTAACCATGAGGATATTCCCGTGTGTCTCTGACAAGACCACTCTTGATTGAGCTGGTTAAAGTTCCCCTCGGAGTGAAGAGAGGAGCATTCACCAGCAGGGAATATACCAAACACGACAGTGTGTGTAGAACCCATGCAGTGATACTTCTCGTACAGAATGTATTTTCTATTGAAATCTCCTCAAAGAAGCAGTATTATATTATTCTTCTCCCGAATCTCAGACTTGGTGTTACCTTTCCGGCGTGGTGATTTTCGGAAAGATAGACGCCACTTCGCAACTATCAAGCGCAATCACACAATCATCACAGACGCCCATTTCCTTCTCACTTACATCGCATTAGTCATTCTTCAGCTCCTCTCTCATCCAAGAGATCATTCATCATGAAATCCATCCTCGTCCTCTTCGCCTTCGGCCTTTTCGTGACCCAGACCCAGGGCTGTGAAATTCCTGGCACATTCTGCATCCGCTATGGTGCTAAAGCATGCGAGTGCAACGGCGGACACCAGGTACGTGGGATATCTCTGAACTCTAATTCGTCATGCTAATCGTTGGTTTCAGTTGGAATGTCAGGTCACCGTGGCTCCGATGGTGGATGATCAGGGCGGCGAGACCGAGATGTTCTGGACTAGGTTTAGGGACTGTCCTGTGCCGGCTGATGGCGGGTTGCAGTGTATTAATGGGATGTGTACTTCCTAGGTTATTATCGTTGGAGGTAGTCAAGGAGGATTGGATGGTTAGGGGTGATATGCTAGGTTAGAATACTGCTGCGGTGGATTTGCTCCAAGGAAAAGTGGTGTGAAAAAAAGTGGATGTACGGTCGCAAAGGGAACGGGCGTGCTGGTTAGCTCTCAAATGACTCCTACAAGTGAGCGTATTGCGCAACCTTTCTCGGATATGGACATAAGGTAATGGAGATGCTCTCCGGTCGCCAGTAAGAGATAATTCTATTGGATATGAACTCAGTATCAGCAAATGCTTTGTAAACACAACCATTTCTCCTTTCCTGCTGTCCTTGTTGCAAAATTACTATGTGGACCTTTGAACTCAGTAAAGATGCCCAACAGCGAGACTTACATGGCGGAAGCGAAAATTGCCTACAGTACATAGATACGATCTCATCTCGCATAGAAGCGGCTCCTTGGCAAGAGGCGAGAGCTGAACGCTGACGTGTAAAGCTTAACGTATGAGCATCATCTAACCCTACACCTGGTAGTCTGTGCTAGGCATGCATCTCCAACCTCACATGATGATCAAGGTAGCTGTGTTATTGGTCCAAGGTTGCTGATCGGGCTTTGATCTCTTTGAGATCGAGAACTTTGTATGGACATCTACTACAGAGTGTGGCGGTCTGCAGATGAGGCGGAGGGATGAAGCGGGTTGACTTGCTTTCTCATACGCTATGGGCTTTATCCCTTGCATAAAGATAAGCTTGATGGTGGACACCTATTAAACCCCATGCTGGACGGAGGTTTATCGAGATTTGCATTTTGTCGCACAATCCAACATTGCGTACTGGGTTGCAAACAGGCCTCTATCCCACCACTCAACTGTGTCAGCAACAGACGTCTCGTTTAGCTATCAATCATCATTCCAAACCTCTATTCAAATGCAAGCATGTTGCGTCGTGCTATTGAAACTCACTGCACAAGATCTCGGAGATCACCCCGCGATCTGGTGGATCCCCGCCCTTCGGGCGAATGACACGCCTATTCTTGACTCAAAGCCCGTCAGCTCTGATGTTCAGAGCGATGCTCTAGGCCGATTCAAATGACTCATGACAGCCGATAACAGAAGCTGCAGCCAACAGACGAGATCTGACGTAGACGGAATCTATCGGGCAGCTCAAATATACGACGTCTCCCACCCAATCTCCATCCTCATTCCTCCCCTTCAGCGTTAAACCAATCTATCCTCCACCATGAACACTCCAACCAACGCCCACCCCCGATTCGGATGGATCGGTAAGCACCCAACACATTCCCACATTCACCATAGTCCACCCTGTATACAAAGAGACTAAATTCTCCAGGTCTCGGCTCAATGGGCCAGGCCATGGCCCTGAACCTCCAAGCCCATCTATCGCGCATCAACGCCCCATCCCTCCAATTCTACAACCGAACCGAGGCTCGTGGACAGCCCGTTCAAGCAATCGGGGGCGTACAGCACGCCAACATCCCCGAGCTTATCACCAACGTCGATATCTGCTTCGTCGCTGTGACCGATGACACTGCTGTTCGATCCATCATCGATACCATAACAACACTAGACCCAGACCACCTACGCCAGAAACTCATCGTCGACACAACGACCGTCCATCCGGATACGTCTGCCTGGGCACAACGACGTCTTACTGAGTGCGAAGTAAGCTATGTCGCATCACCGGTGTTCGGAGCCACGCCTACCGCGCAAGAAGGCAAGCTATTGTTTGTGGTCGCGGGTGCGGAAGAGGCCGTGCAGCGAGTGGAGCCGTATATTGTGGGTGTTATGGGGCGGAAGATGATGAGGTTGGGGAGTGATGTTACCAGATCTACGTTGTTGAAGTGTACGGGGTGAGTTTAAACCTATCCTAGATATCTACTCATTCGAAGATATATCTAACTAATTATTAGCAACTTCCTCATCGGCGGCATGATGGAGCTTGTTGCAGAAGCACAGGTATTGGCGGAAAAGTCCGGTCTCGGGAACGATGTTCTCGAGGGGTTGCTCGAAGAGCAATATGGTCCACTGCTGACCTCCATGTCGAAGAGGATGACGGGAGGGTTTTATCTGCCTGAACGGGGTCAGCGACCGTGGTCGGATGTGAATTTGGCCATCAAAGATGTCTCGTTGGGGGTGAGTTGTGCCGAGGGCGCGGGAACGGATTTGCCGATTGCGCGGGTTGTTTTGGATCATCTCCGCGCGGCGCGGGGGTATGGGGAGGATAATGGACGTGCGTTGGATTCGTCGTCGATGTATGGGGTATTGAGAGAGCGTGCAGGGCTTGCGTTTGAGTCGGAAAGGGTGAAGCAGAGGGATGCTGGGGGAAGTGATGCGAGTTGAGGGAGAATGTAGTCGGAGATTATATATATCTTTGGTGGCTCTCCCGCAGAGCAAAGAACAACCCATGCATGAGGCATTTCTTCAATGAAACCGTTCAAAATACTTTTGAGATAGATGCAGACATGATGTAAAATGTTACTAATAACCAAGATATTCCTTCAGAAGATAAAAATCGAACAGAAAGGGAGGCTTCCGTACCCAGGTACACCAAATAAAAAAACCAAAAAGAAACGTCAGCGACAGGACTCGAACCTGTGCGGGCGAACCCAATAGATTTCTAGTCTATCGCCTTAACCACTCGGCCACACTGACTAATCGTTGAAGAACGGGAAGACATTGCACAATAAGAACTACCGGTACCATCAGTAGTAACCATTCCATCAAGATATTAAACGAGAGTCATTATTTCATATCATAAATGTAATCTCCACATATACATCCCTCCACCGTAGTACTAATATCTGCATCAAATTTTACAACAAGTAACCCACTTCACCAAGTCCCTCGTATACATCCAACCCGGATACAAACAACAATACACCCCCACCACAGCTGATATCACCACCGCGGACAAACTAGGACGCCCACCACTACTCATCCGGCAGCAGGTCGTCACTTTGCTCGGTTCCTATCACCAACATCAGCTTCCATTTCTCTTATATACCATGGCTGAATCAACTATATAGGGGGAATGGAAAGGAAACCCACCCTGGTTAGGATTATACGGCCTAAACGACTGCGACCTGTCCGGAGCTTGCTTAGATTGAGTACTTGACTTCGGCTGCGACTGCTGCGATTCACCCGTTTCAGCGTGATGAGCGCGGCGGTTCAGTTCTTCCCATCCGCCTCCGGAGCTGAGGTCATCGACTCTTTCGACGATGTCTGCGCCGGTGAGGTGGTATGCGCCAGAGGGTCTGCGTTCGCTGGTCATTGTGTGCTGTCACTTATTTTCTTTCTTGTGATGATGATGTTGATGGATTGATTATGATGGGATAAGAATAGCCAAGGGTGAGGGTGGAGGCAACTTATATTTCAGACTAGTGGGTTATGACATCGTGGGGGAGGAGGGGAGCGGGGAAGGCGAACCGTGGTTGTGGCGATACTTGAAGGCGTGTTATTGGGGGACGGGGCGCGGGTGACGCCCCCGAACATGTGGGTGCCAATCATCGCTGGTGCTTGTTACGCGGATATTGCATCAGATATTATTCATCTTATTCTTGGGAGGGGTATTGTTTGCGGGTTGGTTTGGGGTGTGGATGATTCTTGGCTAGGGTAGGGTTAAGTGGGTGGTGGTGATGGTGAGTGTGCTAGGAGTAGTGGGATTGTCGTTTCCACTTATCGATCACTCAGTGTAATCAAAGCTGGCTCAAATGGTGGGATTGATGATCGGAGGGCAGGTTTGCTGCTACAGATGGTGTGGCATGAGCTATGGATGAGGAACTCAATAGCTAACTATTCCTGTCTTAGCTACATGCAGCATACGCTTCTCCCCCCAAAGGATCAAATATTTATCTAGGAGCGGAGGTGCAATGCTTCTTGAACGCTGTTTCCTTCCACATGGGTTTAAAGCCAGTGAGCAAATTCACCTGCGTGGGCTCTATGATCTCATGAAAAGACTTAGATCATTTCCCACAGCCAGGCGAGTGAATCACCCCAAAAGTTGAGCCATGTGTTGACCCCAGACAGCCGGGCGTCAAGCATGCTTCAAAATCGCATGGCTCTCAAACTGAATCAGGCGTCTAATTCCAGGGGCCAGAAGTCTTGATTTGTCGGATCCCAGAATACAATGAGGGAGGTGACTGACCCGTACATAGTCGCGCTGGTCTAGTTCCCCCATCTCACTACCATCAAGGTCTTTCATCTCCGAGAGTGGCGAAATCTCTGGTAATCCTATCATCTCTACTGAGTAGACGATGACAAACGGGCGCAAAAAGTTACCGAGTGCGTCACCTGTCCAAGTAAGTTCGTAGATAGGGGTATTGAGGCGTACATGGCGCCGATCACGGTATTGATGATCATTCATTGACCAAGCCAAAAGCATAGATCAAAGCATGATGATCACTCCATAAGGGTTCATCGTCGGAAGATCCGCTTATTGGCTTCGGCTCTAATGTCTTAATATCATACGATCGCAGCCCCAGGATGCCTATTTTATCAAGCCGATTTGGAGGGAATGGTTGCTTGCCATCGAGGCCCCAAGTGAAGCCAGGTTCCTCGGGCCTAAGAGTTGCCCAAGCATCCACCAAGCCATTCTTTTCTAGAAGGCCGTTGTCCTCATCGAGGACCGGATTGAAGTCACCTGCGACTAGACCTTGACCTGCGCTGCGAAGGAGGGATGTAGCAATAGATACCTGCTTGGGTCGGTGGGAAGGCTTGATTGGCAAAGAGTCTAGGTGAACATTTACTAGACGTATCCGTGTTGGTTCAGGTTCCATAGGCGAAGGAACGAAGATATCACAGCAGAGAGCATCCCTAGCAAAGTGACTAGGGAACTTCACCCTCCAAATTGGTCCTATGGCGGTGTTTGTCGTGAAGCGTGCCTTAGACAGTAAGGTCATCACCGCAAACGATTGGTCGCCCCACGATGTGTCATCACATTCGCTCGAAAGCCAGAGTTCGCGAACACGCTTGTCTTTCAAGATTTGCTGGAGGGCTGGCTTTGACACTTCTTGGAGGAAAATGATATTCACTCGGGGTTCTAACCCGATAATACACGTGATAATTTCTGTGACGCGTTTCTCGGTCTGAGGCGACGTTGCATCAATATTCCATGTCAGAAGGACAAGCCTTGATGTATCGCTGCTCTCAGCTGGGTCTGCTGGTGTATTTGTATCGATGTCGGACCGAGTGGCAATCCAACTTTGGACAGGGTCAAAAGTATGCCAGGACTGGAAGTTTGGGGAGGCGTAGGCCCCAGATGAAAGTGGTGTTCCGTGTTTCCAGGACAGGAAGCTCGTCTGGGCACGTTTGAATATATCCATGTCTTGGATGGAATGGGTGTTGAATGTGCTCAGCAGTGATGAGGGAGTGGGAGACTGCCTGTGAAGCCAGGGGCGCCTAATACAGCAGGGGATAGTGATGATTGTCATCCTGTCGTTGCTGAGTCATCTCCGCGATCAGGGCAGGCGATTAGTTAGTTAGTTACTGATGTAAAATATTTGCTGGAACTTCCTCCGTATTTTCTTTCGGCTTTTATAATAGGGGCTATAGAAGGTACAAGTGGCACTTTGCCTAAATACAGAATAACGTTGGAGAATCACACCGGTTGTGTAGTCGCTCACGCGACCACCGCAGTTTGGCTGAGGCTTGACCTCCACCACCACCACCTTCCTGAATATGAGTTCTCTGAGCCGAGATAAAAAAAGAGAATTAGATCTCTATATTGTTTAGAGAAACTAATAATAACTGGCTAGTTACTTTATACACTGGTTATATGTGTTGTCAAGCGTAAACAGCGTCGGATGCGCTGCTCAATCACTTGTATCATAATCCTTACTGTGCACTCGCACTAGGAGCACTTGGATTCGTCACATATGGCAACAGCACCTCACAGTGCTCCTGATACGGCAGCGAGGACACCTCCGGCCCCGGGTACTGCAACGACGCTACCCTCGGACTAGTAATCGTAAACTGCGGCCACTCGAACCCAAAGAAGAAGTCAATAGTTGAATCATACGATCGCGCCTTCAGGTAAGCCGGATCGACATTCGGGTTCCCAGTCCGGGCAAAAGCACCCCACATATCCTGGATCGCGTTGGTGTAGTAAATATCCTCAGGCACGCGCACGGGCTGATCAAAAATATAGTATGTGCCGAACACCTCGTACAGATCGCTACTATGACACCGGTAGTATGGAGTATCTGGTTCTCCCACGGGAAAGGTACACAAATCGTAAAAGTCATAGTAGCTGAGTGCGTAGCCTCGGTTGTGGATGTAGAACCAGTGGGATTTGAAGGCCCATGAGGCCGCGGCGATCCACTGGAGTAGGGTGCCGTCGCAGTATAGTTGGCCCTCAGTGCCGAGGTGGACTGAGGCGTTGTAGACCGAGGTGTAGGTAGTGCTGCCGTTGTACACCGTGTTGTTGGTGATTGTGTAGAGACCTGAGTTGAGGGCCGCTTCTGCTTGGGCTTCGTTGATGGCGGCGTCGCTGATGAGGATCTCTAATGCCTCGCTGAAGTTGCTCATACTGGGCCAGAGAGTTGTGGTTGCAAGGGATTGGTATTCCTCAAGCATGTTGCCCGTAAGGACATTGACCGAGTTGATGTACTGTGCTCCGAGTGCATATCGCGCTTGCGTGTAGTCTGCCGAGTAGTGGCCGTCAATGACAGTATACCAACTGATGCTGTTGTTGGTGATGTCAAGCAGTGTCTCTGCAGGTAAAGACCGCAAACAGGAGGCCCGCTGCGTCGCTGTGCCGTTGCAGAATTCCTCAATGTAGGGTAAGGCGTAGGCTGCGGCGACTTCAGCAGTAGCGACATTCGACTTTCCGGACTGGACGATGCCATTTTGAAAGAGGTCTTCGCCCATGATTGCGGGACATGTGATCAGATCATTGACTGATGATCCGCCGGCAGATTGACCGAAGATTGTCACGTTTTTCGGGTTACCTCCAAATCCAGCGATATTTTGCCTAACCCAGCGCAATGCTTGGATCTTATCGGTCATCATGTAGTTGCCGTTGAGCTCACCATCATCGAGAGCCAGAAGGCCGAATATGTTGACGCGGTACTGACTTCCATTTAGCGATAGAGATAATGGCTATTGGGAAAAAGGGACATACATTAAACGAGACAACCACAACATCAGAGCGAGATGCAAGACTAGCCCCATCAAATGTGGAGTCGGCTGCAGAGCCTTGTGTATCCCCACCACCATAGATCCAGACCATGACGGGCTTTCCGTTGTCAGGATTTAAGGAGTCGCTTGACGGGATGTGTGGCGTCCAGACGTTGAGAAACAGGCAGTCCTCACTATTTCCCCAGGGGTCTGAGAAGTAAGCAGTGTTCCAAGATATTCTAGGTGGGCAACATACTCAGACCATACGAGTTGCCCTCAAAATATCCAAACTGCAAGCAGGCCGGTCCGTAACTCGTGGCGTTTACGTATGAAATGGTATGGTTCCACGGCTGCGCCGGTTGAAATCGCAGATCTCCCGTGGGGGGCTGAGCAAAGCGAATCCCAGCGAAGCGAAATGCCATGTGGTCCCTCATACCCTCGAAAGTCGTATCATTGTAAGTGACATTCACACGAGGAAAACCAGAGTAATCCGTATCTACTTTGTCAACAAGAGGGGCGCTGTTGGTGCACAGAAAGGGGAGGTCGGAGCTTGAATTCGTGCTGCTCTGAACAACACCGCGCCATGAAGTAGGGGATGAGGAAGAGCATGATGACCAGAATAGCTGATCAGTAGTGATCCTGCCGAGGTATTGCTGATAGCTGAATAAATTCTCGAAATTGACGTATTCCTCGCAGCTCAGCAATGTCTCATTCTGTTCCGCGCACACTGCATTGGCACCGGCGTAACTCGAGGGCGTATTGACAAATAGTGCGCTAGGCTTAGTCCCATGAGACGTCCAGTTGCCGTCATTCTCGAAGAAGACAGTCGTATCATCGCTCTGTGTGTCACCAGTGGCAGGGACATGTGTTGGCACTGTGGCAACGGCTGCCGCGATAAATACAGCGGGCGCCGCCAGAACATTGAGAGAAATAAACATCCTGTTGCCCTGCTACGGATTGATTCCTATGGCTTCGAGTCAAACGAACTTGGCTTCAGCGGCACACATTGCAGCTTTATAGCCCAGAAGTATCTTGCTTTAGCCAATATGCTACACCTTTATCAGGCTATTTGCTCTTGCCGTCCGTTGTATCCGCATTACCCACGCTATGATTACATCTGCAGGGTGGAACTGGCCCATTTTCTACTCATGCACATTGCGGGGAATGAGGCGGGGGCGAGTGGAGATGGATGCGATGCTTTAGTGCACCGTGCGCCAGATTGCTGTGTGGGGGTGAAGGCATACCCACCCGAGCCCACATTTACATCAACCTGATAGGCTCGGTTTGCTATTATCCTTTAGGGACTCGGACCTGTCAATCGGCTGCTTGCTATTAACACCCCAATCAAGGCAAGACTCCGCAATGTGGACCAACGCAGAGACACTTAATGCTTAGCTGTGCTTGATCTCCGCAGACACGGTGTCGTAGGAGATCTGAGGCGTGGACGTACTGAATACTAGGTCGCCAAGGGTGTATAAAGCCGCGTTGGGGAATTGATTTCAGGTTTTGCTCAAGTGTGCAGTCATTTGAGGAACAGGTTGCGGGGAGATCCTGATGGCACAAGTAATTGATCCACTTGATTATCGCGGGAAGTGTATGACTATTCTCAAGCATCTAAACTGGGTATGTGGACTCTCTATCATCGTCTCAATAATCGATTGGAGTAAATCCATGGGCTATCTTCCAAGCACCACTGATTGGATCACGCTCATTTCGCAAATAATGCAGAAAGCTTTGTTCACGGTAAGGACTCCACCTTGCGATCTCTTCATCTGTTGTTCCCGGAGGGAAGCCGTCTTGGACGCGGAAGAGGTTTATGGGTCTGATGCGTGCCTCTTCTGGGACGAGTTCTGTGACTGCTGTCCCGGCATCCACATCCGAATCCACCGAATATGGACTGGGGATAAATTCCAGTCCTGGAGTGCTGGGTTGACTTCCACCATCCGGATCAAATATGCTGCTACCAAGGTCTTGACAATGTGAGTATTGGAGTTGATTTGTCGACACCGGTAATCCTTCAGATGACTTCATAGCCACTGCACACACTTCTTCTATTGTAATTATGGTGTGTGACCACCTTGCCCCAGTATTCACTTTATAGAACGCTTGCACTGCAGGTGCTTGGCCTGCTAGGCTTAGTGCTGTTTGTCGAAGCTTGGGTTCTCGGCATTTTAGACTAGTGAACCACAGAGGTATTGAAATACCGAGTTCAAGCGTGAGTGGAGGTTGGGATCCGTCTGATCGAGCCGAAGCACCTAGTGCGAACTTAGACTGATCCACTATGTTCTGGAATTGCAGGAGGTATGCGTCGTTTGCGGTCTCCAACTGACATGTGGACGTCCCGATCATTACGTATAGCATCTCGTGATAAGCGAGAAGAAGGGCGCTAGTGCTTATTTGCTGCGGTGATAAAGCCCCTTTCATGCGCAAGGTTTCCATCAGGTCCGTGAACGCAGTGTGCCACACCTTTAGTCTACCAAATAGAGCGAGTCGTTGATTGACTAGCTCAGGAGGTGGCTGGAAGCCATCGGACTTCAGCAAATGTGGTAGGCAAATACGCTGAAAAAGCTGAGTCTCTGTGAGTAAGAGAACAATTGCCTCGCGAGCCGATTTGAGGGAAGTAAACCCCTGTCTTAATACATGCTGAACATCGGGTAGTAAAGCGCCGACTGGAACAGTGGAGAAGTTGAGCGCTGTCGCCCCGAGACGGATAAATATCGGAACGATAATATCTTCCAACCATGCAGCTTTCGATGACGATACGACCCCGGAAGCGATCTGACCACGCAAGGTGACAATGAGTTGCACGCCTTGACAGTAAAGCCGAGTAGCTTGTGCCGCACCACCCTGGAAACCTTCAATGCACATAAAGAGTATACAGCTTACCAGTCCGACCAAGACATCCCCGTCACCGCGCTCTAGTCGCTGACGGACTTGGGACATTGAGCGGGAATACCAGCTGATGGCGTCTCGATGGTACTGGTTAAGGAGAAGGACATCTCTCTGGCGTAGAAAAGCTATGTCTGGACATGGCTCGGGGCTTTCGAACAGGGTACTCAGGGAGATGATGGCATCCCACACAGCGGGTTCGCTGCGGCAAATCTGCGGAACGATGGTACTCCAGAAGTCAACTTCCAGACCCCCGCCGATAAACAGGGCAATATGTTGGAAGTAGTAGGCAAATGCGCGACGCTCCTTCCAGACTGTATCCGGTGCCGAGGACAGGGGCTTGTCGAGAATTGAAAGTGTCGCAGATGTGGAGGAAAACGTGCCTAAATTTGGGCCTTCATACTCGCATTTACGGCCTGTCTTGCTGCATCGAAGACAGTTTGGCTTTTCCTGTCCACACTTGACTCTCCGGACCCTTGAGATGATACTTATAAGCTTGCGCCGCAGAGATATGGATATGAAGCACCTACTTGCAGGTTTTGCAACCTCGCCGCGATCTCAGGGGACCAATTACCGCATCCCTCACATGGGTGGAGGGAGGAGCACGCATATTGCCAGCATCATCCGTGAGGTCAATCAGCTGGATGATGCTTAGCAAACATATTAGCAGCAGAAAAGAAATTGGCCGAGAGACTCAACAAGAGAAGGAATGTTGGAATGGCAGCGATGACTTGTTTCATGATGAGGCGATCATCGGCCCTGACACGTGAGTGGCTGATTCGTGACAAACTAGTCACGTGGCGCTTGGCTAAGGGACAGGATCGCGCAGGCTACACCGCATACAGTTAGTCTGACAGCCTTGTTGATGAGAATAGGGGCACATTGAAGATAATCAGATTTGACCAATTTGATGTTTATCTTATCAATGATTGGGTGTTTGTAGGCCAAACTTCCAGTTGGTGTCAACGCTGCAGAGTTCTGGCCAACCTTGGTTCAGATTTCGGCAATAGTGGCCTTGCCACAACCCGACATTGCTCACTGTGCGGGTTTGATGTTACAGTACGCGCGGCATTTGCTCTTTCATAGCTCGTATCGTGTTTGCTTTTTGTTTCCCTCTTTTCTGCTCACCTACTCGCTCACTTGGTTCTCCCCCTATACCCATACTGCCTCTCAGCCAGTCATTTCCACCAGGTAAAGCTGCAAACCAGTCCCTAATTGACAATAAACTGCGCAAACAGTATTACATCCGATATAGAATCATTGTTATGATGAGAGAACATAAGATAGGTTGAGAGGCAGGTCAAGGCAACAATGCGATCACATGACCCTATCCGAACTCTACTGACGCCCAAACTGGAATCTGGACGAGCTCACAGTCATCGTGTCTTCTTTCGAAAGCGGCTATTATATGCTTAAATGTCTTATCCTTGATCAAGAAATCCGATATGAAGAATAAAGCCAGAATCCCAGACCAGTAGAAAATCCCGCCCTAACACCGCCCAGACGGCAGAGAGTCGACTGAACACGTCAGATGAGGATAAAATGGCCGCCAAAGTCCACCTATACGAGCAAAAGATCTGTGCGATGACCTCATCAGCTCAGCCAGTCCCAAGGAAAGGGCAACATTACCCGCCTTGACCGAAGCAGGATCATTTTCCGCATTCGTTGGACCAACCCCAATTGGACTCTAGACGATGTCATGCAACCAACCCTGAGCCAATGACTTGACGTGGGCGGCTCGTCCCGGGGACTGAATGCGGGGAAATCCGGGGTACATCACACTCATTCCAGACTGGGAAAGATACCCCATCTTCCCCCAGAGTCCAGCAACAACCTAATCGGCGATTGCATATCCTACTAGCCGCAACCCTATACTATGGATCGGCAATTGACTCCGATATAAATATGCCTACGCCCTTCTGGGTATGGGATGGTGGGTTGCTTCTCAGCTGATCCACACCCCCTTTTACTAGTAGCACATTCACTGCATCTTAGTCTCCTGCAATCATGGCAGACAATGACACACCCGACCGATCATCACTCCAATTGAAGAAAGACATCGCGACTGCCGAGCATGATGAGAATGTTGGTGCGGTCGAGTCGACCTCCGATCTGGCCTATGGCGTGGGCGGCATCCGTGGCCTCTTCCGCTCATGGTATGTCTTCGGATCGGCGACCCTGGCATCACTGGGCGGGTTCTCCATGGGGTATGATATGGGTGTCATTTCCATTATCAATGTCATGGATCAGTTCCACGCAGTATACCCTCGTTCCGAATCTGCCTTCGGAAAGGGCTTGATGACAGGAATGTTACTGCTGGGTGCCTTTGTCGGCTGTCTCTTCATGTCCTACCTAGCAGATCGCATCTCGAGAAAGTGGGCCATCACGGTCGTCGTGGTGATCTTCGACATCGGTGCTATCTTGCAGACTGCAGCCGTGAACTACGACATGCTAGTTGCTGGCCGCTTTATTGGCGGTATTGGCGTGGGCACTCTGGCCATGGTACGTACCCCCTTTCCCTCCTGCGGCCTCCTTTCCACCTGCCTATCTACATACTGATCCTTACCCCCGCTGGAGGGTGCACCCCTCTACATCTCCGAAACCTCACCCCCCGAGCTCCGCGGAACCCTCCTGGTCCTCGAATCCATCTCCATCACCCTCGGCGTCGTCATCGCCTACTGGATCACCTACGCGACACGCTACATCCCCAGCGAAGCCTCCTTCCGCCTCCCCTTCGGCCTCCAAATGGTGACCGCTACCCTCCTCGGCATCGGAATTCACTTCTACCCCTACTCTCCGCGCTGGCTCGCCCTCGTCGACCGCCAAGACGACTGTCTCTCCAGCCTCTCCAAACTCCGGGGCCTGCCACGCACCGACCCCCGCATTCAGGCCGAATTCCGCACCATTGTCTCCGAAATCACCTACCAGCGTCTAGTCCAGGAACGTCGCCACCCCGGCGCCACGGGCCTAAAACTCGAGCTCGTCTCCTGGCTAAACCTCTTCTCCCGAAGTACCTGGAAACGCGTCGCCGTGGCCTGCGGCGTGGGGTTCTTCCAACAGTTCTCGGGGATCAATGCGTTCATCTACTACGCGCCGACACTCTTCCAATCTCTAGGGCAGTCGGATAGCATGTCCACCATTCTTTCTGGCGTGTTCAATATCATCCAGGCTGTGGCGGCAGTGATATGTGCGTTCATTATCGAGGGAGTTGGACGCCGCGCACTAGCCATTTATGGTGCCTTTGGCATGGCCGTGGCTTACATCATCATTGCTATCTTGTCCGGGTTGTATTCAGATGACTGGGCAAGCCATGTAGCAGCAGGCTGGGCGTGTGTCGCCATGGCATTCGTGTTCATTTTGGTCTACGGCGTGTCGTATTCGCCGTTGGGGTGGGCCCTGCCGGCGGAAGTGTTTCCTAATGCGTCTCGGTCGAAGGGTGTCGCGTTGGCGACGTGCACTATCTGGCTGTCGGATTTTATTGTCGGAGTGGTGACGCCCTCCATGTTGTCGGATATCGGATACAGAACGTATGTGTTTTTCGCGGTGATGTGTACGTTGGCTGGGGTGTGGGCGGTGCTGTTGGTGCCGGAGACGAGTGGGAAGACGCTGGAGGAGATTGACGGGTTGTTTGGGGACGCGGGGGCTCGGGCAGAGAGGGAGATTGTTAGGGATGCGATGGTCGGGGCGGGGGATTTGGGGGGTATTTAGGGGGTAAGTAGGTTGTGTATTATTTTTCATATAATCAGGATTAGTTTCATGCATTATAGTCAGTTTGGAAGCCACATATGCGGGAGTTGTAGTTCGTTTGCGTGCTAGGAAAGATGTGGTATGCGTAGATGTAACTCGATCTTCTAGGGTGCATTATTCGACGAATCTGAAGTACTCGGTTGTGGAAGATGGATACGATGTATCGACCTAGTCTACAGAGCGAGAGAACCAAAGGATGCGACGGTAACGAATGGGTGGATGGTAAGATTAAGTATTACTGAAAAACGATTGTCTTTGTCAACCTACTATCGGTGTCATAGCGATAGACTTGCAGTGAATTGCACTCGGTCTCCCAGTATCCCATTAGTCATGGTCCCAGATCGACAATAACACTTCCTCGTCCTGTCAATTTGATACGGCATCTGTTGTAATGCCACTGCTCTGATATCACTCCGAAAAGAATGCCCGGAAAGCCAGCTTCTCTGGCCCCGTCCTCCGAATCGCCCATTAATAATAGAATGGGGTCTTCCACAGCCAGGTTGATGGTACTATTGGGAGTATCTCAAACTCCCGAGTCATCCTGGAACCGATGGGAGAATGGCGTGTGCTCATGATACCATTTCTTCCAACTTGAACAGCCTCTGCACAACTGATCATATGCATGGCGGGCCGGATCACCTGTAATACCTCTAGCAAGGCGTTGCTTGTCTTCGAGAATCTGCAGTGCCAAGCCCCCAGACGCATGCCAGGCAATATGACAGTGCAGCAGCCAGGGACCAGGGTTATCGACCTTGAAGGCAAGCACAACGTACCCATTACGGGGCAGCAGGACAACATCACGACGCGGCGGGTTTTTGAGGTCAAAGGTGTTTATGAACTCGTTGATTTGAGTAGAATTTGGGTGCTTATGATTCTTTCTATCCCCAAACATGTCATCATTGAGTGGATGATACGATTGTTTCAGGAGCGCGAAATCGTGGCCGTGGAGATGCATCTGAATGCGAGTATGAATTATCAGCTTGGTCCAGAGAGGCAGTCTTCATTGTCAGACGTACAGGGTGCGCTGCAGGAACGATATCTTTTCCTTTTGGCACGTTTGTATCATTCGGTTGATGCCCACCGTCTATCACCATATAGGCCCATGTCGGAGAGCTATGGCGTCTATCTTTATTGACCTCCATTAGGGCAGCTGTTTCTGGCCAGTCATTCTTACTGTTGTTGATATGCTTAATAGTGGGTTCCTGGTAGTTAACCCATGCAGGTCCGTCCATGACCTTCCAGACTCCGATTTCTGGCCCTTCTTTAACATTGTTCTCGGGCTCGGCTGGGAGCGTCAAGTTATCCCTCTTCACTTTGGTCGGCAATTTGACTTTTCGTAACTGCCATGGTTTCGGCCTCGGCACATCAATGGGGAACGCCGGCTCCAGGTTTGTGTAGTTTTCATCCTGGCATTGTGTGCTATATAGGTGCTTCCCTGATGTTGGATCATGCGGGTAATTTGCATTGTAAGCAAGAATACCCTGTCTCTCATTTTGCGGGCAAGCGAAATTCTGGCAATGTTCGGCTGGCTCTGTTCGAATCCAGTAATTCGGTCTATGATGGCGTCTGGGCTTCGTTTGCAATATGACGTGGTACCGCTGACCTTTTCGTCATTAGACATTCGGGCTCGATAGGTCTTCTACTACGGAGTAAACGCACCAATTCCAATATATAAATGAGTCTTCTTGTACGGCTTCACAGGCACTAAGTCTGCTCCGATAATTTCAAGTTCATGGTCATCGATGCTGAATATGTAGGCCGTATCCGTTGATGCATTAATCAGCCGGAGAAGGATACGCTTGCCCTGCGTCACTAGTCAAAAAATCGGCAGCACAACAGTTGCTCGAAGATAAACTTACTGGCTTGACCTGCGTCTTGTATCGATTGTCCTGATATTTGCCCTGATAGCTGCCTGTGATGCGGTTATTATCACCTCTTGAGAATTGTGAAGTGTTTGTCATCGACCGAGTACACCTACCGTGACCATTGATAAGAATGCTTTCCATCTTGATCGGCCCAGTGGCATGTTTTTCAACGACTCCCCAAGTCCAATCCTCAAAGGCACTCCGATTATTGTGGTCGGCTATGATGAGGGGTTTCATCGCTTCATCATAATGCGGGGTAGATGCAGGCCCATATATAGTCAGTGGCCCAAGGAGACCATCCGTGTATTGCAGACTGTAATGGCTATGGTACCAAGTTGTGCCATACTGGACCGCACGGAATTTGTAGGTATGAGTCTCCCCAGGAGCAATAGGGCATTGAGTGACACCTGGAACGCCATCCGCAAGACTGTCATTCAACATGCGAATGCCATGCATATGAATCGCAGTACCATTTTCCTGCAGCTTGTTTGTTACGTGAACATCTGGCTTCAGTCAATGCGAGAGGCCGGCCACTGAAGATGGCGTGCTACTTACAGACAGTATCGCCCCAGCAAGCCTCTGTGAATGCCCCATCAGCCAATGGTATAAAGAACTTACGACAGGGAGGATCTTACCAATAAGTGGGCCAGGGTACTGAAAGTCAAAGTACTTTCCCTGCCTATAGTCACGACCATCAAGATATTTGGGTTTACTCGTATCATTCGTCACTGAGACGCGTACCTATTGCGTTATTAGTAAGAATTCTCAGAACTAGACGCCTCTCATCACTTACATGCCGATCGATGCCCCGAGGGGCATAGTCCTCATAGTTTGTGTGGATCGTGATATCCTTACCGCGACGATGTGGTTTCTTTTTCAGCCAAATTGTTCTATCGTCTCTCGACGGTGGATCAAAATGTCTATCAAGCCCTGGATACTCGCACTCGAAGTTATCCGACGGGGTATCCAGAGGTCGAAATTTCAATGACGGTCCTTCTAGGTGGGGTCGATCGATCTCGTCAGGAATGTCAAGATCATCGTCAAGTTCCCCTTCTGGTGGATGCAGATACTCGAGGCCATTATCTAGCGGGAGAGTATTTCCGTGTTCCCCGTCAGGGAAAGATGGCTTTTCTAGACTTCCATCAGGTGCAAGCGGATACTGCTGGGATGAAAACAAAGATTGGAAGCTAAAGAAATGGACCAGGGCTGTCCAGCAAGATTCCAACAGCATCTTGAGTCAAGTCACCCTTGGAACCCAAGCGCTCAAGTTAAACAACCGATGAACTTGCCCAAGCCCTGAGAGCATCTCCTCTCCTCGGGAGCAGCTGAGAGTATATAGCTTGAGCGGCGGAAGCCCTAAGGACTGGATACTAGCCTTGACATCTTTGTGTTTACGTCAAGGACTCTCGGTGTGGAGAAGTTTTCATTGCAAGGTTGCATAGTGTGAAGTATATTGCATTTGACAGCTTCGGATACAATATCCGGACAGGGTGTTGCCGCGTTCGGTTACCTGTCATATAATGCCATGAGTCTTGGTACAGATGCATTCGGTTCGACTATGGGGCGTTATCCATTTATACCTTTCGCACGAGAAAGCTTGTCTTCACCGCAGCCCCGCAGCGTGCCAGTGCGTCTGTAGCCCGCTTTGCAGTGGTGCCAAGCCATGAGAAGGTTTCCCAAAAGGTAGACTGTCAAGGATATAGCGTGCATTTTTCTGACAGTGTATATTGCCTTAAAGAGAGCGAAGCCGTTGCGAAGCAAACATCAAGCCCGCATTCAGAATAAAATGGGAGACAGTTGCGGAGACCTCCGCACGATCCGAAATTGAAGCATGCGCACCTTCGGCATTCCGAATGACAGATGGGGGAGCAAAAGGGGTTCCATGGTAGGGTATGTAACACAAGGTGATAGTCGCCCCCCGGACAATAGAATGTAAGTTGCATCGACGGGAAGGCGGTCTCATCGCATGACGTTGAGACTCTAAGGGGCGCGAACTCCGCGGACATTAAGTGCGAATTAGACAGCACTCAACACCGATTTGTTTTTTTCGAATCTTATGTGAGTTGTAATGACACGAGAAATATGCGGTTGCGTAGATGTGGTCATACGGAAAATTTGGGTTCGGCAATGAGAAAACATCTTTTCGAGTCTTTGCCGTCATCGACAGTGTGAGCGACGAGTGACGAATCGTCGCATTCAGTCAAATGGATTCCTAGTATTCCTCTTCATCGACGATAGCAGAAAGGCTTTTTTATCCTTGAATCCCGCAATTTGCCTAGTGGCATGATTGGTGATAGGTGACGCTCTGTCTGCTGGATGGCGATTAATCTTTCTTTTCTATAGACGGGGAACCGTTCGAGGACTCTGTAGTATAACCTGTGGCGAAAATGGCCACTGTAGGAATTCCATGCAGTGATGTGCCATGACTCACAGGTATAGAAGGCCTACTATAGGTATCAAAGTTTTCCTTGTCTTCGGACTGCTCCTGGTCGAGGCAAACCCCCGGAAGAGGCGGATCATTGCGCAGGCGACAGTGGCATCAAACAACCGCATTAGCTCCTGCACGGGGGCGAAAAGGAAGATCGAAATGCCCTAGAAGATATCTCACCCTGCCTAGACTTCCGAAAAAATGAGTACGAAGTATAATTTCAGGATCTCATAGGGTTACTCTATAAGGAAGATCTAAGTGCAGAGACATGGAATAATGGTCAAACAGAGCTCGTTGGCAGACGTTCACACTTTTCAGCAACAGCGCCTGCACGAGTAGCCTGATGTTAGTGCAGAGACTTGCTTACGCGTGTAGTGGATGCTGGTAAGGCCCACGGGTGGGGATCGCTGATGGCCTGCTGTACGTGCTGTTGGCTTGGGCGGGTCAGCTGGGTATGAATTCGGGCGAGCCGACTGGGAAATGCATAGACGCTAGATGCAAACAAAGTGACCGACCGAATAAAATGCTGATCGTCGGATATTAACTACTTGCTGCAGTGCTGACCATGAGCCAGGGACGTTGCAGGACCCTAGGTGAAGTTCAACCTAGCCGGGTGGGGAGATCAATGTGAGTCTCAAGAACTCCCGAGAGGCGACTGGATTGGGTATATCCACCTGTGGATCAAATGCAGGGTATCTAGTCGGGGCTGTGAAAATGGTTCATCGAAGTGGTTTCTGGAGTTATGCTGGTGGGATGTCTTGATGGTGCCGGGGGAATCGTTAGGAAGACCAGTTGCTCTGCTGAGCGGAACTTGATGAGGTAAACATAATCGAGAACGTGTGTCGCCTGTAGCCAACCAGGCGAAGATCTGCGTAGCTCGAGTGTTTCGAATGTCATATTGAGCTGAGTTAATTTGACATTAAGGAATTGAAACTAGACGATCAATGAGTTTCAGAATATGATGCCGTCCCACGAAGCATATGAAATCAGAACTAGATGGTATACACACTTACTAAACCTTGTGACCAGCAATACCTACTCTTCTCGGTTAGAATCAGAAAATTGTTCTCAATTCTCAAGGTGTAGCCAAGGGATTGTGCTGGACTGGAGCACGTGAGCGACAGTAGCTTCTAACTTGGTCTCTGACTACGACAAGAGTCATGTTAGCAGGTCCAGGTGAACTCTGGTTCGAGCCAAGCCAGAATGGAGCCATCCAAGCTTGGCAGCAGCAGTATGGGCTGGAGAGGAATCATCTTCCTGATTATTGGCCGGTGCTCAAGGTTCAATAGGAGCGAGCATCGACATTCTGACACACATCTCACACACCCTGCTTTCCATCGGCCAATGGCGGCCCCTCCGTCGCTGAAAAATAACTGCAGTCTTAAACTGAACGGGCGTAAGAGAAGCAGCATGATGCGCACGAGGGATCCAACCTGGGCCGGGAGTGGACCAAAGGGGGGTCGCGGAGGTCTGACCACCATGAGATTAATTTCCGATGCGTTGTTCCTGGCTTTCCTAACACGATCGGACCCAGAAAAGAAAGCAAAAAAAAGAAAAAGTCAAATGGGAAAAAGAAATGACAAGCCGGGACAAGATAGACAAGGCCGGACAAGCAACGGAATACGAGAAACGACCAAAAATCGCAATTATTTCTTGTTGGACCAAAATGGATGGAAGGGCACGTGGTGCCAAGAAAGCTTGGCCTCTCTCCGGCCGGCGTTGCAGCACGTGCCCCCATCGCGCCCTCTCATTCCTCCGTCCAGATGCACCATCTGCATGCGCTGTTGTCCAATCCCCTTTACCCCCCGGACCATGCCGACGGCTGTGTCCGTCTTGAGGTTGCACCGGCCATGCTTCCGTGATTCTGGAATAATACTTACTCTTTTGCCCGAGTCAATTATACGGACAGGGCAGGGCAGATTCCGGCTTAGCATTGCATCACGTCCACCACCTTTTGAGCCCAGCTTGCACAAGCACAATGGCTCAGGTCCGCCCGAAAACCTGTAGATTCGGCCTCCGCCATCAACTCACACCTTCCATAGGCCATATGAACCATCACCAACAGGCCACTAGTACTAGTCGGGTCGGACGGGGCCTGGCTGCCCCCACCCCATCCACACCCACTTCCCCCCGAATTGACCCATCGACCCGCTCGGGGGACTTCTAGGTACCATTGCATCCAGTCGGCCGTACACCCTCCTTTTTGCCTTCAGCTAGACTAGACATGCTAGTATTCTAGCAGCAGCGCTATGCTAGTGTCCAGCTGCAGTGGCCTGTTCGACTCGCTTAAGACTGTCGCGTGTGATGATGACTACGCGACACCCTCTCGCCAACCACGTGCGGCGATACCACCGTCCTCCTGGCCAACCACAGCTGCTCTCTGCAAAACGTGCTGATGCTGCTTCTTCGAGATGCATGGATCGGTCGCTGCGCCGGTTAGCTGACAGCCTGACACCTCGAGAGGCACACGCCTGCATGCGATTCTCGATCCCCTTCCTGATACTTAAAAGGCGAGCGATCGCCGCTCGCCTTTGCTGACCCTGCTTGCCATCTGCACCTCAAGTTCAGACCATCCTTATCTTACTTGCAAGTCCCCTTCCTCCTCCTTCTGAGGAATCCTCTGCAGATATGGCGGACTTTGGCCCTCGTGCTCCTCACGGCCCCGACATGAACGGCAAGCAGGATTTTGCCGAGATGCACCCCAATGAAAAGGAGGGCTTCGATCGCCTCCTCCGTCCCGACGACAGCTACACGGCAGAGGGTGTCTACTGGGCCGATCTGCCCATTGGGCAGCGTGTCAAGTTCGTCACCTCGGTCGACAACAAGGAACGTAGCCGTCAATGGTCGGCTCTCTGGGCCGAGATCAAGCAGGACCCCCTCTCTCCAATGATGAACTACTTCCGCAACACCATCATTCCCGGTGCTGGTATTGGTCTGGAAGGGTATGTTTACCCCATTCCAATTGGTCTGCATATAGTCCTTTCTAACAGATCTGCCACAGTTACGTCCTCCTGTCCATCGGAAACATCTCCACCCTCTTCCAGCACTCCTTCTCAGCTTGCTGGGACAAGTACGAAATCTGTAACAAGCAGTGGATCAACGCCATTACCTACCTCGAAATCGTCGGTATCATTATCGGTCAGGTCCTCGTTGGTGTCATTGGTGACTGGATAGGCCGTCGTTGGGGTTTGCTGCAGGATGCCTGGATCATGTTCTTGGGTCTGGTCATGTTGACCTGCGCCTGGGGTGTCACACAAAACGGTTGGGTCATCTGCTATGCTTGGTCGCTTTTCATCTACGGTATCGGTGTTGGTAAGTTATAACTTTCCGCTTTGCATTGGCGGCACGAAGCCCTCCTTTCGAAAGCCGATCGGCTAACTCTTCTCAGGTGGTGAGTACCCTATGACTGCCACCAGCGGTATGGAGAACGCTGTTGGTTCCGGCAAGCTCTCTACTCGCGAGGATCGTCTTCACCGTGGTTCCAAGGTTGTTGGTGTCTTCTCCATGCAGGGTTGGGGACAGGTCCTTAACCAGGCCATCCTCATGATCTTGCTTCTTATCTTCAACGCTGGTAGCGGAGAGGAGCCCATCAGCGAGACCAACACCCAATGGACCTACCGTATCTCCTTCGTCATCCCTATGGTTGGTACTTTCTGGCTGATCTACTACCGTGCCTACCACATGAAGGCCGCCAGTAAGCAGCTGGCAGCCACCAAGAAGAAGAACTCGGTCACTGGTTACGACACCGAGTCTCTCCGCCTCACTTTCAAGTACTTTACTCCTCGTGTTATGGCCACTGCTGGTGGATGGTTCGCCAACGACGTTTTCTTCTACGGTGCCAAGCTCTTCTCCGGTGACTTTATCAAGGTCATCAGCCCCAACACCAAGTCCATCTTCGTTACGTGGCAGTGGAGTTTCATCAACTGTGTTGTCACCCTGATGGGCTATTATGCTGCCATCATGTTCGTGGACAACAAGCTCTACGGCCGCAAGTGGATGCAAATCATGGGCTTCTTGCTCTGCTTCATCGTGTATGTGGTGCCTGCCTTCCACTACCACTACTACACTGAAGCCGCCAATATCCACTCCTTCCAGGCCATGTACTTCCTGGGCAGTTTCTTCAACCAATTCGGTCCCAACTGCATCACCTTCCTCGTCGCTGGTGAAGTCTTCCCCACCCCCATCCGTGCCACCGCCCACGGTATCTCCGCCGCCTGCGGTAAGCTGGGAGCCCTGTTGGCTGCTATCCTCTTCAACTACATCGACACTCAGACCAAGTTCTATTTTGTGCCCTGGTGGGGTATCTTCGGCATGTTCCTGACCTTCTTCTTCCTGCCGGATACCACCGGTCTGGATCTCAAGGAGCAGGAGCGCCGCTGGAGATTCATCCGTGAGGGTCGTGAGCACGAGTATCACGGTGTTGCTATCCACCCTAAGCACCTGTCCTTGTGGGAGCGCTTCCGTGGCGTCGGCAAGTACTACGACCCCGAGCTGGACTACCAGCAGCGCGTTGAGGAGTACCGCACTGAGTGGGAGGCCATCATGGCTCGCCGCAGCGAAGAGACCAAGACCGGCGACGATGTCGATTTGGCCTTCGTCGAGGATGACCTCTTGGAGGGTTCCGTCCACAATTACTTCCACCGCACCAGCTCGTTCACCAAGAGCCAGAGCGTGGAGAAGGTCACTGAGGCTGAGCCCTCGGAGTAAAAAAGTCACCGCTGCATCTAATTTTGCACCATGCTCTCATCGGCATGGAATGGATATACCCCACACATACCCCCTCATATATACCCGTCGCTCGTCCGACTTCACAGTACCTGCTGGATAGAGATCTCTTCTGGCTTATTTTATACTTCCTAATTTCCTGTTTATATACATTCGATGTCTAAATGGTTGGACGAGGAGCTGAGACATGTTTTTACTGTACCTAATTCAATACAACTCGGCTCCATACCTGTTGTAACTAAAATGTCTATAGTCATGTTTAAATCCATTGTTCATGCCTCTCATATTGTTCATGTAAATCTAAGCTTGCAGTGTAGTGTTGTCACAGACCTGAGCAAATAAGAACATAATTCAAGCTATCACAACAAGCGACGTCCAATTTCTCAAAGCAACGACTTTTCTTTTATTTTCGAGAACATAAGTCTAAAACAAATGGCCGACAACAGTCCTACAGAAGCCATTTCTATTACAAAACTGCCCTCGATACTCCACCTCCCTTTTCGTCCCCATCCAAGTCCAACATCTACCCTCCAGCCGGGAAATCACAACCCCAATATCCCGAAACCCACCACACCTAATCTCCATACCTAGTCTAAGCTAAGCATCAAAACAAGCTCATCCCCGATCTGAAGCCGCATGTGGCGCAAACTCACTCCCATGCCAATGCTTGGCTCCTTGCATCCACAATTCTTGGTACAGCTTGGCTGGATGGAACCAAGACCTTGGCAAGAAGGCGGAGATTAGAGTTTGTGGAGCATTCAAGCTTTGTGCCTTTAAGCTTGGCTTTGCAATACTATGGATGGGATCGATTAGTGGGGTTAGGTGTGTTGTGGCTTCTTTGGGTGGAAGTGCTTGGTGTGCAGGATAGGAAGAGGATGGTGGTATTGTTGTGAGATGATGAATTTGTTTGTAATTGTATGATCGAAATGCTTAGAACATGAGCCAATTTCCTAGTCAGCTATTTTATTAGCAGAATATGACAAAATTATTTTATTTTGTACGGCTTCTATTATAAAGATCATGGCTCAAGATGAACTTCTCTACGGAGCATCGGTATCCCTGGGTGGATGGATTGTGTATGCCTTAGGCACTAACATATCCAGCACTAAGCCTAATATAGAACTGTTTCCGTTTTGGGGTGGTAGCCAGTCACTTCATCCTAGGGGTGTTTGGCAGGGAATCGACTTGAATGTGAATATAGTGTAATACTTGTTATAGTGTCAATTCATATTAACCTTCTAAGCTTCACCGCTATGATATATTCACAACGGCCATATCACAGTGATGGGCATGTTGGCCATGGACGTGAATGCTCACTTTCGTTCACCAACATGGCGACAAATAGCATCTTAATTCACAGACCCCCTAAAATGCCCATTCTATATGATGAGAATTTTCTCCCCCTTCTTTTTCTCTTCTGTTACCGCCTTACTCCTCATTCTTCTCCGTCACTTGCCATCCCAATCCAATCTTCCCGTGACTTGTAGTCTTCACTAGATTCGCACGGACCATCATGTCTTACAGAGACAACACGAACGTGAAGCACTACGATGGATTCGTGAATGTGAGTTGCAGTGACGGAAAATTCCTCTCTACTGTGATTTTGAGCATGCTAACAGGAGTGACATTAAGCAGTCATCTGGTGCTTCATCCTCCATAGCGAAGAATTCTCAGTTCCGCGAAATTGGCGTGGAATACCAAATGACTCTTCTCGGATCTAAGGTTCACGATGATGGTGAGCGTGGCAAGTCTGAGCATGCACCAATTATCGCAGGCTGTGCTTTGGAGGTAGGCACCAAGCAAGATGGAGAGGAAACTGGGGCCAACAGCATCCCCCAGCTCGGATTGTTGGCAGGTTCGATTCAGAAGTTGTCACTCATCGATAGAGGGGAGCCATACTCGATGGAAACTGATCCCAGATTGTTTTTCAATGTCTCTCAACCATCGAGTGTGTTTATTTGCGGATCACAGGGCTCGGGCAAAAGCCACACGCTCTCGTGCTTGCTGGAAAATTGTCTCATCCAGTCCAAAGCTGGTAGACTGCCAAACCCCCTCACAGGTTTGGTATTTCATTACGACACGTTTTTCAGTGATGTGACTGGCTCTCCGTGTGAGGCAGCCTTTTTGTCATCGCACCACGACGTGAAAGTGAGGGTCCTATGTTCCCCCACTAATATTTGGTCCATAAGAGTCAGTATTCTTATCTCGCTTGGTCATGAATTGGTCCTATCAGACAGTTAACGGCATTTACAGCAAGCCTACTCAAGACTTGACGTCTCCGTGGAGCCTTTGTTTATCGACCAAAAAGATCTAAATACGGAGCGTATGATGAATCTTATGGCTGTTTCGCAGGGTGACGGAGATATACCACTATACATGCAGACGGCCAAGCGGATTCTTCGAGAGATGAGGGTCGCTCAGCAAGAGACCCAGGCTGGTTTCGACTACAAAACTTTCAAAAATAAAATCATCGATTCTGGTTTGACTCCCGGCCAGCTCGAGCCACTGAAACAACGATTGGAGATGCTTGAGAGTTTTATGCCTCAAGCTCAGGTAGCCAAAGCTTCTCACAGAAGAACCCAGGCCCCCCCGAAGCAGGGATCACTTTGGAACCCGAAGGTGAGCACGAGGCACCCGTATTTGGTTGATAATAATTAACCATAATCTCAGCCGGGCCAGTTGACGATCCTTGACCTCTCGTGCCCATGCATCTCACCCGGGACGGCTTGTTCCCTTTTTAACATCGCTCTCGCCATCTTTATGGAGCAGGAGTCCGACATTGGCCGGGTCGTTGCTCTTGATGAAGCCCACAAGGTGAGCTCCCAAGTTAACTTCTCGCTTAGCCTAACTCTAACAGTCAAGCTAGTACATGAAAACATCATCTGAAGCCCAGGCCTTTACCGAAACGCTCCTCTCTGTCGTCCGCCTCCAGCGGCACCTTGCGGCCAGAGTAATCATCTCGACTCAAGAACCCACGGTGTCAACGGATCTTCTTAACCTTTGCACCGCAACCATTGTTCACCGTTTTACCTCTCCCGAGTGGCTGAGAGTCCTGCAGAGGCATCTGGCGGGTGCGGCGACTAATCCTTTCGCTCGCAAGACGGGTAAGGCTGCGGCTAAATCGACTGACGGGGAAGAAGGGCAGCTCAACGAAAGCAACGAGCGCTCCCTGTTTGACCGCATCGTTAATCTTCGTGTGGGCGAGGCTCTTCTGTTTTCTCCGAGTTCCATTGTGGACGTTGAAATTGATGAAGATGGCGGGCACGAGCTGCGTCGGCTCGGATCGGATTACTTGGCTATCAAGATTAGACAGCGCTTGACTACGGATGGGGGCAGAAGTGTGATCGCAGCTTGACTTGTTGTAGCTATTGTTATGGTGGACGTGTAATGGTTGGTAGTTTTGTTTGCAGTTTGTTTTGATGGAATCGGTTGTAATCATGCTCTGAATTTGTTAGTATGGAGCTGGGATGGCGCAACACTCGATGGAAATTAGACTGCTAGTTTGTTTTGAATACAACGGAGTGCTCTAACAATCCATGCAACCGTCTAAACTATCATTATAATCCCCAAATTATTAATTCTGTAAGAGATAGTACTAGTTTAATAATTGTACCGCTAGCATTATATACACAATGAAGTTCATATGCTAGTCGTTTTCGCAGCGCAGGACATGTCGAGCCCTCAAAATAAAGTAAAATAATATAGCAGCATACTACAAGAACCCTCGATGGTCTAGCTGGTTCGTGAAGTTTAGCTGTGAAGGTAATAAATGTAATCGATAAGTCACCAGTCAAAATCATAATATTATACATAATCAATCAAAGCCCAGTCACCTTTCGCGCCGTCTATCGCTATCACAATACAAAAAGATCATTACATCGCATAAAAGTACAATGGTATATACAGTCCTCAGGGGTCAAGGTAATTCATCATCCACTCCCATTATCATCGTCATAATAAGAATAAGTCATACACCATTGACGACTTTATCCTCGGTAGTGGTACTCTCCCCTGTATCCGCAGCACTGCCCAGTTGCCGACCGTAGGCTGACTTGGGTCCATACTGATCATCGTGGCGCTGCGACAGGAAGAGAATAACGGTACTGTAGCAGATTAGCATCTGCTTGGCATCAATGAAATAAGACGTAGCATACCTAACAGTTGTGAATACCCATCCCGGCCAAGCCAGAACAGCGGATGCGATCGCCCTTGGGTTGGTATGATATTCTGTTCCACCATATTAGCATAAAGCAGCACTGTGCGATGTTACCCAAGAGAGGGACATACTCAGAGCAGGCTTCTTCATCGATTCTTCCCAGAACTTCCGCGCCGTTGACGCATCCGTTCCATCGATGCGAGCACTTCCTGTCGCTGTGATGATCTATTCCCATTGTTAGCCCTGCATCCATCCCAAAACCCGTCTCCAGCTATCATACCGTCATCGTCAGGGCCGAACTCAGCATCATCACCGACACAATCACGGCACAAATCTTCCACGCCAACCGGACAGAGCGACTCTCGTGACGTTCCGGCCAGAATAAATCGAAGAAGAACGCTCCCCCGAATATGAATGCGACGGCGATCCCGACGAAGATGTTGTATGATGCGGCGCCGATGAAGTCGTTGTTGTAGACGTAAATTCCAGGATGGTGGTTTTGGATGTCGTCTTGTTGGTCGAGGTAGTCTATTGATTGACACAGGCCATTAGCAGTCGCGAAATAGTACGGTAGTGTGCTGAGTGAAAGAAGAAGGTGATGCTAACCAGACAGCGCCGCTGTTCCAACCGACTCCGAACAAACACAGAAAATCATAGCGAGCTGATAGACAATCATCTTCGTGCGACGCAGATGATACACCCGGTTGAACATGTATGAGCTCTTGAATTTGCTCCATTGCATTTCATGGAGATCTAACCCCCAAATGACGGCCATTATTGAAGATATTTCAAAATAATGGGGGATGAAATTGATGAGAATGAAGGAGCGATATCCTGCCCATTATTTTTCTTATAAGATGAGAATTCGAGAATAGGACAAAGAATGAAGGCAGGGACCACGTCAGGGCTGCATTGATAATCTTGTTTTGTCAGGGTCGGCGGAAGGGCGATCCGTGACGTCAGGCGGGTCCAGCCCGGTTCCACTGCTTTGACACAGTTATTGTGTGCTCTGTCAGTGTCTGCATTCTGCAACTTCATTGCAGCTCCCGCGTTGGCATCCATCATTGGTTTCCACGGGCTGGTGGCGTTCCATGGCGCTTCGCTTATGCTGATGTCGTTGTTTGGTAGGGGTCTGGACGGGGCTCTCAATGGGGTGGTGGTCGGATGCAGGGTCGCACACTGGATTAGACCCTTTGAAGTACGAAAAAGTCGGACAAAGATAGTTATAGTATTTGTGAAAAGTATAGACAAGCTATAGAAGCAATATTAAGCATGTTCCAAACCATACTGCACCAGTGGATCTGGCATCTTGGCCACCAGGAACAATATTGCCAATTCCGGACGACCGATTAGATCATCATCCTTGACTTGTCTGAGCCAATGATATTCATCATCGCGTCGATGTCGGACAGGCGATGATGAATGGATTGATCTGCCTCGTAATTATCCCGGCAATGATGTCAACGCATTGGACACGACCGAGACTCGGCCTTCCGCGTCAAATCCGAGATCGGAAATACGGAGTCTATTCACTGCAGAGCGGTGACCGTGTGTTCCATCGGCACTATGCCGTTGTTCTCTACTGCTGGATCTGTAATGCTTGCTAGAAGATGTCGGAATATTGAAATCTCAGCTACAAAGCTAATATAGCCCCACAAAACTTCTTCGTCAACGCCAATACCACGTCCACATGCTCATGTCGATGCACCAAATTGACTGCAAACGATCCCCGATGTGCCATATATACGCCGTCATTCAGCAAATAGAAATAATATAGATCCCGAATAATTTCCCCATTCTCACCCAAGAATTTCACTCCTACCGCACTCCCTATGCCGCTTACGATCACCTGAAGATCAGGACGCTTATCTTCGAAGATCCGACGTAATCCTTCCCTCAAATAATCCCCCAAGTCATTCGCCCTCTCCAACTCTTCCCGACTCATCAACTTCGCCGCTACAACCCCTGCAGTCATTGAAAATACATTATTATTCCACGTTCCAGTATGGAACAAAGGCTGCTTTTCCCCCGGCTCAAACAATCGCATAATCTCCCTCTTACCACCAAACGCACCGAACGAGAACCCGCCGCCGAAATGCTTCCCCAAGGTCGTCATATCCGGTATGATACTGTACCGTTCCTGGAGTCCACCGTAGCTGAGTCGCGATGTGACCACTTCGTCGAAGATAAGTACTGCCTGCAGCCGGGTCGCTTCGTCGCGCAAGAATTGCAGGAAGGCGATGTCAGCGGGGATCATCCCACCTGCCGCCTGCATGGGTTCGACGAGGATGGCGCCGATGTCGGAAGTGAGTTTTGCTTTTGTATCTAGGATGTCGTTGTAGTTTGCGATGATGAATTCGTGGGGAAGATTGAGGGCGGTGTTGGCGCCGAAGGTGAGCGTGCCGCCGTGATAGCCGTTTTTGAAGACGAGGATCTGGGGATGTTTTAGCTTTAATCCAGCCCAGCTGACGAGGGTATGCGGGAGTACCTTGCTTCTCCCCGTGTATGCGACAGCAACCCCCAGAGAAAACATATTCGCCTCCGTACCCGAATTACAGAATCGGATTGCGTCTATGCTTGGAAACCGCGAGACGAGAATCTGAGCCAGCTCGCTTTCTTTGCTGTTCACACCTCCCAGCGTGAACCCTTGCTGCGTGACGCTGTGGATGGCTTCAATGATGGCCAGATGCGAGTGCCCGAACATTCCTGCGGTGTATTCGGAGACGAAGTCGAGGTATTCATCTCCGTCTAGCGAGGTGAGATAGCAGCCATGTCCGCCGCGAAAGACGAGCGGGTGCGGGGCGTGAATGAGTACGCCGCGCGATGTGCCGCTGGGGATACTGTTGCTGGCGGATTGAATGGCTTCGAATGATTTGGGGTTCTTGGAGCGATAGAGACTGGTGTAGTGGGTCAGGGCGTTGTCTAGATCTGTGGGTGGGGAATTGTTTGACTGGGAGGTCATGGTGTTGATAGTCTGTATCAACTGTGGAGAGACTGGTGGTTGTTAAAATTCTGGGGTATAGGGAGTGTTAAGAGGGATTGGATTTGACAGCAGATGAGGGGTTAAGGTGATTTGGAGATCAATGGTGCACAATGTACCGTGCGGGGTTCAGGGTCAGATACAGTTGCGATAAGCATCGGCCGATCAGGGCTGATTGTGATGATGATTAGTCTAGGTACTAGTGTAGAGATAAGAGATAGATGTTCCCAATAGTATTCGAACCGCAAATAGAAACATGACAATAAGAAGGTGGACTGATTGGTACCGCTCCTTATAGCGAGCACTTACCCAAATAGGAAGTCTGTACGGCTTCACAAAAATCACGTGAGATTAGTCCACGTGATCATATCAATGAATGTTGCACAAATCCATATTTGTATTTATTTACATGTGTCGAACCGCCTTCATCATTAATCAAGATGAAGGATGTGACCTTCAGGTCGCAGCCCAAGTCAACAGCCAGTGTTCCTTCCTCCGTCCCTCAACAGCTGTTCAGCAAACAACAGCTGAAATGCCGCGATGGCTGATACCCCGTATCCTTCGCCCAGGCTTTACCTGGCCAAACAGTACCCCAGCAGTGCCAAGCAACCAGATACCACCTACATCCAAGCCAATCACCCCCTCATTTGTCGCTTTTGGGGTTTCGTCCATCATTATCTGAGATCATTCTCTCACTCATACCATGACTGGGTCGGGATTCCTTTCAACAACCAGGTCGCTGAGCTTGCTTTCGCATTAATTCTAAAATGGTCCGACAGTACCCGACTAGAGGAAGTGTTAACCATGCAGGTTACTAGGAAAGCAGGCCTCCCAGTTCCCAAAGTCATTTGCTTTGGGGATCATCCGGATACTCCCCACGCACTAGTTCGGTTTTGATGACCCGTGCGCCAGGCAGGGAGCTCGATAAGTCCACATAACACTTAGCGACGAAGTGAAAGACTCGATAACCAGCCTACTTGACCTCTATCTAAAAATAACCGAAAGTGGAAAAGCCCACGCGGTGAGAACAGAATATGCTCCTTGATCGGCACTTCTATTCGAAACATCAGGGTGCCAAACCACCGCATTGGTCCATTTGAATACGAGTGGGAACTCAATGAATATCTCACCGAACCCGTATGGCCGGGTGGAACCAGATCGGAGAGGGAGTACAAAGGTGCCATGCATCGGGCTAAAAGGATGCAAGGCATATCCCATCGTACTGTTTTCACTTATGGAGACTTGCAACATCATAATTTCATGGTGCATATTTGCGTATTAAGACTTCTGGTCGTATCACTCTATTCTGACGCTTGGGGAATGGACTACTTGTTCAAGTTGGAATGTGAAAAAGGTCTGACGAGTAACCTGATGGCTTCTGAGCAAGGCCTAAGGACATCATACGCGATAGCCAATCCCTGAAGTGTAGAGCGTTTGCGCAAGCTTGCCATCGTTCAGTTTAGATGGTTCTTTTATCCTCCTGGAATTTTTTTTTTTTTTTTTTTTTTTTTTTTTTTTTTTTTTTTTTTTTTTTTTTTTCAGAAATCTTGATAGAATCGCAAGAAAGATGTTGCGCAGTTGAGCCACTGTCTTGCTGCAATGTTTAGAATTAAATCATCACTACACTAAAAGCACTAAATAATATTTCTGCCACGTAGCCTGACACAGGGCTGCATACCCTACGCAGCATTGATATTCTCCACCCTCTCCGTCCCACCCTTCCCATCCTCCGCCTGCAATTCCACCTCCACCCCATCATGGCCATCCACAATCTTCTTCTCCCCGGAAACATTCACATCCGTCGTCCGATGACCATCCAACAGCTTCCGACTTACCGTGTTCGCATATATCGGGAATATCCACGCGAGTACATAGAACGCCGTCGGAATCGCCATCGCTTTGTGAAAGTTACCCGTATGCGTCGCCACAGCCCCAGTCATGGGCGGGATGGCAGCTCCACCGGAAATAGCGGCTACTAGCATGCTGCCACCGCGTTTGGTGTGGTGGCCTAGACCGCGTAGGGCGAGGGTGAAGATTGTGGCGAAGCAGGCCTGTATTCACCATATTAGTAGGGATGGGTGGTGTTGGGCTTGAAATGTAGGGAGACGTACACTTTCAAAGCACAGGACGAGGATTAACATAGCGACACTGGTCGGACCAGACGTGGTGGTTGCGGCGACACCGAATATGAAGCAGAGCCCCAGGTATGTGGCTAGGATGTATCGGGGTTTTACTCCGATGGTGATGAGTCCGCTGGAGACGAAGCGCATGAAGGTATATAGGCCCTGGCCGACGGCGAGGAGGTCGGCTGACGAGATGTTAGAAAAAATATTCACTCAAGTAAGAAAGAAAAAGAGGACAAAGACATACACGACTTTGAAGCACTATACCCCGCCTCCTCGGCGAAATTGATAAAGTAGTTTGCAACAGCCACCTGTGCCCCGGTATAGCAGAACTCACTCCACACCCCGAGGAACAAATTGTACTGTTTTTTGAACGGTCCAACATCCTTCTCGGAGATGTCCCGCTCCTGCAGACCCATATCCGCATCAGTGACCTCCGGCATGGGCGCGATATAGAAGAGTGGGACAAGCAGGGCCACGAAGCATGCAACACCCAGGTACACCCATTGCACGTTCTTCAGTCCCTGTTGTGTATCGACGGTATTAGCGAAGAACACACGCGAGGCGAGAAGTGGTGCCACGAAGGTCCCCACGCCTTGGATACCCTGCGCCAGGTTCAGTCGGATCTCGGAGTATCGAGGGGGACCGCAGATGGCGAGGAAATTGTCGGCTCCGGTTTCGAGAGTGGAGAGGCCGGCGCCGACGACGAACATGCTGCCGCAGAAACCGCCGAAGGAGGCTTTGACGCCGCTGGGCCAGAAGAGGAGGCAGCCGATTGTCATGACGCATAGGCTGTTACAGTTAGGGTTAGTTGTGGGCGATGAAAGGGCCGTGGTGGTCTTACCCAGTCATGAATGTCACGCGGAAACCGAATCGGCGGAGAATCCACCCCGAGACTGTTAGGGGGCAGAGAAAGTATGCACCAAAGTACGCGGCGGATAAGCCTGATGACATACTCGCGGTGATGTTGAGTTCATCTTGGAAGTGGGAGTTAAGGGTATCGAGAAGGCCGTAAGCAAATCCCCAGAGAAAGAATAGGATGGTCACTAATTGGACCAGATGTTAGCTGATCATCGGATTTCTTAAGATGGTGGGAACATCAAACCGAGAAAATTAGGAAAAAGAGACTGCTTGAGCGTAATGCCCGAACCATCGGTGATGGCCTGGTCATCGATTGTGATGCGGCGTCGCCACATGTTGGGCTATCGCGGAAAGAGGAACAGTAGAGCGGATAATGGAAGAAAAGGGGTTAGCTATACACCTGAAATGCAACGACCACAACGCAGCCCTAGGGACAGCGCGCCCTTTTATTCAACCTGCATCTGGAGAAGCCCAAGCTTCTGGGGCTTCGGGATAATCAAAGCCGAGAAACAAGCCATGTGCTTGATCAGAAGGCTCGAGAGCTGTTGGAAAAAGGCGAATAATCCATAGGGAGTGGCCCAAGCCGAAGCCAGACCAGGGTTTCTCGACAACTGTTGGTTATGGAACGCCACAAGGCAGGCGGATATGCCATGGCCAGCCGCGTGGCCCTCAGACCGCATCGACTCAGGCTTGCGATTGGCTGCATTGCTGGGCTGGGGTAAAGGCGAGAAATTAGCTATTAATTTAGGTTTTGCGGGGACGAACCCCACTCGTGCATCTGTCCAGAGTCGGGAGAGCGAGCAATTTTCTGCATTTTATCATAACTTGAGACAACAGTTCGTTACATATTGAATGTTTCTTATATGTGCACATTGACATTATGAGCGAAAATACGGTATGTACAAATCTCGAAACTGTCTCGAGCTAGGCTCACCCTCTAACAGCATGGATATCAGTACATGATCCCCCGGACACTTGAACCTCCAAACCGTCCTTGTCATTTGTCTGTTGTTCTCCATTCACGGAATAGGATTCAATAGCAAATGGTACCCTGACAACCCCCTCTGTACCACTAGGTCCACACACGCTCAACTGCACGCTCGTGCCATTCAACCGCCAACTAGCCTGGATCGGCCCCTGAGGAGTAGGCACTCTTCCCCGCGCCCAGGACACATTCACATCCAACATCGCTGGACGAAACTCCCACTCAGAAAACCCAGCCGAAGTCGCCTGAACACCAAGTACATATTCCGAGAAAACGTACGTCGGCGCAGCTGCCCAGGGGTGCGCATGCGACGTATAGAAGTCAAGCCCGGGTCGGCCATCAGGGTAAAGATACTCCCAAGTCGTGCCAGTATAATATTCATTTTGAGTCACCATCGCAGCCCAGAGCTGGTCGAGGAGCACGCTAATAGCTGTCGTCCTCGCTTTGCTTGAACTGGGGCTATTGCGACTTTCCTGCATAATCGCTTCTAGGAGGAAGCCAGTGAGAAAAGGCGCAAGATTAGTCGATGATGCGTTGGCAACGGAGCTCGACGTTTTGTAGCCGATTCCAAGCCGGAGTGATGATAACGCCGCGAGTGAGGATTCTGCTTGCGTGGCGTTGGCGACTCCCGCCAGAATAGCCCAGGCGCTACCGGTGATAGACTGCTCGGTCGGGTCGCTCAAGTCGGTAGCGTAGTATCCAAGACGGTGGTTCCAGAGCTGTTGGCGGATCGCAGCTTTGACTGAAGTCGCCGAGCGAGTCCAAGTTGTCGCGACATCTGTCTCATTCATCGCGGATGCAACATCGGCCATCTGGTCGAGTGTGTGGGCAAGAAGTCCCGATACTGCAGTGCCATTGTCGGATCCAGAGAAGAATCTCCCGAGGTTGGTAGCGACCGCCAGTCCAGATTGATCATCTATCAAGGGCAGGATAGCTTCCACACCCTTTTTGATCTTCGCCCAATGCTTGGCCACGAACACCTTGTCGCCAGAATTTCTGTAGTGACCGGCAAATACGTGGAGAAGGAAAATCTGGTAATCGAGAAGTCCGAAAGAAGCATACGTGTCGACATATTTCGCCGACTGGCCCATGGCAGGTGACATGCTGAAAAAGCCAGCGTACTGCGACGAGTCAGGTGCTTGACGGTCAATCCAATATTCTAGTGATCCAGTTATGAAATCCGAGCGATAGGTGCTGGACTGGATGACGCGATACGTGTGTACAAAATCACCATTCCAGACAAGGCGGTCCCTTTTCGCGCCGTCCAGACAGACGGAGTGCTTATTTGCCATCACTCCATATTCTTCGAGGACGGAGCTGAGCGTCATCGAATTCTGGTACAGCAGGGTACCATTCTGCGCATGAACCGTAACATCCTTGACAAGCGCAATCTGGTCCTGATATGGCCCAAAGCCCCAGGTACCGCCTGTCAGACTGCCAGAGGAACCAGTAGTGCCAGATACGATTTGCAGGTCATCCAGTGCCACGAATATTTCAGTTCCATTGATGGTAACGCCGTATCCGGTCGCATTAATGGAGGTTGAAATCTCATACCACTGCCCCTCCTTGATGTTAAAAGGCAAGGAATAATGGTTCACTTTTCCGGTGGTGAGAGAGGTCTGATTCACCAAGTTCCACCCGTAACCCACAGCTAGTGAGTTTGGGGGGACAATGGTTCGGTTGGTATTGACAAACGTCGAGCCAACAGGATATTCACTGGTAAGAACAAAGTAAGGACCAAAGCCACCCACACCCGCGGCGACCTTCCATCCTGTTCCTCCACGGACAATCTTGGTCTGGAAGGTCATGGTGTAGTTGCCAAAGGAGGCTCCTACCACCGATTGGGCAGGCTGCTGTCCACGAAGATACACTCCGTCTTCAGTGACTTCCCATGTTGACGGTGCGGTATCTGCAGCAATGCATGCTTGCTGGACTGTACGTGGCCCCAAGGCCCAGATTTCATTATACAGATTATTCGAGCTTTCGAAGTATCCAGGCAGCTTGTCCACCGCAGTGCGATCATTTTGAGATCTGATACCCGCTTGGCATATGCGGACACTGCCTTCCGTGAGAAGCTTGAGGTTCTGCCAGCGAAGACCCCCTTGAATGAAGAACGACTCCACCGTCCCAGGAGAGGTGACATTGAAAGTTTCGACACGGAAGGTGTTGGAAAGGCCATTGGAGAAGGTCCATGGCCCATCACCAAACGGCTCATCAAGACCAGTTTTGGATTCAGTGTATTTGGCCTCGAGCTGGACTGCAGTTGACAGAAAGTCCACATGGAATAAGGGGAAGCCTCCAACCTCGGTACCGTAGTCTAGGGTAACCAATGGGCTCTTCTGGTCAAGTGTGAAGCAGGATGCATTCCCATAACCGGTGTAGTTCGTAAATCCAGAACCAATTTCATATCGGGTGGGGGGCACGACAGCCTCCCTATCACTTCTGTCAGCAATAACTGAGTTGTAATGGTCGAATGTTTATACGCGCCTTTGGGCACCTATGAGTGACGCGAACAGCAAGCTGCTGCATGTGAAGATGGTCAATTGCTTCCCAGACATTTTGCACCCGTAGTTGTCAAGGGTTGGCAACTGCCGGCTGCCTCTAGCACTTCCATTCATATAAGGACCCTGGTTATTAAAATCTCCTCATCAGGCACCAGCTTTACCCCAGCTGTTGACATGATTCAGCTGTCGGTCAGTGGATCGGGATGTGGGCACCTCCATCTATCCGGCACGGCAATTGGTGCACGGGCTATCGCTTCCCCGACAGAAATCCTTTCAGGGTCTTCACCCCGCATTCATCACGGGTTATTATGTGCCGAATCTGCGGACCATCCTTACTGGTTTCACTTACGGTACTTGTCTCCTGCATGGTTCCTCAGCAGACTTCCAAGCAGCAGTTCGGATTTTTCATGTCCTTAAGGGCGGTGCTCATCAAGTCGAAACAAAGCGCAACGCAGTCCAAAAGAGGAAGGTCGGCGAGGAACTATCCCGCCCTCAAATTTCAGGCAGCTACTCGCAAATAACGGGCAGAACCATACCGCCTTGACAAATTTGCTGGAAATAGCAGATCCTTATTGCCTCAGGCACCAGCTCATTGGGGGCCTAAGGCTGCATGTCTCCGGAGTCTTCCAAAAAGATGATCTGTCAGGGAGTCCCATGTCAATTGCCTGATAATGCCTAATGCCTTGACGGAAGAAAGGTCCTCATCCCAACCATCAAGGCTAGGTAGTGTTTGCAGCTCACACCTCGTATCCACAGTCTCATTGAGAGTCAAATAATGCTTCGTAGGATTCGAGTGCCATGATGAATCAGATCCGATCGTCCCTTTGCACCTTCGGACTGACTAGGCCACCGTCGAATGAATAGTACGTCCATGGCCAATGTTCTCATTCCGCAAAACAAAGCTCCGGTTATGTCGATCAGTGGGAAGCCTTACACGCGAACACGGGAAGATCATCGCCCTGCATATAAATCTCGTATCCGAAGGCGGAGAATAAGCAAGAGATATGATAGCTGAAAGTGACCTGCACTAGGCTAAAGACTATACCTACCTGACGTGCAACTTTATACAGAAGCTATTATGCTTTGGTAGCTCCCGAAGGCTTCTTCTGAGCCCTGCTTAATCCCATAACTGAAGGTACAGCATGCTCGCCCGGCTAATCAACACGGTAAGTTTCCAAGATCCCATGGCGACTACAGCATACTCTTGCGCATAGCTGGCAAATCAATCATGGCATACCTCTAGATGACGTAAGCCTACTGCAGCGAGTGCGTCTATAGCTGCACCGACTTGACCAGATCTCAGTCAGTGAGCCATACCCCAGCTACCAGGCTCTACCCGGGGTATCCGGCACAATTTCGTTGGATAGCTGCGGTTTTGCATAGAGCCAAGAGTGGCTATGATTCTGTCCAACAATGTTTGCCTTCAACATGGGGCTTTATCGAACAACAACTTGGACGCCTCGCACTCTTGTCCAGTCATATCCAAGAGATACCTCATGAGAAATGTACGAGCACTCGTAACCAACACCAGCACAATCCGAGCCTTGTCATCTACACAACTACAGTTAGTCCATCGAGCTATATATATACTACCTCAGCCCGCCAACCTGACTACCTACTTCACATCCATATTAGCACATCATCAATATCCTCAGCAAGTTCCAGAATATCTAACTCGAACCGAGAAACATCACCAAAATGCAACTCTTTTCAGCCCTCACCCTTACCGTCGTTACCACACTTCTCGCCTCTGCTCATGGAACCGCAACCATCGGGGGCCCCTGCAGCGGTAGCAGCACTTACGACTGCACCGACGACTTTGACGCCGTGGCAATCTGTAACGGTGCACGATGGGTAGAGGCTGCCCAGTGTGGAGCTGGATGCTGCGCCTGGCCACTGGGTGATCCCGCCCCATTCTGTAGTTGCTAGGCGATGGACTGGGGTAAGTTCTCTTCAAGAATTATGAGATGAGATGAGTGTACTAACCTTGATGTGTTGTATGTTCAGCACAGAGCCATGACTTGAGTGTATCTGGTCTTGTCGCTGGCGGAATACGGGGTAGATTTGTTTTTTTCCCCGCTTTCTGTGTGTATTCGATCTGTGATGTATATGGGTTCTATGAGTGGCCGATTGATGGTATACGGGACGATTACCTACTGTATCCTGATCATGGTAGCTGCGTACTCTGTCTGAATCAAGAAATCCTGAAGGCAAGGTACGACTTATGTCTTAATCAAGAACAACCATCAATCCATTTGAATCAAATAATGCATGTTGTAAGCGACTTGCGAAACAAACCTGTCTGGCAAGATAGCAATGCCCAGGTGCCTCATCATCATTGGAAACCTGATGAGCATATCCATTCCGAGGTCATTATACCACCCGATTGTCCTTACAAAAGCGCGTGAGAGAACATGTTGACTTAATTCTCCACTATCAAATGAGACACCAAAACGCTAGCCCAATCTGGCTTGGTGCAGGATTTAGCGTTAATCCTGTACCATCATAGTGCATGATTGGTTGATGATGGCCGCCATTTCCCTGCTGCGCCAACTCACTGCTCAAGGCGGGGCATTGGCCAAGGACAGGGTAGGGCATTCGCAGCATCAAGACTGGATGAACCGTGCAAGCTCATTTCAGTCGACCTATTAACATCGCCCCTTTGAGGCGGACAAGCCGCGAAAGGCAGCCAAAAAATGCCCGACCTCTTCTATAAAGCCAAGTCCTCATGGCTCAGAAGACGACGACATGAGAAGGAAACACCGTCTACCAGAAGCAGTGCCCCGAACAGGGAGAGCAATAGTATACCAGAAGGCCTGATGTCTAGACAAGAGAATCTTGATAGACCTGCCCCTCCATATGACGATCTCTGGATCCAAGCTGAGCAGAAATTGAGACACAACAGTGAACTGGATACGATCATGACAGCCTCCATTGAAATACTGCAGTCCGATTATAATTTGAACTTTCAACCTGGGGACTCATCCCTCCATGAGCGACTGTCCGACTTTCTTAAGACCAAGGCGAATCTGGTGGAGGAGAGGAAGTGGATGATACACCTAGGAACCCATACCATCATCGTCCGGGACCAACTTACCAAGGTGTTCCAAACCATCCTGGCAGTGAAAGATATTGTGACTACTGCGGCAAATGCAAGTCTCCCAGCCTCACTTGCCTGTGCTGGAATAATGGCCTGTTTTACGGTGAGCACTGGTTTAGTACTATCCCTGGCATCAATGGCCTATTATCTAACGATGTTCAGACGGTCATCCAAGCAGCAGAGCAGCATTCCCATCTCCTGCAAGGATTAGAATCTGTTTCTGAGTTAATTTGCCGATTGCACGTAATGGAGCGCCTTTATCTGCACTCGGACACGAAACAGGACATTGGCCTCCTTGATGACCTTCGGAAAACTATGATTTCTTTTTACTCAAAGATATTGGAGTTCCAGGCCCGGGCGCTCTGCTATTTACACAGACCCCGAGCATACCAATTCTGGAGAGATGTCCTTAACCGCGACGGCTGGGCTAACCTGCTGCAAGAATTTGAGAGATACCAGATCACGCTAGGTCGAACTACTTCGGTTATTGCAGATGCAGGATCAATGCAAAGACACGAAGAGCTTCAGAACAAGTACCAAGCGATACTGGAGGCCTTACACAATCGCGACATATGGACAGCTACGTCCGATCGAGATGAGAAGGTGAAACGATTCCTCAACCTGCTCTACACCTGTCCCTATAAGGACCGAAAAGACCGAAACAGCAAGCGTGTCCTTGGAACCTGTGAATGGTTCATAGGGCATGAGAAATTCCATGCCTGGCAAGGGAGTTCAGGAAACGGCCTCTCAAGTCTACTATGGGTGTCGGCTGATCCAGGATGTGGCAAGTCAGTCTTAACTCGATATCTCGTGGATGAGGTTCTTGTCAGCAATGATAAGCGAACAGTCTGCTATTTCTTCTTTAAAGACGACTTTACCGACCAGAAGAGCGCAACGAGCGCGCTTTCAGTCATATTAAGGCAGCTATTTATAGCGCAGCCTCACCTTTTGCACGACGCAATACTGGATAAAGCGGACACTGACAGTAGCAAGCTTACTCAGTCATTCTCAGAGCTGTGGAGTATACTCATGTCTGTTTCGACCGATCCAAAGGCGGAAGAAATAATTTGTCTCCTTGATGCCTTAGACGAGTGCCACGACGAGGACCGGAGCCGGCTCATCAACGCTGTCAACGACTTTTATGCAAACACCCACAAGAATAGCAAACTGAAGTTCTTGATTACAAGTAGACCATATGAGCATATACGGCGTGGATTCTCCCCTCTTATCACAGAATCACCCACCATCCACTTAAGTGGTGACGACGGGAAAGAGGCTGAGCAGATAACTCATGAAATAAATCTTGTCATCCGAAAAAGAGTGCAGGACATCAGCAAGCAAAGATCGCTGATGAAGGAGGAATGCACAATGCTCATAGACAGGCTTACTTCGGTTCAAAATCGAACTTATCTGTGGGTGAGTCTGATATTAGATGTCCTCGAGAATACCCCGGAGTTCTCAAAAGGTAAAGTCCATCGGATACTGAGTGACCTACCCACCACCGTTGACAGTGCCTATGAGAGAATCTTGGATCGAAGTCCAGATATGGAAAAGGCTAAGATAGTTCTTCATATTATTACGGCAGCTATGCGACCTCTCTCCCTGGAAGAACTGTCTCTGGCCCTAGCACTCAGCGCAGGCTATCAAGCCCCAACAGATATAGTTGATAACATGGAGCCAACGCATCGCTTCAAAAAGACCCTAAGAGACCTTTGCGGGCTCTTTGTGATCATTCTGGATGACAAGGTCTATCTTCTGCATCAGACCGCGAAAGAGTTTTTGGTTCGGAACAGCAACTCGATCCTGGACAAAACCCTCTCCCAACCCACAATAGGATGGAAATATTCACTCCATGCAGATGAATCGAACCAGATCCTTGCGGAAATATGCATTTCCTGTATATCTCTCGATCCAGATGACTTTCCTCAGGAATGTATGCTAGAGTACTCATCATCTTACTGGGACACTCATTTCCGCCAAGCTTGCATTCCAGACGAGGACCCGCTAATAGACCGCGCGAAGTTACTTTGCGAACCATGGTCGGATATATTTCAAACATGGTCGAGAATTTATGCTGTAAAAACAGATAATATTCCTGACAGCACTTCATCACTTGTGATTGCATCATCCATGGGGCTTGTCGGCGTGGTTAAGTCCATTCTTCCTACAGGAAAAGCAAACCTTAACTCGAAGGATTCGGACTACGATCAGACACCATTATCATGGGCAGCGGAACGTGGCCACGTGGCAGTTGTGAAGCTTCTGCTTGCCGCAGAGGAGGTGGACATCGACTCGAGGAACTCAATTGGCCGAAGCCCACTGTCATTAGCAGCTCAGAATGGTCACGATGAAGTGGTGAAGCTCCTTATCCGTGAAGATGTGGACATTGATTCGAAGGATGTACCTGGCAGTACGCCGCTAGCACTGGCAGCTGAGAATGGCCACGAGAGAATAATTCGCCTTCTACTTGCTACAGGAAAGGCAGACATCGACTCCAGGGATTCATCCGGAAATAGTCCCCTGTCGTTGGCAGCACAGTTTGGCCACGAGGCAGTGGTAAAAATCCTCCTTGCTAGCGGAGAGGTTGATGTCAATAACAAGGATTCAAGGGGCAAGACCCCATTATCCTGGGCAGCAAGGGAAGGCTACGAAGCAGTAGTAAGGTGCCTTCTCGATACAGGAAAGGTAGAAGTTGACTCCAAGGACTCTGATAACCGTACTCCTCTGCTTCTGGCAGCAATACAAGGTTGTGAGGGAATTGTGAAGCAATTGCTTGCTACTGCACAGGTTGATGTTAACATAAGAGATCGAAGATATGGTAGGGAGCCGCTTTCCTGGGCTGCTGGGGAAGGCCACGAGGCAGTGGTTAAGCTGCTTCTTTCTACCCGGGAGGTGGATGTTGATGTAAGGGATCCGAGATATGGCAGGTCACCGCTTTCGTGGGCTGCTGGGGAAGGCCACGAGGAAGTGGTTGGATTTCTGCTTGCTACGGGAAAGGTAGATGTTGAATCGAAAAGCATAAGGGGTCGTACTCCTCTTTCTTGGGCGGCGTGGGAGGGTCATGACACAGTGGTAAAACTCCTGCTCGCTACTGGTGAGGTGGATGTCAACAGCAGAGATTCGGAGGGTCGTACGCCGCTGTCTTGGGCAGCGGAGAATGGCAACGAGGCTGTGATAAAGCTCCTCATTGGTACGGGAAATGCAGATGTTAGCGCCAGGGATGTAAATGGGCGCACACCTCAGGATTGGGCGGCAGAGTATGATCACCAGAGTGTGGTGAAAATTTTTCAGATGTGCTAGTGCATAGGGCCCTTCCACTGTAAATTGTCTTCTTCAGCTGGAAGTGGTAGAATGGCAGAAATGATAGTCAGGTCCTCGAATGCTCTGATACCATGGTCTGGCGACGTTCATATCTTTGCCAGACTTCAATAAAGTCAGAGAAAAAAAAAAGTGTAGCTGTCGAACATTCACAGCTTTATTGATTCGATAATTCGACTTTACGAGATGAATTTCTATTAATCCTTCAAGGAGGTAACTATAGATTTTTCAATTGCGTCACTTGAGGCCATAGCATTGCATAGTCACTCCATAAAGGTACCCCTAGTTCTCGCGCCTAGTCCTGACCTTTACCCACCTTTGATAACCGAACCCATTCCGACACCTAACCTGCAGCATCAACACAACCCACACTAACAGCCGATACCCCACCATCAGCACTACACCAGCAACCAGTCCAATCTCCGGTTGATCTGTATCCAAGTCATAAAGTTTTAAAGCCTGCTTCCCGGTCTGAAGAGGACATGACCCATCCGCCCGACGCTGACTATCCGTACACTGCAGCTCCAAGCCAGTCAGACAGTAGTACGCCAGATTATCAATAGCATATTTGATAGGCGAGATGTGATTAAACCACTGCAAAACGCGCGGTGGACTCAGGCTCATCGTCCCCCCAAGCATAGTAAATATAGACAACAACGCCGACGTGCAGTTCATAGCCAGGCTGAGGTTCCGTCCTAAAACGAGACACGCGAGCATACTCAAAGACTCGCCGGTGTTAAGCGTACATACTGCACTCAAGAAGGAGACGCCGAGCTTCGTCGCCGTGGGGCCTAGCTGCGCGGCGTAGGCGAAGAGAAGGCTGAAAATTCCGGCTGCAATTATCTCCAAAGGGAGTTCTATGGCCGTGTATTGGGTGAGGAAGGCTGTAGCACCGTACAAGTGAATGGAGGATTCAAGCTCGAAGAGATCTCGCTTGGCTGGAAAGGTCGCGATGTTCTGGAGCATGCCGTTGAATGCTACCGGGCCGTACTGTATCATGAGACCCATGCGTGTCTGGATCGAATTGTAGTCTTTGTGCAGGGGCGCCACGAATATGGTCCAGATAAGACCCATACCTGGGCATTGGGCAAGTCGCACGAACAAAGAGAGAGGGTTGCGGAGCATGTTGAGGTAGGCGCGGTGTAGGAGGACGCGGGTAGTAGGAATGAAGCGGCGGCATTTGGTTTGGGGCCCAGAGGGGTCAAGATGCCAGAGGGTAGGGGATTCTGAAGCTGTCGATACTGCCGATGACTGCCATTGCGTCCACTTTTCTATTAGGCTTTCTAATTCCCGGGAAGAAGAGCCAGCTGTTATATCAACGAAGAAGTCAGCCAGGCTTGCGGTATGGGGACAGGTGTATCCGAGACGGTCAAAGTAGGAAGCCATCTGGCTAGCATCCGCCGCGTACACGGGACAACCGTCCGGGCTGAGAAGGAGACAGGTCGAAAACAGTGCCCACATGGCGGAGGATGGTTGATGAATGGAGAGAACGACGGTACATCCATCGGATGATAGTTGATGAAGCAGCTCAAGGACGGAGAGAGCAGTACACGAGTCCAGGCCAGAGGTTGGCTCGTCAAGAACCAGCACTCTTGGCTCTGTTACGGCTTCACAGGCTATTGACAGGCGTCGCTTCTCACCACCGCTGATTCCTTTATTGAGTATCTCAACGATAAGAAGGAACATAATCACCAAGACGTACAAGCGTAGGGGGTTTGGGGGGGTTCCAGCTGTGAAGATCTTGAAATGTGTGAGTCAATAGTGCCCTTCGATTAGAAGTTACATATTTAAAACACAGGTTTAGGCCAAGCACAAAAAAGGTTATACTCATTTTCTAGGTGCCTTCTGTGTTTCTTAGTTGTTAGAAGTAAGTGAGACAGGAAGCGAAGATAGAGCACCTTATTCAACAAGTGCAACCAAACATTTACCATAGAGATGATGGTCTGAACAATATAAGTTAATAGTAGCAGCATATGTTATGTGATCTGTTTTGTTGTTCTATTTCATTTTTCTTTGTTTCAGCTTTATGTAGGTAATGAATGGTACAAGACAGTTGATAGAAGATACTATCTACACTTCTTGATCAGCAGTTTCATACTCGACCCCCTCTGTATAATCTTCCTAGGGCTTAACATTCAGAGGAAGAAGATGCGTTGTGTTTAGTGATCTGAGAAGAGGTCACGGGGTGACCACATGATGCCGTCATCCCGCGTGGCAAACCCTTTATTTAGAATGAGATCATGTAACAAGGAGTGCCTCCCCGGATTCATTCTTGAACCACAACTAAAATACTAGTCATCACACCCTTCCTTTTAGAGCAGCATTATCTGCACTAGCAACAGCTATATTATGTGAAGCATACAGATCCGTAACATAGCAATATCCCCCACCCATAACCTCGCCCAAACATGTCAATCTACAGCAATATCGCAACCAGCAAGGAGCGCCACGACCAGATCCAGGCCGAGCTCGCCGCCGTAGAGAGCAGCCCTGAGACCCTCCAGTCGCAAGAAAGCTACCTGGCCGAGCTTCGGAGCGAGCTGACCAATACCAACAGGCAGTTGGCGCAGCTGCACAAGATTACTAAAGGGAACCGCGAGCTGCACGAAAAGTATCGCGATAGCACAGTACGCCGCCTACTTTATCGAGCGAGGGGTAAGCGAGAAGAGTTCGAGGCCAAGGCCGACCAGGAGATGCGCGATTACTACGACGCCCTGGCCAAGGAGAACCGTGCGCAGGCGCAGCGGGAGATGTTGGAGGCGCAAGTCGCGGACGCGGTCGCCCACGAGAAGGAGCTCCAGCGTGCATGCACCACAAGGGAGCGACTGCATGCGGAGCTGGACACCATCTACAAGCGGATCTTTGAGGGACGGACGGAGGAGTTCCCCGAGGAGGATGCACAGGAGGAGACAACGAAGGAGGCGCGGCGGGAGTATGGACAACGGCGGGAACAATGGAGTGATCTTCGGCAGGCGACACAGTGTCTCGCGCGAGCGCAGCTGACGCTCCGGGAGGTGTTGCTAAATTTGGCGGAGACGCTGCGGTACTGTGAGAGGGACCTATGGACGTTTGGAAGCACCCTAGCCGATTGGCGGCAGCAGGACTGTCTGTCCCGGGCTCAACAAAAGGTTACCCAGACGCAGATGCTAGTCGCGCAGGCCAGACGGCTGGACCCCAGAGTACAGACACTGCCGGCCATGAACCTTGTTCAGCATGACTGGGTTGGGGAGCTAGTCTTTGGTACCTTTTTGTTTCACACCAGTTTCCTGGACATGATGCAGCAGTCTGTTCTCGAGGTGAAGCGTGCAGAGGAGGTTTTGGCAGTCCAGGTTAGGCAGGCAAAGTCTCGTGAAGATGACATGCAGGCTCAAGTGGAAGAAGCGCGGATGGCTTTTGAGACCGCACAGCAAGATCTTCGCCAGATCAGATATGAGCTGTTTATGAAAACTGCGGATCCTCCGCCGCCATACACCGAGCCGATGTCTCCTGGGATCAGTGTCTAGATTTGTCAGCTGCTTATACTTAACAAGGAAGTCTCTCGCCGTATGACAAGAGTATACCTTTACTTTTATTTTATTTTATTTTATTTTTTTTCCTTTTTAGTAGAGAGACGAAATGGAAAAGAAAGATTCGCAGCTTCTTGTTCTAAAGGTAAACATATCAAACTCACTATGTTTTATACTAACATGAATCAGAGGAAATCCTTTTTCAGATGTCTGTAGGAGTGTCATCCAAGGTGATTACAAATACACCCCCCGGCCATCTGGAATGTAGCTACATATAAATGATATTTACACAAGAGATCCTAATAGATAGATTGCAACGGATATTTATTATGGGAAGAGAGACTCGATTCTGGTGCTCCTTCGCCTGCTCTGGTATCCAATATAACCAAGCGCTATATATCTGTACGAAGCCTGAACTATAACCATTAGAGCTTCGACGCACCAATTGTCCGACCAATATCAGATGCCCAACAAAACAGCGGCTCTCTCTTCAAGCACTCCATAACAGGCTCCTCCAACACAACTCTCAACTCCCACAATGGCGTATTCCTAGCTCCACCAGAGCCCGGCCTAGCAGGCATAACCCAACACACCCCACTGATTCTCGGATCAGGCATATCCAAATTCGCCACTGGGCCCAACATAGAGCCAAAATTCAATCCATATAGATCGAAATGGCGGATACTGCTCACGACTAGGTCGGGCCATTGAGCCTGGAACGAGCTCCAATCGTCCAGAGTGTTGATGTGGGAGACGTAGCAGGTGGCTTGCTCAGCGGTGATGCTTCGGATCTCGTTTCTGATTTGTAAGGCGACTTCGTGGATGAGTGGGATGTCGGCGATCGGGTCTGGGCTTTTGCATGAAGTGGAGTGAGTAGACAGTACGGATTTAGCGGCCATCAGGGCGTTTCCTATATAGGTGCCTAGCTTGGGGTGAAGGATAGAGCGAAGCTCGACAGCACTAGATAATGTGGAAATGGTGCCTTTGGGTGTACTTGACGATGATGCTTGCTTCGCTCTGGTGATGGAGATCCAAATAAGCGCGGTGAGAATATCCACATTTGTCAAGTTCGGATTAGATGTTTGACCAGAACTCGTGGAGATCATAGAGTTGCACTTTTTCTTGAGCATGCTGATCTTTTCTGGAGACAGGGCGAATCTCCGACTAACTGGGCTAAATGGAATCTTTGGTTCAGCTTGAAATTTATCCTGGATATTGTATGGAGTCAAGCTCCTTATCGATGCAAGCTGCTGCTTTTTTTGAAGCTGCGCAGCCATATCTGTGAGTGCCGAGTCGCCTCGACAGCACGCAGCCAGAGAGTCTAGAATAGCGAGCACCCCCAGTCCATCTGTCATCCGATGGTCGAAAGTCACGCATAGCACTAGACCATCTGTCATCATATTGGCTTGGAATCGTAATACAGGGCTTGGATCGGTGGTGGGTTGGTGGATAGGAATTGGGACGAAATCAGCATGTTGCACATCATCGCGCTCCACGGCGGAGGTTTCAGCGGCATGAAGCGCGACCTTAAGCATGGGTGACTGGTGCATTGTTGATGCATCTGCCGGTGTGATTTGCATCGAGTTCTTCTTGCCGTTAAGCTCTTCTATGGTCACTATGTTCCCGCTTAGGAAGGGAAGGGCGTGTAATAGGCGCGAGATGCCATTTTGGAGAACGGCGATGGCATCCGAGGGAGAGTCGAGCTTGAAGGTAAGGTATGCGAACAGGTGGAGTGGAGGGACAATATGGTCCAATGCACTCAAGTTGAAGGGTTCAAACCTTGGGGGGGTGTCCAGGGTAGGAGATCTAGTATCATCATGTTGTTCCATCTTGAATTGATGCGATGAGTTTCAAACCATGAAGACTCACATCCAGGATGTAAGGCCTTTATTAACCCATTTGTTGGACAGTCCTTCTGGACCAAGCACTCAACCTGAAAAGTATCGCTAGTAAGTCGATTTCGCGAAGATCCTCAGCCACACTGCAACGGACCTATCAGCCATCAGGAAATCACACCCTCTACTATCGTGTCCACCTCAGCTGAAGACGAACTATCGATCTGCTGACAGTTCCTCAGAATGCTGGTATTGGCTGATTAGTACTAGTGGTCGATCTAGCCGAGTGCTGTATCCACTTATGAGATGTTTTGTGGGCCGGACGCACTAGGTTCAAAGTTTGTTCAACTGGAACATTTCACCCTTAAAATCTCACCGTCTTTTCCCTCCGTCTACCAAATTGCCATAGAAAGGCTGTATCTTTTCAATACCCCCTTGCTAGAATATATACATCTTTAAATGCTATTGGTGCAGTCAAAGGATGCAAGGCCCTGTCAAATCGAATGACAGTGGAAGATTTTGCCAGTGACAGGTGGCATAAAAATTCGTTTGTGTATACTACTGGGGGCAGAAAAAGCAATATGCCTGCTTGATGAATCTCGGAGTTTGATTTCGGAGTTCAACGGAATTTAGAGTATTTTGCTTCCTTTGCGTATATATGGTTTGATGTGCCTTGCTTGTACATCAGACAATTCAAACGAGGGATTAGCACGAATTCATACAGTTTCATCAGGTTTTGTCATTGGAAAAGCAAAGGGGGGAAAACCACGATAACAAGCATATCATTTCTATTTGACACATCTAGTCATCCTTCAGACAAAAACATAGTCTCTTTGGCTAAACTGTGTTTAAGCGAACTTGGAAGTTGAACTATGTAACTTGACCAGAAAATGGGGCTATAGCGAGTTAATGGGCAACCCCCATCATGAGTAGCCAAAAAAATGATGGAGATATTCTGGCCAGGCATGGCATCTGCGGGAATAGTCACATTCGCCTTACGCCCACCCAACTGAGTCACAGTCACACGGTCTGGATAGGAGCCTTCTTAGAAGTACTGGCACCAAGAGGTGGTGAAGACAAAGTAGCAAGAGTCCCTAATTTAACAATTATAAAAGAAAATAAAAAATGGAGGACAAAGAAAGGCATAAAAAAACATACAACAGAAGGGATTCGCTGGTGGTCACCCACCCAACTACTAACCTCCCGGCGTGTGGCTTAAGTACGGCTGAGCGGACGGGAAGCCCTGTTTTCCACACCCTGTGGTCGTATGTACTTATTCTTCCGTAGACTAGGTTAATGTAGTGCACTTTTCAAATGCATTCACTTGATGTTGGAACTCATGGCAGTCACTACTACTACTCCTGCAAAAGCAACACTAGCCTGAGCTCACAGTGAATACTGGATGTGATCACTTTTGTTAGGGAAAGTGCATTCCGAGTGTTCCCCCTCACGACAAGTATATCTATCCTCTCGTCCCACAGTCCGGACCCTGACTTATACTTCCCAGAATCATCCATTGAAGCTTCAATCATCATGGTCGGCCAGACGTTCGTGCGAGATACCCCTTCCAAAAAGCTGTCTGGTGCTGCAGCTTCTGCTGCAGCTAAGGTCAATAAGCTTCTTCTACACGATTTCACTGTGAAGGTCAACAATAACCCCTCTACGGATTTGACGGAGTTGCTACAGTTCAAGCTCAAAACTTATCCCCCTCTACGTCAAATTTTCGTTGACTCAGCTATGGAGTCTACCTCAACGAAGAGTACTGACACCACGACTGATACTGCACCGGATGTAAGAGAGGAATTTCTAATTCCCTCGGATGTTGTCATCATACGTCCATTGAGTATGGCTGTTACTCAGGCAGTCCAGTCAGTGTCATCTTGCGATTGCGACTCTTCCGAAATCTCGAGCGCGATTAGAGGTCTCAATGATCTTATTTTACGCAGTGACATACTATGGCAATGGGGATCCCCCGCAGTACTCGGCCTCACCCGGAACCTGGCCCTGAAACTCGGCAATTACATCGATGTGAATCATCTAGTAATGGTGGAAGAAATAAAACATCAAACCCTGCGTATCCCTATACCGGAAATCCATGGTGTGCTGCAGCAATCAGGCACCCCGTGGAAATTCATCTTTATGTCCCGTGTACCAGGAGTACCGCTGGATTCAATCTGGAAGACGTTAAACCCCCACCAGAAAGCGTCTGTGCAAGACAAGCTTAATGTCATATTCTCTGATTTAAGATCACTCCCTTTTTCGCCATCCGACGAACCTGGTGCGGTATATGGTGGGGGCACACCTCGCCGGTGTAAAGATACCAGAAGGGAAACCCGTGTGGCAGACGCGCCGATCAGCAATGAAAGGGAGTTCAATTGCTTCCTATCTTTCAACCCTTGACGTACTGAAACGGGCCATCTTGCGATGCTCCGAGCATATATGGCAACTGATCACAGACTGATGATGATTCATGCAGACCTTCATCCTCGAAACATCATGGTAACTCTTACCCCATGCTCACCTGACACCAATGAAGTCGATGGACTATGTCTACAGGGATCCACAGCCTTGACTGGTACAGATGACCTACTGTCGGAGCAGGTGACGATTACAGGGATTATAGATTGGGAAATGTGTGGTTGGTATCCGGAATACTGGGAATACCTGAAAGCATTGAACACGCCCTTTGGCGGGGGTGAGTTTGACGATTGGTGGAAGTACTTGCCGCCGATTATCGGGACCTGGCCTAGAGAGCATGCAGTCGACCTGATGTTAGATGGTTGGTGTCGATGACCTGGCGATAGCAATCAAAAGACTGATAATGATATCATCACGCTGTAACGGACTGATGGTATGACCTGGCCGTAGTGGGTAAATAAAGGCTTTTGTCTACAATTGATCCTTTGCTTGAATTTCTGTCTCAACAGTAGAGATTAGAGAGAGAAGAAAAAAAAAATCAAATATGAAAACAATAGAGAAAATTAAAATAACTAGTAAATAATACAAAGCCGACACAGCAGTGCTTCTAGCTCCAACGAAGCTGATGATTCAATGAGATTCAATCATTTCCATCTCTGGCGAATCGATTCTAAAGTTGCTTTCGAGCCTGGAGCAACCTGCAGTATCCCCATCTGCTTAAACCTCTCTAAGGCTTCCATAACCCATGCCTGGCAGTTCCAGGTAACAGTCTCATTATCCACAGGATAATTCTGGATTATCAAAAGAGCCTGGTTGTGTTCGGCTGAAGGGATGGTCCCGCAGTACACTGCGTTCTTGATCCGTTTTGATCGCAGAGGATCTGTGCGGATGGGCTCCTCTACGTAGTAGCTGCCCTTGTTGAGTCCAACCTGCAAGATAACAGAATCTTTGTTTTCATTTTTTATCCACATGGCCCAGTGGCAAGGCTCATCGATTCTAGACTCATAAACCACGACTGTTACGTGACTACTCATCGTGCTTGTACTAAGAGGAAGTGTCAGTTGAATATACCACCAGTCTTGCTCAGTAGGATGCTTTTGACTAACGGAGACGTTTTTGCATAAAAATAATAGAGAGACAGTAGAGTTTTTGCTGTTCAAATGGGGGAACATGGGGAAGATGTTGATCCATCTGGCAGGCTGAATTGGGTTGGAGAATAGGAAATGGATTGAATTGGATTTGAATTTAATTTAATTTAACACGGATCTCAGTGTGAATTACAAAAAGATATAATTAGATATGATAACATTTGTTTGAAGTATTCCATTCACTTTAAACCCCCCAAAGCCCAAACAACTCTGACCACCATCACACTTCTCGGTCCTGTGAAGGCATGATTCTGGCAGTTCGCCGAGTCATTGCACGGACAGAGTGCATATCACAAGGCTGGACCATAAAGTCGTTGTGAGCTTTTTTGCTACAGGTCAATCGTAGGTCTGAATTCAATCTACGGAACATTTAACTAGTGGATGTGAGAAGGAATGACTTCTTCCCGCCCAACCCCGCGCGCCCTTTTATTCATCTCTTCCACACCACATCATCCAACTCCCGTCAATAACAACTTCACACCTAGCTTCATCTAAAAGTCCACGTCATGAATACAATCTTTCCAGAACCACATATCCACCTCCCCCAAGGCCCCCACACCCACACAGCCATTCTCCTCCACGGCCGCGGCAGCAACGGCCCCGAATTCGCCGAGGAACTCTTCTCCTCCTCGACATCGTCGGGCCAAAATCTGCCCTCACAACTCCCAACCTGGCGCTGGGTATTTCCCACCGCCAAAGACCGCTGGAATGATCGCTTCCAGGAAGAGCTATGTGCCTGGTTCGATGCCCATTCTTTAGATGATATCACTGAGCGCCAGGAATCTCAAATTCCCGGCTTGCAGGAATCTGTCACTTATATCCTTAGTATCCTGGAAAGGGAAATCGAACTTCTTGGTGGTAGAACTACGCATGTGTATCTAGGAGGAATTAGTCAAGGTATGGCAACTGCATTATGGAGTTGGTTTTGCGCGAGTTGCAGAGTAACGGGCAGATTGGGGGGAGTTCTGGGATTTTGTGGTTGGTTGCCATTTGCGGAGAGGTTTGAGAATAGGGGTCTGGATGGGGGGAGACGCATGGTTGAGTTTTGTTCTTCGGTTGTGGGTGTTTCAGTGGGTGAGGATATGAGGGTTTTGCACACGCCGCTGCTTTTGGGCCATGGGACGGATGATCCGATGGTTTCGGTGCAGTTGGGGAGGCAGGTAGTTGGGATTATGAAGCGGGCGGGGATGGAGGTCGAGTGGATGGAGTATGTTGGGGCGGAAGGGGATGAACATTGGATTAAGGCGCCGGACGGGTTTGATGCCATTTTGAGGTTTTTTCAGTCCGGAAGTGGAGGTGTAAATGGGAAGTGATGTTATGGTTAGGTGTTATAGTTGTGGTTGCAGATCAAGATGTCTGCAGAAAAAGAAGGGCAACGCTAAAGATTGACTGTATAATACATTGCGGCTTTTCACATGTAATCATTTTCATATAAATCATCGAAGAACCAATTCTCTCCTACAGTAGTCATCGAAAAGAAGGCTATTGTTCGGTTGAAGATCGGGATGTCGTAGTACTGGTCGATAAGTGCTTGGGTTTTGAGGAATGATACTGGGCATGATCTGGAGATACTATTTGAGACTTGTGATGTAGTCAAGATGGGATTGCAGCTTGTAGTCGTAGGTCTCTCCCCGAAGACGCTGGAAGGGTTGCAGGGATTTTCCGAATTGGGAAATGTATGCGATCTCTTTCTTAGCGTCCGCACTAAGAGCGGATAAGCAGTCTGGTTTGTGAAACATTAGCTACTGATCCCGGATTAATCCCGAATATTCGTGGCAGCAATACTCACATGGTCCACGCTTCACCTTTAAATTAACTCTTCTTCCGTACCATAGACCAAGCGACGTGTCAGGGCCAATGCAGAAGCGCCCTTTGTTGGTCGGCAAAGAGTCTGTAATAACAAACTTATTTCTATCAGGCAGGTCAGAGAAACAGTGGGCTCCCACTTGCTAGAAACCGCAGTGTAAATAGTCGTGAATGACTGAAGCTCCACTATTTCAGTGGTGATTTTGTTCTCTGTTCCGAGGACAGATCGAACCATGTGTCGCCCATGCTCCGCCCCTTAACAAGCTCCATGAAAACTTACTCCATTCCCGCGGGATTGTCAGCACTAGCAGAGTAGCCATAAATCTCCGGAACGGGTATTCCATGCGAACGGAGATCCTCCTTAGTAGCCACTTCGCTTGCGACGATTAGACTAGTGGCCGTGGCTGAATTGCTGGATAACTATGGGATGCGGGCTACAAATTGAAAAATTGTCCCGCATGGTGACTAAGGTCATATTGAAGCCTCCTTCGGCAAGCTTTGTAAAGCGGGCCACATCTTCCTGTTTCTGGCCAATCGACGAAGCTGCTAGGCGCTTGAGCTCTGAGATGTTAAAGTCGCTTCTCTCTTCTAGCCGTTCGCGCTCATTGTAGCTATACATGCCAGTCAGTCAAATTATCGTGAAATGTCAACAGTGCGCATGGTGTCACATACATCTAACGCCCGGACGTGTAGTTGAACAAATCGGAGGATGAAGGAGTAGAGTGCGTGAAATGGCGGATTCTCAATTGGTCTATCTTATCATTGCAAAAGGCAGGGCCAAAATTGCCTGAAGTGGGGGCCAAACATCCACGTTTTCCCATGCTTTAATCTGGGGAGGATGTCGCCTGTTATGTTTACGGGGACCGCGTGAAAAAAAAAAAAAAAAAAAGAAAAGAAAAGAAAAGAAAAGAAAGAAAAGAAAGAAAAGAAATCTACGGAGTAGTTATGTTCTATTCTGCCTCCTACGTAATAAATGCCTGCGGCCGTAACCCGATGCGGAAGTAACTACTGGCCTGCCGCAAAAAGTAAGCATGATACTGAAACTGCGCACGGATGGCAGAGCGAATGGTCAGACCCGATTCAGCCTTAGAATGATTAGAACAACCTAGACACGTCGTTCATGCATGATTCTTAACATTGATTGGCCTGCTCGGATAACACTGAGCACGGCCCTCATGAGCAGTGAGAGTCCACCTCATTGGTTCATAGGTGATTGTTGGTGACAACCCTATCACTGACTTCATAGCACCAGAGGAAGAGTGAGGGAAATATTGGTATGACATTATCATATAGCTAAACAGTAATTATATATGTTTTCGTCTCAGATTATTGTAGAATTACCGGGGTGTCCTCTCCGAGCATATAAACAAATAACACAACAGGTATCACTTTCACGCTGCAGCATAAACCATAAAATAAGCAAATAAAATGCAAATTTGCGTACTCAAGCTCGAAACACAAAGGAATCCTCCCACTAACTGCAGATCTCATCATGTTACGCGACCTCAGGCTTCGGCTCAGAGTCCAACTGGGCCGGGGTCAGGCGCACAAAGTCAGACTCAAGCACAGCCGACATGCCCAAAAACATGGTGATAGCCATGGCAACAATTTCCTCCAGCACATCCATGACCAGGTAGATGGTGGGGCTTCCATTAGTGCTGATGATGGAGAACCGCTCAATGGTGGTGAAGTCGCCGATCGCTGCGTAGACGACGCGGACCAAGATGAAAGGAGTGGAGAAGATGATGGAGAGGAACAACTTCTTTTGGAAGGCCTTCAGATGACCCATCTGGAGGTACATAAAAGCGGCGAGCAGATGATAAATCACAAAAAGAGCGATAAAAATTGCCATGGATGCTTTGACGGTGTTGGTTGGCTGGTAGCTGCCTCCGTTGTCACTCGCGGTACTGACTCCCGCAATACCGATGATGAGACCGATGAGACCAACTATAGTCACAATGTTGAGCCATTTGACGGGCACTACTTGATTGATATCACTAGTAGGAGTGTTAGCTTCCTGTGTATCTCTGCGGCTTATCTGAGGGGACTCACATTTGTCTGCGAACTCCGACATAGGTCAACAATAGAGGTGCGAGACCAATCAACTCGCATACTGCGATGGCAATCTCGACGTTCTTGGAATCATGATCGATTGACAACAGCGATGCGATACTGCCCGCGATTCGAATGAGAGAAAGCGTAGCAGGGTATCGCCAGATTCTGCTCCCAACCCTCCAGCCAGCCCGGTTCCATATGAAGATTGCAGCACCGAAGATAAAGGGAAAGACAACAAGTTGCAAGATAGCAATGCCATCACGGTAAGTCACGGTGCCCATGGTTGCTGGAGTTGTTGTGGTAGATGATGAAGAAGGGTGGTGCTGCTAGAGATGAAGTGACAAGAAGAGAAGAGTAGATAGGGAAGTGAGTTCTGTCTACAATCTAAAGGACATGGTTTCTGTCTCCCTTTATATCTCTAAGTATGCTGTGGAGCGTCACGACCTAAAGGAACACAGCCTTGTTGAAGAAATTAATCGTTATACTTCAGAGTTGACGAAGCTGTTACCCTGGTTGGTTGAGCATCTACACTACCGGATAAGGACTAGCGCAAACGGGAAGGAAGATAAAGTCGAGTGGAATTCCAGCTGAAACTCGGTTCACAACAAGCAGAAAGTTCAGTCCGGAGCCATGGCTGTGCCCCAGCTAAGAATCAAGCGCCATCACTGGCCGTGGGTCTCCCCGCTCCTCCCCTTCTTTAAGCCGCTAAGGCGCCACTGGCGGCTTGCAATGCGGTGAACCCAGTGACGATCGTCTGCCTTTTCCTTCCAAAGCCCACAACAAGATGCCGTCATCAAAATCTAGTAAGTGGGGGCGGTTTGGGTATCGGAGGCTGAGTCTCTGCTTCGTGGGTCGCCAGTTTGTCCTCAGGATTGCCCAAAGAGTAGTAGTGCACGTGGCAAGGCATAGTTACACAGCGCGGGGCGAGACAAGGCCGGCTGGAGGAGGACAGCTGAGCTTGTTCAAGGGCTAAGCTCCTCAACGAAAACTGCTTAACCGACTTTAAGCCTCCTTTGCCCGCGTTGAGTTAGTCAGCCTCCGCCCGGGGAGGAGGTTCTTTAACTTCATCACAATCCTCGGTATTCCCCCTCTTATCCCCTATCGACATATTCTTACGGCGCAGATACCGAGAAGATGGCATCGGGAAAAGTGCCTCGCCCAAGAGCCTCCCGCAATTGTGGAAACTGCCGGGCTGTGAAGCGACGCGTGGGTGTTCCTGTTCTTGCTGCTTTTGTTTTTCCTCTTTCGCGGCCAAATGCTGACAGGGGCCGATCTCGGTTCAGTGCGACCAGCAGATACCCCACTGTGGACAATGCATCCGCATGCGAGAAAAATGTCCGGGCTATCGCGATGAATGGGAACTCGTTTTTCGCGACCAAACGGACAAGACCATCAAGCGATCTAAAGAGAAACGAGCAAAACGCAGTGGCTCGACGACCTCAAGCCGCACCCCCTCCCCACCGACCCCTGGCTTAGGGCCCAGCCTGGACGAGATTAGTGTCAACTATTTCCTTCACAACTTTGTCATTAACAACCAGACTCCTTCGCGCGGATTTTTCAACTATATCCCCGCGGTTTACAATGCAGAGTCGGAGCATTATACACTGGTGACCAGCATGGCGGCGGTGGGCCTAGTAGCACTGGCCAATTCCAACCAACAGCCCGAGCTGGCTCGCCACGCACGCATCAAATACTCCGAGGCAATAGCGAATGTCAACACGGCATTGGCATCACCTGTTGATTCGGTCAAAGACAGCACCCTGATGTCAGTGATTTCGTTAGGGGTGTTTGAGCACGTCACCAATTTCCAGTCGTGGGTACGACATGTCCGAGGAGCTGCCACGCTAGTGGTCCTCCGTGGCAAGAGCCAATTTACCAGTACAGCCGCAACACTCATGTTCAATCAAGTACGCGCAGATACGGTGATCACTTGTCTGCACGGTAATCAGCCGTTCCCAGAGGACTTGCTTGCGCTGCAGGGAGAGGCGGCTAAGCACGCCGATGCCTATAGTCCGTTCTGGCTCCTCGGAGTATCAGCCACCAAGTGTGTAAACCTCCTCTACAGCGTCACACAAAATAAATCGAAAATCTCGTGGTCGGAAAAACTGGAAGAAGCGATCATTCTCCAGGAAGAGTTTCGGCGCGTCTTTGAAATTATCAGCCTCGCAGACCCATACACAACCGTCCATGAGCCAACAGCAGACCCCGAAATCATCCACGATGGCCGATTCGACGTCTACCAATCTACCTGGGCAATACGAGTCTGGAACAATGCGCGATCCATCCGGATGATTGTCTCTGAGATTTTATACTCCATCTTAATGAAAGTTTTGGCCACCGATCTCCCTGCAACTATGCGAATGACCCTGGAAGCGAAGTTCCAAGAGACAATACAAATCATGACAAGCCTCGGGGAGGACATGCTGGCCACTGTCCCACAGATGCTGGGCTATGTGTCACTCGTAGGTGGGCAACATATCTCTTACAATTCAACCTCGACCGCCAGCGTGCCAGGCGGTTATTCTCTCATCTGGACCCTTTATATGGTTGGGAAGTCACCCGTTACCAAACGCAAATCCCGCAAGTGGGTCATCCGCCGTCTTCAGGAGATTGGCCAAAACGCAGGTTTCGCAATGGCCTTACAACTTCTGGAGGGCGTGATGAAGATCGACCAACTGAGCGAAGCGTCTGTCCAGCGGACAGGGCCGTACTTTGAGCCGACTCGCATATAAAAGGTAGGGACCAAGTGATCCTTTGCCATTTTGTAGCCACGTGATATGAGCCCCGGCGTCAGTCTTTACCTTTTTGGCTTATCGATTTATGCCTGGCGCATGCTTCATAGCCACGATGCAGATATGTTGTTCTATATTATATATATTATTTCATTGCACACTTGCACACAATGAAGGGAAAAAAAGACAAAAACATACAACAGAAGGGATTCGCTGGTGGTCACCCACCCAACTACTAACCTCCCGGCGTGTGGCTTAAGTACGGCTGAGCGGACGGGAAGCCCTGTTTTCCACACCCTATGGTCGTATGTGCTTGGATTAACATTAGCAAGGATTATATGCTCCAATTCCTCCATACTGATATAATTCATGCAGTCTCACGACCCAACAACCATTATGGTAGACTGAACTGCAGGAGACCAGATCTCAAGAACCACACATTACTGGTAAATAACGATCTTATCTAATCATTCTGCACTTACAGTAAGACTATGGCCTCATCAGTATCAACTATTATCTCGAAGCCAGCAGTTACATGGCATATTGTGGAACCTTGAACTTTATCTTATCATCGGTTGTTGATATCCTCCAGAGTCCAGCGGAAAGGGCAAGTGGCTCCGCGGGAGTTTCGAATCCGGCAAGACTTGCGCCAGCCCGCATTACTCCACTGCCAAAGGCTGGAGTATAATCCAAATAGTCTGTTTATCCCGCATTTGACTTATCAGACGAGTTGCAATTACGAAGGTATGCGATACAATTTGAACACCAAGGCACACTCAAGGTATACCACCTATTGCGGAGCATTAACAAAGTTGGAGCAAAGGAAGAGCATCTAACGTAGTAGCCTAACATTGAAACATTGTCCTCAAATATGAATTCATCAATGCCATCTATTCATAAAAGCGCTACTTAGTTATCATTATCGGCACAAGACCAGGCCGATGATCCTCCGGTCTCCTGGTAAGACTGAATAATGCTCACTACAGAAGCATAAGTGCCCCCAATCGTCAAAAACACCCCAGTCAGGATTATGAACACACACCAAGCCACACATAAACACCACTTTATAGACTTCTCTCGCTTACCCGGTTTCCAGTTATCGTATAGCCACATAAACCCCATGGGTTGAAAACACAATGACGTGGCTAGAAGAGCACCAACAAGTGATACAAGGTCGCTGAATACGGGGATGCTGCTGGCGATGATGTACGCGATCACAGTTATACTAAACGTGGAGCCGATCCAGGCAATCCAGTGCGTCGGGGTCTGTGCGGTGAGGTGTCTAGAGCCTCGAAGAATGCGCATGAAGATGTGTTTGGAAGGCAACTGTATTCGATTGTTGGGATTAGTTAGGTATATAATATGGGACAAGGTATGGAATTAAGACTCACGTGAAGGAATAGGACCACAGAAACACACAGCCCCGGTAGAGCAAAGCCATAGCTAATCTTCTTGAGCAAGGGTCCGGCAGAGCCAAGAGCTGGTGAGGCAACATGGGATCCGCAGTAATAGTATACGACTGTCCCGACCACGATGTAGATTACAGTGACAATAGTTTGACATATGGCTAGGGATTTAGTAAAGAGGCGTGGGTCACGCATTTCGGAGACGATGTTAAAGAATGCTGGAGCCCCGGCGTAGGCTAAAGTTATCGTGGATACGGCAGTCATGGCCTCAACAAAGCTTGGGTTGCCGAAGAGTTTATAGTCGGGTTCCGGGATAACGCCCGCAGTCATTGGGGCATGGCCCTGGATCCCAACACCAATGGTTACGATGAATACTAGAAATTGTTTAGATCAATTCTAAGTCTAGACTTGTGAAGCTATACTTACCGGCAATGATAACGCACGACACTCCTACCCAGGCAAGCCAGCTTATACGAGCAAGAGTCTGGATACTAGAGAAAGTGAAGCCAATGATGGCAGCAACAGCCACAAAAATGGCAGTGCACGCTCCATGATCAGACAGCGCGTTAAAGGCGATTGAGATGCTCAAGAGGGCAGAACCACCAGTGAAGATATAGTCTTTCAACAGGTCAGGACAGCAGTCAGATTGGGATGCGGACTAGGATCACTCACATAGCATGTAAGCCCCGCCAAATAGCTCATATCCCACGCGCCCAAGGAGCATCTTCCCGACATCGCCGATTCCATAAACATCACGATGGCGTATCTTAAGCACGCCCACCATCCAGTTCGACCAGGTTGTCGTCACTGCAATTGCAAGAAGGACGATAATTCCGGGCACTATCCCAAGGATATCAAAACAGCTGGGTATTGTGAGGACGCCAAGGCCGATTTGGACTTTCAGCATAAGGGCAACGGTTCCTATACAGCTCACCTTGCTCATGTCAGTAGATCTAGCTTTGACACACATCACCAGGGATCTCACATTACGGTAATTGGTATCACCTTCACGAATCTCGCCGAACACAGCATCATCCTGGATTGGCTCGGAAAAGGAGAGCTCGCCGGCTTGTGACTCGGCTGATAGAATATCTTCCGGGTTATTATCAAGGCTTAGTTGTTTCTTCATGGCAGGCTGAGGTTTTGCATATAAAAGCACGGGAAATCAGAATGGTTGAATCTGAGAAATGACTGTCCAATATTTATTGGGGCGGACATGGACATCTAGTCCTGACACGCCCCTATAGAATGATAGCTTACGTTGAAACAGCCTACGGGGCGTTGGATACGAAAATGCGGGGAAACAGATGAACAAGGCAGCTTGTTCCGCGAACATAGAGAGATTATTTTGTGGGGCACAACTGATAGCCATATCAAGCGGAACCACCTTCCATACTTTATCCCGCATCTCCCCCGCGTTCCAGATACGATTTCGTCGACTCATCTGTAAGACGGCGATATCCATCACTAATACAACGCTAGATCTCCAGTATCTTCCTATCAGGTAGTCTTACTGGGAGGCCTGCTGTCTATTTTTGCTCCACTCGCCACTCGATCATGCTGAAAAAGTGATTAGCAGGATCCATGCCTAGCAACGCCCCATTACAGTAAACCAGTAAGGGCAGGAGGATCGAAAACAAGAATCATTCATCCGGTCTGCATGTCTGCGTGGTTATAACCAGGCTTCTAGCGAACTGGAATTTGCTAAGTATGGGAACTTATAATTGTGCGAGCGAACCGATCATGCGCTCGATGTACTGCCTAAAGATCGCGATATGAAGGCGTAAAAGGAAAAGCCAGCGGAAACACCCCGATCTCTTGGAACTTACGCTTTACCAAACAGTAGATTCAATCATGCACTATATCAGCACGTCTCATAAGTGAGCCACCTCGGTTCAAGTCTAATGAAGCGCAATCACTGTGATCTCATTCTGCCCGTCTCCTTCAAAGGCCTCGCCACACATTACCCCGTGGAGATACCCATTCCCGATGACTGTATAAACCGGGGTGGAGTAGCGGTCTACCTCAGAAGAATAGACGTTGACGTGTCCTGGTCGCAGAATGAACGGAACTTCTGAGCCAAGCAGAATATGCACCTCGTCTCCTTCCCGGACGGTCCTAGGGGCCAGTCCAATAAATCCCTTTTCCGTAATAATCATTCGCCTACCCCAGAGACAAACCAATACGTGGTAAGCAATAGACGGTGCCAGGTTAAGCAAACTATTCATCATCTCGAAGGGCTCACTATCGCTTTTGCGCGTCTCCACTGATGATCTTGCCATACTCACAAGTAGTGGCCAGACGTTCGCAGTGATCATCTTCCACAAGTCCAGCAATTGATGGTAATCACCATCGGACGGTCGGACATATCCTGCTCCCTGCTCAACTTCGATAGAGTCGTTTAAAATTGTTCGCCAGAAGCTGTCCTGCTGCGATCCTCTAGCCGGGGGGCTCTCGGGCCAGTCCTGAACCCCCATGCCGATCATTCCCATCCATTGCCGGAATACATCAGGAACCTTGTCAAATTCATCGAGTGGGTCTGTTGCATCCCCAACACGAATGACTTTATCCACTTTCAGAGCTTGCAGACGAAGGGTACCGTCGCTAGCAAGGGAAAATTGAGTAGTATCCTGCTTCAACCCTGCTGTGGCGGAGAACCTCTCGGCAATCTTGAGGCGCTGCTGTTCTCCCCAGACCCGTCTAGATGGAGTTGAGCGGACATGAAGATCAGGTAACCAGGACGGGAAGTCAGGCGACCGGTCCTCGCTGATTCTTTCTCCTTGCAGGAAGGAGGCGCCGCCAGATTCCACCATACAGGCGTAAACGGCTTTAATGATGGCGTCTCTCGAGCTGATGTTGTAGTCCGGTTGAAGAGGCGTCGCTAGGCCCCAACTGTTGACGATACCTAGAAGGGCATAGAACAGATCTCGAGAGACAGATGCCTGGGACGCCGAAAACATCCTTCTCAGTTGGAGCAGAGTGATTCTCTCATCCGAGTTCCTCCATCGTTCCCGAACATATACCATAGGTGAAACTCGTTCTTCAATGACCATCAACGGGTCGAAACCAGCCCCACGAAGACGCAAGCGAAAGTTCTTACAACAATGCGCAGCATGCTCACGGAAGATTTCCAGGACCGCTCGCAGTGTATCGTAAGAGAATTGCTCGGAGCCATATACAAACCGGATTTTGGGCGGCAGGACCATTTCCTGGATAACCCAGATCCGCTTCCACCATGGTTTGTCAAGAAACATCGCAAGATCGTCGAAGTGTTGTAGGTAGTCTTCTGACACGTCGGTCCGTGTGCCATCCTCGATGAAGCAAGGCAGTTCCGACATGTGCTTGTCGCTGAGGAGGATCTCGAACAATTCGGCTAATCGGTGACCAGCAGCAGACTTGGAGCCCACCTCCACAGTGCAAGGGTCTTCTCCAAGCCAGAGTGTTGTCTCCTGCGACCCTTGGTAGATCTCACCCATGAATGAAACCTGGCTGGACTTCTCATCGTTGTTGCTTTGGTTGATGCAGATGGCATCTATCCAAAACACCCGCGGCTCAGTGGACTTGCGCAGCCGGCGCATCGCCAACCAGAGATTTTCGGTCACCTCAAACGTATGACCATTCAAGCTGATGGATCTGCAGATGCTCGGATCGCCCCATACGTATGAGAGCGCTTCGTATGCCGGTTGGTCGTGAAGGGAGAGAGTCCGGAGACTGCATCTTATCTCATCCGACCAAAACCCTTCTTCAAGAGTCACGAGTCGGATCTCGCGATTATCTGCATCCAGAGTTCCGTACTTGAATCCTTCTAAAAAGGTCTCCGAAGGTTGATCAGGCTGGATAGCCATTCTCGTGGAGGAGATCGTGCCCGGTGTCGTCTCTTTCAAGTAGATAGACAAATAGCAAATACTAGAATATTGGAATCCAGCAAATTAAAGAGATAATAGTAGTTCACAGATGAGTTCCACAAACTCGGCTTACCAGGGTAATAATCTATTCTATATATGAGCGCAGAACGCCCCAAACAGCTTGCATCAAAGGGATACGGGCGGGTACTGGCATAGAGCCTGTCCATGTACAGGCAGCTGTCAGAGATGTATCACATTTCATCTCATTTGTCGTCACATCCACTCCTGTTGGGTAGCCATGGCGCCGTCTGTTGCCTCTAGTTGGCGGAGGCTGCCTCGTCATGAATCATGAACATCATGGACGTGGGGTCGTGGTCTGCACCGATTGAGCCATGGCTGAGTTGGCCTCAGTATATATGGAGCAAACATGCATAGACGCGTCATCACAATACAGCATGAATCCCTGTCTACGCCGGTGCTATGTCAGAGTTTTCTCGTAATTGCAAATTATCCAATCTGATTCTCCTAGGTTGTTTGCCGCTTATGATAACTGTGAGGTGCTGTAGTATTTACAGTTTAGACCGTAGCGTATACAGTATGAGACTTGATTATAATCAGAGCTTACATGTAAATTAATTGCTAGCACTAGCCTCATCTATCACATAATGTTACTTAGTCCAGCCACCTGCTATCCGTAGCCGTCTCATTGGCGCCGGTTGGAATAGAGCATTGATTGGTGGAAAAACTGGTCGGAATGCATAAAAGACAATCGCGCAAGCTGTAGTGCTGCATTAGCGTGGCGACATAGAGTTTCGGTGAATAGCATTCTACTCGAAGGATTCAAGTGCCGAATGATAATTCTTAATTATATCGTTATCGTCAAATATACCGGCAGATCACCTGACTTACTCGTGTGCCTATATCTAAGTGATTGTAGCTTGCATAGTGTGAGTCGATTGGTGTTACCTGTAAGTACACTTGAAGTTGAAACAGAGTTAATGCGATAGAAAAACTGCGTACCAAGTCATTATATAGAGCGCGCACTAAAGCCATGATTGTCCTGTAAGACTGTTGAAGGTTATAGTCAAGGTATACACACCAAAAGTGAATCTCTTAGTCAGTTCTCGGCCCAAGGCATTCCACTAATGAAGGACTGGTGTTCCTTATTAAAATTAAACCTACTTGTGCACGTACAGTTCTATATAAGCATAATTCCTTTGGCCACGCGCTAAGTGTCTGACACAGCTACTCTCTATAGTTGGGCTAATCAACTATAAGAGACATTTAGGTTGTCACCTTATTATCTTAGGGATTAAGCAAACGGGCCTGCTCCACTCTCAACAACTGACAGCGAGAACGTCCCGCTCGCCGGTTCCTTGCATTCACAATGAGATAGCCCTGCGCTTCATGGCTTGATGAGATCCCTCGGCCCTGGACGCTTTCCCATGTGTTCCTTGCGTACTGACACTAGCTCTGGAATAACTCGCAGGTGCATGGGTAATCCCATTCTGTGACGGTCATGATTCTTCCCATTCTGGTTACGGCCCTGCGCTATCACTCTCTAGTTCCTCATTACTCAAGCTAAAATTGAAACCGGCGCTCTATGATATCTCGATCATGGAACAACAGTTCGTAGTCACGGGTGAAATCTTCCCGAACTGAGATTTGAGCGTCCTTACTGTCCGTGTCAGGTTGCCATTGAGCTCTCAAGCTCATTCCCAGCTCAAGCATAAGGTCACTAGCCCGACGCATGCACTTTGTGACCTGGTAGGCTCGCGTTAAATAAATTGACGAAGTGTACAATGGCACAAATTAGCACACTGAAACTTTAGCAGCCTTTGATCAGATCCCAGCTAAGGCATCTCTTTGTTCTCATGGAGTTAATCTTAACAAACGTCCCGTTCTCCGTGAAATAGCCGAGTTCTTGTGCTTTGGGACTGCGGGAGATCTTGACAGAATGTACCGTCAATCTCTTGAAATGGCTGGTAAAACAAGTCTAGATGGCTATCGCGAGGATAACGCGTATACACACCAGTCTACTCCGTACACACACAGTATAGGCAGCAGTGACAGCCGAGTTGAGCGATTTCTTCCGCGTAGATCGATAGCGTTGTGGTGAGTATGGACCAAACTTGGCGGCCAGGATGGGCCCGACCATACCCGATTTGGGGGGAGTTTGCGAAACTCCGCACGGGCACTCGGGGATATCCTTCGCATCCACTCGGATCCAACTTCAGGGTTTGTCCAACCCTTCTTGCTCTTGCGGGGAATCTCGGCCGTATCTGCCACACTCAGTAGACATTTACGGCGATCATCCGGCGGAGTTGCATCACCACTTATTCCCCTCTACTCTGCAAGAATCAGAAATGTCTGCAGCACCCCCCGGACTGAAACGCGCGGCCAATGTGGGAACCTTCTAAATATTGAACTACGTTGCAGGTGCCGAACATGCCGCGGCTCTTTGCATTATCTATCTCCAGTCCCAGCAATTTGCAACTTTCCAAGGTCAAGGTTCAATTGCCAGGGAGTCCGCTGTGCTGCTATCTCCAATGCTCTGTCTAGTTCACAGTATGCACACAAAACACATAGATGAATTCAAACACGGAAATCTGCCTTCCTACTAGCGATAGACTACACGACAGTAGTCGCAGTGTCGTACGTAGCTCGAGCCCTTTCTGATCGGCAGGGGTGCGGAGGTAACTATAGATTGGCTGCCCTCGGCCTCGGCCTGCAGAACCGGCAGTGTCTCCGCCACCTCTCCCAATGTCAACCGTTTCCATGTATCTGAGACAGGTATCCTTCTCGCAACTTCACAACTTTCTCAGCGAACTTACTTTTCCTGTCTGGTCATCATCGGTTGGCGTAGTCAATTGAGGTCTCCACATGGACGCGCTTCATCCCGTAGATGTTTTTCAAGGCGTCGCACTCAAACCACCGTCGGGGTTATCGGAACGGCAGGGCTTGCATCATCCCACTGCTTGAGATCCATTAAGCTCATTCCATCTCTTCTTCCAAGTGGGTCTCAAATTTCCGTCCCTGGCACCGTGGCACCTCTGTTGCAGAGGCACCTCTAATCGAACCTATTTATATGCCGATCGCCTCCCAGCTTGCTCTTCTTTTTCCCTCATCAGCTCTCTATCCTTCCATTCCACTCTCTTCGCATACTCCGGCATGCCCTCTTTCACTACCAAGGGCCTCGCCTCTGTGGCCCTGGGCGCTGCTGTCGCCCAGGCCCAGCTTTGGGATCAGGTCATCCAGACAAACTACGGTCCTGTTAAGGGCTTCAAGTACTTCACCAACGAGACTGTTCTCCAGAAGTACTTCGGCACCACCGAGTCCAATGTCACCGCTTTCCTGGGTATCCCCTTCGCTGCCGACACTGGCTACCAAAACCGCTGGAAGCCTCCCCAGCCCCGTGAGCCCTGGAACGAGACCTTGAACGCCACCTCTTTCGGCCCTGCGTGTCCCAGCAACTACGAGACTTATATCAGCGAAGACTGCCTCAGCCTGAACCTGTGGACCAATGCTGCCTCGGCCGACGCCAAGCTCCCCGTCATTGTTTGGAACCAGGGTTCCGACGAGACCAGTGATAATGCCTGGTGGTACGGTGGTGGTATGGCCATGAAGGATGTTATCCTCATCTCCTTCAACCGCCGTGACGATGCCTTCGGCTACCTCGCTCTCCCCGAGCTCAACGCTGAGGGTCTTGCTACCACCGGCCACAACACCTCTGGCAACTATGGTGTCTTGGATCAACTGGAGGTTCTCAAGTGGGTCCAGAAGAACATCGCCAACTTCGGTGGTGACCCTGACCGTGTGACCGTCGCTGGTCAGTCCTTCGGTTCTTCCCAGGTCTACCACGCCGTCAACAGCCCTCTCTTCTCCGGCTACTTCCACGGTGCTATCTCCGAGTCTGGTATCCGCTACCCCTACGACCCCCTGCTCGCCGGTCTGGCCACTTCCTACGTCAACATGTCTACCGCCATTACCCACAGTGAAGCCTACATGAGCGAGCACAACGTCTCCAGCGTCGCCGAGCTGCGTGAGCTCTCCATGGAGGACCTCCTCATCGGCTCTCAGGACCGTGTCAACGACACCTGGATCTGGTGGGTTACTGCTCTCTCCGCAGGCTACCCCCTGATCTTCAAGCCCGTCCTGGACGACTACGTCCTTCCCTCCACCTACCTCGAGACCCTCATCAACGGCCCTGCCAACGACGTCCCCGTCATCACCGGTAACACCAAGGACGAGTCCGGCGCCTCCACCACCACCGACTACACCGTCCACGAATACCTCAACTACACTTCCCTCAAGTACGGTGACCTCTTCGACCGCTACATCAAGCTCTACCCTACCGACAACAACGCCACCACCGCCGACCGTTCCTGGAACGCCGCCGCCCGTGACGCCTCCCTCATCGGCTCCTGGGCCTACGCCACCGACTGGTACAAGGCCGCCGAGTCCGACTTCTACACCTACTACTGGACCCACGCTCCCCCGGGCCAGTCCCAGGGTGCCTTCCACCAGTCCGAGATCATGTACGCCCTGAACGCTCTCTACGCCAACGCCGACACCTACCCCTTCACCGACGTCGACTACGAAATCGGTGAGAAGATGTCCGCCTACTGGGCCAACTTCGCCAAGACCCTCAACCCTAACCAGGGTGGCTCTTACACTGGCAAGGGCAGCCTGCCCAACTGGAGCCCTAACAGCCCCAACGGCACCCAGGTCGTCATGGAGCTGGGCAACTACTTCGGAAACGTCCCCATTGCTCACCCTAGCCAGGTCAAGCTTATCATGGACTGGTTCCACCAGCAGATTCCTTACTAGATGAGGAGTATGGTGCGCTGCAGCGTGCCGCATGCATCTTGTGGAGCCGTGCTCCCGTTTTTATAGGAGGCAGGACATAGTTGATATATCCTCTCTGTCTGTCTGTCACTAGACATTGACATTTTAACACTGTATTCACTTCTTAGCTTCTAAAGTCTTGTGATAATATATTTTGTACATCTCTCGAGACCTTTTGTTTCCCTCAACCTCCCTTCAATACTCCGTATTTCCTAATATAGCCGTCGTATACCATAAAACATCCCTAACCCATATTATATAAGTAAGCACTCAAAGCGCCCAAGTAAACGTATCATCCCCCAACTGCCCAAACAACTCATCCAACGACAACTGCTCCAATTCTTGAACATGAACATCCGACATAAGCCCTTCACCACCGTCACCAACCCTACCCACATCCCTCCCTCCCTGCCCCAGCGACGGCTCATCCTCACTAAGCGGATGCATGAACTGCGTCGTAACACGCATCCTAGCATCCGGAGCTGCCGGTCCCGACGACCCCGGCGTTTCCGTCGGACATATTTTAGGATCGAGTAGATCCCAGAACAGGGATGGCTGGATAGTGATCGTCGTTCCTTTAGTTATTGCTGCACCTTGATGCTCAGAAGATATAGACGGGTTCGTCGTCGCGACGGATGCCGACGATTGAAGTGCATGAAGGGTCTTAAGCCTATGAGAAACATGCGGCCAGACGGTAGACATTCTTGACAACAATCTCTCTGCGACGACAAGATGCCCTCGTGCTTTTTCTCCAATTCCTCTGTCTCTCGCGAATTGGAATATCCATGATATGGACGCAGTGGCTGCTACCAAATGGGCAATTAGCGGGTCGTGGAGGGGTAAATCGAAGTTCTCCCACGCCTGGACGAGTCGGAATACCCATTCGGAGTGGAATAAGGCGTGGTCGACTGTTTGTTGGAGGAAGAGGCGGGATTGGGAGACGCCGCGGTTCCCGCGTAATATGACCAGGTGGATGAAGGGATGATTCTGGATTGCGACGAGAGCGTGGCAGAAGATCTGCATTGAGATCCAGGAGGTCCAGTATTCTTGGTGGGCGGATATTTCGGCGCGGGAGCGTTTGGTGAAGGCCACGTTGCGGAGGAGATGGGATTCTGGGAGTTGGGTTTCGTGTTCGTTGCGTCTGTGGTTGAGCTTTGAGTAGGTGGAAGATAGGGACCAGGGGGTTTCTTCGTTGAGGTTGGGGTTCGTGCGGATGCTGTGGAGGTAGGAGGCGGTTTCGCCCCAGATGATTATTAGTTGGATGCCGTAGGCGACGATTCCGAGGTCGTTGGTTGGGTCGGTGGTGTCGAAGAGGTCGGTGTGAGTGGGGGATGCGGAGGGAAGTGGGGGTGGGAGGGGTGCGCTGGGTGGGTAGGGATATTCGGGGGGTATTGGAGTTTGTGGTGGAGATGGTATGGAGAGTTGGGGTGTGAAGATGCTTTCTAGGATGCGTATGCTCCAGTGGCAGCGGGAAACTGTGAGGTCTCTGGCTTCGGTTTGGTTGTTGTGTTGTTGCAGGGTTCGGAATGATTGGAGTCGGGATGCCATCCCGATTGTCATGCAGGCTTGGGCTTCTTTGCCTTCTATTTTGGGGGTAAGAAGAGGTCTTTTACATTAATCTTGGGGTATGTACCTTTGATGTGCCGTAGGGCTAGCAGGCATAGCGACTGTAGTACTTCCACTCGTGGTATGCCTTCGACGGCCATCTTCACAACTACCTGTTCGGCTGACTGGGAATAGAAATTCCGAGCGTCCGATTCTCTGCCATGGTAGAATTCGTGGCCTGAGAACGGTAAAATGAGCGCTAGGAAGCTCCACAGAAGAAACTCTGGTGCTTTGGCCAAATCGGACTGGAGTGTATCCATGTCGAACAGCGGTAGTGGCTGCAGGTGTAACACTTTTCGGTATACCTCTATAAAGTGTCCTAGTGTCCCTGCGGGTGGATGTGGGCTTGTATAGTTAGTCAATATGCACGGCTTTGGTGGCACTAGGGTACGTGCCTTGTCGGTGAGAACGCAGAGATATCACTAGGGCTTCCTCGCAGGGGAGCCTGCCAATCCTGTTCCCTGAGCGAAGTATTATTGCTCTCGGGAGTCCCCGGCGATGGTTCACCAATTTTACTTGGGCGTGAGCTTCGAAGACTTCAGTCAGTTATACAGTGACATATATGTGGGTTACAGGATATACACACCAGAGTGCCCCATACAAGTCATTAACCTGTGACTCAAGGATCCGTAGCCGGTCTTGGGTAGCTCTTCTAATACAATGTTAGGAAGAAAGTGCTTTCTAGATTCAGAATGACACATTTACGCGTATGCTTTTGTAACTCTGCCAGACGTGACATTGGCTCGGTCTCTCAGTGAATAAACACATTGGTGGTTTAATCTTTGGCAGGTTGAGCAAACCGGCCTCTCCCCCGGACATTTCGTCTTTCTGCGTCTGTCATAAAATCAGTTTGTCTAGCCACTTCCTAGTAAGCAGAGAGACCTTACCGACATGGCTCGCAGGCCTGTCGACTCCGTTCTCGGGATTCAGAGGATCGATCCATGCTGCCGGGAAATTTACATTCCCCCATCTACTCCTGCCATTAGCCGGGGAAGTAGCCGATCGATCTCGGCGTCGGAGTGATTTCCGTCCAGCAATTTTCCGACCACGTGAGCGGAAATTTTGTCACGTGTTTAGCATTCGGGGCTAATCCGTTCCTGGCTAGTGGCAATTGCGCTGAGGTTTCCTTTCGGATAACGTCTTTATCTTATCTTTCTGTTGGATGAAGGACGTGTGCACAAGATGGGAACTGCGACTATGAATGAAACTATTGCTCTAGAGAAACTTTCTACTTCCATCTTATATCATTTACTTCGTAATACATCAACTATCTACCGTATATTTACATCCCCCACCATGCGAAGGCAATGACAATTTACAATTTAGCCTTCTCATAAGGAGTCAACTCCCGTCTCGCAGGTCCTGCACGGCTCCCATCACCCAGGAAAGTATCGTCCTGGTTCTGGTATTCCATCCGGAATCGCCACTTCTGGGCGAGAGGCTCTGGCAGGTCCCGTTTGATCGCCCGCGACATGTATTCACCCAGGACGGGTAGGAACTTGAACCCACTGCACAAGTAACATTAGCATTCGCCCCCAGCCATGATCTGATACAGAAGGAAAGACTTACTGCCCACTGCCCGCGCCTCCAATGAACAAGTTCTTGAAATCCGGGTGGTAGTCCATGATGAAATCACCGGTCGGGGTATCCGTATACCAGCAGAGAGCCAGCTTCTCGAAAGGCCGGTCAGCCAGTTCAGGCAAAATCTCGCGCAGTCCTTCCCGGAGTCTGTGCTCGCCATCCGCTGGAACGAAGTTGACGCGCTCGCGAGGCGGAATCAATGGGGGAGTCGAGATATTACCCTTGGCGAGTGTGAGCTCTCCCTCCTTGGGGGTCCTGGTATATCCCCATCCATGGACAGCCATCTTCAGTAGGCTAGTATCTTCATGGGGAGGGAAGTTAAACCATCCACTCGAGAAGTTAATGTAAATAGGCAGCTCTTCGTACTTCTTCACCTCCTCTGGCGTGAGACGCATAAATCCCAGGACCTGGGCAGTAGCAATAGTAGAGTTGTACATAGGGACCAGGCTAGATCCCCATGCACCAGCTGCAAGAATGAAGTGATCACCCGACACGGGACTTCCGATGAGGGTTCGTACCGCCTTGATGTTCTTATCGGAATCGGTGTCGAACCCGACAACCGTGCCTCGCCGGCCGCAGATGAATGAAACGCCGGCTTCGAAGCAATCATCACGAAGCTGACTGATGGCTTTATTGGCATCTGCCCATCCCGCTTGGTTGTTTTGGTACCCAGAAAACGGAGGTGCGGCTAATTTTCCGCTGAGGACTGGGTGTAACCGCTTCGCGTGGGCCGCGTCAGTTACGTGGGTCCATGGAAGGTTATACCTGTTGAGGGCTGCTTTGGTCCTCTCCATCCATGAGTCTTTAGTGGGGGGCATGCTTCCCGTCAGAATAAAAGGTCTGGGGTAGAAGATGCCCCGGTACTTGGGCTCCTGCCATTTCAGATAGGCTGCGTGAGAGATACGCAAGTAATCATCGTCGGCATAATCAAATCGAATGATGCGAGAGATATCAGAGCTGGATCCATCCGAAACCTGGGCTTATTAGTCGAAGTTGGATCCACTGCGCAGAACAGAACTTACTGGTGGCATATGTCGGTCAAGAACTGTAATGTTCTTGTAGCCCTCGGTGGCGAGCTGGTAGGCTGTGGTGAGGCCAAATACGCCTGCACCGATAATCACAACATGGCTGTCTTTATCCATGACTAATTGTATACTTCAGGAAATGATGGAATGCTTTGAAGGTGAATGTCCTTGGGTGGAGCAATGGTTGTTCGATCAAAGCTTTCATGACTCCCTAAATAACTATGAGCGGAGGCCCAAGATGTCCTCCGAACCGCTCACGTGGTCGGCTATTTGGCTGGCTGGGGTCGGTCAGCTAGCTTCTGAACATTGGGCCTTGTCTAATGTGGCAGGCTTTGTCTATGCTCAATGGTGGACCCTGAACCACCTCCACGCTGCAATTGAGGCACAGCCATCTTTGAGTCGCCTGTCCGGAAAACTGAATGATCCCGTCGCCTCCGAGGCCGGTAATGAAAGCTTACTGGTTTTGCCACTATTTTCGGCAGCTTCGTCTATCGCTTGATTTCAGTGTTTTGGATGAAGAAACGAAGAGAGTTAATGGTGACGGGGAGATTGCGATTCTCTTGCAATAATTCATTGCTTCGTGTAGTGGGGAGTGAATGTGTATGTGGACGGGTGCCAAAAAAAAAAAGCAAAAAGAAGATGTCCCTCGACCCGGAATCGAACCAGGGATTTTCCGGTTACAATTAACCATTACAGCCGGACGCCATAACCAACTAGACCATCAAGGGTTATCTGTTAATACTGCTTTTTGCTTCAATTAATATAGCACCATACTTAGCTAGAACACAACCGGTTCTGCCAGCAAACACGACCACTTCTGCATACAGGAACCGAGCTATAACCTGCCCAATATCAATTGAAAATTGTCCAGCTAGTGCTTACAAGTATTGCTATCTTCTCTAGCCTCTCAGGAGGTCCTGAAATGATTATTTGCCTGCTTGTGACTCGCTGTTCGCACCGCATGGATTATATCGCGATTGTATCCGCTGGATATATATTTTGTTGGTTCACTTTTCCATGCTAGCGAGAGAACAATATCGAAAAATGCGACCCAGACAACAAACACACAAATACAGGCAGACACCACAGCAGCAGTCACACATCGAATACACCGAGAAGGCATCAATTGTGTCGAATATGGGACCCTAAGTCTTCTTAGGTGAACTCACAAGCACTGCCTTAGGCATCAGCATACGAACATGTACGGAGATGGGCAAATGACTTTAGAATGTTGGGTTTTGATGGCTTTAAAAGGCATATAGGCCATTTAGAATCATCTTAAAATCCGAATACTTAGAAGATCGTACCTAGCTATCCTACCATCAATCTGCAGCCCCGCTGGTGGGCAGGTTAGAAATAGCATCATGTGACCACCGTCATGAAACCCCTCTCATCCTTCCCAGTAACCTGGCAACCACCGTCCACCCTGCCCTTCATCAATTTGACATCACCGATGAAGGGAGCAATATTCCAGAGTGTGAAACATGGATTTACCCCCTTTCAACGACCAAGATGCGATCATCTCTCCAGCACTTCACCCACTCGCAGTCGGAGAGATCAACGAGGGCCTACAACCTCCCCAGGAAACATTGAGGGTGTTATCTATTCTGACAGATGCTGGAATACAGTGTTGTTTTGTTCAAGAACAGGCGCTAATATACTATGGAACAGCGCGCGTACCACGTGTACGTGCGGACCCTTTGCTGTGTGAGAACCAGAATGAAAGACACCTAACAATTATCCCAGGACCTAGTGTTATGCATACAGGACGAGCAATTCGAACGCGCGGTAGAGCTTTTTACCTCTCATCCAGATATTCTCGAGCCTTGTGGCCCAAATCCCCTCAAATCGCCGAATTTGCTGAACCACAAGTATCCTAGGTTCAAGGCCATAGGGTGGGCCTCCTTCTGGCTACTAGTGCCGGGAGATTACTGCCATCTCACTGTTGAACCCGAGAACATAGAGTGGAGTCTAGGTGGGTCACAGTACAGACACCCTTTATCTTGGAAGAAATAGTTTAACTTCAGCAGGTGGCTTGCCGTACCCCAAGCTTCCAGTGTACGTGCAAAGCGCGATTGACTCCAAAAGTCTATTAGACCTAGAAGAGTTGGTTGATGGGATGAACCTCGCGGAGGAGTGGGGTCATAGGGAACTCGATCTAGAAGGCCATACCGATACAAAGTGGCTGGAAGATTATGCTCAGGCTTTCCGGGATGATGGGGTAGATGAAATGTTCATTTTCGTTGACCCTACTCCTGTATCTCGGAAAGAAATCTGGACGCATGCAGTTCGAAATAAACACAGGCGGTTAGGATGGAAATACTCGCCGGAGACCCACGCGACTAGATATCGGAAATACGGGTCTAAGGATCCACGAAGTGTCCCCAGACCTGGTATGTAGATAACTCTATCATGCCAATCGCAAAAGTACAATGCTTGTCAGGAATCACATTAAGCAGCTAGCACATGAAAGCATGATCAACGCCCAAAGAATGTTTTCCAGCGGGCAAGGTTCACGGGAGATAAAATCTCAAGGAAAGTAGTAACGGTATCCGGATCTAAATGATCGACAGCCGCTCGGATTTCCGTGCCATAGGTCCGCACCAAGTGTTGAATGTCCTCCATATCAGCAAGTCTCTGGCGAGCAGCGAAGGCTGCCATTTTGCCTCGCATGAGAAAGACGGGCGCTATTATATAGATCATCTGCATCCCAACCGTAGTATTGATAGAAATTTGCCTTCTGTTCGCTGAAAGCTCCCGTGGGCTGTTTTGGTACCCTGAACTCAGAATTAGGAGATGACGAGCATGTTTTAGGTAGTCACAAACTTACCACTCTCGATAAGATCAACCTCGACATGTAGCACGTTTATGCAACCATCGTAATTTGGGCCAGTGCGAACAAATACCTTCACAATATTACTGACCAATTTGGTGTTCGGGATTATCAAGCTAATAGTCATAATGTCAGTGGGGCATCCGAAAAAGCTCTAACTATAGAGCAAGCCTGATGTACCGTGGCTCGGCTTCCACAATCCTCCAAATGTCCCGCATTTTCCCAGATGCCTGGAAGGCCATGTCAACATCCCGAGTGGCTCGGTTGCTGCCCAAGAACGCGACCGCAAGCCCACCCATTAGTCCGTAAGTAATCCCGGCCTGTTCCAACAAGCCAGCCATGAAAAAAGCAGCGGACGCGAGGTTAGCGAAGGGGACAATAGGTTGCCTTTCTCTCTCCTCGTCGGAGTCATAATTTACAAGATCATACGTCGAGGCCATATTGTATCCAGAGGCTCTTTTCTATCGAAGGCTATCAAAAGGCACTGCTTAACGGCGAAAAGGAATCTCAGGAGGTAGAAGTTGGAACCAGGACAAAAGTCATTTGTAAGTGCCCGTAATTTATATATTTCGATCAGCTATTCACTATTTAATAAAAGTTACATTCACTGAGGATGCAAAATTAATACCATAGTAAGTCAGTAACACTGCCTACATGCACAAAGACGCCATTTTTGTCATTTAAACAACTAAGGGGCGACTCCGACACTTGTACTTTCACACAAGGCCAGGGAATAATTGGCTGAGAAACTCCAAAGATCTCCCAAGTCTTCATGGAAGGATCTGGCACGGGAACACAGACCCCAGTGGATGCTATTTCAGAGGAATCTAAGGCATGGCGGCGCAGTGTTCGTGCATAATTGAGCGCCATCAGTCTGAACTTATCGCCAACACACAGCCTTCATGTGATAGATTAGGGGCCCATGCGCAAGCTCTTTGCATTCTATTGCGAGTTGCTAGGATCCAACTTCACCGAATGCACATGACATGTTGTGCGAGTAAGTCTTCCCTAAGCGCCTACTACTAATTCAGCTTTACACGCTACCTCTACAGTAAAACCCAACTCCCTACCCCACAGTTTACAGCTATCTTTGTGTACTTAAAGCATTCTATCGTCGAGTTGAGCTGTGATGCAGTCAATGTTGAAAAACCTAGACCCTTCTCCAGGCCAGCGCCTTCTTGAGTCAGCAACTAGACCAAACAATTTGTGTATCTACAGTGAGCTCTCTTTCTAAAACCACCGGACCCAACGGAGACGAGAATTCCGAGCATAAATCGCTAACCTCCTACTCCTTCCCGAACGACAGCCAAAGCTCGTACTATCCTAGACAACTGGAGAATCGCTCGTTCAAAACTTGAAGTGCCATACGCCACCTCATACTCAGTCATATAATCTCATACTGTTGAGACTTTTCCGTCTATACTGGTATAGACGACACCACCAGGACAGGAAGCTTTCAACTGCGACGAGAAGAAAGGAAAAGTGGAACAGACGTTGATGCAATAGGCTCTTCTATCATACGTTACTGTTAGTACACCTCTCAACAGAACACATGCTCTTTGATGGAATATCTTTTGGAGAACAATATCTCCAGTTTGAGAAGATAGCCTACACCTTCGGCTGGCTGGAATAGTGAAAGGGTTTAATGATATTCAATGTCCAGGCATTTTGGCTTCCCACATATGATGATATTTTGAGGATGATGAATACGGCTAATCTGTGGGTTGATGTTGTCACAGGATATAGAACACTTCGTTCCCACACGGGACTATTAATGTTCTCGACTAGACTGGAGGCCAAAGAAGGCTGAATACTTTGATCTTCTTCGTATGGGTAGGTTTTTCTGTTTGACATTGGAAGCATTCTCATACAGGAAAGATACCTGCTTACAAGTGTGATCTTGCCGTCAAGTTCTTAGATACAGTGTGGTCATGATTAACGGGGCATGCTGGGGTCTAGGTACATGGCCGCCTGTCATGGACGGTTTTGCAAGATATGACTGAATTGAACCACGAGATTCGACATAATTTCAACTACCAGTGCATGGTGATCAAAATCGAGACCCGACTCGAGGGCATACCTAAAAATGCACACTTGATATGCTAAATGGAGTGGTAAAGATGTGCTTCATTAACTTAATAAGCCATTTGTCATGATTTTGTGGCTTCCGAATAATGGGTCTTAAGGGTTCATAGGTTGGAAACCGGATGGACTATCATAGTGCGTTACAATCCAGGGTTTGCAGATAAGTTACGCCCAAGAACAACTGCTGGGTCAAGACATGTAGAAATAAGGTACGTAATATGCAAGGCTGTGAGCATACTACGGCGTAAGCCGAATTGCCGTGGGTACCAAGGCGACTGATTTTGGACTGCTGTTGGCTGACTGAATAACGCTGTGTTGCCCCCAAACGGACGCTCCGAAAAGAACAAAGGCTCAGGCCGGATATTCCGGGCATAAGCTTCCGCGTGGATCATGAAATACGAGAGAGCCAAGTACGAGTTTACCAATCGGTGTACGTGGTGTTTGAGAGCATGCATTACAGTCTATTGCGGATACATCCTGCCACACCACTGGGCAAGTACAATAGTGGCCTGACCGTCAAGTATTCAAAAGTAGAATGCCGATTTTCTTTCAATCGGATGTCCTGGGATGTCAGAAACCACCCAGCAGAGATTTTTACGGCAACCTCTGGATCGAAGGATTGAACGGGTTGCTTCAGTACCTATCACGGGGAGGTGAAATTTTTCCTAGCGCAGAAAGCGATACTCAATACGTCCACCGACCAATCGAGCCGGGTAGCTAGGCCAAACCAGGAAATGGGCGTAAAAGAATGTGGCTCCTGGGCATAAATGGTCCGGGCAGGACAGCCGCAATTGGCCAAGAGTTTATCATCCCACCCGGCATCGGCCGGTTAATCCTAATCATGATTGGCTGGCAGCTCCACTACAGAGATTATCTGATGTATTGGCCTGATTATCTGATGGCACTTATCGCTGGCCCCCATTTATTCACACACACACACCTCAATCCCTGGCGCCCACCCCCGTCTGCAAGAGTGGCTCCTGCGTGACACCACGAGTCTAGTTGCCACGCCATGATGGCAGCCAGAGATTATGGCCCCAAAGAGCAGTCTCCACACGAGCCATAGAAGAAGGAGAAAGAAAAAGTTAGATGTTGGCGCTAATGCGGACCCAAAAGCCAAGTTGAAGGAATGATTGACAGGGGAGAAGAAGGGCGTGGGAGGAAAAGATGCTACCCACTATATAACTATCCGGCGATCGGCCCTTTCCCTTCCGCTTTTCTTTCTAAGCCCATCTCCCTTGACATTACTCACCTATTCACCCTGCAGAGATAATATATCTCACTCCCTGTTATCATGGGTGTCGTCGTCGATCGACTCAAGGGTCGCAAGACCAACCACGTTGTGGACGATCTTCAGCCAGTGGAGCAGCATCCGACAACGACTCAGGCAGACGGCCCATCTGATAACCCGGAGCTCTCTGAGAAAAACCCCCAACCCGAAGTGGTTTCTCGAGAGGCCCCGATCGGTGTCCAGAAGGCAGAGGCTGCTGCGCTGGTCTGGAGCAAGAATGCCATTTACGGCACTTACGCCTGGTATGAGCATTACTGGGAAGCGTCCAAATTATCTGTACTGATGATTTACTCAGGATCTGGGTCTGCTATTTCATGCTTGCACTTCACGAATACATCAACACCAACGTCCTCTACTATGCTTACTCGAACTTCTCCACCGCATCGCAAGTCACGACGGCCTATATCTTGGCAACCATCATTGGTGGAGTGCTGAAGCTGCCCATCGGAAAGCTTCTGGGAATCTGGGGACGTGCTGAAGGCCTGATCGTCTTCGTCTTCGTCTATGTCCTTGGGCTGATTATCCTTGCGGCATGCAATGGACCAAACGCCTTCGCTGCAGGCTATGTCTTCTACTGGATTGGCTACGATGCTATATATCTTATCCTCGAGATTTTCATCGCGGATACATCCGGTTTGCGCAACCGAGCCTTTGCTTTTGGCTTCTCCACCACACCTTTCATCTGCTGTGCCTTTACCGGCTCCCTTGCTGCCAACTCCTTTATTAAGACATCGGGCTGGCGCTGGGCCTATGGCGCCTTCGCCATCATCCAGCCATTTGTATTTGCGCCTCTCGTCTTCGTCTTCAAATACTATGAGCGGAAAGCCTACAAGACCGGTGTTCTAGTTCGCCAAGACAATGGCCGCACATGGTTCCAGTCGCTGATCCACTACATTCACGAATTTGATGGTAATTTTTGCTCCCTTTCCCAAGACCACAAATGACTCAAAATCCGACTAACTTGCACCAGTGATTGGAGCCCTTATTCTCATGGCCGCCTTCGTGCTCTTCCTCCTCCCCTTCAGTCTAGCCAGCTACGGACGAACAGAATACCACAACGCCGCATTCATCGCCGAAGTAGTTATCGGCTTCGCTCTTTTCTTCGCTTTCGCAGCCTGGGAGAGATGGTGCGCCCGCGTCCACTTCATCCCCTACGACCTTCTCCGCGACCGTACTGTCCTCGGCGCCTGTCTTCTTGCCGCAGTCGTCTACTTCAGCTTCTACTGCTGGGACAGCTACTTCTACTACTTTGTCATGGTCGTCTATAACCTGGATGTGACCAAAACCGGCTACATGACCTCCATCTACACCGTCGGATCCTGCGTCTGGTCCCCCGTCTTCGGTTTCTGGATCCGCATGGTCAAGGAATTCAAGTACTCATGTCTGTGCTTCGCGGTGCCGCTGATGTTCCTGGGTGCCGGCTTGATGATCCATTTCCGTGGTCAGGATGCAGATATCGGGTACGTGATTATGTGTCAGATCTTTATTGCATTTTCGGGTGGTATGTTGGTTATCGGTCAGCAGATGGCGGTCATGTGTGCGTCTACTAGGGATGGGATTCCGATTTTGTTGTCGATGTTGGGTCTGTTCAATAGTATTGGGGGCGCTATTGGGTATGCGGTTTCGGCGGCGATTTATACGAACACGTTTACGGATGGGTTGAGGAGGGCGTTGCCAGCGGAGGATCAGGACCTGTTCGAAACCTTGTACTCTGGGGGTTATCTGTCGCAGATGAAGTATGAGCCTGGGTCAGCGGTTAGGGATGCGGTCAATTACGCGTGGGGATATATGGAGAAGTATGAGGCCATTGCGGCGACTTGTGTTTTGGTGTTGATGTTCCCGGCGGTGGGGATGTGGAAGCATTATAATGTGGATAAGAAGCAGAATAAGGGGACAATGATCTAGAGGCGGGTGATGGGGTGATATGTATAGAGTAATTTTTAATTGTTAGATAGATGGATAATTCGGATGGCAGCTTCAACTGAGATGTGACTGGTCATGGATGTGGAGATAATCCTTGATGTGAAGGCGCAAGCCTAGATAAGAAGAGCTCCCTTGAGATACCGGAATCTCCCCCGAGATACTCAAGAGGTAAGAAGGTAGCACCATTGGCTGGGCTAGACACCTATTGCTGAGCTGCAACATCGGTGTGAAGGTTACACCACATCTAATGCGACAGCTCTAGGGAAATCCCAGTGTCATTGCAACACAAACAGGATATTTTTACCTCACTCATTCTTGAGCTCAACCACCCCCCCCTTCAGAGCATCCATCAACCTCACATCTTATTCCATTTCTATCGTCAACCCTATTGAACTTTAACCTCTATCAGAAAGCAGGGTTAATCCAACTTAATCATCTGGCCAAACATGCGCCGTTTCGAGCGAATTACTCAGGTGGTTGAACCCGTCGAAGAGTATCGCCGTGGAGGCTACCACCCCGTCCACCTGCATGACATCTTCGACCAAAGATATGAAGTCGTCGGAAAGCTAGCCTATGGTCAGTTCTCGACAGTCTGGCTGGCAAAGGATAAGACTAGGACCCATCGGAACGTCGCCCTGAAGATCCTGAAGGCAAATGCTTCTGCAGATTCGACGGAGCTTTTGATACTCCGTCATCTGGCGGCGTCCGAATTCGATCACCCTGGCAAAACACATGTCGTTGAACTACTCGATCACTTCTATCATACGGGTCCAAACGGTAGTCACCTGTGCTTGGTTTTTCCGGTGATGATCTCCGACGTGCAGGAAATGATAGTTACATGGACGCCTCGCCAGGCGGGATATGTAGAAACCATGTCACATCAAATCCTCTTGGGGCTTGATTTTCTTCACAGGTCTGATATTGTCCACTGTGGTAAGTCAATGGAAATGAGAAAAAAGATGGAAATTCACTAATCACCTCTTGCTGTCTGGCCGAGCAGACCTACAGCCAGGAAACATCATGGTATCGGTTACAGACGCGATAGAAAATTACGAGGACCGCCTAGAGCCACCACAGTATAGTCCAGTCCGATGGCTAGAAGGAGTGACGAAGGATGGCAGTGCCCCGAAGTACTTGATGCCTTCACAGAGACGTTACAACCAACTGAAGAATGTCGACCACTCCAGGCTTGTGGCCAAAATCGGGGATTTAGGTGGCGGTAAGAGACAAATACATTCCCACGTTTGATATTGTGGCTAGCTGCTGATCTTGTACTCATAGCTCAATTCCGTCGACGGTGCGACGAGCGGCCTGTAACCCCACTGTCACTACGCGCGCCTGAGATCATACATGGGAGTCCTTGGGATTGGACCATCGACATTTGGGCATTAGGGTGCTTGGTAAGTTTCCGTTACATTGACCTTCCCCACCATTCTAGCGTAAGATGCGTATGCTAATCCTGGGCAGATATTCGAACTAGCAACGAACGAGCCACTCTTTCCACTTGGTACCTTCGGTATTCCAAGAGAGGAAGTCAATAAAGAGCATCTGGAACTTATTGACGAGCAACTGAGTGATCCTGCCGGACAGGCTGGATTCGCTGCATATCTTGCTGAGCGACTGCCGGATGACTTTGGGGCTGAGAATGTACAGGGTCTAGCTAAGTTCCTTTTGCTGATGCTGCGGGTTTCTCCTGGGGAAAGACCGTCCACGAAGGTTTTACTAGACCATGCATTTACTGTGGCGGTGCCATAGACTGGGAGGTTGGAATTCAGCATGTGGGATTCAGGGGCATACTTGTTCCTCGTGCTTTCCTGTCGACTCATTTTAATTGTGATGGCGGTTTTTGTTGGAAATCCTGTGTATCATGTATCGTCAAATGAGCCTTAAAAAGTTCCTAACTATGGATTAGCTCTGTATTATCAGAAATGAGAAGGCAATATCACATTTTTTTTTTTTTTTTTTTTTTTTTTTTTTACTTTTTACCCTAATATATTTTCCTTTTTCTTTTTCTTTTTCGAGTGCTACAGCCTTGTGTAGTTGTATCAGGCGTAAATTCTACGATAAAATGCTAGCCTGCAACGAACTGTGCGAGACACTTTCAGGGCCTGGCCTGTCTAGTATAATCGGAGTGCACCGGTTCAATTAGTATAAGTATATTAGTATATGTTTTCCCATGTCTGCAGCGGTGCATGGGAGTCATGTCGGGTTACTATCGCCTATGTGCGCTCATATCGAACTAACATGTACCGCCTCAGGTAATAACAAGAGAGATCCTCTTGGCTGGCTCTGAGCCGCACTCCAGAACTTCCACTCCATCTGGTTCATAAGACTGGCGATACCAAAGCCGCTCGCGGCAATGAACGGGTAGATTGCCTGGCACCACTCGAACTCAGCCTTGTCCCTGCAGTCGATATAACATTTGGACGCCTGGGATAGCCCCAGGATGAGGATTTGCCCGGACGACATCCGATTCTTGGGCTGCATGAGATATGCTACAGAGCGGCAAATCTCCCTGGCATAGAACACCATGCGGCTCGGGTCAGGGCCTCGCATCAGGTGCGTCTCGGTTTGATAGATCACGCGACGGATAACCAGGGAGGCCACCCAAAACAGGAGGTAGATCTTGGCTGCTTCGAGGCTTTCGAAATTGTATGGTGCAAGATCTGGGTCCAGGGGGAGCATGCTGGGCTCCTGGCCCAAGTTCCGCCTGCTACAGGGAGTAGGTATACCGTCCAACCTGTGAGCGGACATGTGCAGCCAGTCTACGTGTACACGTGCCTCAAGGTTAAAGCAGCGCTGCAGTAGTGCGTGGCATGCGTGTTCCCGATCGTAATGCGGCTGTCCTATGAGTTTACATAGATCTCTGCGTAGAGCTATGGCTTCGGCGATTATTCCGAATAACTCGTCGACGGGGCTCTCTTTGCGTCCGAGATTGAGGCATTCCTCGTCCACTTGCATGCTGTAAGGAGTGTTAAGGGTGAACATTGCCTAGATAAGTGTCAGTAAGTCTTTCATCAAATTCGACCTAGACTGACCGTCGCCCACTTGTGCCTCCGGAGGATCGCGTCGATGAGGGCTTGATCACCTCGGGTATACTCGTGTTGTTTCAACATTGCCGTGGCTCCCTGTATGTGGGTAAGACAGTTACGCCATAGCGTCTCACTATGTCCCATAGTCTGCGGCCTGTCAGAATAAATGCATCTCTTGAACTGCATCGTACTCACCTCGTACGTCTGGAAGACAATGGCCGAGTAGAGAGTGGTAGCTGTTGGTGGGCGATTGCCTTGCAAGATCTGTAGCATCGCATGGAGAGCACTATTGTAGATCTCAAATCCATGATGTGCCAATCGACCATCCCTGGTTTTCTTCCCCAGATACACGGAGACCAAGCCGATGACCGATCGATCCAGCAGGTCTGATTTGCCGGTCAAGGTTGGAAAGCGCGCCATCAACAGATACCAGCTATCGACCCTGCCATTGAGGGAAGGATTGGAGGCGAAGAACGTGTGCATGTAGGTCGCAAACAACTGGGTGCGAGCCTCGGCACTCACATTGAAGCAAGCAGGCAAAGCCAGGGACTCGAGCTGTCTGACCCGCTGGGGTCCAGGTCGCTTGGTCTCTGCATTGCGCACACGCCGGGGCTCAAAGCTGTGGTGGATGAAGTCCTGATCCTGATAACCGGGGCAAGGCGTCCCCCCTCTTTTGACGCAACTAGAGCATTCGGGCTTTTCTAGGTCACACTGCCGGGTTTAGTCACCGATTAATGGTACGATGGGAAAACTTCTGGACTGACCCTGATCTTGCGCTTCTTACAGGCTGCACAGGCGCGCGATGTGAAGGGGATGCCGCCCATCCTTGGGATAGAATGTCTGGTGTACCTACGGCTAGGAAGGACGAGAAGCTGGGTCGATGCAAGGAGTTGAAGAACGATTGGGATTTCCGATCTTCAGGTTGTTCATTGGCTGGTTACGTTTCACGTGCTGCCTTCAGCCTCAACCCATGCGACATGTCACAGGCGTAGATCATTGGCGTAGACCGCCTAGTTTAGTACTGTGCAAGTGGTTAGATCGCTGTTTTCTATATCACCGATTGGTTGATGGGACATTCGAAGAAGATATGACTGGAATGCCTCGCTGCCACGCTATCCAGCCTTATGGACTCTACTGGTAAGCGTGGTGGCGCACGGTCCCCTGGACGTGCTCCGAGTCAGTGTCTAGTAGTTTGGCGTTTTTAGCCTCGTATCAAATGGGTTCCATGTAAATCTCCGCTTGCTGAGGAGCAGATTAGGCTCTTCACAACAGCGGCTTGTCACAATAGCGGATGCGCATTCCAGATCGGCCAAGTGCACGTCCGGCACCAACGACCAATGTCCATAGGGCTTTGTATTATCCTGCTAAACTTCTTATTCTATCGATATGGACTGTGTCAGAGAAAAGACAAGCACATACGACCACAGGGTGTGGAAAACAGGGCTTCCCGTCCGCTCAGCCGTACTTAAGCCACACGCCGGGAGGTTAGTAGTTGGGTGGGTGACCACCAGCGAATCCCTTCTGTTGTATGTTTTTCTTTTTTTATCTTTATTGATATTCAGCTGAATCGATCTCTTGTTGCTTGCTCCATCTGACTATCGCTCTTCAGTTTGATGAAAGAATTTTCGGATGTCTTTGCGGAAGATTCGCAGTCAGCGCCGGCATCCAGGGTGATTTCCTGGCCACAGTGTAGCAAATAGCAACTATGTGCCTGACTGTGACTGCCATCGAAACAGTCGATTAATCTGACCATACTCCAAGAGTTGAGCCTGTTGATGCCTCGCAACCTGTACCCTCAACTCCACTGAACGATTGAGTAAGCTTACACTTTCGTTCCACGTTAGATAGCTTCTCTGGACAAAGAGGAATACTTGTGCGCCTTGATCGGTACGATTTTATTGACGGATACTTTTCCGACAGAAGAGGAGGTGATTTTATAATCGTGAGGATGTCCGGGATCGTGATGCAAGGGTGCCTAAGAGCCAAACAGTTGATGGGCAATCCATGGGAAGATGCGGAGTGTAACGAGTGTCACAAACGCGGCGCGGAAGCGGCCCGCCCGCTCACTTAAAGCACCTTAAATATCAAATCCAATCCAAATCCCAAGCAGTTAAGCTTTGGTCCACCCGGGCGGACCCTGTATCGGGCCGACAGTTGGCTGGCTGAACGGGCAGTGGGCCGAATTAAATGAGGAATGAAGAGAAAGAAGGATCTTCGGTATATCCGCACCTGACGAGGGCTGAAAAAGAGAGTAGACTATGCATAGCCGAGGATAGCTTTCATACGAAAGGGGTAGATTATCCACACAGGTCTCAGTATATGGGGTTGTGTGTCGCAGGAATCTTTACAATCTGCAGTGTCTGAACACTCAGATTACGTTCCATCATGCCAAAATCATCCCAGTACTCCTTGCCAGCGACCTACTATCGCGGTGGCACCAGCAAAGCCCTTTTCTTCCGCGAGGATGTCCTCCCAGGTCCCGGACCCCAGCGAGACCGCCTCCTCAAGCGAGCCATGGGCTCTCCGGACCCCTTGCAGCTCGACGGTATGGGTGGATCCAAAGCAGTGACATCGAAGATTGCCATCGTTCGTCCTTCAACACAATCTGATGCTGATATCGCTTTTACCTTCGCACAGGTAGGCGTAGCGCGGGATTTTATCCACTACGGTGCCAACTGCGGCAATATTTCTGCGGCGGTGGGACCGTTCGCGATCGAAGAAGGGTTGGTCCAGTTCCGACCCGGGCGCTCGGTTGACACGACGGTGAAGACTCAGGAGGTTCGGATATATAATACTGGGACGGGGAAGTTGTTGAGCGCGCATGTTCCTGTTAGCGAAGTGGCGCTTTTGAGCCGGAGGGGACACATGAAATTGCGGGTGTTCCGGGGAAGGGAAGCCCGGTATTGCTGGATTATAGATTTGTAGGTTATGGGATAGGCTTAGGTGAAGAAGATAGCTGATGCAATCCAGACAATCGGGGTAGAGCTATCAAGGGGATTACTCCCTACCGGCAACGCATCCGACATGATCACTGTGGCTAAGAAAGAGATTGAAATCACCATCTGCGACATTGCCAATCTGTGTGTATTCGCCAATGCTCGCGACTTCAACATCAGTGGACACGAGACGGCCGCTGACCTGACCGCCAACTTAGACTGGCTGGCCAAGACGCAAGAGCTGCTGGGAAAGGCAGCCGTGCTTGCTGGAGTGTCAGAGAACTGGAAAGCTTGGATCGAGAAGTCGCAGGCCGTTGTTGCGCCAGACCCGGATCCTAGCAAAGCACATCTCGCTGCGCGGCTTTTCCTCGACAAAATGTGTCATGAGAGCATGGCGGGGACAGGGGCTATCTGTACGACCGCGTGCAGTCGTATTCCGGGAAGTGTAGTGAATAGGGTCATTGGGGATGCAATGGAGCTTGACACATTGGAAATTAGCCATGCTGTCGGCACTATGGCGGTGTTTGTGCAGACTGAGATGCCGATGAAAGATGAGCCGATATTCGAGACCCTCTCGTTTGTTCGAACCGTCCGCCGCATCATGGATGGAACTATATACGTACCTGATAGCTTCAGGCCAGATGCACCTGCGAAACGATCAGTTTCCAATGTTCTGCCACTGGGTTATGGCTTCATCTTCAATTAACTTGTAAGTATCCAGACTGCATCAGTCGCAATAGATGTTAACAAGACGTCCTGTTCAGTGTCATATCTGAATTTTGCATCATGACGGTTTTCTTCATGTACTATTTGTCCACACCCTAAGTGACATGGGTGGGAAAAGTGCTTTGACCTAATCGCATTCCAATGTACTCTGCGCTCAAGGATGGTACATGCTCTAGAGCCTTATCAGGTATCATCGGAACGAGCATCCGATAACCTGCGATAAGACGCGGGGTACGCGATACTGACAGAGAGCCCTACTTACAGACAAGGCAGCTCTCCCCGCTGACTTTCCTGATAAGTTGCAGGATTTGCAACTGGCCTGCCGAAGATGAGGGGTGGGAGGGGAAATGTTGGAGATAACGGGCCGGTGACTTTCTCCACCTTCACCTCCACTCTCGGCCGATGACGCTGTCTCACAATCTGTAGCCTTGTCATATGAGCTGGATACCGCCACAACTGTAGTCCTATCCACATCTAATCTCAATAATTACATTCACTACTCATAATGCCAAGCTTAGAACCTCGGCAGAAGCTGCGGATCTCTATAGGTCTGTCGCGACCACCCTCACACTGATAGTAGTGACTAAAGCCAATGACCATACAGATCGCGGAGGAACGTTCACCGACTGCATTTGCAAAGTCCCCGGTCAAGAAGATATCGTGGTGAAGATCCTATCCGTTGATCCCAAGAACTACGACGATGCCCCTACGGAAGCCATCCGTCGCGTGTTGGAGATACACTATGGAAGGAGCATTCCGCGGGGAACAGGGTTGGATACAAAGGATATTAGTAGGTGACATCCTGAATCACGAGCCTCTCTGTACGCTAACCTTATGCTTAGAGTCAATACGTATGGGAACAACTGTTGCGACAAATGCACTGCTAGAAAGAAAGGGCGAGCGCACTGCCCTTCTCATCACAGAAGGTTTTAAAGATCTGCTGGAAATCGGCAATCAATCGCGACCTTTCATGTTTGATCTCTCAATTCGAAGACCCGACACACTCTATTCCGATGTCTTCGAGGTGGACGAGCGCGTGACCCTGCGTAACTGCACCGACACCGATCTGCGAAGCATTGATCTCTCGTCGCCTCCTGTACTACGAGAATTGACGGGTACATCCGGAGAAACTGTTCAGATTATCAAGACCTTGGATCTTGAACCTGTGGAGGCATACCTGAGAAAAATATACACAGACGGATACCGATCCATTGCCGTATGTCTGATGCACGCCTACACATTTCCCGATCACGAGCTTCAGATCCGAGAGCTGGCACAACGGATCGGGTTCGAGAACGTCTCACTTTCGCATGCTGTATCCCAACGCACTAAGATAGTTCCTCGAGGGAACTCAGCCGTTATTGATGGATACCTTACACCGACAATCGAACGATATTTGAAGCAGTTTTTGACCAGTTTCCCAAATATTTCCAAGTCGGATACTAAGCTGGAATTCATGCAATCCGATGGTGGACTGGTTCCTGCACACAGACTTTCGGGACTGCATTCAATACTGTCTGGCCCCGCTGGTGGAGTAGTAGGGTATGCTCGTACCTGCTACGACGAAGTCAGCAAAGCCCCGTTGATTGGATTTGATATGGGAGGAACAAGCACAGATGTTAGTCGCTATGACGGGACGTTGGATCATATTTTTGAGACCACCACGGCGGGGATCTCGATGCAGACCCCACAGCTCAATATAAACACGATCGCTGCTGGTGGAGGGAGCATCCTGTTCTGGCGCGACGGCTTGATGTCTGTTGGACCGGAAAGCGCGTCTTCGGATCCAGGTCCTGCGTGCTATCGCAAAGGGGGCCCATTGACCATTACAGACGCCAATCTGGCCTTAGGTAGGCTGATTCCGGATTATTTCCCCTCTGTGTTTGGACCAAATGAGGATGAGCCTCTGGATCGCGAGGTTGTTATTTCCAAATTCGAAGATATGACTGCAGCGATTAACCGAGATACCGGGAAGTCAATGAGCTGGGAGGAGGTGGCGCAGGGGTATGCATACACATTGTATTGTGGGATAGAGTCGAGGTTAACATGCGTGCAGATTCCTCGACGTTGCGAATTCCGCCATGTGTGGCCCCATTCGAAGCCTGACGGAGGCTCGCGGTTACGACACAACGAAGCATCAATTAGCATCCTTCGGTGGAGCGGGAGGCCAGCACGCCTGTGCCATTGCTGAGCTTCTTGGTATTCAGAAGGTCTTGATTCACAAGCACTCCTCGATCCTCTCTGCTTATGGTATTGGCCTAGCCGATGTCGTGCAGGAAGGCCAGAGGCCTTGTGCAAAAGCCTACGAGCCATCTAATCTCCCGACAATTCTATCGGACCTGGAAGACCTTGCTCAAGCCACCAAGGATCTCTTAGGCAATGACGGGATACTGAATGTGGACGTGGACCGGTTCCTTAACATGCGGTATGACGGAAGCGAAACGACCATTATGATCGCGGTGGACCAGAATAACAATATGTTACCGACCTTTGTCAATGCTCATCATCAGCAATTCGGCTTTACCCCTACGGATCGGAAGGTGTTTGTTGATAGCATTCGAGTTCGGGCCATAGGCCGAGGCTCTTTTGCTGCTCCTTCGCCTGATGTTACGGCTTCGGTCCCAGAAAAACTTTCCATACCCGTACATAAGTCCCCGGCTGCTGAGGCTACCAACAGAGTTTACTTCAATGAGCTTGGATGGACGGATACACCGGTATACATCCTCAAATCCATCCCTCTCGGACAGAAGGTCAGCGGTCCGGCGCTTGTAGTCGACGAAACGCAGACTATACTCGTGGGCCCTGGTTCTTCAGCAACATCCAAGCAGGATAAGCTAATCCTCGACATCAACGTCTCTGGCAAGAGTCTTAGCGTTGCCACTGATACTATCGATCCTGTTCAGCTCTCTGTATTCCGCCACCGTTTCATGAGCGTCGCAGAGCAGATGGGTCGCGTACTGCAACAGGTGAGTGTGAGTGCGAATATCAAGGAGCGGCTGGACTTCAGTTGCGCTGTGTTTAGTCCGGATGGATCTCTGGTCGCAAATGCTCCCCATGTGCCTGCAATGATTGGTAGCATGGCTTTTGCAGTAAGGGGGCAGATTGAGGAATGGAAGGGGAGGTTGAAGCCGGGAGATGTTTTGCTCTCTAATGCACCTGGTTCGTACAAGGGAAAGTTTATCCATTCATTCACCGTGTTAATCAGCCTGTGCAGAATATGGAGGTACCCACCTTCCGGACCTTACTGTAATTACCCCCGTATTCGATGCGCAGGGGAGAGATATCATCTTTTGGACAGCATCCCGGGGCCATCATGCTGATGTATATACCCCTTCCCTCTAATCCGAGTAACCTTTCCGGCTAACACTCCCAGATTGGCGGTATCCTGCCCGGCTCAATGCCCCCATCCTCAAAGGAACTTGGCCAAGAAGGAGCTTTGTTCAAATCTTTCCTATTGATCCGAGATGGAACTCTGGATGAAGTCGGACTCTCCCGGATGCTCTGCGATGAGCCAGCACGATATCCTGGCTCCAGTGGCACCCGACGGTATCAAGATAACGTTACAGACCTGAAAGCCCAAGTGGCCGCCAACCACTGTGGCATCCGGCTGATCCACCAGCTTATCGAGGAATACTCCATGGAAGTTGTTCAGGTGTGTAAATCATGTCAAGCTGCAATCTCACCCGCCAGAACAGACGATTCATAAGCATCTTTGCTAGGTATACATGAAAGCGATCCAATCCTCCGCCGAGCTCGCCATCCGCAATCTCTTCAAGCGTCTCGCGCGCCAGTTCCACCAGACAGAGCTAAAAGAGGTTGACTACATGGACGATGGAACGCCGATCTGCCTCAAAATCACACTCGACGAGGCTGAAGGCTCTACGGTATTCGACTTCACAGGCACTGGACCCCAAGTCTATGGTAAGCCGAGCTTTCATCACAACCCACATGAGATTAAACCCTATTAATCACCCGAGGTTGATTAGGCAACTGGAACGCCCCCATAGCCATAACACACTCATCCATAATCTTCGCCCTTCGGTGCATCGTCGACTCCGATATCCCACTGAACCACGGCTGCCTTGCCCCCGTAACCGTTCACGTCCCTAAACCCAGTCTTCTCAATCCGGCCCCGACTGCCGCCGTCTGCGCCGGCAATGTCCTCACCTCGCAACGCATCGTCGACGTTATATTCAAGACTCTCCGAGTCTGTGCCGCCAGTCAAGGCTGCATGAACAATTTCTTCTTCGGTACGGACGACTTCGGATACTATGAGACGATCGCAGGAGGTAGTGGCGCAGGCCCGAGCTGGTCTGGAACAAACGGTGTACATACAAACATGACGAACACGAGAATTACCGATCCGGAGTCGTTGGAAAGACGGTATCCAGTGCTTTTGAGGAGGTTTTGCTTCAGGGGTGGAAGTGGTGGAGATGGCAAGTATAGAGGGGGTGATGGGGTGGTGAGGGATATCGAGTTCCGGATTCCGATGACGGCATCTATCTTGTCTGAGAGGCGGGTGGTGAATCCATTTGGGATGGACGGGGGAGAAAATGGGTGCTGTGGCAGGAACTTGTGGGTTAAAGGAGAAGATGGAGAGATTATGTCTATTGGGGGAAAGAATTCGGTTGAGATGGGGGCGGGAGATCGGTTGGTTATTGAGACGCCTGGGGGTGGTGGGTATGGAAGAAAGGATGATCGCGATGGTGATAGCAAGGTCGAAGGAGATCAGGCCAAGGTGAATAAGGGGTTTGTTCCCATCGCTAATGGGTCGGTGGAAGCGGCTAGAAGTTTGGCAGAACAGGTGTAGTGGCTGTCAGGGATGCTACATTGAGTACCTACTAACGATTATTTCCGTGAATCTAATATGGTGTAGATGCTTCATTCGTTCCTTCCTTTCCCTGGAGATTCCTCCACCCACACAATTCTTCATGACTGAAGGGCATTCCTCTATCTTCGCTCAGTTATTTACATCCCCACTCGACAGCTCACCAGGATGATTATTTTATGCGACAGCCTAGAAGCTTAATACATCATCGACAGCAAACAAAGCATGACACACCCGAAGACGGACAGGCAGAGAGGGAAAGAGAGAGCTCAACAGCATATGGCTAGCTGACAAGATCCCCTCCTACTAGCAGTTGAACAGGCCGTGCCGTACCGGGGCTTCTGCACGTTCTCTGCTCGTCCCAAGGCCAACACCCACTTTTAACATGGATGAGCAGTTCTGTAGGAGCGTCTGGACCCGATAATGTGCTTGGCAATCCTACACATCTGCACGTAGGCCTGGCCGCAAATATGGAAATACTTGGCGATTGGCGGGAAAGTGACTAGGAAGCAGCTATCGGAACCCGCGTAGGTCTGTGGGCAACGTGTCAGCGCCTGGATAGGCCGTTCCTTTCACCCCGCGCCGGACCTTCGCGGATATTGTGCATGCAGTCAATCAAGCCTTTGGCGTGAGGAGGTATATGCTCCCCACAAATCCACTGGGCAGACATGTTCTCTTTCGAGAGACACAAGACTTCTGTTGCGACAAAACACCGGAACCCTAAGAAAGAAGGTCAGGATGGATGACCAAACCTCGGACGCAACGGTTATTGCGAAACAGCACATTGACAGCATTAGCGCGCAATATAGAGGTATCTTAGAAAACTCAACTGCTCAAAGTATCATTGATAGCGCATTGCAGTTGTAGGTGTCCCGTGTTTTCCCAAAAAAACTCTTAACATCGTAGCCTGACAGTAGTCATAGCTTCGGTGAGGATATCTATTCGACCGCGGCGCACTTCCTTCTTGAGTTGATCCAAAATGCCGATGATAATGAATACGCCGCAAACATCACACCAGCTTTGGTCTTGACCTACCGCAATCGTGTGCTTCGTACCGACTGTAACGAATTGGGCTTCACACCAGGACAAGTCGAGGCTATCTGTAATCTTGGATACAGCACGAAGAAGGACAAGGTGGAAGCGACGGGTGAGAAGGGCGTTGGATTCAAGTCAGTATTCAGTGTTGCGGCCTCGGTTTGGATAGCGTCCGGTCCCTACACGTTCAAGTTCGACGCATCACGCCAGATGGGTATGCTGATCCCAATCTGGGAAGACCCACCGGATGCAACACGATACGCAAACACTTCAATGTATGCTCGCTTTGCGCCCCGGGCTGATGAGAGAATTGTCTTTCACGACTTGGACGTTGTTGGAGCCAAAATATTGACTTTCCTCCGTAAACTGCGTGAATTAAACTTGCATATCGAGCTCCAATCTGGGGACAGAATATGCTACAATGTTGCAAGGCAGGATACAACATCCCCAGATGGACTATGCATGACACAGTTGACCTTTACCGGTGAGATGTTCCCCATCGCTCAAAGAAAGACTTATGTCGTCTGTCGATATGAGGTGAAAGGAATGCCCCACGAGAAGAAGCGACCAGGAAGACAGACCACCGAATTGAGGATAGCATTCCCAGTCGACGATTTTGGCCAGCCAGTACTGGAAAGTCAGGATGTATATGCGGTCTTACCTGTGCGAAGTTATGGCTTCACGGTGGGCTCACTTATTTCCTCCTATATCAATTACATGTTAACATGGACTAGTTCCTTCTTCAAGGTGACTTCCTACTATCTACAAGCCGGGAGGAGATTTCATCATCAAGAGAATGGAATCGTATGTTGTGCGAATCGCTTCCTAACGCGTTTACCGCAGCTGTCAAAGAGATCGTGGCACACAGAAGTGATTTCCCTTGGTTTAAGTTTCTCCCAGACATACGTCCCGAGAAAAGCTTTTTTGAACAGGTCAAACATTGCATCCCATCGCAGTTAGCCAAGGAGAGAGTCTTGCTTTGTGAAGGTATCGGTGAGAATGGCCAGGACCTACTTGCACTACCAGGCTCACTTCGATACGTACCTCGCGAATTTCGAGACTCTAACGGGTATCCTCTTACTCTCTGTCCAACTACGAGAGATGGATACCTTTCTGTCCGGTATTTGCATGAGGACTGGTCTTATATTCAGCGGCTCGGAGTAAAGCAAATGACTGCGAATGAGTTCATGGATGACCTTGGTCATCTGGTGAATAACCATGGCGTGCAAGACAAGCCAGACCAGTGGCATGAAAGCCTGGCAAAGACAGTTAATCAGCTTCTTGGAAACTCTGAGAATAGGAGGTTTCTTGAAGTCCTTCGAAAACTTGCGGTTCTTCCTCTTCGAGACAATAAATGGGTCTCGAGCGCTGACAGAGTCGTCTTCCTCCCTCTAGTACCGGCCAGCGTACCAAGCGGCCTTAAAATCTGTGAGATCGATCCAGCTGCTGTCAATGGTGGGATGAAGTCAGAACGAGCGAGATTTTTTGAACATGCCGGGGCACAGGGATATAACCCGGCCATTGTGTGCGACCTGATTGTGGAGCGGCAAACCGCTCGGAGTCGAGGCTGGCAGAATAGCCAAGTCTACCAAAGGCGACTAGCAGCCAGTCGAGTCCCTGAGCTGGCTAACCAGCTATACTTTCTTTTCAAAAACAAATGGACGGGGGATGGCGAGCGATCTCTCTGGGTGTTGAATGAGCGAAGCGAGCCTTGCCCTGCGTCCATTGTTTACATTCCTTCCAAAGAGCCTGATTCAGCTGCAGCCCTACTGCACGGAAAATCCCCCAAGATTGAGCTTTTACACAAAGACTATCTCGGTGTAGGCGGCGGAGACAGGTTTGACTTTATGGAGTGGCTGCGCTCGACTTTTGGTATTTGGCGAATTCCACGACTAGCCACTCCAGGGAATGCTCTGTCTCCAGATTTTCAGCATCTAATTGACAACAGTACCTCATCCACATCATGGCTTCTCTTACTGGATAAACATTTTGACCAGTACTCTGATTGGCTTGTTCCCGGGGGATGGAAGTCAGCAAAGGTCTCTAGCAGCCTCCGGACAACGATGGTCGATTGCCTTCATGGGGAACGGTATTTGCTCGAAGAGACCTGCCGTCCCGGCCTGGAAAAGCTTCTTCCGCGCAAAGCCCTGCTGTTAGACCCAGAATTTGATAACTGGAAGTTATTGAGTCATCTAGGAGTGATGGTGGGAATGGATCTTAAGTTTTATTTCTCGCGACTGGCCGAGTTAAAAGAGACTGAAGCCTCGTTAGAACAGATCAGTCAGATTTATACCGATATTGAAGCCAAAAGTCAGGACAGCAGCGGGCTTATTAGGTTGGTCCAGTCCACTTGTAGGTGGCGATTCATATCTGACAAACACCCCAGGTCGACGTTCACCAATGACGCTCTCATATGTGTGCCGAACCCAAGATCCAAAAATGGATTCAGCTGGCTTCAGCCTAATGACTGCATCTGGAAGGGCCCAAAAAGTTTGAAACATACACCCAAGCTTCAGGAGCTTTACCCAGATAACGAAGTTCTCTTTAAGAAGATTCTTAAGCTTCGCAATGCCGGTGCCGAGTTACTGCTGAAAGAGATCGAAGAGTTCAAGCCAGAAAACCCTACTCATATCTTGGAGGTCCTACAAGATGCAAACGTTCTCCTGAAAGATACAGATCCATTCAATCTGGCCCTAATCCAGCGGATGAAGATATTCCCCGTACGACTTCCATACCAACGTGATGGCTTCACTTTAATGACAACTTCACAATCCTGGTCCATTCCTGACGAGAGACAGAGAAGGTATTTTGGACAAGACCTTCCGCTCCTTGTCTTTAACTATGATGCGTTTGACGATATGAAGAATATTCGACGTGTCTTCGACCTTGGTAACCGGAAGCTGGTAGCCACGAGAGAGGTCTTTTGTGAGGATAAGAACCCCAGATTGCTGGAACCAACAACTGCCAAGTTCCTGACGAGAATCAAGTTAATGAGCCGGTCAGTTTAAACGAAAGAGTAGGGTGATTATGCGACTGATTTATGACAGGTTGATTGCAAGAGATACGCATAACATACGAAAGAAAGTGGAAAGGCTGTTCACAGCTCAGCTGTTCTCGGTGAACGAGATCTTTTGGGCACTAACCGTTCGGCATGGAGACCAGGTTATCACCCGGGGAAAGGGTATAGCTGAATGCCTGTTGGCGGATAATGAAGAGGAACCTCTGAAGATATGGGTTTCCAAAAATTGCATTAAATATGATATGTTCCCTTCGGAGCTTGCGGACATACTTTGTCAGCTTTACAAGATTTCTGAGCGCGCATTGGCGCAGGACACTCTGACTCAACCCCCGGGGTACGTCGCCGAAAAGCTTACAAATTCGGGGTACACTGCGGACATGGAGCATGAATTACCTCCAACATTGCGTGATGGATGGGGAAAGGGAAAGCCTTGGGCCCGCATAAACGTTCAGATGGCGTCCGAGCCGGGGGAAAGTAGTCACAAGCCTGTTCGCCCTCCTGTTGAACTCCCAGCACAACCGATCAGTACATCTGTGACTAGCCACAGAAAACTACCTGTATCGAAGACACACGACAGGCAACAACACTATGAAGAGAATCAAAAGACCATGCTGTTGTTGAGTGCACAGCCTACCACCGAAGCAGACAACCGCGAAGGACTGGTTGGCCTTAGGACTGAACCGTCGAGTGGTGACGGAACAAGCTCAGCGACCGAGAATATACCTGAACTTACAACAGAGACACCGGCTCCGCAAGCAAAGAATTCTCATGCTCGGGATGATGATGATGATGATGATGATGATGATGATGATGATGATGATGATGATGATGATGATGATGATGATGACAAGGCAAGGAAAGCCACAGCTGACGAATTGATTGATGGCTCGGACATGCTCAGAGAAGCCAAGCCCTCAGTTCCCACAGAAATGGATAGGAGCGAGAATAGCGGATCTCAAGATCATCCAATGCCAAAGACTCACACAAGGCAAAGTGATCAGAAACAGACTTCCAAGTCTGTTGCTGATAGAACCTGGCTCGTCTATCTGAAACAGGAACTGCCCCCAGAAGTAGAAACAATAACTATAGAAGGGGGAATCAGCACAGATGATATTGCCTCCGTGTACCGGCAAGTCATTTATGTGGCACAGGAAATATACGATCTAAATATATCGAAGCCTGAGAGAAAGGAAAGTTACGGTGTATCGAAAAGACCACCGCTGGTGGAAGAGCTGTCTCTTCCAATACGCCAGACAGACTATTCACCTCCTAGGGAAGGCGTGCAACTCAGCTTGCCGCATGCTGATAAAAACGTGCCATCGCAGGCAATTTTGAAGCAACGCACAGGAAATGAAGTAATGTTCCATGCTGAGCAGAAGCAAGGCAATCAGACGGCCCAGCTCCTGAAGCCTCGGGCTAATGGTCAGATGTCTTCTCCCGCTGTGTCTCGAGATCATAAGGGCGCAACGGTTATACAGATACCTGGCTTTCCACAACACTTGCTTCGTGATTTCTTGCATAACCGCGTTAGACGGAAAGACCCAGTAGCACCTGCCCGGATTGTATTTCTAACTGGTGATGAAGATAGGCTTGACAGCCATGATGGCCTCTGCATTGGCCATCGAATCAAAACACATCCCGGTAGAGTGCACATAGATGAGGGAACGGGAGTCAAGACTGTCTTCATGGCTGTACCTGATCCAATTCGCCAAGAAGAAATGTTTTCAGGTGAACTTGTCGTGAGTTCAAATATTCTCCCCAAAACAAGCTACGCACCTATTAATATTGAACCCAGGTTTCGCGCATCCTACAGGAAGCACTGGGGAACGATTACATCCCCGACAAGCATTGGACAAGCTCGTGGAGATCGCGAGTTGGTTATGGCACCTACAAGAGACCAGAAGGTTCAAGAGTGCCACACACGGCCTTTGCGATCCCTAATTCTTCCTTATTCACAGATTTCCTCGTGAACCACGGATGTGACCAGGCCAAATGGTGGAAAGGAAACTCAGTTACGTACTATCTAGACGTCCAAGTCACGTCGGGAGATTTACAAACATCCTTTCGAATACATCAGAAGAACTTTGAAACGGTATACAAAACCCCAACCTACTTCTAATAAAAGCAAAATTGTTAAACTGTCAATACAGGCTCGGCAAACTGCTCTGGAGGGGGCTGATTGTCATACGGTGTACGCACTTATGCGACTCTATAACATCTATACCGAACCAGAGATAGCTATATTCGTCAACGTTTGGAGACTATATACAAATGGAAACCTCAATCTATCGGTAACGGGTGATCATTATGTCGCTAAATTGACAGATTCGCAGACAGATACCCCCGGTCTGTCTCTTAGCAATTTTCAAGCCACTGGCAATTACAAGTTCCATGCACTGGAGTCGCTGAGGCACATTCGAGTTCTGAGACTTTGCGGTCAGGAAAATGACCTAGTACTCCGAGGAGATATCCTGCACGTCTCTTTGGATGAGAGCCCGTCATTCATCGCCCTGTCGTACACCTGGGGATCAGCTTTGAAGCCATTTTCCATGCGGACCCCCGAAGGTGACATTCCACTTACTGCCTCCCTATACTACGCACTGAGCCGGATTCATCAGACCGATGGCTCGATCAATATTTGGGCCGACGGCATATCTATCAATCAATCGGATGCAACTGAAAAGTCACAGCAAATTAGTTTGCTACCGACAATATATCGTCAAGCTACCCAAGTATATGGATGGGTTGGCGACGGCGCGAATGACAGCAGCCTAGCTCTGAAATCATTGCAAGACATCCATGGCTCACCACTCATGGTGTCAAAGCTTGGAAAACGAGCATGGGCGGCTATAATTGAGTTATTCGCAAGAGCGTGGTTTGTACGAGCATGGATCATTCAGGAGGTAATCCTCGCGAGGGATCTCCAAATTGTTTGTGGAGCCGAGAAGCTACCATGGGAGACACTGTACAGTGCGGTGCAGACATGTGAGAAATATGCTGAAACTTCGGTGAAGAACCTCAAGATTCCTGCCACCCGAAATTTGCAACCGATCCTCAGCCTAGGCGAGACGCGAAAGAAATATCACGAGAATCAGAAGCGCGAGCTCTTGGATCTATTTGAGCTCTTTCAACATGCGAAGTCCACGCTCAAACGGGATAAGCTGTTTACGCTACTCAACATCGCTGCAGATGCAGAAGGTTTTAGAACAGACTATCGCAACCCGCTTGAGACTGTTATGTGTAGCTACGCCTCTGTATTTGTTGCCCGTGGAAAGGCCCTGGAGCTTCTTTCACGAGCACGGGGCGTTTCTTCTTCTCGCCGCTTCCCATCGTGGATCCCGGATTGGACCACTAACCGATACCCCAAAACAATATGTTCATGGCCGTCAGATCGAGCCTTTGATGCAGGAGGCGGTGGTATAGCGAGAAGCAGGGTCGATTCCGAGAACCAGGCAATCTTGGAAGTCGCTGGATCAATTATCGACACGATCGTTAAGGTCGGCAGTCGTCCGTCCACGATTGATAAGGCGATGGAATACATGTCTGAAGTGTTGGAGTTCATCGATTCGTCGAAATCAGACTTTCCTAACGACGACGAAAAGGAGGATTTGGAATTCAAAATACCTATTGGCGACGCAGCGCATGGCCCATGGGGTGATCGACAGGGATTGAAAAGGTCCTTCCAACTGCTCGGCCAGACTCTGAACCGAACAAAAGCTCCGCAGTCACCAGTCCTCGTCAATGTGGATACTTTGCGGGAGGATCTATGGTTGTATTGTCTGACTGCTGTGCAATTTTCTGAGCGGTTTGGGTCTGCTGTGGTGTGTCAAACGGCACGAGGGTATCTTGGGTTGGTTCCTGCGGGCGCGAAGGCAGGGGACTCCCTTGCTCTAATATCGGGTGGGAAAGTGCCATTCTGCTTGCGATATGAGCAGGAAGATTATCAGGTAGTTGGAGAGGCTTACATCCATGGCGTCATGCACGGGGAAGCATTCAAGCCCGAGGATGTGAAGACACTTCGTCTATCCTAGGTGCAGGTCGAGGGTAATCGAGGGAAAATCTATCTACATATTTTCAATGTAGCTTTGGTTTTTGATAAGACAGTAACCTGCATAGTGCTTGCCAGCAATCCCAAAGCCTACCTTAGACTTGCAGAGGCCTGTTAGGGCATCAATGACGTACGGGCGCGCAATTGATTGGAATATCATGCTCGGGCCACTAAGTGGCGTAGTCTAGAATAAAACTTATAGGACAAAAAGCGCCCTTATCAAGTGCTGATAAATGATCGTCAGCCGGATCAGACCCTTGCAGGTTACTCCAACGGCGAGTTCTCCAACTGCTGGGATGATCCGCGATAAGAAGCAATCACCGACTTGATTGGCGAGAGCATGCAAGGGAAGCCCTTGTTATCAACCACATCCCGTTCTCGAGCAGTATCGGCCGTACTCGACGGCAGATATCATGTCAATTTATGATAAGCCTATCGTTCTCCAGCGGGGTTTATATCTCAGCATCAGACAGCTGCATGCAACAGGCTACATCAATCCACATCGCCCTGTCAAAACCCACAATGTCTCACGAGCTTCGAGTCCTGCCCCCGGGTGCGGGCTATGGAATCGTCATCGGCATCGGTGGCATCTTTGCCCTTTTTATGCTCGGTATCTCCTGGCTACAGAATCGCTATACTCAGTTCTCCACCCATCGCGCCGAAGAATTCAACACCGCCTCACGATCCGTCAAGCCGGGCTTGATCTCCGCTGGCATTGTCTCCTCCTGGACATGGTCGGCTACACTCCTAACCAGTTCGACTTTTGCATATTCCTATGGTGTCTGCGGACCCATGTGGTACGGTGCTATCGGCACCCTGCAGATCCTCCTGTTTGCCCTGATTGCGGTCAAAATCAAAGCCAATGCACCGGGCGCACACACCATGCCGGAGATTGTCCTCGCTCGACACGGCAAGATTGCTCATCTCACGTACCTGTACAATGGTCTGGCTACGAATATGCTGGTTAGTGCGTGTTTGGTGCTAGGTGGCGCGCAGGTGGTGGCGGCACTCACGGGGATGAATGTGTATGCTGCCAACTTCCTTATTCCTGCCGTAGTCGCGGCGTATGTAATCGTCGGCGGATTGCGCGCGACTTTCATCGCGGATTATACTCATACTGTTATTCTGTTTATCGCGATATTGGTGTTTGGATTTTCGGTCTCGGCTACTAGTGAGCTCATTGGAAGCCCTGGAAAGTTGTACGATTTGCTGCAGGAGGCGTCGCGGAATATGCCGATTGATCGGAATACTGATGGATCGTATCTTGCGTTTCGGTCCGTTGGTGGCTTGATCTTTGCGGTTGATATATTTGTCTCTGGGTTCAGTACTGTCTGGCTCGATCAGGCCTACTGGCAGCGAGCAATTGCGTCGCGACCTGAATCTTCCGTGAAGGCATACATGCTAGGAGGTGTTGCGTGGTATGGTGAGTATCAGGGTCTTCAAGAATCCCATTTCTTTTACTGGATACTGATAACCTTAGGTATTCCGTTCGGCTTTGCTACGGCTATGGGTCTCGGTTGCGCGGCTCTTACCAACAACCCAGCCTTTCCCACATACCCCAACCCATTATCAGCTTCTCAAGTCGACGCCGGACTTTCCGCCCCAGCAACCGCAATCACCCTCCTAGGGAAAGGCGGCGCCGTGCTCATGCTCATCCTCCTGTTCATGGCAGTGACTAGTTCCACATCCGCTGAACTCATCGCTGTCTCCTCCCTACTCACCTTTGATGTATACAAAACCTACATCCGCCCGAACACCGACTCTGCGACACTCGTGCGCGTCAGCCACTGGGGCATTGTCATCTACGCCATCATCCTCGCCGCGTTCTGCAGTATTCTCAATGCCGCAGGCGTAAGTCTCACCTGGTTACTAACAGTGTTGGGAGTTATCGTCGGCGGAGCAGCAATTCCCGTGGGACTTATTCTGCTCTGGGACCGCATGTCCACTGTTGCGGCTATCGCAGCCCCATGGATTGGATTTGGCTTGGGTATCATCGTCTGGTTCATCACTTCGTGGAAGCGATCGGGCGGGATCAGTGTTGCGACGACGGGCGATGCCACAAATGCAGTAGCTGGAAACTTGGCCTCGTTTGGGGTGGGCACTATTTCCGCTGTGCTTTTGAGCTTGATATTTCCAGGAAAGCGCAGACACGACACGTCGGCAACGAATAGTATCACAGGAGTCCCTGTCGAACCAGAGAAGATCTCGACAGAGGCATCAGCGAAGAAGGATAATGATACCGAAATAGTCACAACGACTGCAACATCAAATGAACCCACCATGCAGCCGAAGAACGATATAATTGAGTACCTCGAAACCGAGACCATTGAACCCATGGATCCTGCTCTGGTTAAAAAGGCGGAGCGATTTGCTTGGACAGCGAATGCTATTTTTATTGCGATAGCAGTGATACTTGTTCCATTCACTTTGTTCGGGACAAGGTATGTGTATAACAGGGAGTTCTTTACGGGGTGGGTTGTCGTCTCCTTTATTTGGGTCTGGGCGAGTGTGCTCATCTGTGTGATATATCCGGTGGTAAGTGGTCACGATTTTAAGAAATGATGCCTTGGAAGGATAAAAGAATCCGCTGACAGATAGACGACAATACAGGTTGAAAGTGCAGGTGCTTTGCGGGATATTTCGAGGGGAATATGGGCGGACACAAGGGCGGTTTTGGGGCGTAGGAAGGAGAGACTGCGGACTGAGCAGCCCGTGTGAAAGTCAAAGGAACAATGTAGATGTAATATGAGCACCTGTGAATTTCCAGTTACAGTTAGTTTTGCTGCTCTCAGCTTACTCGCCCAATACACTATACTGTCATCACCGCCCGTTACCCCCTGCAAGTGTGTAAGAACCTCTCGCATATGCACTAGTTACACTTCAGAATTCTACATGACTGATAATCTCCTTCGCTGATACCACTCCGCCCCTCCTGAATGTTAAAGAAATGCCCTTCTTAGATGCTTGGTGTTGGATACATCATGTATACACTGAAAGAGATGAAAATCGTGATCACGCTACTGGCAGAGGTAAAGGTATGTAGGAGATGCGCTAGTGTCTATATAAAGGGGTCACAACTGTGCCGGGATCAGACAGTATCCCTCAAGTGCAAAGCGACCGACATCCAGCCGCAATAATCACGAAGAAAGAAAGACGCAGTAGAAGGTTTTGTTTAGCTTTTTGGAACCGTCCTTCATCCACAGTCATCAATTTGGGGCTAAATTCAGAGGCAATGTTGCCTCTTGGAAATTCCGTGCTTGGTACCGGTAGGTCAAGGAAGCTGCATAGAGGTGCCCTTTTACCTGTAAGCCATGTATCACTTGAGCGACTGAAGGATAGGAGACCTAACCAGCCATCATTCACGGACCAATCGAGATAATCTCTGTTGTTGGCTTCCAATATCAATTCTAAACCCTCGTAGTGATCCCGATACGCTCTCTCGGCATTCCTTTCGAAGTCGCCGTTGAAAAGAAGTGTTTGATGTCCGAGACGAGTCAGCCACACGCCCCAGAATAACTCTGCATTGAACCAACTAGCAATCCAATATAGCCAACTTTGCATCATTGGTAATACCGATGCGCGGAAGCTCTTTTTCCAAGCCTGTATATCACGACGCCGGTTCAGAATGACTTTGGCGTCGGGGTATGCCTGGAGAAGTTCGCTTGCAAACCAAACCGTAGGAACATCAGTAGAAGCATCCATGTCACCGAGAAGTCGATCAAAATAGCGTTCTCGAATAACCTCTGGGGTTGGCATACGGTTTTGTAGCTTCAGTAGTAATAGTTCGCAATAGAGAACGCTGTGGTTTGGATGATGAAGCCACCATTCGAAGCCATGTGCCACTCCGCCAAATCCAAGGGTTTCGAGGGCGCCTTTGAGTGACTCCGTTCCACTTCGAGGAAGGCCGAGACATATCACTCGTAACGGCCTCGACCGTTTCGGTTGCGGCTCAGGTAAGCGATATATACGCTTGAGGATTGATATCATTTTGGAGAGGTTAGTTGTTTTTAACGCAGTGCGTTGCGTTGTAATTGAAAAGCAAAGGAGCAAAGCTGACAGCAGGTTGTAACTCGCTCATAAGCTTGAAAACTGAAATAAGTCGTGGACACGTCATTTGTTTGGTGATTTAATCAGACGTGGTAGTTAGGCGTCCAATGCTCTTTTGTGCAGTAAAGCGACAGATGTCAGCCCGGGAATCATCGGTCGCTCTCTTCACCATAGATTCGCGACTCTTCCACTAACTCTGCTTCTGTGTGTATGGCATTTTGTGGTCAAACTCAGAATATTTCAAAAAACCTAACACTGGGAATATGAAGATTTCTCAATTGGGATGCAGGTAAGGACGGTCACTGCTCAACAGCCACCGTGATAGGGTTTAGGACACCCAAAACCCAGGTTTGGTTACCCGTGGGAGGACCCCAAAAGTGAGAAGCCAACCCGACCCGAGATTTGGCGAGGCGGTGAATGATTACCGACATCTCTATGCAAGGTTAAATGAAGTCCTATGCTTTCATTTTCACGCATGATGGGTGCTCTGGAGAAGCAGATATACTATAATGTTTATTATCTGTCGCAGCACTAACCGCTAGACCAGAAAGCGATAAACCGCACTTGGCTAGCTAGGCGACGGAGAGATATGTCTCCCAACATTATCTAATATTTTCCACCACAGCTTGTAATCTATCAAAAAGAAAGAGTTCCTCTCATTCTACGTTAATTTATAAAATCCTGGCTGCTCTAAACGGAGGTACATAGAGCCTGTTTTACATGCAACTGGAAGACACTATATTGAAGCTTTGATTTCTTTTTTACGACAGGGATATATATCTGACATGGTTCACCAAACTAAAGTAAATAAGCCTCCCACTTCCTTTCTACCAGACTGAGGGCACCCGCGTCTCAATTCCGAATTGCATGCACCCGCCTCACCTTAAGGAGTCTATCGTACTCCCACCCAATCCACGAACCGATGCCCACGCTCGCCTGCTCGACCAACCGCGCAAACGCATCTGCTTCACCACCCTTGCAGCCTTTCTCTCGGCGATATGCCCTCGCACTGTTATGCCACACTAGCGTTTCCGTTCCAGGAACCACCGTCCATCCCCAAGGCCTCTGCACCCGGGGTAGCACCATTAGATCTCCCTCGTCATCCTCTGACATTTCTTCGACCACCAAGACCTCCTCAAAATCTTGGTACTCTATCATGTCAAACACTGAAGTGATACAATTCTTCTCACGCTCCAGTAGAGACCGGGAAAAGGCGATGCGCGGGAACGCAGGCGGGCTGGTCTCGTAATTCAGGCCTTCATATTGGGGAGCAAAAGCCACATCGGGACCTTCCAAAAGAAATTCGAGATACCGACAGTCCGGCACGTATAGGGTGTCGGAAGCCGGCTGAAAGGGCCGCGTGAAGTGGAAGCCATCGGGGGTCCAGTGGACGAGGATGGTCCCCGCTTGCTGATGCAGCCAGTTTTGCGCTACGGAATGCGCCTCATGATTAACCAGGAAGGGAGGCACGTCTACTCTCATAGTGATGAGGCGCGAGAGGTTGAAGCTAAGATGGAATTTATCTTCAGACACAAGGTGGGCTTCCCAACACCCCTTTTTGTAGATGTACAAGCCTTGGTGGACGGGGGTAGGGAGGGAGTGTTGCCAGATGGAAAGGCGGAGTTCGGTGGGAAGAAGGCTAAATTTGGGAAAATTGGCGGACATAGTTGGAGATTCTAGACTCAGCAAGGTGATAGGGTGGGAATGCGAATGGGGTCTAATGAAGGACGAAGAGGGTGGTTGAACGCGGATGAAGGCGAAATGGATATGTCTTAGTCGAGATCTGGCCAGATCAGAGGTGCCGATTGTGATGGATTCTTGGATTTCTCACCACAAGATAAGCCTTTCTGCGGACCGGGCTGAGTAGAGCACCTGCAAGGCTGAAGGTTACCTGATAGATCATATTCCAAATGATACTAGTCACCCGTGTCATACTCTCCTTTGCCTAACTAGATATGTGGAAAGGCTCTATATAATTTGAGTCAAAAACAGGATAAACACATACGACCACAGGGTGTGGAAAACAGGGCTTCCCGTCCGCTCAGCCGTACTTAAGCCACACGCCGGGAGGTTAGTAGTTGGGTGGGTGACCACCAGCGAATCCCTTCTGTTGTATGTTTTTTGCTTTTTTCTCAACATTTTCGTATCTCTTTAGCCTGGTCAGTCATTCCCAGCGTCCTTGTTAAAGTCCGACAATGCCAAGAATGGGTCCCAACATCGAAGAGAGAGCCAAAATAAACCCGACAGTACTTCCGATGCGACTATGATTCCTTTAGTTTGCTTCAAAGCACACATTACAACAACACAGTATAGCTAGCAACGCCGGCGGATACGAAACGGCACTTTGGTCACCGGCTTGCGGACTCCAAATCCAAATCGACGTGAGTCAAAGTGCGGAATCGGTTCCAGAACCTCCACATCGAACATGGTGACCATCATGGCAGTCGTGAGCAACATGATCCGCTTGGCTAGAAGACGGCCGGGACATGCATTCTGTCCTCCTATATCGTGATGAATTGTCAGCTGGGCTCAAGTCCAATAAATTCGAGAGCCCGTGGATGATCGGCATGTCACCTTCGGGGTGCAACAGAAAACACCCACATTCTAGAAGACGAAGACTCGGCTCACTTACCTCCATAAGGAATCCAGATACCTTCTAGCCCCTGCACGGTGAACTGTTCGCCAGTAATAGATGAATTTTTGTCTCTCATCTGCTCCTTCATAAATTCATACGCAGCTGACGATGGCTTCAAAGGCCCACTTTGTGGGTCGAGCGGATCGACGAGAAAGCGCCGCCCCCAAAACGTGTCGAGTGGGTACTGCCCGTCTCGCGTGTTCCACACTTCTTCATCGGTGTGCGCTAGTGCAGTGTTGATCAATATCAATTTGTCGGGCTGGATGACACCTTTCCCAATCTCTAAGGGCTGCTGTGGGGAACATCGAGGGATGTGGATTTGGACCCCATACCGTAGGGTCTCGGCGTACAAGGACAGTAAGAGGGGTTTTTTGCTGATTTTGTCCATGTTGTAATGCAGAGATCCAGATTCGGGCTGGATGCTGTCCTGCAGTGAAGAGCGAAGTTCGGCTACAAGGGAGCTGTCACTATATACATGGGTGCAGAGTGTCATTGTGGATGGGACCACGTTTGTAATAGAGCTACATGAAGTAAGATGAAAACTAAGTTAGCATTTTGTCCAGCTCGGGAGGGAATTGGCAGAGAATATCACTTACGCCCAAATCAGGGCAAGATCAGTTGAAGCTACCGATCGAAGATCTTGCTCATCGATCCCCAGAAGCATTTTATGTCGCTCGCGCATCATCGCCGACCCCCAATAAGGATCATCTTCTCCAATGTCGGCACTGTGCCTAGCTGAGAGTTCAGTGGCTCGTTTGTGCCACTTCATAATTCCACTAAGCACTTTGTCGCGTAGCCGATAGCCCTCAGGGATCATCCAAGAAGGCAAGCGCTTGGCCATAGACATAATATACCTATCATATTTCCATAACGTTCGATGGAAACCCGGACTCTCAGTTAGTAGGAGCGGGCCAAATAGGGTCTCCAGAATTGCTGCTCCCAAGTGGTCCTCGAAAAACTCCGTCAGATCGTCCACGTAAGTCCAGGTAGGCCCTGTCGGCACAGCATTATCCAACGAGGACTTTATGGCTGCATCAAAACGCTCCGTCGTATGGCCGAGGCCCCTTCCAAGGAGTCCATGGAAAAGGTTTTCGTGGGTATGGTAGCCAACACGGCGATTGGATGGTATCCTACTGCCAGGTATGGGCCGTTCCCGGGAGCCCGACGTGTCTGAGACGTAGACATCGACGGCCTTCTGGTCCATTCCGCAGCAGTACTTGAGTACCACTCCATAGGCTCGGGTAACAGTGAGCTTCGGGTTACTGAAGATCGAGCTTATGTTTTTATGTCCTTGGACTAAATAGACCTCGTCTCCCAGCAGGCCTACGCGCAGTGGCCAACGACCCTGGCAGAACCGACTGTTTGCTGTTTAGCATGAGAATATGAAAGGAGTGATGAAGTGGCTTACGAGGCCCGAATGAAGAAATTGGGTCCATCAAATACGAATGAAAAGGTACTTCGCAGAAATGGTATCGTGTAGGGCACGGTCAGCGGTGCAGCGGCAGGCTTCTTATTCAACACTCGTGACCGTGCAGACAAAGCGCGCAGGATGAAGAAGATTAATGCAAGGGCAGCGGCAGCGCCAGGAATGATAGCGGTATTCATTGTGTGGAAAGTCAAAATGTGGAATTTTTGCGACTAGCTTTCTAGCTGGCACTTACAACTATTTAATCGGCTGTTTCTCTACTGCCAAGTTTCGAAAGAAACCACCTGAGCAGAGGCATAAGCGAAATTCAGTAGACAAACCAATAGTTCGGATAACGTGGAAAAAAAATTTAGAATTGTCTTGATGGGGAAAAAAAAGTATTACGGAAACATAAGGGTGAGAAATAAGTGGCAAATTGTCATGAACAAATGAAACCACAAGGGAAAGGAATGATAAGGCTGAATAACTACAGGTTGTCTCATGCAAGCATGGCGAAAGTTCATCCTGATTCTGATATAAGACCTCATGGTGGCTGTGAGCTTGGGCTCACCAAGGTCCGAGAGCCCTTCCCGTCCCTTCACACCATATAGTCACTGTCCTAATGGATGAAGACCAAGATGGATCCCTGACTGGCAGGATGAAACTGCAAGGCTTCCAAGTTTAGCCCCCATCGTCGGTCGGGGTTTGGTTACATTAGGGCTTACTCTGCAGCATTGGTCTCCTGCAGAAGAGACACATGCAGTAAGCCGTCATTGCCGCGTGAACAGCGAAGTGTTTCCAGGCCGAGAAGAAATCCCCGCCCTCTTCTATGAACGGCGAATTAATTCCAGATCATCTTTCATCAGTCTGTCTTCCTCTGACTGCTCGAAAGTCCCAGGTAGTACAGGAATTCCACTCTGATCCACCATGGCCGGGAGCGCTTTCACATTCTTTCATGCTAAGGTCTCAAAATCGACATTTCTGGTAAGTGACATCAATGTTAGCCGTGGAAGTCTTTACCGGCTCCGCACTCACACTTTCTGGTCGGGCATAACAGGGCCTACTCTGGACATTCACTTGCACCTCCTTCCTTTTCGTCTTGTTCCGTGTGGTTGTTCGATATGGATCGTTCAAGCGCCTCTACCTGGATGACTTCTTTGTGCTGCTTGCATGGGCAATCATGTTGACTACCGCCATCATCTGGCAAATTGAGGGGCAAGTGCTGTATGAAATGTATGCGATCAGTGAGGGCAAGCAGCCTTACACCCCGGATATTCTACCAAAGTTCGGGAAGTTCATGCGTTTCGTGGCCCCACTCACCATTCTGTTCTACTCGGGATTATGGTGTGTCAAATTCTCATTCTTAGCCTTCTTCTACCGGCTTGGTTCCAAGGTCAAGAGTCATCGGATCTGGTGGTATGTGGTCTTGTTTTGCACCGTCGCTGTCTGGATGGCCTCGGTCGCGGATATCGACTACCGATGCAGTTTTGGGGGGTTGGAATATACCATGAGTGAGTCTATATCTCCATCACGAGAGTAAATAGCAGTACTGATATAATCAGCCCAATGCTCCAACCTCTACCATGTACACTTTGAAAACCGCACATTCTGGGCGAACTGTGCCGGGGATGTGGTTACTGATCTTATGAGTGAGTCGTCCTTCCCCTTTCCCCCGCCGACCATAACAATAGGGAGAGGCGGCTAATTAGGTCCTTTGCTCTCCTCAGTTTTATCAATCCCCGTGCTCATCCTCTGGAAAACACGCATTACTTTCACAAAGAAGCTCATCTTATTGAGTGTCTTCTCCGTCACAATTATCGTCATGGCGATCGCCATTATCCGAGTCGTCGTCAATACCTCCCTTGATGAACCCGTCGATATCTCCTGGTTATATCTGTGGAGCTTTATTGAAATGGGAACCGGTACGTTCAATCACCACCACATCGAACACCCCATTTTTTTTTTATTACCGAGTCTTTCTCTATTCTGAAGTCTCGCTAACATTTCCCCCAGCGATAATAATCTCCTGCGTCGCCTCCTTCCGTCAGCTCTTCGTGACATCACAAAACCAACATCTCTTCGGCAAAGTCGCGTACCACCCACCCAATAACCCTCTCCTCAACAGCATGCGGAATGGCTATAGACGCACACAGTCCGGTCCAGGAGTCGAGGGAGATGGTTCGTCTCAGAGAAGCGGTAATGCTCCGAAGATACTTCCCTTGGACCTTGTGCATGTGCGAAACGAATTTGATGTTGAGAGCGCGCCGGCTAGTCGAAATCATTCTCGTGAGGATCCGTGGAATTGAGGACACCGGTTGACGGGATAATTGTACGATGTGTAAATGGACCCGGCTTATAGTTGGACTTTCATAACAGGTTTGCTTGGTTGGTTAGGAGTGAACATTTGTTATTGTGAATACAAATATAAATCTATTTCTTGTTCATTGTTATCTTAATACGCCCTTACATTTGGATTATCTTGCTTTGTAAGACGTGACATGAATATTTAACTTGAGGGATTCAACATAAACACTTTGGCTTAGGTCCTTGCTCGAAGACGGAGGTTTTCCGGAATATATTGTGACGACCGCTGTCGATGAACCCATAATTCTTTTTTTTTTTTTTTTTTTTTCTTCGATGGTAACATAGTCCCTTGATACTATTCAAATGAGCAACTATCTACTATTCGTAGTATACACACAAACCAACCCAACCCGTATGTATTGCAGTTTTGGTCTTTCTATCGACTGCCTAGGTACCATCACACCCACAAGATTCCATTCATACTACTAGTCACTAATACCGGATACCTGCACCTACCTCACACCGACGACCCCTTCTCAACCTCAGTAACCCCCACCTCCTGCTTTACAATCTCCCTCTGCCCCTCCTCCTCCGCCTGCCTATCTCTAGCCACCCGTTTCGCATCCAACCACTCCATCCCCAAAGTGAACGGCACCGCGGCTGCCACAAGCGCAACCGACAAGATCATAGTGCGCGAAATTCCCTCATTCCAGATATCGCGCAGAAACGCTAGATCTGCTGCCGTCGGCGCTAAGGCCTTTAGATTAGCGGCGCCAGCCTCGAAGACGTCGTTGCTAGTCAGCCCGGGAATTTGGCCATTGAGCTTTTCTGTGAGGGTGCTGAGAACCACAGTCTGGCCCATGGCGATGGAGATGGCTCTGCGGTGAGCGTTAGTTTGGCTTCATCCACGGCGGGGGTGCGCTAAGACGAGGGGGGTGCTACGTACCCGCCTAATTGGTAAAAGAGGACGGCGATGGCTGGTATTGCGGTTAGCTTGGAAGTGATGGCTGATTATCGGAGAATTGCGATGGGGACGAGGCTTGGTAGAACTGCACGTACCATTACCCATTGCAAGGTCTTCTGCACTGTGCCATGTTTGGAAAGATTGAATGTCAGCTTGGCTTGGCTCCGCGTTTTCCGCTGTCACTCGGGGAATTCTATTTGCGGAGATAGCAAACGTAACGATGCATAAGCTGGGGGTGGGGGCAGATCGACTGTAGCTGAGATACTTACGAAAGGGTTACTTGTATGGCAGTGTAGGGGAGCTGCATGGCTAGTCCCAGGCCAAGGCCAGTGACGACCAGATAAGCCGCCCATTGTACCGTGCGGGTGTGCGGGTGTAACTGCGTCAGGAGGGCCGTTCCCACGATGCAGATCAGGTCGCCGGCAAGGATGTAGGGGACCTGAAATGTAGAAAGTAAGCGAGAGGTAGAAGGAGGGTCGCCTAGAGTAGTTTGGGGGCCATTGGATGAAGAGGGGGAGAGCGAGGCTGGATGGCCTTTTTCGTTCACTCACATAATGACCCCATTGTTTGACCACAGCCCCGATAATGACCAATGCAACCATCTCTGTTAGCATCAGGGGGATGAAGTTGACCCCGCTGGAGACGGGACTTATTCCGTGCACGGCCTCAAAATAGAACGGCAGGAAATACGTATCCTGAGGCTGTGTAAGAAAGATTATCGTGTATGCGACAGGGATTCTTTCTAGCTAGGCTTTCTAGCCAGGTTCGAGGATGGGGACGAGCAAGACAGACAGCTGGCTTACCAGATAAGTGGATCCACCAAGAAAGAATAAAACCATGGCACTGGTGAAGACGCTCCGGCGGCAGAAAACCCTCAGGGTGATGAGGGCCCGCTCCTGACGCTTCCACTGGATGAAAATGAAGACCAGAGCTAAGGCAGCTGAGCCGACGAGCAGACCAATCACGGTAGAAGAGGACCAGGGTTTAGTCTGACCACCCCATTGTAAGGCTAAGAGTAAGCAACAAACTGCAGCGAGGAAGAGGGCACAACCAAGGAAATCCATGCTGCCCAGCTTTGCGCGCAGCGGTAATTGTCGATCCTTGGTTGCCTGACCTTTGATTCGGAGAAAGAGGGTCAGCCCGCCAAGGACAACGGCACCGAATGGCAGGTTGCTGAATCATACCAAGATACCCACAACGTTAGCTGAAGAGTGGAGATGATCAAACTTTCACGGGTGTGGGGGAGGGGGAGGGGAGAGGAGAGTGGGGGATAAGAGAATGTGCTTACATCCAGAAACACCATCGCCATGTGGCGTGTTGAGTGAATGCTCCACCCAGCGGGGGTCCAACACAGACCGTTATGACAAACACGCTAATGACAATTCCCATGTACAGCGGTCGCTTCTCCAGCTGCACCACCTGTCCAATGATGCTAAGAGCACCCTGTAACACGCCAGCGGCCCCAAGGCCAGCGACGGCGCGACCCACAATAAACATGGGCGATGAGTTGGCTGCTGCGCACAGAATTGTGCCCACTGGGGATCAGATCGGTCAGAAATAAGCTTGTTCTAAAATTGCCGACAACCAAAGAAAGAGCGGACGAAAGGAGCAAAGTGCCGCTAGTCGCTCACCCTCAAAGATGATTATAGACAGGCGATAGACAATATCTGTGGGGAAAAGACGATAGAAGCATCCATAGACTGGCTGAAATGCGGTCACCGTAAGCAAATAGCCGGTCCCATACCAGGCCACATCGTCCAAAGCTCGGAAATCGGAGGATATTTGCGGCAGAGCAACATTGATGATATTGGTATCCAACGCAATGAGGAAAGACCCAAAGAATAAACAGGTAATCACGATGCCGAGTCTCCATCCAGTGAGGTAATGTGCGTTGTCGCTGGGATCGTTCGTGGCAGGCATCGCGGCGGTGGTAGTGGTCGTGGTGGTTGTGCTCGACACGGCTTTTTGGGACTGAGCTGAGGCTGAAAGGAAATCATCTGCATCGCTGTTGGGACCAGGTGAGTGGACGATGGATATTAAACAGGTGAACACCTCCTTGGGTGCCGGGGTATATTTCCTTGTAATTGAAGATCGCAGGGAGGATGAGATGACACAGCCGAGTCCGGACTCGGTCTCAGATGGCCTACCCTCCTCTAACACGTCTACTGGGATCGGCACCTTGCATTAATCAAATACCGCCGCGTGCTGAGTTTCGCCTATCAAAACCAAGGACCACGGAACGGACCGTATGTCCGAATACATTATGTAGACAATTGCCATACGTAAGTTACGCACCACGCCAAGTTGTCGCGGCTGTCATGCGGCCAAGTAGGGCTGTGCCGTAGATTTTCCCGGCGAGTGAGGGGTAAGCAATCAGTCTGACAGCCTTGCAAGAGCCAAGTCTGAACTCAATGGCTACTTATCTTATTACACCTGGAATCACGAGTGTATATGAGCTTGGATGTGTTATTGGGGGCCGAAAAGATGAACTTCCGGAGGACAGGAGATAAGTAGTATCCATCGTCACTGCTGGCCTGTTTAATTAGTAGCACCTAAATTCCTTTCCCTTCTTGTCCACATCTATACTTCCTATAGCATGAAAATGGCATATCGATTCATTACCTCCCGGGGTTTCCCTACGCGGTCCACCCAGCTGCGGCCTTACTACCAACGTTTGCCATCTCTTCATTCTCAATATGCTTATCCGCGGGCTCATTCTTCGATGCCCAAGCCTCCCACGAATGAAGTCACGCAATTGCTTGAAAGAGTCCAAAGTACAACCAAGGTCTTCCTGGATTTTGTGAGAAGCCAAGGCCTTCCGGAGCCATCCTACCAGAATGGCGATGGCCTCCACCCCGCTCAGCCACTGCCTCACGAAGTGCAGGAGGCGAGGGAGGGTGCCATTGAAGCAACTTACGAGCTTCACCACCTCATGTTAGGTCCGCTGGGACTACTGTTTAGCTGCCCTGGGGAGGTGTGTTTCCCCTCTCCGATCCAATTGCAGCTGCCCGTAATTAACGTCGAGGTACACAGCAATTGGTGTTACTAAGCCTGCAATACATCTATCGCTACCAAATCGCCACGCACGTACCCTTGGATGGAACCACGACTTTTGAAGAGTTATCCAAGACCACAGGGTTGGGACAAAAAGATCTCTCCCGCTTCCTCCGCGTAGCAATCAGCCGCCATGTCTTCTGCGAGCCCACGAAAGGAACGATCGCGCATACCGCTGCATCCAAGCTCCTAATTAATAATCCAATGGTTGAAGCATGGATTCAAAATATCGCCCAGGAGTTCTGGCCCGCATTCACCCGTACAGTCGAAGCAACAGAGAGATGGCCCGGGTCCGAAGAGCCCAATGAGACCGTAAGTATAACCCCATCTCTCCATCCCGCCAATATACGTACTGAACCTTATACCTTCTATAGGGTTACTCCATCGCCCACGGCACCACCTCCCACCCATTCGACGAAATCCGTAAAGACCAACGCCGCCACCAACAATTCATCACCGCCATGCGATTCTCCCACCTCCACCCAGCCTACCATCTCTCTCATCTCCTTAACAACTACAATTTCAACCGCACAAACACCACGACCAACACAACAACAATCGTCGACGTCGGCGGCTCCAACGGCGAAGTCAGCATCGAGATCGCCTCCCAATACCCCAACGTTCAATGCATCGTGCAGGACCTACCCGACACCATTGCCGGACTGGCCGCCAACGTTCCACCCGCTCTCTCTGAACGAGTGACGGGCATGCCGCACGACTTCCTAGAGGTGCAGCCTGTGCACGGCGCAGATGTCTATCTCCTACGATGGATTCTGCACGACTGGTCAGATAAGTATGCCATTCAGATTCTGCGGAATTTGACACCTGCGTTGAAGAAGGGTGCGAGGGTCGTGGTTAATGATGTTTGTTTGCCGGCGCCGGGGCAGGTGGGGCCTATGACGGAGCGGTATTTTCGGTGAGTGGATGATTAGTTGCTTATGCTTCCAGTAGGGTTTGTGATAAATACTAACTGCTTGTCAGATACATGGATATTTCGATGAAGGCTTTCAATAATGCCCGGGAGCGGGATGTCGAGACGTGGGAAAGTCTGTTTGTGGAGGCGGACTCGCGGTTCCGGTTCTTGGGGGTTTCGGTGCCGCCGGGGGCGAGGATGGCTATTATTGAGGCGGAGTGGATGGGGGAGTGATAGTCGTATTGTAGTGACTTTACGCAGTTTTTATTTGTATATCTTGGGAATAACATTGAATTGTCAAGTTGGAACAAGGAACCGGCTGCGGATCAATTTCCCTGGTGGAGAAAACTGCGGCCCCTATTATCGTATCAATTGATTTGATGTGCTGCTGCTGGGCGAGGAGAATAAAACTACCGGTAGAGAGATGGGTTAGGCAAGATTGTGGATTAGCGGACCTTGTCCCGGTGAGCAAATATTAGGATCTACTTTGAGAAAAATATATAATCACAGTCCTTGAAAACATTCTTGTAGGACACACCAGTCTGTCTTGGTGGTATTCATTTGGAGAAGACATTGAACTTCAAGCTCCTCAAGTGCTCAATTGTATCAGTCAAAATTTCCCCCATATATAATAATGTAATAACATACCCCATACAACATTACCTTGATATATGATACATTAGGGCCCGAAAATACCTGCAACAAAACCACACCGCAGCGATACAGTATAACATTTATCTTCAATTACACCACCCCCACAACTTTTACCTAGATAGGTGAAGTTTTGGCCACCCGAGAACACGCCAAACGCACCTGATCAGCGTTCGTCATGCGCAGGAGCAATTGCAAATCCACGTCTTGCGTGGTCGCCAAGACCCTCGCGCGTGTCTCCTTGGGGCTTTCGCCAGGGTTGGCAACTGGGTGCACCCGATGACTCCGGAGGAGAGCCGCCATGACAGCCACAAATTCAACTTGGGAAAACTTGTTCCCGGGGCAGTTTTGAGGTCCGTCCGACCATGGGAAATAAGTAGAGCGGGATGGGGTGATGATTGCCTCCGAGGCATCGCCAGAGGCAGATTTGGTTATCCAGCGGGACGGTTTCCATGTCAAGGGGTCCTCCCAATATTGGGGATGGATGTGCATGTCAAGAAGACTGGGGTGGACTCCAACGTGAGGAGGGATCATGATGTCTCTGTCGCCCAATCTGAGTGATTGGGGCTCGTCGTTGGTCCATTTCGGGAGGGATACAATTGGTGGGAAGAGGCGGAGGGTTTCAAGCTATGGAACGGGGGTTGATTGTTAGTGATCAATGAGAGAAGAGCAGGGGAAACAGAATTGAAATATGTGTGGGTAGAGATACCAAGACAGCGCGACAACGAAGCAGCCGTGGAAACAATTCACCGTAGTGTTCCTTGATATTGTCTTCATCAAGCCCGTCTAGCTCCTCAGCCACCCAGTCTTGAACTTCTGGATACGCGGCAAGTAGAAGCAAGCCAAAGCTCAAGGTATTGGCGGTTGTATCATGCCCTGCAAAGTTGATAACGAATATGTTCCCGAAAATCTCATCCACCGTCAGCCCTTTGGGTGGTGAGCCACTTGTCTTTGTTTTCCCCTCCTCATCCACCTTCTGCTTCAGGTCCATGGCGCGAACAAATGAAGTCATCAGGCCTCCGCTCCCCGAACTTCCGGTGTTCAATGCTTTGGTTTCTTCGTTCAGCATTTGGACCATATAGTTCTTGAAATCGGTGGCTGCTTTGCCAAGATGATGCCATGACTCGGGAGCAAAAGGCAGAGTGAGTAGTTTGCGAGGCATCACCATCAGGAGGATACAGTTATCCAGCACGGTCTGAAGCGCGTCGCGATATCCCTCTGATTCATCTTCCGAAGTGGCAGGGGATTCGGACTTCACTTTGTGATCTTTGGCACTCTGGAAAGGGAACGACTTGCGGAATCCCGTGGCGGCAAGGACGTTCAACGAGAGGGTCCGCGGATCCTTTGCAACACTAGGAATGTGACCATCCGCAGAAGAGTCCCAAACCTGCAGCATCTGGCGTGCCTGTTCCACACTCTCGTCCCATACAAAGGACATGGCGTTTTCGTTGAACGGCGTGGCTAGGACCTTTCGGTGCCGCGGCCAATCATTCCAGCTTGCTGTCGAGATGCATGGTCCGTACACCTCCAGTACCTCTAGATGCCGAACCGGGTTAGCAATTCCAGATCCAAATAGTTTCGCAATATTCAACATGGAAATCCGGACATACTGTACATTTGACTGGGTCGGATGAAGTCCGTACGCCGTTGGAAAATATCATGAATTGCATTTGGATCGGCGACATTGATGTAGATATCGCGAGGGGTGACCAGCGCCCACATGGGACCGTAGCGTTTATGAGACTCGCCGCGATCGGCAAAGTACCAGCCCCGGCGCGAGTAGCGACCGAAGCTGTAATTGCGCCAATTGATAGGGAGTTTGTTCAGCCAGGGCCAGATAATGGGTTCGAAGACCATCCAGAGGACATTTTGAGGGTCGATATAGAGGCGCACCAAGGGGATCCCCATGCTGGAAGCACGACGGTAGTTGATTTCCATCGTCACCATGCTCCATGCTAGGTAGGCGAGGGCGAGCAAGCCCAATGCTTCGAGAATCATGGTGATGGCCAGTAGAATAATGGACCAGAGCAGAGAGGAATTGAGAGGGGGGTTGAGGAAGGTACTGCTATCTGGGGTGTAGAGCGGAATTGAGTGGGGGGAGTTCTTTTGTCAAGGATGAAAAGTGAGTGGTGGATGGGAAGATCGGGGACGCGGATGAGAAAATTTGCGGAAGACAGGAAGGAAGACGAATGGATAGCTATGAAGGAGAGATGCCTTGCTCACATTCATCACATCCCATTGGCTCATGATGCACACAGCCTTGTCTACTACCTGCGTGAGGTGGTCATGAAACCTAACCCCCTGCAAGGATATGTGATGGTACCATTGGCCATGAGACGCTCCCCATCATTCCTAGTGTGGGAAAGGGAGACGCAGTGGAGGAATCATAAACGGAACAAACAAAGAAAAGGAACGGCCTCGAATCGTACAAGGTTGATACTGAGTCTTACGAGGTGCTTACTAGTGCTTACTCGACCCCTCATGAGCGGGTCTGGATTGGGCTGATTGATGGCCGACGCTAAAAGCGGGATTCCACCATCGATCAGGGTTGGTGGGGAGAGGTGCCACAGTCTCATGTCTGATGCCTGGGCCAACGCTTGTCATTCCGCCTGATATAGTTGAGTCCTAATATAAGGAACAATTGATGGGTATGCTCAGTCTGACTGTCCATAATAAACGCGATTCACTGTATCCGTGGGGAACGGGAAGTTGCTAGGATTCTGTCCCATCACTTGTGAAATGTACCAAAGATCGGGGCAGGAGCAGGAGGCTCTGCACTGCTTTTCTTATTACAGGTTTTCATCGTCTGGATTCCCTAGTTATTCACCATTACGTCGGCTTTCCTTAGCATTTTGTTCGACGTGTCAGCACGTTGCAGTAACCCAAAATATCAACTGGACCAGATACTTTTGCTTTCTTCTTTCTTTTATTTCTTTTATTTCTTTTATTTTCTTCCCTGCAATAATATTACTCAATATAATGGGGCCAAATACAACTCTAACATGTATACATGAGTCGCCATCCCTTGTTGATGACCAAACGGATGATGATGCATTAGGGGCAGTACAGTCCGGGAGCCATCGAAGACTAGCCGCTGCGATGCATAGCCTCAAGGCTGTTGCTCCTGCCCGTTACCGAATCTACAGTAGATTCCAGTATGATTCAGTACAATAAGATATCTCCTTAAGGCTTTCAGCCCCCGATTTCCTGCAGAAAGTGTGTGTGTGTGATCATGCAGCAATATTCAGCCTTTCTGCATGCACCTACTCAGCGTGTGGCATGACACACGTGCGTGTGTTGTCTTGAATATGCGGAGTGTCTACCGGTCAGATTCATTCCACGTTCGAAGGCTCAATTTACCCGAAGTCCATCCGCGCATGCTGTGTTGAGGTCGGTTCGCAGCCACAGAGAGTTTCGACATATGGAGAAAAACGCTTGAGTATGGCCACTCCTTCAGCGAGCCATTCTTGGTGTTATTTCTTCATTCCGCTAGCCGAAAAAGCCAGGCTTCTTCTCTATAGCAAAATCTTTATGCGCTTGACGAATGTAATTTCACCGAAACTGCTTAACCACTCTCCCTGAAGACTTCTAATTGCCCAGCTACAGAGCGAGACTATCGCCGACATGTTTTGACAGCACAAGATTAATGTGAGTTGATATGGTCGGTTCGTTGCTGCTCATTCGGGAAGGCTCTTGTAGTGTTAGAAGACAGTCTTTTCATGGGTAGGAAAGTTGGCGCGTAGCAGATATCAATACTCTCAGTTGAATTATAGAATCCCCAAAATGGTGCTACACTCACACTTGTTCTCGGTCGAAATTCGGGTAGAATGAAAGGGAGGATCCACGCGACAGGACACCGCGTGCTGGAGGGTAACGGGATCGAATGATGCAGCTATTGAGATACTACTCGCCAGTCAATTCGTTAGGTTGCAATGTGCAGCACAGTTATCTCGTTCAAGACTTGGCCATTGGCACTGCCGTCGTATGGAAGACGTGTACAAGCCGTTGGATTCAGAAAAAGGAGCAACTAGCCCTACTCCCGGAAGCCGTCATGAATGCGTAGACTTATTACAAACTCAGGACCTGTTTGAGGCCCTTCAGAGCGGCCTGGGAACCATCCAGATCCGACAATCAACTGGGCATTATCATCAGGCCCTGAAGTCATACACAATTTTGAGTCTTTCTGCATCTGGTGGTAAAATTCGACAATTCTCGCAATATCTTGAGCGCTGCTGCAATACATCACATATTCCAAGAGATGACATAACGCCATCGAGGTGTTGGCTCTTGCATCTTACAGCTACCCCCGCGCACTGACACGCATGGTGCAAATCGACAAATTCCGCATTACACATTATGACCAAGCCCCTTGTTCTTGCATACTTCACGGAGATAATTATGGAAGGTAAAACGGTAATTGCCACGAACTTCATGAAAGCATATTGTTCTAAACAACGGAGCTGAGCCTCCGAGCCTCCTAATAACCTGTGGGAGGAAGTAGTCTTGATCAAACGTCCATAGAGAGAACATGGTTCGGCAACCCTGGCCTCGATGTCGGGAGACGGAGAAGAACAAACGATTTTTGTCCTGTCACCTATGTCATGGTGACATTAACGAGGCGTCGTTGAGAAACAATGATGGCTGCATATTTGGTCTAATATGTGAGTGCTCTCGGTCGGGAAGGGGGGCGCAATCTCGATATAAGATGATGTGGCATAGTTTTGGTGGCTTAATGTAGAGATTACTAACGCCGGTGCTTTCGAAAACACAGTGTTTTGTGCCTCACAAGCTATCCTTGCAGCGCACGTTGGGCGCAAAACAGAAAACTGTGGCCACTGGGGACAATATCACTTCTCCGCCTCACATTCTGGTTACTACTTCATGCTGATATGACCCCTCGCACTCGCTGCTCATCATATAACGCTTCTGTTCCCTGCAGCCGGAATACATTTCTGCATTTCTACAAGTTTAACCTACGTGGCCACTATTAGGCTTCGCCACAGAAAAAAAAAGAGAAAGGATAGATGACCCAACGAGGACCGTCAATACGAAGGCCTTACATCTCTTATCAGAATTCTTAGAAAAGTAATTCACATAAATAGAAGTCCCATACTCCGTCTCCGGAGGTAACCCTCCCTGCGCCCATATATATTAATACTCAAAACACGACTGGAAATGTCATTAGGGTGGGTGCTGCGCGATCTAACGAGCAAGGATCCATCTATGACCGGCGCAAGCTACTATAATAATATTGGTCACTGAGTCACAACGACGGCTTCCGACTATTTCGCCGCCAGCCCTATGGTTCCCTAGAGGAGGAGGTGGTGCTGTGGCCGAGCCACCCCTTGCCGCCAACGCAGCAACCATAGCGTCTTCATCTTTGGCCTCTACGTGTGGATGACGATGCAGTGTCATGAGATAACAGCCTTGACGAGACTCTGTCTCGGGTAACCAAGAAAAGTCAATCTGTCACATATAAGTTCTTTTGATTTGGTGTTTAGGTTCATCTTTAGGACTGAGCTATGAATAACAAGTCATGAAGCCTGGGACTTCATGGAACCGAAGGTAAAGGCCCCAAGGCACGCCACTTTCCAGTCTTCAGCTGGATATGCCGCTAACATGGAGAAAACCATGAATGCTAACCCTCAACCTGGAAGCTCATATGTCATGGGGTGAAAGGAGACGATGATACATCTCGGCGGGCCACCTTCTCAACCGGCAGTTTTTCGTATTGGGGAATTTTCTGTGTCTATCGGCGTGGTCAGGATACGGGGAAATGGGACTCCTGGCACAGTTGTAGAACGGTCGGTGTCATTTCTTCTGAAGATGGAGACGTCCCGTGCACGGTAGGTACGAGCGATATGTTTGTTACCCTTCAACCCCATGAGGCTTTTGTTCATGTTGAGGAGCTCGAAATTGAACTGGGTCTACCGGAAGATGCTCGGATTGGGAGGTCCTGCGATACCGGTTCGAAGGATGCAAGCTGACCTGGTGTGACTGGGGAGTAAAGGAAGATCATATCAATACAATCGTCGATCCACCGGACAACAATGGACGGCCAGAGATGCTGATACCAACTTCCGATACACTGCAGCTTATGCTTATCGAGTGAGAGGAGCGATAATAAATAGTGAGCACTTCAATCAGTTCAGTGAGGCATCGATCAGTAGCGGCTTGGTCTAACGACACGTTCTTGTCCAACAGGTACCTTAGACACTGGCCGAATGCAGTGAGAAACAATATACCACCTAAATGAAGAGAGCAGCGAAAAAAATCAAGGGAACAGGGAAAAAAAAGAAAGGCGTAAAAACATACAACAGAAGGGATTCGCTGGTGGTCACCCACCCAACTACTAACCTCCCGGCGTGTGGCTTGAGTACGGCTGAGCGGACGGGAAGCCCTATTTTCCACACCCTGTGGTCGTATGTGCTTAAATTTAATTGTTACAGACACATAACGTCCCCTAGAAGTAATCAGGTCGTTATTTCTGGCTCCTGCTTTTATGGCTAGACTTGGTTGATGTAACTGTACAATATAGGCAGGAATATTAGGATGTCAAGGATTTACACCAGTAAAACTATTTGTGTAGGTTCTAAGGAATACGTTGAAATAAAGCCGGAATGAACTTCCCCAGCTAATTTATACATTCTAAAAGTAATTCGGACACCAAACGACTGAATAAAATCTCAAGGCAAGATGGCCGAGTTGGTCCAAGGCGTCAGGTTAAGGTCCACCTTAATAACCCAGCTTCCACAAGCTTCCTGATCATCGTAAGATGGCGTGGGTTCGAATCCCACTCTTGTCATACTTTTTGGCGGTGGCACTGAATTGAGGACAGGGTTCGATTAAACCTTGCCATCCTTTTGACTCTACTTATAATAGAAGAGCTCTCCTTCTTTCCTGCCTATGGGCTGGATTTTTAGATAATCAATATTGTTTGCTTTGTCTGCAATCCGTAGAAGCATGACGGCACCTTCCGAGAAATACCCAGCACAATAAGCCCCTGCGTGTATCTAGAACAGTACATGGTCACTCTCTGTCACTAATTTGTGCTCTTCCCGGCGGTCCTTTGCAGGGCCAGTACTCTGCGAAATCGTCGGTGCTTATTCTGGTGCTTAATTGGCTTTTCGGGCAGCCACCTGATTGGACTAGGGCGCTGATGTCGGGTGGTCTGGTGGTGTAGGCGATGGGTCCGATGGGCAGATGAGTCTGTGGTTCCAGGTTCAGTTCTTTGCTATAAACATATACAGCTGGGGATATATCTTCCGAATCATATAGCCACGGAGGTCTTCTATGAGCGGGATGTCTCGCTATTCCTTCGCCCTTTTAATATCGGTTGATCATAATTTTCTTTGACTGTCCGCTTGATGACGATGACGTACCGTCTGTATTTAAATATATGGTAAACATATAGACCTACTGATCTAGGCTGAAAAGTCGAAAAAGATAGTTGGTATAGATTCTGCCATGGCCGGAACCGCGATGACACTGAGAGAAAGGGTTTACACACACACATCCTACATTCCACACTTCAAAGCCTTCCAGGTCTTCGTGTCAAGATCCTTTTCGCTGTAATTATGGCAACCTTCAGAGGTAGTATATGCATCCTCATCTCCATTATCATTGCAGGAGTCATTGTCGAACGCAGTACATTCAGCACCTGTCCCCGACAGTTGCCATGAAAGGGGCTCGGTTAGTGAGCTCTCATCACACGAGGTGTACGTGTCGCTGCCGCTTGAGTACCACCGACATGACGCGCTGGTTGTGTCGGTTGAACTGAGGTCACTTATAACGAGACACTTGTCGCTTGTAGTGTCTTGGTTGTGACCTTCTACGATGTAGTGGTCACCAGCACAATCCTTCTCTGCATAAATGGTTATGGTCCAGGTTGCCGTTGGAGTAGCTGTTGCGGTTGTGACAGCTGTTGTTGTAGGTGTCAGCCCGGCCCATGACGACCAACTGGACAGGTACGTGGCAGGATAGTCTGTCTCTAGTGGCCAGGTCGTGATGGTAACCATCACTGTAGGGTCTGCATCATAGTCCTCATCATCAACGGCGGCGCAAACCCCTTCGCTTGGGCTCCATTTCAGCTCATCATCGAGTGTAGTATTCGAATCCGCAACACCCGTTCCATTGGGGTAGACCGTAAACATTTCGGGAATGTACATTGGAATGCTGACTTTCTTGGGAGCCGCTGGTGCCAATGGGAGATATGGATATTCACCCAACGTGCTCCACACGTACTTAGCAAGTGCGTATAAGGCGAGGCTATCGGCGTTTTGGATTGTGTAGGCACTCGGGACGCCACTAACCCTACCCAGCGCTTTGCAAGGCACCGGCCCATATGTATCGTACCATTCCATCTCGTTCTTCTCATTCTTATAGCCGATTTTCAGGTCGCTGATGTGAAGATTTCTCCCATATTCGCCTGCCTTTGAGACCCAGTCAATATGGAGGAGCTCATGCAACCATACTCTGGCTTGGTTGTTATAGTAAGTCATCATGTTGCCGGCTATACGCTCCGCATAATTGTCCATATCAGCGTATACCATAACCTCATCCAATGTATGCGTACCGAAATACCTGGGGCAAAAGTTGATGTACGCGACTTGGTATTTTGCATCTTTCTGCCCAGTATACGCTATTGTCAGAGAGGCGGCTTCACACGGGCATTGATATTTTGGGTCATCGCAGCGAATAGCGATTCTCCAGTCAAACCAGGACGGGAGCCAGCCCGGCTGGATGGTAGCAAGGTTCATAAAGATTTCTTTGAAGTTGTCCCGTAACTTTCGGTTGGAGTAAGCGAGGCCGAGGAAGTCAATGGCATCCAATCCAGTGAAATCAATATCATCATCTTTTACCAACTTGTACATATAGTTCATTATCTTCCATGACTGTTGCCATCCGGAGTATATTTGGGTACGCTGCGCAGGTGAACATCCGTCGAACCCAATAAGTTTTGTGTAGAGGACACTGAGATTGTAGGTGTTGAAATTGGAAATGTCGTAATTGCTGAGAGAGAGTGCGGCTGTAAATTCCTCTTCGACGACGGTAAAGTTGAGGTTGGATTCGGCCTCTTCGACCCCTTCGACAAAGTTGGTCAAATCCAATGCCCACTCTACTACGCCACCAAAACCATAGCTAGAGTATCGATCTATGCGAGACGCCTTTGTGTCTTGTGTCATGTAGGCCACCCATGAGTTGTCGCCGTATGTCATCATGTCACTGTCACTGCTGCTATCATGCCATGTCGTGGCGGAACGACGAGCGAGGCTGGAATGATTTAGTCGTTCCAATTCAGCCTGAGAGATATAACCAGCTGTCACAGTGCATTCTCCAGGAGTGGCCGTAGAGTCGGGTCCCGTAAAGAGACACTCAGGCCCTGTGCAGCTGGGGTCAACCATGCCAAAGCTGCGGCCATAGCTTGCAATACCGACCGCCACCTTATGGGCAGGGACACCAGCTTTGGTAATCATAGCAAGTGCATATTCGGTTTCTGTTAAGTTGACGTGAGAGCGAAGACAATTTCCTGTCGGGCATCCCGGGTTCACATAAGAGTTGTTGTAATCCCACTGTCCATGCAAGTCATATGTCATATAGACGATGTAATCCAACACCTCAGACATGTTCGCAATGGGAAATCCTCTGAGGTACCAATATGAAGCGGGTGCTGCCATGGAGATAGTCTTATTTGAGGGAAGCAGGCCACGGAGTGTCTGCAGGAAGCTCAGGTAATTTGGGCCATCTGTAGGACTTCCGGGAGGAAGTCCCGGAATATCTGGGGCGTCGGGATACTCCCAGTCAAAGTCCACACCATCCAAATTGTAATCATTGACAAAAGAGACCACATTCTGGGCAAAGGTGAGTCTGTTAGCATCGGTGACGCCTTGTCGGAAAATAGGGTATGAACCCAAGCTAGTAGAGAACGACCAGCCACCGAACGAAAGAATACGCTTGAATGACCGCAGTGCAGCAAACGCTTTGAATTGGTCTTCAGAGCCAGATATATCGACGTTGAAGTCGCTTGTAATCTCCCCGAATGCATAATGCACGTGGGAATATGCGGACGGAAGCTGACTGGCGTTCATGGCAAGACACGAACGGTTCACGCCGTACGCCTCGAAATAGCCCACTCTGAGCCCATTGCTCACCACAGTATCGTTGTTTACAATTGCGGTGCCGCAGTTGGAAATGCAGCCATTGGTGTTATTCGCCGCAGTGCCAGGCGCCCCGGTGGTCGATTCAGACGCCGTGCAGAATTCTGGAGTGATACCACACTGGCCCCATATATCGCACTTTGCATTGGTTAGTAGAGACATAGCAGAGTGGAAGATAGGGGACACTAACGCATGCATTCAGGGGACATGGGTTCAAGCCGCTGATGTCGGACCAGTTGCTGGGACGGGTTGTGCCATTTACTTGAGGCCCACACTCAGCATTCGAGACCACAGCGGGCATGGGAGGTGCACCAGAGCTCAAGCAAATGACAGACCCAAGCTGTAGGTTCCTACAGCCCATCCATCCCCAGGTGTCCGTGTTATAGTCTTCGATTTCATCCGTGGTTATGTAGTATTTACTAGCAAGCAGAGCACAATTGTCTCCACTGGCCACTGTATAACTGTAGCACAAGCCATCTGAAGTTGGCTGAGGAGATAAGTCGGGCTTAGAACCCTCAGAGCAACAGATAATTTCGCCAGGGGCTAATGTTGAACAGAGACTTGAACTAGGGTTGTAGTCCGATAGCTCGGCTGCCGTAATGCCACACTTGGAAGCCAACGAAGCGCAAGAATCTCCGGAAGCGACGATAACATAAGAGCAGGCGTCGTCACGGCTTTCGATGGGTTGAATAGAATGGTTAGGGGTGGTAATAGATGTTGACCTCTCCAACACAGTTGTGTTACTGGCATAGACATGATCATATTCAGAGACACACGAGGCCTTTGCCCATGCTTGGACGGCTGTGTGAACCAGCCTATAGTCACCTGTGGTGCTGACAATCATGCCTAGTGTATGAGCCCTATCATACTCAGAGCCACAGACCTGTATTGCTACCGCCTCTTGTAGGTAGGGCCCCTGCAGCTGTTTGGATATGTGTGTGGAAAGCGTGCGGCTTGCGGAAACGCTGTCGATGAGGCCGCCTATGTACACACCAATGAGAACCTCGCCATGAGTAGCGAAGATGATGGTTTCCATTGTTGAATCGCATGAAAATGCATTTATGGCATAATTGTGTATTGCCTCAAGCGCTAGGGAGAGCGAAGGGGATGCTTCAACGGACGTGGTCGTGTTCCAGGAAGCCAGTTGCAAGCTAACTGAGGTGTTTGTACCGGTAGTACACTCTGACAATGCATGGCTAACATTGACGGGGCTCTCGAAGGTGCAGGCTCGGATGCTGGTTTGCGCCCCAAATTCATTGAAGACATTGAGGTTGAAGAGGATAGCCTCGTTGCATCGCTCAAGGCGGTCCCACGAATGATATGAAGTCCAGTGATTAGGGGATGCACTGGATGCTGCACAGAGCTGAGGGCACGGATGAATCTGGGAGTCAAATGGGGAGGCAAGCGCTAGGGCGCCTATAGTGACGAAAGAGAGGGGAAGGAATGACTTCATGCTGGGCATGCTGTTGACCTCCATGTAGCCGGCTCCCTCTCCAAGCTATATAGTCTCTATTCCAGTTCCATGCATATAAATTTTATTTTGAAAACCAGCAAAGGGTTCATACCAAAGTAGTAAGACATTTTAGTGGCCTGAATGATTGGTAGACCGAAAAACACCACTAGCCGACAGGGTATATGTCTTTTTGTCTAGTAGCAGTTCTTTCAAGGATCATATTTGACAGTAGCCAATACACTTTCTAGTTAACGGTTGCACTAACCCAGTCTTCTGGCTCCTGCACTGTATTTCCATTCTAGTGCAGCAGGCCCGGTCTACAGCCCACTAATGTCCGCTACTGGACCTTTACTGACCCCCATCTGCCTCGCAGATACAATCCTTTCATTTCCGATCCTCGCCAACCTGCATATCAGACCCCTGAAATGAATGTAACCCTGTGTGATGCGCCATTTTCCTCTTCGCCGACATGATCAGGCCCGAGAGGCTTCGGTGGTTCCCGTTTACGCCGACAATATGGCGGTTGTACTGCTACGAACTAGACCAAAAGGTTTGTATCCGGTTGGTTAGTGGTGCATCTCTGTCCACCAACAATTTAGGCCACTGCAAGGTCAGGCCCATCGTATGATACTGTCATGTAAATTCTTAAGGCTTCACTAGTAAACCAATAGGTCACGGCCATATGCCCGTCGCCCGCTACCTATACCCCCTTAATCCACCTCATGTATAGCTGATGGACGAAGTCTAACACAACACCTTGAATAGCTATACTGACAGACGACTCCATTGACGCTACCGTCCGATCCATAGACCTCATGGAATTGAGCTTATTCAAGGTCAAGATATGGGCAGTTGCTCGGTTCTTCGTAGAAGATGCCGCCCAATCGTTTGATTATTTCACAGCGTTCCTCCATGTTGTTCGCGTTGTAGATTATACCAGTACCCAAATCTATAGCACGGCCATATGTGGTATTCAATACCCAGACACCACCTTCCGCCGGCCAGCCGACGCAAATATACGGATCTGTATCCTCACGCTCGCTAACCATTAGTTCAAACAGATCGTAGTTCGTCTCCACCCATCTCGCACCAAGGCGTCGCACTATGGAGTGACCAGATATATTAGCCTAACACTTCAAATTTTATTTTCCCCTCCTTTTTTCCTGCTGTGGGGCAAAGGCGGGATAGACTAACTGCGATCACAATGTGCCTCCTCTTTGGCCTGCCAGTCCGGGTCTGACTTGGATGGTCGTTCGGTGCTCCTGAATCGGTCCAGCCCGAGGAAATCCAGTTCTACCCCGAGGCAATCATGAAGGACGTACAGGCCCCCTTTCGAGGGAAACCCATAAACTGTAACCCCTGGGCCAGATCCATGTGAAGCCCAGAAGCGCCGCTCGGGTGCGGGGCTCACACAATCGATCCAGTCGCTAGGATATTCTGATGATGGCGCTGGCGTTGTTGCCGGCGCTCGACGCATCTCGGTTATTCCGCGTTGCGGCCGAAGGCGCGTGCCGGCAAAGTAGAGGTAAAGAACCGAAATGACAAAACAGGGAACTAGGACCGCAAGGAAAGTCCGCATTGTAGTGGGGTTAAGGCTAGTAGAGAAAATTAATGTGATGAGCTGAGGTCCTTGAGATGTCAATAGGCGGCCGTCGGACACGCGGAACTTAAAGCTTGGAGAGGCTGACCCTGATCAGAGCGGAAGGAGCGGCCGGAGCCGTGGATGAAGTGGGGAGGCCAGTGAGATGCGCATTGGCCAGGTTTCAACATGATCACTATTAGGCTGAAGCGTTAATTAATCAAGTGTCGCGGAAGACCTGCCTTGTGGCCGGGAACACATCGGTTCGATCCGCCCGTCAACAAAGGGTTCCGTTTCCCACCTCGGATGTACACTAGTAGACACAGCCCACAGATCACGGTTCCTGCTTCTTCCGTAGTGTCACCACCGACCCTGCAGCTGCCTATCTAGTATTAGTATTCTGCTGACGAGAAATACAACTCGCCAGTTTCAAATGAAGCCTTGAAAATTAAACGGACCCACCCCTCCATCTTTCATGTCAGGGATAATTATTATGTGGTTCCCCTGAGAGGGTACTATCTACGTTCATATCTAGTCCACTTAGCCCGAGAACTGTCTTTGGTGATTGGCCTCGAAGCAATAGAATTGACTCCGCTGATAGCCGGTGCTCAATATCAATCCCTGTCGTTCACTTCCTATCCCCCTCCCTTCATAAGTAACATCCTGGTCGACTTGTTTCCTATGACCAGCTAATGCAAGCTATCTCGAGGAATCCGCTTCACACCACAAAACAGCCCCATAGTTCAAATTAGTTGACATTATCGCACCCAAAGTCATAGACTCTTCCATGTGACCGGATGGTTCATTTGTATTAGCTGCATGATGTGCTAATACAATTTGCGTTTTCCAAGAGTGTACGAGAAGGTATGGACAAGGTCATAGCTGTAGCAGATCCAGAGCTATAGCATATGCGATATAGTTTGTAGTGGTCGTGATACCTCTGTAGGCCACCCAACCAAAGAGCCAAAACCGGTCGAATTGGAATTCTACGCATAGCACAGAACAGAAGCACTGTCAAAGACTAGATTAGGTGCTACAATGGAACAGCTTCCCCTCATCAACAGCTCAGAACCCTAGGTCAGCTGACGGATCTAGTAGCTAGTGTGAACATGCACTCTCATAGTCAGCTAGGCCGTTTATAACTAAAGTACCTTTCAGCTGTTTGAAAAGTGAAGAGACTCATATGATTCTCTTCTCGACCCCCGTGCGCTTTAGCACTAGCATCCAGCTTATCAATAGAACAAAACTTTTTGATTGTATAACATCTGGCCGCATTGTAGGGAATGTTATAATGCCTGGCCGATGTAGCGCAGTTAGGACGACACGACAAACCTCAACGCGGAAAAATATCTCACAGGAAAGCGTAAGTATACGCACAAAGGTATATTACTTATCTCCCCACTAAATAGACTCCACAAATCCAGTCATTGCTGCAATCCTGTCACATAATCCAAGCTATACTGCCATCCGCTCGCCCACTCACTCATGGTCCGATCTCGCAAGATTCCTCCTCGGCCCAGATCGTCTTCGCGTAGACCTGCAAGAAATCCCTCGTCGTAAACGACGGATCCATGTAATCCTTCACGTCCGTGTCGCTGCGGTTGAGGATTTGCAAAATATTTTTCTGCATGTCAAGTGTGAACACCACATCCACTGTCTCGGTTTCATTCTCGTCAATGTCGCCCTTGACTTGCAAATAATACGGATGCTTATAATCTTCCTGGCGTTTTATGTGCAGGGTGTCATCGCCACAGTTCACAGTGGTGGCAAAACAGTCCCCAAAGTCATCCTTTGTCACATGTCCAGGGTTGAGGTTATCCAGGTCTCTTGGATGATCGGTAAGCACGTTCTGCTGAGACAAGTCCTCAGATGGACTGGTAGCGAAACGAAGACCGTTGATGCTACAGTCTTCCTTCGGCTCCTTGTAATCGCAAATAGAATTCTTTTTAACGTTCAGCTCGCATTCAAGTGTCTTTGCGTCCTGGTAGGGAACATCCGCAAGGTACAGGAAAGCATCTGCATAGGAGCTAACAGTGAAGGCGTCTCCAACAGTGAAATTGCCCTGGTATAAATCATAACGAATTCCGTAGGTGTTGAAAATAATCAATCTGGGAGAATTGTTCCGATTGACAGTTGCATTCAATGCAGATCTCACTAACGTATAGATGTTATCCGGACAGTTGTAAGGGCTCGACGCAATATAGTATGATTGGGGAGCGCAGCCAAGCTCTGTAGTTAAATTCCATTCCCCCCGAGCGCCCTCGATATCCTTTGTGACATTCTGTCCGGTAGGCGTATCAAAGCTAGCAGGGACGTCAGGGCCAGTTGCTCCTAAAGCATGGTACGCGAACGTTTGGCGGTTGAAATCGAGGTAACGACGGTCAAGGCGAACTGTTTTCTCCGTGGTTGAAGACGTCGTCGGGCTGTGCGGTGTGCATGTCCTTGTGGGCATGGGGACATCCGTCATAGTTTTGGATCCGTTCCAGGTGTCTGACGGCGCCACATCACTGAGAGCAAGCCATCCCACAGTGTCAGAGTATCGGCCGGACTCAAGGCCAGACGATCCACTGTCATAGCATGTGAAGTTGCGCACGTGTGAATGGCCACCTAAGATTTGAAGAGGAATCTCGGGCTTGTTTTGCCGGAACCAGTCCTTCATGCAGATCAATGGGTTCTGGTCACCCTGGTATTGGGTTTTTATCTTGCAGCCCTGGCCGATATCGGCATGTCCAATAAGCAGATAGAGATCGACAGTCTGGTTCATTGCATCTTTGAACCACTCCTGTTCTATTATGTCTTCATATCCCTGGACATGGACGGTTGCAGGAGCCTTGAAGTCTTGAAGGGTGAACCCAAATGCCATGATCCGCAACCCATGCTTTGTAGTGATATACCTGTATTTCTCACCGATGGATATATTTTTATCATCCCTTTCCACAAGGACATTGCTGGTTAGATAACGTTCGGTATAGTAGTCCGCTATATCCCATTGTATCCGTTCAGTAACACTTGCATTATAGAGATCGTTGTTACCAATGGTAAGTAGGTCATAGTCCAAATAGCGGAAAATTGGATTAGATACCTGGCCTTCGGGTTCTGAGACATCACGGAGGCCATTGCCAGTTACGATGTCGCCTGGAGAGGTTGGGTTAGTAGACTAACACACTATTGCAAAATGATCAAGACCAGCATGGAAGGAAGTACCGGTATCCACAACGAGAAGATCGACGCCAAGTCGATCAGCCTTGTCACGCATATGCGTCACAAAGGAAATCAGATCACCCCAATCAGCACCATAATTGACCTCATTCAAATGGCCTTCAAGCCATCCATGTACATCGGTGGTATGGATAAAATTCAGCTCACCCCAAGGAAGAGGTCTAGTGGGCCAGTGTGTCGTGTTGTGGGAATCGGGTTGCATCCGAGGGGCTATCTTTGGGGACTTCGACCGATCGGAATCTCTACCCTGTGCAAAGGCAATTGTAAGGGTAAGTGCCGCCGTCCATACAATGGCTGAGAAGGCCATGATGGGTTATCTAGGATGCTCAGGATGCACCGAGGAACTGGAGGGCTCGCTGAACCGACCGGGTGGAGCGTGGCTCGACGCAGGTGAAGCCAATGGACAGACTTTGCTGGAGGATTCTTTCACCAGCAGGTGAACTTACTTTCCACTTTGACGCCGGCACTTCACGCTTTTTAATCCTGCTGGGAAGGCAACCATTGCTGGGAGGTGCCAGATGGACGTGTCATAGCCGACATTCGATGTTACATTCAATACGACATTCCATTGGCACGACCAACAACTGATTGGCTGCATTGGAGAGTCAAGAACGTTTCTGTCAATGAAAGCTATAGTTCCATTCCGCAAGCTGTCAGAATTCTGTACAAATCCCACAAGCTTCCGTGGATGCTCCACCTGGGCGTGGCAAGCTCAGCTCCCGCGAAGCTTAACTCATGAGCTCTGAGCGGTTCAGCTCCACAACACCAGGCCGAATCTACCGCTCCACCTGGCTTGGAATGTAGGGAGGGAACAGACAGCCGTTCGGCATGCCCCATTTTTTCAGTGTGAAAAGACAAAGCTCAAAGTAGAAATGACGATCCATATTCTATCGGTAAAGCATTGTCGGTAACGATATCTCCAAATTTGGTAATAGGCATTGGGAGGGCAAGTGAAGGCCGTTGCAGCAGCATGGAACACCGACATATTTCTAGTTGCGATCGGATATTAGTGAAAGGGAGGATAAAGTAAGCCGTACAATAAAGAACATGGCTATTTCCATTTGAGCCGGAATCCTCGATCGAAGAGCAATTTGACTTAATATGATCCTGATGGCCACTAAGAACCACACCCCTCTGTCACGGGAGGAGACAGTACATAGAATAACAATTGTTTTCAAGTCATTGGCAACGAAGAGATAAATGGTGTAAAGACGGTAAGCAGCTAGACCAAGTATCTGTGTCTATTATCTAAAGAAAATGTTGAGAGGAAAAGATAATTGATACCGCTGCTTGGGGAGAAGTGATTTCAGTGCGTTTCAATAATACAAGCGGTGGCGAGATAATTAGTACTGGTAAGAGGATTGATTCTCATCACGTACTCGTTCAGTATTGACACCCCTGTCCCCTTGCCACAGCCTGGCCCACTTCCTTTACAATATCAAGCCAGAGAAGAGTAAATGATGGCCTTTCACATAATAATGCAAGGGCACGCACTATCCTCCTGTGTATCTCCATTCTCTATTCTCTCCTGTAGCCTTCTTTCTTCTTCCTGTGCTCTTTCCCCAATGGCAACCCAGAATTCAGTATCATTTCTCCCCGCAGTTTCTCTCCTAGAATCTTCTATGAGGTTTACTCTTCGTTCTGCCTCAAGGTACGACCTATTGTGTTGCAGAATGCCGAGTATCGTCTGCCCAACGTCAAGGTGTAGATTTCGGAGCAATCTTCGGCCGACAACTAGCTCATCCGCGCTCGTCCCGGCATTGCTTTCTGGCGTCGAATCGGCCAGCGCGATCTCGAGCACATTGATTTTATGCAACAACCGCGACTGATCCTCATGAAGAGATATAGCAATCTCTTGCTCAAGTTCCATAACGCGTCGCTCGTTGGCCTGAGCTTTCTCGGCATTCTCTACAATTGTTTCTTTTCTCGGAAGGAAAAAGCTGAGCAACCAAATCAGGGCAAAGGCATCGACAAGGCCAAGTATCTGCAATACAATAGGCCACATGAACAGATGTTGAGACATCACCGTTGAGCCGGTTGATATCTTCTTGGCGACGATACAGCTGTCCATCCCGCTCTGAGCCTTGTGCTATAATGTTGTGACATGCTTGTGCATCTACGATAGACTCCGAAAGTGGAATAGGAGATGTTTCTTCCGATTCTGATGTTTTCGTTCAATAAATAACCCGAGACTAGAATTCTCGATATCTGGCTTCAGGCCCCCTCCGAGCACCGCCTCACCCAGTCCGCAATCTTGGGTCCAACTTCGTCTCCTGGCAAGCCGATAGACAATGCATAGCTGACATGATTATGACCAGAAAACACCTCAAACCGAGGAAGGTGACGGTGACGCTCAGCAAAGAGCCTTACAAAGTCCAGATTTCCTTGCACACACTCCTCGAAATCCCATTCGGCTAGCATCAAGAAGAGCTCGGGTGTCGGCACAGCAACCACATCTGCATCTTCAACGGGCGGCAAAGCGTGAAAGATGCCATATGCCGATCGGGAATGAATAATAGCGTGATCAGTCGTTGCATAGTACTGTTCCATGCTCTCGCGCCGACCCTTCTTGGATAGATCATACTTCAACGCTGCGCTCAAGAGCAACACGCCGCGCACCAAACTCTGCCCTTCATCCGTCTTCAATCTTCCCGAGTAAAGTGACATGGCTAGATGGCCTCCACCGGCGCTTTGACCGAGCGCGAAGATGGCGTTTCGGCTGCCTCCATACTGGTGCACATTGCGATGTAGCCACGAGAGCGCAGAGGCGATATCTTCCTGTCCATCGGGGAATCGAGCCTCTGGCAGTAGACGATAGGTCCCTAAGACGCCGACCATACCCTTTGATGCAAAGAACCGGCCGATATTTGCGTGCATGTGCGGAGTGATAGTGTTGTCCCCTAGTTTGAATGCACCGCCGTGAAAGTAGACGACAACCGGGAGAGTAGCGTTCGTTGAGGTAGCATCTGCCGGCCAGAACACATCCAGGCGATGCCGTGGATCTGGGCCGTATTTCACATTATTTTCGAATTGAATTGAAGGATTTGGATTGGCGGACTCAAGAGACGCGTGACGGGCTTCGAAAAAGTCCTGGCAAGCTGAATTCACTGATCCATCCCACTGGCTTTTGAAACCAAGAATGAACTGTTGAATTTCGGGCGCTAAGGGCATACTGGTCCAAATCTGTGGTGTACAGGGAATGTTGCCGCCTTCCAGGGAATCTTGAAAAGTTGGTTAGATCCTCAAAGACAAGCGGGGTAGAGAGACCTCGCACAAGTATTTGTAAACAAAGACAGGTATCGGGTCTCAGGATAGGATCGGTGGTGACAGCATTAAACACTAACAGACAAGTGACGTGAAATGAGGTGAAAAGAGGCGGGCTTGGGGAATGCCCAGCCCCGCATTCAGGCCAAACAAACTGCAAAGGAAGAGCCAATGAAAACTAGTAGTGCGTAATATCGAACGTATCATGAGTGCAAGTTAATGTGACTGGCCTAACATAACTCACTGCGTATTAAATCACCGTGAGCAATTATCGTGTGTTCAATGTTCACGGATCTTGCCTGCACTGGATCGGGAGAGTCTTGCAATGATTAGTCAATCCATTACACCCCAGTTCACATAGTTATAAGAGCCGCATCTTCACGCCGTCTGGTTACAGACATCATCCATCAAGTCAATCATCCAGTTCGAAATTTCTAAGTCATTGTCAGCCATTATGTTCCATACTAAAAGACACTCTTTTAATTCAAAACCCCATTCTGCGACCCATATCTAATTATCTGCCTTTTCATAAGAAGCATACAGTGCGACAAGACCGAAATGTCTAGCAAATTGCGCCAGAAATGGCATACATTCCTTGGCCTCCCCTGCCAATGTAACATCTCCTGGCATAAGAGCCGCCTGATCGAAGAACTTTCGGAGCGGCGCAAGGCAACTACACTCCTGACAGGGCTAAGCGAGATTTCGTACATTATATTCACATTATGCCGCGCCAAACACGACGAATTCCATATCCCTTCTCGCCCCCAGTGGTCGCATACGTATGACGCAATAGCAAGTATATACATACTGGGCAAATTCACATTGCGATCGTGGTTTTCTCGTGTGGTGGCGTATTATGCTGGAAAGGACGATTGGAGGGCCGCCGTTAAGGAAGTGGTGAATCCAAGGAAAGGGGCGAAATTGGATGAAGTCGCGGACAGATATGGTGTCAGTAAAATGGCATTCGGTAATTTTGAAGACAAGTATGATGGGTATTTTTAGTTCTTCCCTGATGTGCTATCTGTTTTTGGATTTGGTATTGTTGTGAGTATAGTCCTGTGGTGAAGCTACTGTGTTTCATGCTGATTGATGCCATTCAGATATTTGGGGGCTCATGATGCGGCCCAGCAAATCGGAGAGATACAGAAATGTCAATGGGTGATTAGAAGGGCTGGCTATTTCTATGCTTGCCATATGATCGTAGTCTTTGCCCTACTCGTTCATTGTGGTGCGGCCCCCAAATGAATTCAGGAATATATACAGGATTATAAAAATGCCTCATATTATGCAGGGCAAACACTTCTGGATCCAATATATGGCCATCTATATATATAGCATAAGGGCATCATTTCTGCTAAAAGTACCTATAGAAGTCGATTGGTTTGATGATGGGAGGTACCGGATTAAAAACGTTGGTGACTTCATTCACAATTCAATAACGACAGCAAGACAATGGTTAACCACACCCTCCTAGAATTACCTGAGATCCTTACATTCAACTATGCAGAAATTTTCAGCACCGAGACTGTTGATATTAGGATTTGTCGTCGAAAAAACCTAGGTATCGACGCCTTACTGGTTTATAGATTTCCCCTACACCCCCAGTTTACTCCTGTGCTTCTACTGTTACCCCTCTCTAACTCAGAAACGTTACTATTATAAAGAGAAGTCATTGTTGCCCTATACACTTCTTCTTAACTATAGCCCTATTTCTACCCTCGACTATACCTACCTTTGACTATATCCACCTTCTAACATATCCGCCTTCGACAATGCAGACGCCCACCTCGCCGGAACACGACAAGTGCCCTCTCCTGTCACCCGTGTCTCCTGCAGCGGCCGCCCCCAAGGTCATCGGACTGTAGGGGGTGCAGGGATCTGGGAAGGCTTTTTCAATGAACGAACGGAAGCATCAGCTTGGCGAAATGCAATTTGCGTTCTTCGAGGGGTCCGAAGTCATTGTCTCTGTCACCACCGGCGGGCTGCATGCTTTTAAGAAGCTTGACGAGCCTGAGAAAGCTGAATGCCGTAAGCGAGCTACCCAGAAGATCAAGTCAACGTGCAGCGGGACCAGCAAAGTTGGAATCGTGACTGGCCATCTCAGCTTCTGGGATGAGGAAAGGTGTGACCGTCCCATGAAGGCCTGTACTCAGGACGACTTGGATACCTTCACTCATATTTTGTACCTCAACACCCCGTTGTATATAATTACGAAGCTACGAGCAAACGATACCGAGAGACTACGCCCAAGTGCGTTGGAGAGCCGCTTAAGAGGGTGGCAGCGATATGAGATTAAAGAGCTCTCTTGTCTTTGCATGAAAAACAACATTATATTCGGTCATCTTTGGCCCAACTTGAGGCATAAGCTGTCGACTTTCATTCGTGATGCTATCCGCGTCATTATTGTTGCTGGTGTGGTGCAAGACCAGGCTCTCAAAGGCGGCAGTTCAATTCGAGCTGTCGCACGTTTTATGGAACACTGGAAAAGGAACTACCGACACCGGCAATCGTTTTTCAATACGACTCAGTTGGACTGAAGGGAAGGGTCGATCATATTACTTCGAGAATACAGATCGCAAGAAATTGATTGTTAAAGGATGGACTAACGAACAGCGATGACGGATTTTGGCAGACGGCCTTTGGGTTGGTTCGGGCAAGATAGATGCGTGTGGGATGATTGGTACTTAATCTTTTCTTGGTTCCAGTTAATTGAGAAAAGCAATCACTTGAATTTATTTAATGCGGCCGATGCTTCTAACTGTGTTACAATAAGTTCTTCTAGGACATTGAGGATAACTGTAGAGGTCTGTGGCTGAAGTACTTTTGGCCTGGTCGAGACCGTGTACAGTTGAGCCACTATCAATCGCATTCCATCTTAAATAAAATACTACGAACCAGTTGAATAGTATCTATCTCATTCTAGTTTCCGGAATAGATGATTCAAAACCTAATCTAGTAACGGAGGGGCATGGATACTTGCGACCGATGCATTTTCCTGGCTACAATTCTAGGATACAGTCTTCGTAAACAACGTTCTGAGATATATGATTTCAGCAACATTGATTACTATATACTCTATTACCTTCATAATTCATAGCGGGAAGTCCGAAATTTGTTACCCGGACACCAATCTAATCCAGGGGAAATCCAGTGACAACAAGTTCCACAATGTCTGCGGAGTTTGAGATCCATTCCTGTGGCAGAGGATCATATATGCTATGGCGGTCCATATCCGCTGTAGCAGCAGATTCCCACTCATCTTTGGTTACAGCATTCCATAATGGAGAATTCTTTGGTGGCGGGAATTGTAGGTCGCATGCACGGAGCCTCCCAATTGTGGTTCCCGGCATAATTATACCCTCCTCTTTGTCTAAGATCCCGAAAGCCCTGCAGACTTTAAATAAAGCCAGATTGAATCTCTTAACGTCCTCAATACTCACCCATGAAAACCCAGGCAATATACTGTTGGAATAATGCTCCAGTATGTTTGGGTAGTAGAACATTCCTAGCTTCTTGCAGCTTATGACAAGCCTTTCTAGGAGATCGGCATCTGCTGGGGCAAGAGAAGGCTTCAGATCAATGTCGAGTTCCCCACCGCCCCTATATAGACCCGCAAATATTATGTGGAGCAATATAGCCTGATATGTCGAGATAGGCCATTTGCAGGTACTAGTTGCATCTGCTATAGAGGCATCCCATGCGTCCTGCAGTCTCCTCATTAGCGAACAGAGCTAGAGACAGGGGAGATCTGCCTACGTACAGTCTGTTGACGTATGGCCAAGCCCAAGACATTATGCAGGTCAATGGCTTTTGATTGGGCTTTTCTCTGTTTACTCATCCACAGACCAAGAACAAGCATTGACTTGACAAGCAATGGAGCCTCATGGTTGCCGAATGACCCTTGATGGACGAAAGGCCAACGGGGGTGGAATACGTTGAAATAGATGCCTATATAATGGCTTTCCTGGTCGGAATCATCTGCCTCAGGTTGGGCGGGAGGGGGTTGAAGCATCCTCGGAGGGTCTGGGGGCTCAGCCGGATGCGGTTCCGCCCGCCGCTCCAGGGAACAGTGGATTCCGCGGCGCAAGCACTTGTTACATGGCGGTCCTCCTTGGCATCGAGACTTTTGTTTTCGACAGTGGGTACACGCATGTTTGATGTCGGACATATCGTTGACTCCATGTACATTCTGCATATGGCGCCGTAACGTATCACTAGAATACCAGGATTAGCAACGTTGCTTCATATATATATAGGAAAGGCAAGAGTCCAGTTATACCTCCGCCTAAATTTCTGGGTACAAGCAGTACATTGACGAAGCTGGTGTTGAGTATGTTGCGCCTCATGGCGACGGAGATGCTCTTTGCGTTGATAGCTTGCCTTGCAGCCGGGCGCTTGGCACCAGTATGTCTTAGGAGGCATGTTGCGACTTTATTCTGCGGTTTTAGGGAGTAAAGGGACTGTACATATGGAAGGGTCATTTCTGCTGGATGGATGGACTCGGGTCCTGCCCCGATTGTCGATTAGTCAGAGTGTTAACCAAACAGGTTAGACCCAGCTTGTTGATCCCTGGCCTCTTCCCCCCAAGACCCACAGAAAGTTTCCAGCTGAATCCCTAACTGGCGTGCAGACTACGTCTGTGATTTCAACGAATGATGGCTTCTAGCAATCGTTTCAGAGTGTGTACTTATTCAGGCAGCGTTTACTAATTGGTTTATCTTTTAATAACCCTCTTCTCTAACCCAGAGGTAGAGGGCATTGCAATTCGCCTCCATCATGTTTCTACTGTTGACAGGGGGTCGCCAATGGATACACAAAGCTATATGCTAATTATCACTATTCAAAAAGAATAAATCAGAAAGTTGGCGGCTTCCACCAATTCATCCTGCATACCCTTCTAATAGACGAACACATAATCCCTGTTTTCTTTCAACAGTTTCTTTACAGCATCCTGAGGTGTGGTAGGCTTTCTTCCGAGAATCTCGCGCATCAACGGATCCGTTGTGAGTAGGGAGCCCGCTGAAATCTCGTCCCACATTGTTGCAATCATCTGAAAGTGCTCCTTCGGCTTGCCACGCGGGTTATCTGCACCGCTTAATTGCAGGTACTTCTCCCGTGGGATCACGTTAAGCTTGACCTGCCGACCAGTAGTCTCGTTTATGATGTCTACTATTTCTTTGGCAGTGATTGTTTCCTCCGGAGTGAACAGAACAATCTGATTCTCATACCCACCTCGTATCATGATGCGCGCGGTTGCTTCGCCTAGCTCTGCACGTTGAGCATATGCAACCTCTCCATCTGCTGGAAGTGTGACTGTCGTTCTGTCGGGGTACCAGTCAAGAAAAACGGTGAAGCATTCCGCGTATATACCTTCTCGGATAGAGGTAAATGTCAGACCAGACCTGATGTAGTTAGCATTGGTTGAGCCTGTCGGAATATTCATGTAGAGGTAGAAAATGCAACGTACTCTTTAAGCAGTCTTTCAGTAAGAAGATGGTCCTGCTGTACTGGAGCCTTGGAGTCGTCCGTGAACCCACCAAAGGCAAGTGAGGTATACCACACCTAGGGTTCATTAGAGTCTGATATTGCCAGTTATAGAATTGCGCTGCATACATGCTTTACTCCAGCTGTCTTAGCGGCCATTATGACCCTGGCATGCTGCTCGCTTCTGGTCGCACTACTTGTACTGATAAAGAGCAAGTTCTCGACGTCACGAAATCCGGTCTCCAGCGATTCAAGGTCATCATAGTTAACATGACGGAAGGCAATTCGTCGATCTTCAAATAGCTTCTTGTTGTTGGCGTTGGATGACGCAGCGGCAAATTCACAGGAAGCAACATTCTCAACGAAGTAGTTCAAGACCTGCTGGCCTAGGCCGCCAGTGGCGCCAGTGATGAGATACTTCAGTGTCATTTTGTCATGAGCAGGTGCGACGAGACAGCATATGTTCAGCAACCGAATATTCAATAATTGCTTGTGTATCTTCTAGGCTGTGGCTCGTTCATTTATTCTCTCCTACTAGGTTGGTAGCTCCATGACACCATCTCCACCGGCTTAGATTTATAATCGAGCCGAATTATTAATGTCGATGCAGCCTGAGGACTGAGAGGTCTATCTATTTTCGGAGAAGCGACAGTCCAAGCCGCTTTCGGCTGCTAGTAGGCATTATTGTGTATTAGTAGAGAAGATACACTGTCAACCACTTGAGCAAACTATAGGAAGCATCATGGTCATAGCAATGAATTTAGTACGCCTCCTCCAGCCTGATGCTCTGGCTACAATACCCTCGACATCAGCCCTTCTTGAGGGATTCATCGATCAGCAACTCGAGAATCAATTTTTGTGACGAAATATGCAAGCGGTGAGACTGATAATTGTGCTACAAGATAAACTGTGTCGGAAGTAACTGCTTCGACCCAAATGAAACACACAGGGTGGGAGCGCCGAAAACTCGGCCCTCCCACCTTCGGCGCCTCCACCCGATCCAAAGATGATCGCCAAGGGATGCTCACAAATGAACTTCGCAATTTCTAATCTTCATTGCAAACAATTACCTATTGTGCAATTCCTTCTGAGTATAAAGACCCCGAAGATGGAACTCGTATGTATTTTATCAACAATTTCATCAATTCACACAACTCTCACTTGACTACCATCATGGCTCCAACCATCCTCATCGTCGGCGCAACGGGCAACACCGGCCGAGCCGTAACAGAAACTCTCCCAACCCTTCTGAAAGCCAATGAGAATTTCAAGAACCATCGCGTACTTGCCCTGACAAGATCTCTCACCAGCCCTTCGGCCCAACAGCTTGCAAAAATCCCTGGCGTCGAAATCATCGAAAAGAACTGGACCGATATTACCTCCGACTGGCTCAGGGAACATGAAGTCGTCCGAGCCTTCATCGCATCTCACAATGCGCCAAATCAGTTTGCCGAGGAGTCTGCCTTTCACGTCGCCGCCCTTGGAGCCGGTGTCGAATACGTTGTGCGCATTTCCACCACCGCACCGAATGTTCGTCCGGATTATGCTGCCTACTACCCGCGCACCCACTGGGCCATTGAGGCGATGCTTGGTTCGGCAGAGTTCAGCGCTTTGAAATGGACTTCCCTTCAGCCAAACGTGTTTCTAAACTTCTACATGGCCCTCTGTGCTGAGTACATCAAGCAGTTTAAGCGGACTGGCGAACTGGGTCCGCTGAAGCTGATGGCATCCAAAGATGCCCCTGTTGCGCCTATCCACCCGGATGAAGTCGGCGTGTTCGCTGCTCATCTCCTGGCCTTGGATAATCCTAGCCCCCACAGCGGGGCAAAGTATGTCTTGAATGGACCGGAAGATATCACTGGCGAACAGCTTGTCGGCTTAGTGGAGCAACATATTGCTACGAAGGTGAAGGATGTGAAATACCAAGATCTGAGCTTTTTGGATGCGATGCTGGGCAGTCAATATGAAGGATCGGGTGAATCTATGACTGTTATAAAGTCAATCAAGTATGCACCGTTGACCATGTGGGAAGGGAAGTGCAATGCTTCGACGACTAGCAAGGAGGTTTTGGACATTGCTCCACCGAGACGGACGCCCACCGAGGTGTTGGAGGATTTGCTGAAGGCGTGAGGATCAAGGGTCAATTCTGAGACCCCGAGGCGCTACAATCAGAAAGGGGGCGGGTAGATTAGCTTTTTTTTAAAAAAAGAAAGAACATCATATTGTCATAGAATTCATATATCCAAACAGAGCACGATAGATGAATCTTCCTCCATAACTTCTAACCCAGTGATCATACTCTCCGCTCGAACTTTATGGAGAAAGAGCCTCTTACGGACCTCCTACTCGACAACAACCATCCCGTTGAGAATACTATCCAAAAAGTCCCTCTGCTCCGCCACCCACCTCCTCGTTTCCTCGACATTGAAGGGCCGTCCAGTAAGACCCCTCTCCCTTTCTCTCTTGCGCTGTGCCCGAACCCTCTCCTCCAGAACCTCCATGCGGTACTCGAAGTACTGGGGATACATCTCCTCCAGATTACTGATTCCCCGAGTGCCAGTGAGCAAAATCTCATCGCGCACCTCTGCATCCTTAGGCCGGAACGGCGTCACCATTGTGATTCTCTCCCGGCCACCAACAGCCTTCAACGCCTGGTGCTCCAAATACCGTCCCTGCATGACGACCGCGTATCCCTGCGCAGGTCCACGAACCTTCTTGATGGTGCCGTTGGGAAGCTTGATGGCGGTTTCACCGCCGACCATGGAAGTACAGTCGGAGAGCATCGTGACACAGACAAAGGGGAAGGAGTCGTAGTGCCAGGCGAAAGCCGGGGCATCGTCATCTACGGGGGGCTTGGTGGATGAGTTGCTGGCTTGGGATGCAGGCGGTTCGTCATCCTTGATGGCGACGTTGATATTTGCGATTTCGTAGTCGAAGGCTGGGATCAGGTCTATGCCGGCGATATCGGAGATTTTAGATAGAACCTCTGGAGATTTCCATACGTCGTAGGTGAATGGGGCTCGTCTATAAGGACTGTCAGTCTTCCACTGTGCTCAAGAGGAAGCTATGTTAATGGAAAACGTGCTGGCATACTTGTGTCCCATACCCCTGACCATGGTTGGGCAGAAATCGCTTGTATATTGACAATCTTTTAGCACGGGCTCGCTGAAGATCTCAGCGCGCATTTGGTTAATCGCCTCGGCCGTGAACAGGCGGAAAGGCTCGGAGATAGCGTTGGGAGAGATGCCTGCTCTGTCGAGGCCAAAGTCGGCCATTTTATGGATCTTCTCCGGGGGCTGGTAGACAAGGTGCTCGCTTGGGTCAAATTTGCGCTTCTGGGCAACCTTAGCGCCCTCGATGAGGGATTTGGGGAGCTTCTTGGTGGGGCGGGTGGCCTTCTTGGTTTTGGGTCCGGAAACCGGGGGTGGGGTGTAGGTTGAGACGAGGGCTGCTGGGGCCATTGTGTTGGTTGTGGATAGATGTTATTCCAAGTGTATAGAAATATTCGGAAGATGAATGGAAATGCTTTTTGGATGCGATTGATCGCGTTGGGCTACAGAACTGTCTCTATCTGGGATCTCATCTGAATACTTATAGATCAAAAGCAAATTTTGATATGTCAAGTCCGGGGTATGCTTGACCGGAGGGCTTAGGACCCGAGCTGTCATGGGACGTATAACATGCATGTGCTCTAGCACCAGATAGGAGATAGGATCTTCAGATGGCCAATGAACTATGCTTCTGCATGCTATTGCCGGCATCCGATGGTGGTGTTGGGAGGAAATCATGATACTATTATTCTAAGACCTGCACGTCTTACATCCCGATAATGCCGGCTGATCAATCGGAATTGCAAACCGGAGTCCAGCTGATTATTCCGCACAGATCGATTCGGATCTAGACTCATTCACTGGGCTGGCTTGGACGAATGGATTTCTGTACAGGATAGATTTTCCAAATGAAGGAAAGGATGACTGGAAGCCACAGATGCTGACAATAGGTGGAAGGCAGGCGTTGCAGATGCCTTGCCTATCACCTTCGAAGTCCCCCCTACGTCTTCAGTTCTCATGATCTATGACTGGAAGAGCGCTCCACATGGGGATAGGGCCGCACGAAGCCGATGCAGGAGGGAAATCAATGGGCTTGCCGCAGTTGCCGCCAATTGGTATTGATAGCCATCTAGTGGTAGGCGGACTGACATCCACAAGAAAGACCACGGAAAGATAGGGCCAGCGGTTCACGCGCAATCGGTAGCGGACCGAGATACCGCGTTGTTCTCCCGACGCGAGGGCTATCGATGAGCGTAGACGGTCCTAGCATTTGCAATCGCGAACACTGAAAGCATCGTCCACAATAACGACGTTGTTTCCTACTACCCTATAGTGATCCGTATATGCACTCGATCCGAGTCCTAACGCATTATGCGGACGTAACACACTCCATAATAGGCACATCCCCAAATCAGATCAGACACACTAAGTCTCAACAACCAACAATATTTCTCCTCGGATACATCTAAGATTCGCTATTATCACTCGAATGCATAACAACCATTCTGTTTTACTTAAGATACTCTTCTTCCAGGGCACCTGGAGCCCCATGACGGATGACTATAGCAGTAGATGTACCCTGAAAAGCTTGCACCTGCCATTGTACGCTCTGGATCATCAGCTTTCAGAGTAAATAAGCCATTTCCAGTAGGTTTCAACGCAATGATTGGCAAATATGAATATCAAAATACTTTCAATGAGATGCCTAGTATCTGTAGTAATTGAGAGACATCAGACAAACAATGTTCACCAAGGCCAATGAGCTTGAAAAGTCGGTCAATTTTGGCTTCAGGGTGGTTGCTAATATGCCAGATTGACAGCAAATGGGGACATATACAGCGAGTGAACAAAGCTATACTTCTCTTAGCTTTGTCATAGTGTCTCCTGATGTCTATACGAATCCTATGGCTCGAGAGCTTCAATGTCAGTATAGCAGGACCCTAATTATTGGCATAAGCCACCCTACCTTTGATGTTACTGCATCGAAAATATCTCTCGTCTAGTCTTCATACAAAATGATAAAACCAATTAAATGAAGGCTTGATCAAGTTAAGAAAGGAAAGCATCCCCTCACTCAACAGCATTGTTTCTTAACCACCCCCGTCTATACATCTGATCAAATATAGCGAAGTATTACGTGATAAAACTCACCACGAAAATCCGTAGTCAATTATCACCCAACAGTCACAATCACAAGACCGCGAACAGTTCCTATCTCTCTACCATAATCTAGACTCGAGTCTCAAGCTTTCCGAGAGCGAACAGGCGAGATTTAGCTAAAACCACCAACCCCGTGCTAGCAAAGACCCCACCAGGTTTCAAATACAGAGACCAACAGAACGTCAGATTAGTCCTCATGATACCTTGTGACCTGACACTTCTTCCTCCCCGCTTCCCCGGGAACCTCTCGTAAACTTGCATCGGATGTGTGGGTACAGATTAAACGAGATACCTCAGCTTTGAGGACAGAAGACCAATAACGATGCAACTACCTCGGGTGGTGGTTGTCTCGGCTCGGGTTCGTCGGTACTATCAAGAATCCGATGTCGAGTCTCGGGTTTGAAACCCGATGCGACTGCTTGACCCACCCAAAGTTCTGCATCCACATATATGATGTCTCAGAAACATTTTGAGATCAATATATACAGAGGCCCAAGAGAACCGACACCACGGTAGAAAGTACAATGCCACATGGTTGTACAATATCGAAGGATGGGAAATATATCTGATTTAGGAAAACCCCGATTGCGGGCAAGTTGATGTTACTAGGAATGCATCTAGTTTATTTCGGTTGCTGCGGGCCAGCCGGATGGGGAATCCGATCGGTGGAGTCGCGAACGCGAGGGATACATCGCTGGAATGCTCCAATCGGATAATAGTACGGGGGTTGTCGCTTCTGTTCAAGTACCTGCAACTACAGCGGACAAAATGAGCTGGGCGCTTAGGCTGGTACTGGGTCTACTACGGAAATCACTTTAAAGACATACTACATACTAAGCTCAATATATGAGTGGAACCAGTTGTCAGAACACTAATCAATTCTCACCGGAAGGCAGAAGACATATATAGGAAGTCACCATATGCGGGGATATATATTACATACGTAGACGCCGACCCAACCAAGGATTTAAAATGTCTTTCAATCGTGATCAACACCTGCATTCATCCATCCCATTGTGGCACTCCTGGATCTAAAACGCTACACCCCTCCGTCTGCCCAATCTGATTTACCAGCGAGAAAAACTCGTACGAGGAAATCCCGATACTGTCCAGAAAGCCGAGGCTAGAAGCTTGAGCCAGGACAGACGGAGACCCTGGCACCGAAGTTAATGGTACTGGACAAGCTGCCAAATCTCCCGGCTCCTGGGAGCGCTCGACACGGCCCGCAATCAGATAATCCGAGCCTAGCTCAGACTGCGGTGGCACCGCAGCCAAAGAAGTGGGCAGAGTAAGTGTCTCAAGTCCCCGCCTCTCGATCCGCTCTGCTACTTCCCGGAAGAGCTTTTCGAGCTGGACAAGTTCGGACTTGCGCGCTGCGGCGAGTTTGTTTCCACGCTGGATCATTTGGTCAAGAATCAAGTGTGCGTCGTTCATGCAATTTTGATTTTCGCCCTCCGTAACGTTGGGAAAGACGGCACCAGCCATGGCAATGTGCATTGCTGCGCCGTAGGTAAATTCCATGTCGAAGGGAAGGAAAACGTCTGAGTTTATTGTGTGAGGTTAACTGTCCAAGAACTTTATCGAACGCTATGGAGAGTGTAAACGCACCTAGAAGATTGTCTTCATCCATGAGTATCTGCAGCGTTTTGATTGCTGACTTGATACCCGCCCGGATCAGACCATCGGTAGGGGCCACAATGCTCTGCCAATCTTCCGGTCCGTGACCCAGCCGGTCCAGTCGCTCTTTTAGAACCGATAGCAGCAAGGGGCGTGTGGCTACTATCACACACTGTAGTTTGCAAGCCGTCAGCATATAGTAGTTTTGGTAGTTATGTGCGGACATGTATACAAACCTGGTGATATAGCAGGGTGACATGCCTCGTCCCTTTCGACATGGCGTCTACTGAATTCTGGAAATTCACTTCAATGATGCCCTCGATGTCTTGGGCTTGGCTCGCAAGGACTTGTAAGATCGATCGGGTGGTTTCGAGGAACGTCCCCAGCTGGGTTTGACTGCATTTGTATATAGCTGCCAGCGGTCAGTCGGATCTATATACTATTATGGCCTCCTTATGGGGAATTTCATACAAGAGAGGATATAAGACAGCAGATGCGACAGTCTCACTAAAAGGCCAAGCGTGGCATTGCTCTGCGTTGTTGTCCCAGGTGGGTCGAGGAGGGTGGTGATATCACTATCCTGGAGAGTCATGGACGCACCAACTGATGATGAGATATGCCGGTCCAGGACGTAAAGGGTCCACCAAAGATCCCGCGACCGGGCGACAGTCTCCGCTCCGAGCTCATCTTCAGGGAGTTGAGTATGCATACCGTCCATTTGTGCTATACGAATGGCGTGCCCAATCTGACCGAGAGAGCGATTAGCACGACGATTGTGAATAGCAATACCGTATGAGCAGACAAACTCACATAAGAGTATGCTGACGATCGATGATCGATGCAATACAGATACAGCCCTGTCAACGCGAGCACTTCAATGGCCACGAAACCGCTGCGGGACAACGTTGTCGGATCAGGCATTAGACTCACAGCCCGCACAAAGAACTTTGCCCCTGGTGGCTCTTTGTTGTCGCCACTTGAACGATAGCCCATGGGCAAAAGGAATGCATTCCCAAACGCAAGGACTAGTAGAAACTGAACGAACCATAACCGGTTATTACTTGCTTCCTTTGCCGCATCTCCACGGTAGAACTGCTGGGTATGATGCACAAAGTTGGCTTCATCGAGAAGACGGAAGTTATGGCCCAGATGAAACTTGACGGTATTAAACAGGTAGAGTGCATAGTCCATTGACGGAAGATTGCTGACGTCAGGGTGCTCATTCACCGACATGGGAGTCCAGTGGATCGGGTACAGGTCGCCGTCAAATAAATCTGGCGCGCTGCAGTGCGATACAATCTGGAGTTTCTCGGCAATCATGAGTTTCAGCCGCTCTGTGAATGACCACGTTGAGGTCGCAGCGAGCCAGGCTGATAGTTTCATCGTGTTAATCATGTTGAAGAAGGGATCAGTATTGGGGATGAGAGACGTACTCCATTTGCGCTTGGTACCATCATTCTTCTTTATCACTCGCGATGGGAGCGTAAATGGGCTTGTCCATATCGTCCTTGCCGTATACAGTTGTGTCGGGTTTTCTGCAGACGGAGAAGCTTTTCAGTTTGCAGGGGTTAGCCAAGCAAAATTGAGGGTGCATTTGCCTGTGAGGTCTCATTTGGCATCGCACCATCAATATCTGCATCCGACCCGAAGGCCGATGCTGAGGTCCGCTTGATCGACTGTCTGTCCGGCTGGATATCCGCATCCTGCCCTTGGCGCTTGCTAGCTCTACCCTGTAGCTCTCGCAGATATCTGTCCATCCTCGTAGTCCCATTGTCAGTTTGAGATGTCGCATGTCGTAGAATAAGATAACCTACGGACCTCTCAGTGACAATGACTTTGTTCACACCTTCTACAAAACGACACTCGACACGCCTGCGCTGACAGTTGGCGCATGGCTCTTCACCGGTGCATTTGATTTTGCTCGTACGGCACGCAATGCATCTGTTTTTTTGTGTTTCCAGGCTTAGCGATAGGGACGCGCAGTGCCTGATTGAAATGATTCCGGGTAACTTGCAAGGGGGAAAAGGATGAGCCTTACGCGTTTGACGTCCGCTTAAATTTCCGTGAGGTATTCCGGATATCTGCCATCGTTTAGAAGAGCCTCAAGCCCGAGAAATAAAATAGATCATGCGATCGAGACATCCGGAAAGTGCTAAGATTGAGTGATAAGCCTAGAAAATTATGGGCTATCGCCAGCTGGCGTCAACTCGAGATCTTGCTTGCCGAGCTGTGCTTAACCCCGCACTTCTCAGAAATCGTGGGGAAAGCGTTACTTATTTCGGTTAAGACACCCCCCGCTGAATTGAGTTTAAGATCGTGGAGGGCACCAAGTTGGGTTCTAGTTGTTTAGGGACCAAAGAAGTTACGAGCGCTCTAGACAGAATGTCGCACGTGATAGATCTGGAAGCCTCCATATTATCTTATCTATCATCACCCCGGAGCACTCATATGCGACCGGGGATCCTACGTCTATCGCAGCCGTAGGGCTGGCGAGAAGATCCCACCCTATTAAAGGTTTACCAAATAACCACAACAGGACCCCACTGGTTGTAGCATAGAAGATGTTTAAGACTCCAGACAATTTACGAGCAGCTTAGTGCACCTACTAGACCAGGGATCACCCCTCTCACAGGTCGCGTCTTGGATGTATGCACAGTGACGCGTGACAAGTTGGCCAGCTGGACCCCCTCGGCTCGGGTCGGGTCGAGACACCCGAGATGAATGGTGGTTCCGAGACAAGAGATAGTACTATCGTCTCCAAATGATCACTGCTATAGCACCTTCAGATCAGTTCAAGATTCTATGTCAAATAAAACACTTAATTTCCCAGGCCGATTATTGTATCTGCTGAATTCCTCCAGAATATTCCCTCCTATCCATACATCTCTACCGTCATCATGTTTGACCTCATTGTCGTAGGCGCCGGTTTCTCCGGCCTTCAAGCCGCCATTACAGCTCAACAAGCAGGACTTTCGGTCGTCGTCCTCGAGGCACGCGATCGTATTGGCGGTAAGATCTGGAGTGTTCCACTTGCCTCTGGTCGAGGGTACGCTGATTTGGGTGGTGCCTGGATCAATGTCAACCTGCAAAAGCGTGTGGGCGCATACATCGAGAAGTTTGGCCTGAAGACGGTAGAACAGCGGCTGGAAGGAAGGGCGATTATGCAGGAAGATGTGAACGAGAGGTTCGAGTTTCCCTTTGGAGTCACACCGTCTGATGTTAGTAAACCCTCTGTTCATCGCCATGGGGTGTCATGCTCTAATTTAACAATCGATAACTAATGTGTTGTTATTCGATATTGCAATAGTGGACAACAGAGGAGAAGGATAACCTGGCGAAGATTCGTGATCATATCCAAGCCGAGTCGTTGAAGCCTAGCCCACCCCGGGTTGAGGACGACAATGTCACTCTCGAGCAATACATTCGTAATCTCGGAGCTGGGCCTAAGACAATCAAGATGGTCAATCTTTGGGCGCGAGTTATGCATGGTTTGGAATCGTCCGAATACTCCGCTGCTTGGTTCATCGATTACTGCCGCTGCAACCACGGCCTTTTGGCTATCCGAGCGGATGACTCGAGTGGCGGGCAGCACCTTCGGTTCAGAGATGGTAATAGACCCAATTTACCCGAACAATACTGGAAATAACAAAGCGGATTAGACAAATACTAACATCATCCAGGTTCCCAATCACTAGCCAACGCCCTCGCATCCCTCGTCGGTCCCTCCAACATCCACCTCTCTTCCCCCATCGCCACTATCGAGGATCTATCCACGCACACAATTGTAACAACAACGACTGGCAAGTCCTTCACAGCACGCAAATGCATTCTCTCCATCCCCAGCACCATGTACAAAGAACTCAACATCCAGCCTCCACTCCCGCCGCGCGTGCAGGAAGTCACCAACGCCACCGTGCTCGGCGACTACAACAAAGCCATCGTCTGCTACGACCGACCCTGGTGGCGGGATAGTGGGCTCAACGGCTACTTCGCCTCCTACAGTGGTCCGGTAATCCTGGCTAGGGATACCTCCGTCGACGAAGTCCGGCATTACTCTCTAACCTGCTTCGTAAACGGCCAGGCGGGAAGGGAGTGGAGCAAGCTCATTCCTCATGAGCGACGAGCAGTAGTCATTAAGCAGCTGGCTAAGGTGTTCAACGCTGGCGACAACAATGACCATGAGGTGTACAAGCCGATTGAGGTCTTTGACCAGGTCTGGCAGCACGAGAGGTATAGTCGTGGGGCGCTGGCGCCGATTACTGCACTGGGCCATATGACGCAGTTCGCGGATGTTTATGGCAAGCCTGTGGGTAACTTACATTTTGTCGGAACTGAGTATAGTAATGAGTGGAGGGGATATATGGAGGGAGCCCTGTGTTCTGGAGAGGTTGGTGCCGCAGAGGTTGTGAAGGCTTTGAGTGGAAGGGGAAAGGCGAGTCTGTAAGCGTCCCAAAAGCTGCAGTAGGCAGGTTAATGCGATAGACGGTGATTGGATGTTACTAGAAGCCTTGTAAATGGATGAGATGTTGAATTCAGAGTCTAGGAAATTTACCAGGACCGGCTGAGTGACAACTATGCGAAATGTAGCGTAATTATGTCTGGCGGAGGGAACGAAAAATCACTTCTACTCAGCCGCGTCTTTTTTTCTCCAACTTTGGACATGATTTTGCTTTTCATATGAGCATTCGCCCTGTAAAATTGTATTGATATTGACCCAAGAAAGGAGAGTCGATGTAATTCCTCCAAGGACTTGGCCCCTTCTGTGTGTAGCACGATTACATTTCTCTATGGCAAGCAATACTTCTTTGCTATCCAAGGGCTTCTTGACAACCGACAGCCACAACGTCTCCTGTGATCAAGTCTATCCTGGCATACTCAGCAGCCTACTTGAAGATACATATGTTATCTTATCGTTTCCTAAACAATCGCTAATACGACACCACGAGCTGATTACCCAGAGCACGAAGCCTTGAGTAACCCCCCTTGGCCGTCAGAAACCCAACGTCTTCTAACGCCGGACAAGGTGTTAAAATGCCGAGCCTTTGCCAGAGAATCATCTGTTATGGACGGGAAGGAACCTTATCATCATAACTTGGAAATTCAAGCTCAGTACATAGGGAGGTTATTGCGCATAATGTCCCATAATTTCAACGGCCGTGGAAGGGAAAGAATTAGTGAATGTAGTGAACAGATCTCTAGGAGACTAGGTCATTCACTGTGTGTTGCTAAATGAGATGAGCCGGTGATCAAGGCGGCAGATTCCATAAGAAATCAAGCCCTGTATCAATAGTATCAGGCATAACTCCTAAATCCCCAATTAAGGACCCAAAGGGCGCCATGGAACTGTCGAAGGGAAGAGAGAGCCACTGGTCGTCGCTCAAAAGGTCAAGACCGTCATAATCCAGGCCCTGTACGGCAGGACTCGTACTATCAGTTCTTATAGGTAAGGCCTCTGTATTCGGATCTCCCATATAATGCTGGCTGCTGGTGCCCTTGCCCTGCGCTGTTCTGGGACTCTCGTCGAAGGGCGATGCATCAAGGAGACTTTTCCGGAGACGGGCTACCACAATTTCCAGAAGCTTTGCATAGCGACCACCTAGGTGAAGCTCATCCTCGGCTAATACCTCCTGTAACTTTGCGATCGTTGACTCTAGTGCTTCAAGAGCTAGACAATGTCGCACACGGGTGGTCCCTAGAGCCAAAGCCTTGAGAAGGAATATCGAACTACTAGCCATTCGGAAAAAGAGGCGAACGGGCATATACTGCAATAGCCCACTTTGGCTCAAGCTAGATATTCTATTGAGGATCTGGGTGCAGCCCTCAAGCACAGCATCCGTGTATCCGCAGGGAGCAGTGTTGTCTTGCGAAGACTGATGATCGAGCCTGTGCTGCATGCCGATGGAGTTTAGTATGGTGTATACATGTTGGTAATCGATGAAGAGAGTGTCATTGAAGCTTTGCTGTTCTACTATAGACATGTTAGTACAGCGCGTTACCAAGTAAGTGATCGCGATCGCGAACTAAACGAGCATACCGCTGATGGCCTCGAAGCTGGATCGCCATTCGGAGAGCTCTTGACTTTCCTCATTGATCAAAGAGCTGACTGAGGCATCGGCTCTAGCCTCCTTCAAGATGGCGGCATAACTAGACGTTATTGACCTGAAGATATGCATGAGGCGTACCCATAGCTCCATAGGAGTCCACCATTTGGCGTCTGCAGTCAGGAGACTGCTCGGTGAGCTAGAGCCCAAGGAAATGAGCGAGTCACACCCAATTCGTGTAGATGCAATATTTGAAAAGATCAGTAGCAGACAGGGAAGTCGTTGTCGCCTCAGTTCCAGATTTTCAAGATATATTCTGCTATCTGATCGAGTTTGATTCTCTGCTAGTGCCAAGGTTGAATTATCTTTGAACACGCCCAACTCATGGGCAAGAGCAACGGCCGCACTGAGTATCATCCAGGACATACGCTCGAGACGCTTCGTCGGCTCAATAACTTCTTGTTGCCACTGAACTGAGACAGAGGGCTCATGCTCGCTGTCTAGCTGTGGGTCGCGCACATCCGGGTTTGTCAAGATCAGATCCGAGTCCCAACCATCGCTTTCTGGGGGAAAATGTAACGACTTGGGATACCATTCACAGAGTAACAATAATGCCTCGATTGTTCCTAGGGTTCGTGTCTTGGCTTTGGAAATTTTTTCCTGCCCGAGCATGACTCGCAGCAAGAGATGCTGGCAGTGCTGGCTGAGACGGTGATGGATAAACGAGGATCGTACTCGCCCAGCCCGACCGGGAAGAATGTGGTAGCGTGAGGCCAGGAGGAGGATTGTGCAACAGAGGAAGGGCTCTTGAGTCACAAGCCAGAATTGGTTTGAGATAGTAGCATAGAAATCTGTCAGGATTGGCGAAAGTGGACTGAGATGAGTGAAGAACCTGTTCATTTTCAAGCTGTCAGGATACAAAGTCTGTCTCTTTGAGGAGGGCGACATACCATTCTATCAAAGATATGGCCTCCTGAGCTGTAAACCACCCCATCCGAACGAAGCGGCAGGCATTCCACACGCGAAGAGCGTCTGGGTAGTTGCTCTCATTGTCCTCAATGCTCGAGCATTGCGGTGCAGCGACTTCGATAGAAGGTTGGGATGGTGCCGCCGCTTTGAATAGCAATCTCATGGCATCCTGTTCGTTCGACACCACCGTCTCCAACATGGACGGTGAAAATTCATTCCCAGTATTAGTTTGTTCGAGATGCAAATTATTATCGACTCTCAGGTTGTCATCCTTTCGCGTCTCATTTGTACTATTCGGATTAGCGACTACTCCCCAGGGGGTATTTGTCAAGACGGGACCCACGGTGGACTATGTGCTCCGTCCATATCATGGCCCCCTCTCATACTGAGTGCTGGACTAGAAGGGGCATTAGGAGTGGCTGATGGTAAACATGTATTTTCTTTATGTCCTCTAGAGGTGCCTCGCGACCAGGGTTGTTTGCTATTAAACATACACCGGATGCCCTTCTTCTCGCACCTTTCGCATGACGTTCCATTGTCACTGCGTCTGCATTTAGTCTTGCGCTTCGCGCAAGCTATGCAAGCTTGATATGTTCTCTGATATTGGTACTGGCTTACTGCTCGGCTGCGAGAGGGTCTGGTGGGTTTGCGTTCCATGATGCCGGGATAGGAGAGGATGTTGGAGGAGAAAAGGAAGCCGCAGCTCGGCAATTGCCAAATACCCGCCAGTTTTATATTGCACTAAACCTGATTTCGGGTGTTCTTGCCCCACGCCACTCAACTGAAGGTTTAGCAGACTAGTTACAGCACCTGCTCTTCACTACTAAGTGATATACCGAAAATTAGGATCATCGTCCCCAGCCTCCGTCACATCAATAGCATGCTCCCTACTAACCCGACCATACAACCGGTTTCGTCGAGCATTTTCGAGTCTCAATTTGCAGTGCAGCACGGCGCCAAGAACCACCACCAGGCCCGTCAAACCTGCGCCCGCAGCACACCCACGTGTATAATTGGGGGCATCAGTTGCAGGAAATAATGAGCTGCTGACGAAGCTGGAGCACTGCCCGAAGATTGCTAGAATTGCCATCCCCGCTCCTCGTTTACTGTCGCCGCCCTGGTTATTCAGTAACCAGGTGATGTTAATCGCCAGAGACGGAAACACTCCACATGTAGCTAGCCAAATCCCGGCATATCGTACCCCATCTGCGTTAGCATCATGTACACAGGCCAGCATCAAGTAACCAATCAGTCCAATCGTCGAGAAGCCTACTACTACTAAGCCTCGGTTGCCCAAACGGTCCGACAGGAAGGCGGCTGCCAGACAGCACACGAAAGAACCCAGATAGGGAGGAGCTGTGAGGCCCTGAGCGTGGACGGAAACGTAGCCCATATCTTCAATGAGAGTGGGCAGGAAGTTGGACAGACCCGCAAAAGAATAATTGCAACAGAAATGTATGATCATGTGCACGTAGTTCTTATAGTCTCGGAGGCCACTCCAGACTTGCTTCCAATGCACGCGGTCTTTCGCTGTGCGGTCTTGTGCTGTCAAGCGCCCAACTGCATCTCTTTGTTGCTGATCATCCAAGAACCAGGCCGACCCGGGGCTATCGGGAAGGAAGAAGAAGACCACGATGGATATTATGACGGTGGGTGCACCCTCTACATTGAAACGCAATTTCTTAGAATCAAGAGAAACGGGTAAGAGGTAGAAACACTCACCGATGAGGAACAGATATTGCCATGGCTCGAGTCCGTTTCGGATCTGGGTAATACCATACGCCAATGCAGACGCAAAGCAGTTCGCGATTGGAGACATACCCAGAAGCACGGAGACGCGGAGCCCAAGTTCATGCCGTTGGTAGAATAGGGAAAGGAAATAAGGCGCCCCAGCGCCGAAGCTAGCTTCGAAAATGCCCAACAGGCACCGACACACGATAAGTTCGCCGAGATTATGGACGGCGCCGCTACACATGGCAGCGGCACCCCAGCTGTATTCAAACAATACTTTAGCCTCTGCTGTATGACCATGAACTGATATAGGGGACTGCTCACCAAATGCACAACACTGCCACATAGTAATGTGCGGGAAATAGTCTCCATAGAAGGTTGGTCCACTCGAAGACAGTATAACACAGATAAAAGCTGTTCAGAACCCAAGACCAGTCCGAATCATTGAGATGCAGACTCTCTTGGAGTCCGGCAATCTTGGCGTTGCCGATGTTGCCTTCAAAAGAGAATGAGCAATGTGAAGTCTGTCCATGGGGACATGGTACACTTACCGCGATCCAAGTATGACAAAATATATAAGACGCAAAGGAGAGGCAACAAGTGTCGATCAAACTGAACACAACTGAGCTTCACTCTGTTCATAGTAGATGTAGATATGGATGGCCTACCTTATGAACGATTGACTTTTGTTGTTCTAGACTGACTTCAACCCTTTGAGGCGAATTGTCCATGCAATCCGGATCCACTCCCTCAACGTGCTGACTATGTGGGACATCGATAGGTTTAGAAAATTGACTCATACTTTGTACATTTGTTCATAAAAGGTAGGGTTGCTTGTAGTTTCTCCATTCCAAAGTTCATGTTGTGTTCAATGGCCCCTTTTATAGGACCACGGTGCTATACTACGATGAAGAAAGAGGGCCTGCATGGACTTCCCCGCAAGCTTGGGCCTACCAGGTCAATAGATTGCGTTTCCCCACGGGGTTTATGCACTAAACGAGGAAATGATACTCTTATTCACAACTGCCGACAGTGCGGAGCGGGGTTACGGATATTGCCAAATACCCGAAACTTGAAATATCCGCGGGGAATTGAGGGCTTCATAAAGTATCAAGTGTGCACCCACGTTCGTCTCGAGCCCAATCCACTTGCAACTGAAGTCTCTTGCCCTACTTCAAATAAATACAAACTTATTCTCGAATATGTCTGCCAGCGAAGTGCCTTACCCCTTCCAGTTCGACTCCCTGCGGACACATGAACCAGGTGTTGGACCACAGGACGGCACCACCCAGGATGTGACCGTCAAACTTCCCAACGTGCGCGGCCGAATCCCATCATTGCAAGCCTCTCGACTCCGTACGATGATGCTCGAGGCACATGGAGACCCAAACAAGATCCTTGCACACGCCTGCTCCTATGACGGTCTTTCCTCCCGCTTGGTCGAGGAGGCCGGGTTTCCCATGGTCTTCCTTGCGGGTTACGCGGTTGCCAGCTCCTATGGCCTCCCCGATACCGGCTACATTGCCATGGCAGAGATGTGCGACAAGATTCGTGATGCCGTGCGACAAGTTTCTGTTCCCGTTATGGCGGATGGTGACACGGGCTATGGCAGTCCGCTGAATGTTAAGCGAACAGTGGAGAGCTTTGCCGCTGCTGGTGCGGCTGGCGTTATGATTGAAGACCAACAATGGCCTAAACGTATGTCTGGCATTGCTTTCTTATCCTCACATGACCTTTCTGATGCTGACTCGGAATCAATTAGGGTGCGGCCACACCAAAGGCAAAAGCGTAGTATCGCGCGAGGAAGCCTTCGCTCGGATCAAAGCCGCTTGCGACGCACGTAATCAAGGCCTAGATATTTTTATTTTGGCGCGGACTGACGCTCTCATTCACGGGTGGGACGAAGCCATGTCCCGAGCACACGAGTTCCGCCGTCTCGGTGTCGATGCAGTCTTCGTTGAAGCTTTACCTGACCGCGAGGCCATGAAACGCTGTGTGCAGGAAGTAGGAATCCCCACATTTGCTAATATTATTGAAGGAGGAAAGACCGAAAATCTGTCCGCTAAGGACCTCGCAGAGTTGGGTTTCTGCGCTGTGGCGTATCCGTGGACGTTGGTCGCTGCGCATTTACGTGGGCTGCGCGAAGCCCTTGATGGGTTGAAGCGGAGCATGACTGTTGGAGCGCCACCGATGATCCTGACATATGATCAAGTCTGCGAAGGTGTCGGGTTTAATAAATATTGGGTGAGCGTTCTCATCCATCCTTCTTCGCTTCAGGTGACTTGTGCTAATAACTGCTGATATTCACAGAACCTGGAGGAGAGATATAAATACGAGTGAGCATGGGGGGTTTCTCGTGGAGGTCAGATCATATCAAACCTTGTGATGAATGATTGTAGTTATAGTGTCTCAAGGCGTCGAGCAATACAAGACATATATGAATAAGGACGGAAATTCCTCGAGAGTCAACTCGGCATCTTTGACCCGGTGGAGCCAACCTACCGTTCCATTTTGGATATCCTACTCAACACAACCTCCTTTTGGTGGCCAAGCGAAATTCTGCAGGACCGTTGCATCGTTATATCCTCTCCAGCTTTTTATATCGAGGTCTAGTTGTATGACGACGAACGAATACACACTGATATATACCAGTCATCCCTAAAATCGGGATATTCATCGCAGACCTGGATGAAGCGACCAGACAACATCACAAGTTTGACGAGTGCTGGATTATAACCGAGTTAAAACATGGCTTCGCGGCTGCGCGACGTGATATCAAACCATCGATCCCCCCGGATGAAACTGTAGATGCGCGCCATTGTATACAATGTTTCCGCTACGACAAACCTGTCAGCCTCTGAACTCTGTCGATTATAATTAGGCGTAATTGTAAGGAAAGTAACGGCTAGCTAGCAAGCACTACTTTAGAATGGGGCAGTGTTGACACTAGAAAACTGAGCGGTGGTTGGGCGTTTGAACTAGCAGGGTTGGATAAGATACTATATTAGTCTTGGACTGGTCTCGAAATTAGTAGCACGGACCTCGTAGGTCCATTGCTTGATTTGTGAGTCAACGCCAGCAGCCTAGTCAAGATCTACTAGTAATCTTCCCAACTTGTCAAGATGCGAGGCTGGCAGTCTCTTTTACCTAGATCCGCATGAGTTGTTCGTTTATCGGCGGTGCTTTGCTTGGTAATGTCAGGCAACGCAACGGGCGCCGAAATTAGACAAGGTGAACGAAGAATGCTGGTTTTTGGGCTGCTTAATTTCTCGACCCTAGCAATAATTGCGTATGGTGGTTAGTTACCTTGATAACGGGGATTGAGAATTGTAATTGGTTATAGTGATATATGTGTGTTCATCTCGCTGCTCCTTACAGTGTTGCAGAGCGCCTGACACTGGAGGGGAAAAGATGGGTGAGATTATGCCTGATTACCATGAACCGTGGTAGAGCCCCTTTGATCTAGACCTTCATATCGAAGGCAAGCCGGCCATGTAGCTGGCCCTATCGATTCATACCCGTGAATGGGTTATGGAAGAAATCCAAGCGCTGGGAGCTGTTACGACGCCTTGGACAGAGGAGCTATCGGGAAGTCTTAATAATAGTCACGAAAATAGGGGCTCCGTTGTTTAAGACACAAAATATAGATAAGGGCAACTGAGTAGGACGCACAGGCAATAAATGATTACAGAAATGTAGTTTTGCCATTAGTAATTTAATAGATCTATACTACCAAGCTGATCTAGCCCCAAGGTTCTTTGTTTCTAGCGTACTACCCGCCTGCCCGTCCAACAGTCAACTAAACAAACTAGTATCCAGCTAGTAATAATAATATTTCTGATGTTAGCACTAACTTATCGTAGCTAACCGACACCCAGTAAATGTCTCCTGAGCTAATCTCTAATCAGAACCGAGTCAAATCGCTCTCAAAGGATCCACCCGCATCGCCAGGCAAATACAGCCTTAGCACATAAATAGGCTGCGGCACACACACCACTCTCACACAATGCGTAACGTCCACCCGCGCCTACCTTTCCCTTTTAAAGAACCCTAACATCCCTTCTCACTACCCTCAGTTCCACATCTCCAGTCAACCATTGCGCACTAGCCCGCCTCCACATCACCACAATGGGCCAACAACCATCCGCACCCCGTCCAGGCACGCAGCTCCAAGTGATCGGCGGGGGCCTCTCCCGCACAGGAACTGCCTCTTTCAGCGCCGCCCTGGAGATCCTCCTCGACGGGCCCATCTATCACGGCGGCACCCAAACCACCATGGGTCCGCCCATCGAGATGAAATCCTGGATCGAGATCCTGCGCGTCTGGCTCGCCGGCGACCGCTCCACAGCTCTTTCTCTCATGCGGCGTCGCACCGAGGGCTACGCCGCCATCACAGACTCGCCTGCCTCGCACTTCGTCCCGGAACTAATCGAGCTGTATCCTGAGGCCAAAGTCATTGTGACCGTGCGCGACAGAGATGCATGGGTTAAAAGCATGGCGCAGATCAGCTCGTTGGCTACGATGTGGTTTTTGAGGGGGGTGTTGTTGCCGTTGCCTGGTATGTATTTTACACAGTATTTTTCAACTACGGGAACACGAAAACATGCGATTGATCGGAACGTTTTCTGACAAGAGTACCTTGATGTTAAGGAATGCGCCACTTCGTCACATACATCGAATGTCTCCAAGCACAGTGGGACACTCGCTACGATGGCTGTCGAGATAATACTTGGATTTATGATCGTCATATTGAGTGGTTGAAGGAGGTTGTTCCCGCTGATCGTTTGGTTTTCTTTAATGTCAAGGAAGGCTGGGAGCCGCTTTGTCGCGCGCTGGGGAAGGAGGTTCCTAAGGATATTCCGTTTCCGAGAGTTAACGACTCCCAGGCAATCAACCGGGTGGCTGAGTATCATATCAAGCGTGGGTTGCTGCGTTGGGCAGTGGCTTTTGCTGTTGTGGGTGTGCTTGGGGGATGGTGGTTTTTGGGGTGATGCCTTGTGAGGTTTGTTGTGAATGTGAAGTATATGCGTAATAAATGTAGTAGTATGAAATTGTTGATGGAATAAAATAGAAGGCCGTCGTCGACTTGTTAGCAGCAAATTGTTCGGTGTTGGAGGCCTTCCCACAGGTTATGAAATTTCGCTGACCTTGAACGTGCCGAGATCCGGATCTAAGCACATGAATATCAAGGAAAATCGAGATAAGCCGCTTATGGCCTGAAGTTGAATTATCAATTCATAAAATGGGGTCCCTGAATATTAGGGACTGCCAACATGGATAGGTCCGATGGCCTACCCAAGATATCCCAACCTACTGTGGCTGTGTAGTTGGAGCATTGGGCTTTACTAGCAGCGCATAACGCCAGTATACGCAGACAACCATCGTGTTTCTAGCCAGATGCCGATATGGTCACTTTGTTCTTCCTGAGCCAGTCAATGCTTGCGGTCCGCAGTAATAGTATATCTAACTCTACTAGCTACAGGCTTTCAATATATATGTTAGTTTAATAGCTCATAAGACAATTTGGTAAGTGAAAGCGAGGCTTTATCTCGTCTAACGAAATGCTCTATTATTACTTAGAGCCCACATACCAGAGGGAGAGAGAGGAGTGAAGGAGTGAGGGAGAGAATGAAAGAAAGGAAAGGGAATCATGGTACGTGAATATTCCATGCACGCAAATGTTCTAACCCTGCTGGAGTGGACCAGAAACCCTAGAATGAGCACCTGGAAGGAATTTACAGAGCGAACAGTAATGTAAGGAAAACAAAACAATGAATAAATAACTTAAGAAAACGAGAATATAACACGTACTTAAAAAAGTAAGGGCAACTCAGAAAGATGGGACAAAGAACGGACTAATATAGACTGTGGAGGAACATCTTTCTATCTGCGCTGGATGGATACGATATACTATGAGTATTCTTATTACACCTTACAGCGCTTCGACATAGATAATATTAGTATTAACTGGGCTATCAGAACATGTGAAGACTCAAAATTAAGTTAGATATTTGTTAATGACCCAAAATCTCGAACATACTAAAGTGATTTTTGCTTTTCCGATCGCGATAGATGCCGCCTGACTGTCACCCACCATCTGCACTATATGTTAGATCCTAAGAGAGATTTTACTACCCTTAATAATATGACTCCTTCTACGACCTAGTACTGGAACATTACCTTCCCACTGCAGGGTAGTGAGGCGTATCATTTTGGGCCCTCCGGGTAGCAGTCATGACGTCGAGAGATTACATTAAGCCTCAACACAGCCTCTTCCAAACATCTGCTGTAAATAATTGAACGGACACGGACAATGGTTCTCACTGACATGATGAATTCTAAGAGGGGACAGTTCCTTGGAGGGTCCACAAGTCTTAGAATTAGCCAGACCCTAAGTGGTCTTCCAGAGATTCGGGGTCTGGAATAAGATGGCTCCACTAACTACGCGACCCTTCTGCTACCCAGGAACAGGCACCAGCCAATTTGCCCTCGCCACCGTGGAATCTCCCCGATGAAGCAAGTCTCTGATATGAAACGGAAACTTTCTCCCTACCTGTCGACCTCCACGGTCTTTTCGTGATCATATGTTTCTCAGGTATACACGACACATCTATTCAAGCAGAAAACCCCGATTGCAAAAGACGCCGCCATGGATAACCTTCTGCGGGTATTCCCGATCTTCCCTTCTGGTGCGATGCTACGAGCGGACCTACATATGCGAAGAAAAAAAAAAGACCTATTCTGGTTACCGATATTACATCAGGATACTTAGCGAGGCAGGAACAGATGCAGGCACCGTGGCATTGCTCTCTTGCGTGATTTGCTTCAAAAACTACTCCCAAGAAAGGCTACGCAAGCTTTTGTGCCAGTTGCACCACGGGATTGATCAACTCCAATGCCTAATAGCTCGGCACTGATTGGAGGCGGGGAATTTGTGGGGTCGGAATTTGCAGATCCCGATTAGTTAGCCGCCGTACCTGCTGCCATCATGGGGGTTTCGGCAGCAGATATCACCGCATCGATTGTGTCCTTGCTGGGCAACTGCTTCAACCAAGTAAAATTCTTCGTGATTTGCCACTGCATGTAAGATGCTTTGCAAAGTTCGGGGTCCAAACTATGGTAGCACATGAGGATTGGTATAGCCTGACTGTCGACTGTGTGCACTACACCCACACCTCTTTCCTACGATGCCAGTTCTGCTTCGCGTAGCCATGGATACATCTGTTACAGAAGGCTTCGTCACCCATGCAGATCGGCTATCTATATGCCTTGGCCTTGGCTTGGCGTCAAGTTGATATCTACCGGAGACTTGGCCAAGCAGCTGGAATAGCCGACAACAAGAGCTAGAGTTTTATCCACCTCGTTATGTGGATGCCTCGTGAACGCGTACACTGCGGCAAACAGACTGCCATAGGCGGGAACTCATACGCCCTAAGACCTAGCAAGCAACTCTCAGCGGCCATAGACTCTGCATGTGTTTAGATGACGATATGACTGGTGGATATATTGGGGTCGAAGCATCGAAACATGAATGTGGGACGGGGTGACGCTCACCCCTTCTAGACCTCGAAGGTCCTTTCGTCGTCAATATCGGAGCGGCAGAAAACATATATAATGATAAGGGACTCCGTCACCTTGATTCTATCATCCATAATCTCAAGATTATTCTTCAGTTTCTAGTTTTCACTCCTTAATACCCCTCTCAATATGGTTCACTTTCTTTCGCCTTTGGCCATTAGCGTCGCCATGCTGGCGTCTCTGGGCCTCGGTCATCCTGGACACGATGTTAAGCAGGAAGCTGCTGAACGGGCTGCATTCCTCAAGCGTGCACCTGCGCAGTCTCGCAGCCTTGCCCAATGTGCCTCTACTCTCAAGGCCCGTGGGGTTGAGGAGGGTAATGTCGCTCGTCGTGCGAATGCCCTCCAGAACCTGCGTCGCGAGAGAGGACTGACCAGTGAGTATTGTGCGATAACTGCTATCTTGGACTTGAAGCAGATCCTTTCTTCAATATATTGTACGGCCAACTAACAGGTTAGACACCCAATACCTCAAGGCTCGTGATGTGGACTCCGTCCTCGATACCGATCACCATTCCAACTTGACCGGTGTCAACCCGTCAACCGATCCAAGTGTCCTCTTTGCATCCGGCGGCACCTGCATCGTCCAGCCCGAAGTGACTCAGGGCCCATACTGTAAGCTTCAAAATCCTCCCTTCAACCGAAACCAGCATCTGACAATGTGTTCTGCAGATATTGCCGGAGAGCTCATTCGTCGCAACGTGGTCGAGGACCAGACCGGTGTGCCTTTGTTCATGGATATCCAGCTCATTGACACCAATACCTGCGAGCCACTGCCTAACATCTACACGGACATCTGGCATTGCAACGCAACTGTATGAGCCTCCCAAGTTGTTTCTTCATCATAGCGCAAGTACAAATTTCTAACCTCTCCCGCTCTTTGCGGAAAGTAGGGTGTCTACTCCGGTGTGGTCGCGAGCGGCAACGGCAACACGAACGACGAGAGCAACCTGAACACCACCTTCCTGCGCGGCGTCCAGCCCAGCGGAGACGACGGAGTCGTACGCTTCGAGTCGATCTTCCCGGGACATTATACTGGCCGTACGGTTCACATTCACGGTACGTACACCTACACATTACCCCCCTTCCCTTTACCTAATTACTTTCTTGAAACATACCCTAACTAACGGAACCATCCCACAGTCGTGACCCACCCCGCCAACGAAACCAAGATCCTCCCCAACGGCACCATCGCCGGCGTGTACAACGGCCACTCCTCGCACGTGGGCCAAATCTTCTTCGACCAGGACCTGATCACTGAGGTCGAGAAGACCAGCCCCTACTCGAGCAACACCCAGAGCCTGACCGAGAACTCCGATGACAGCATTCTGGAAACCGAGGCAGACACGACTGATCCTCTCATGGAGTATGTCTTACTCGGTGACAGTGTTTCCGACGGCATCTTTGCTTGGATCTCGATCGGTGTGAATAGCTTGCGTGATGACACCCTGTCCCCTGAGGGGTACTGGACTGAGGACGGTGGAGAGGTCAACGATGACTTTGAGATGAACATGGCTGGTATGGGAGATATTGCTGGGGCGGTACCGAGCTCCAGTGCTTCTGCTTCTGCTACAGCCTCTGCTTAGTGATTGATGGTCGATTCGGTTTGGAGAGTGTATGTCTAGGGTTAGTGGATTGGCACTGGGTTTGGTCTTGTCAATGATGACGTCGGTGATGTGTGATATGTAAGGGTCCCTTCAACATTATAGTCTATGTAGGATAAGCATACATACAGTTCCTAGCAAGTACTATATTGTCAAGATATGCCGACCAACTTGTACGGTTCCAGCATTTTTGGAAGAACAAAATATGTTTGACCTTTTTAATTCGGACATAGTTCCAACCCGGATAGTAAAAGCTAAAGAAGATAGTATAGTCTTTGCTGTGCTAGGATCGAGTAAGCATTGCCTGAAGTCATCCCATCAGTCCTTCCCAGAACACTAATTCGTCAAACTCTGCTCCCACGCTGGCATAGATTGAGAAATAATATGGCCGTTTCCTAAAAATTGCCATATCAGAAGACCCCTTTCAGTTGAGCATTTGCGCTAGGGAGCATTCTATCAAGAAGATTGGCGACTCCAAGCTTTATCAGGCCATTTAGTACCCCCCAAATTCCTCCCTGTATTTATCGTCAGCGAGTAGTAGCATCTTCCTGCATTCTCATATTTCGTCCAACCGCAATACTTAACAGAGCGCGGCGAGCGAGCTTTATCCCACCCTGTAAAGCTTGAGCCACCATCATGGAATATTTGTCGAGCAAGACCATCAATGTCCTTGTGCGGACACGCCATAAGAGATCGCAAGCTCTTGGAAGGAAATTTGCCTGTTGTATAAATACGATAGGAATTGTACAGATAAAGCTCCCAGCCGTCATCATCGTACAAAATATCTGTCTGAATTTTGACCTTAAACAAAGAGTTTCCGTTAAACACGCAGAAATGTTGGAGATCATTCTGTGGCTTTCGACTGCTAGAATGGCTAAGAGAGTTTTTTTTGTCGAGACGCACCAGCCTCTTTTCCTTTTTGCACAACTGTATCAAGTGCAGTTTATCAACGAAAGTGATTCTGGTACACGGGCAAATCTCAACTTCACCGGCATATGGCATACAGAGAAGACTGCCGCTTTGAAAGGAACATCTACTGCAACATTTCGTTCGCTTCCTACGCGTATCCTTGAAATCCCGGAGAGCCTGCCAGGTAGAATCTTGGTGAAGAACTTGACAGTCGCGGCAGTATCTCCAATGGGCGCTCTCGAGGCGAAGCAGGAACTGTAGTCTGGGTTGTTGCTTGATCTCGGTGTATATTGTCTTTCGCTTTTCGATGGGGAGTAGCTGATGAAGCTGGATTTTCTGCTCCTCAAAGTAGGCCTTGAGACGGCATAAATTATATCTGCAGCTTAGTCCGAAGCAGATCAGATCTGGGGTGGAGAGGAATTCGAATATCTTTTCAACCACCTCCGGAGGGAGGACACTAAATGAAGCTCTGTGTTTCAGATGGAGTTTTGTCAACATGGATTGCATAGTGTTGTTGAAAGTCCTCATGATTTGAGGTTTGGGGGCCATTCTGAGATTTGATAACTGTTGGGACATATCCCCTGGTCGGCTGATGGGACAGGCACGAGACTTTATGGTTGGATTAGCGCTCAGAACGTGGACAATAAATATAAGAGACGGTGAATACTGGGTGAATGAAGAGGGAGAGGAAGGGGAAAGTCCTTTATCTGCAGTCATCAGCATGTCGACAACATGACGCGGGTGACGAGATAGAAGCGCAAGCACCGGACCAGCTTGCCGTCTGTGGAGGTCGGTTGGTTCTAAACCTGGAGCACTGGCTAACCAACCGAGATAGATCGCCTTCCATTCCATCAATGTTGCACTGTAGTTCAGTTCACAGTGTAACATACTTCTAATATAGGAAAAGGGATAGAATATTACCTTATAATTCAGTGTTCGGGCCCGACAGATGGATTTCCCGATATCGTATAGATGACGGTCAGGGGAAAGGATCCCTAAGGCGGTATATCAAGCCCTTCGCAGGTAGAGATGCTCTAATCAGGTGCCTAGCTACGATGGATGTTCGGCTACTCTTTTGATAGCTAGAAAGAAAGCCGACCTGGGGTCTTCTCTATCAGGAAAGAGCCTATTTGCGAACCCCTAGTGTCGGTTTGAGCAGGGAACCTCAAGTAATGGTTATAGATTCGGCTAGAGGTACATGCTGACTCCCTAAAACTTTCCCCAACCGTAGAATAAACGTTTTTTCCATCCCAATAACGCCATTAAATATGGCACTGTAGTCCTTCTTAAAGTTTATATTGTATTCATAGTGTGAGTTTAGCACATACGACCACAGGGTGTGGAAAATAGGGCTTCCCGTCCGCTCAGCCGTACTCAAGCCACACGCCGGGAGGTTAGTAGTTGGGTGGGTGACCACCAGCGAATCCCTTCTGTTGTATGTAGACTTTTCTTTTTTGGACTCTTATTATACAGTATTTATGTTTAGTGAATATGTTCAAACATTTTCTGGTTTTACGATGCGTCCCTCAGCGACAAGCCCTATTGTAGAGACTTTCAGGCTTTCATCGGGGACTCTATTGAGGCTCTGATTGACTCTGGTCGACAGAAAGTAAGGAAGATGTTAGGTACACCATGTTATTTTTTGCTGTTCAAGGAAGTGGTTTAACACCGGCGGCGCATGAAGACATTGGAAAAATCAGGCCAGTCCAGTTAAACTTCCAGATACCCACTTTCGAGGATTTCACGCACTGTAAGGCGCGCATTTGGATCTGGGTTAAGAACTTCCACCAGAAACTGAATATCTTCACCCGAAACACCTTTCTCAATCATGGTGTTAGCCCACATGTATGCCTCTTCCAGCTGTGGAGTAGGCAAAAATTGGGCGCATTGCTCATCCTCGGCGTAGAATGGCACAGAGGACAAGTCGAAATCAATTACAAGCTGATCACGGATGACATTCCCCTTCTCTGCTAGGGTACCGGTCTGAATTGAATCGTACATCCCTGGTGACTTGAAGTCCACCTGTGCTTGAAGCAATTGCGCCAACTGTAGATCATCTTGTTAGTGATCGCAACATAGACGAAAAGTTTGTCTTTCTGCCGAGATTACTAACAATTATTCCCCAGGACCAAACATCTGTACTCGAAGACCATGGTTTTCCAAAGTGAACTTCAGGACTCCGATATGTGAGAGAAGTGATCTCTCGGGTAAATGGTTTGCTAACTATAAGAGTTGTCAGACTTACTGAAGCAAAAGAGACTCGATGAACAAAACCCAACGCGAAGAAAAAAAAGAATAAATAAATAAAAAAACGTGACATACTAGAACCACAATCTGCAAGTCTGACAATCAGATCGCGGACATTCTCATTCGGCTTCGAGGGATCAAACCCCCCAAGTGCAACATTCTCCATTTTCAAATCTTGAAACATGCCATTGTTAGCTTTCGATTGCTGTCTGTCGGGTCTCTGTGATGTTTATTTCTTACTAGTGTAAACCAGGCCTTTCATATGCACTGTAAATATGCCGAGAAGGACGCCATTCATTATCCATTTGATTTCTTTCGCAGTAAATGGCCTCACTTTTCGAGCATCCCAGAGCGAGTCCGTGAATGCTTCAAGGGCCATCATCGGGCCACTAGGCTCCGACTCAGGGACATAATCAATGAGCCTTCGGATCATGGGATCCTTTGCAAAAAGCTTTTGCATCTCCAGTTCATCCTTGAAAGCAGAGAGAGCACCGGACCAGGATTCTTCATTATGATCTGCTGGAGGCCGTTTCATAATGTACTCAGCGTCGGGTTTAGAATCGTCAAGTCCCAACCATACATTGCAACCTTTGCCGCCGCGTACTGGTGTTCCAAGGGGCCGGACAAGCCGGTACCGTCAGCCCCCTTCACCCTGGCAGATCAACCCAGCGGATGCCGTGCTGGAAACTGGTGCAGAGAATTTTGATGTACAGATTCGGTGAAAATGCGAAAGGCTTGGTGGTAGGATGCGCGACGGGCGATGAAGGAAACATGGGCGCGCTGCCTTCATCTCGACGCGTATGTGACTTTCGAAGACGACGTAGTGTGTTCGTTCCATAGCCGCCGCCGCCGCCGACCGCACTTTTTGTATGGCTCGCTTCCGTAAGTTTTTGTACCAACTGCTGTTTTTGCTTGTGCCTTCCTACTTTATCGGTAATTTGTCGAGCTTATATCAATCTGCGCGTTCAAGACTTAAAGCTCATGGGAGTTTTGAAATAGTAGAAGGTGTGGTTCTATAGTGCTAAATCGCTATAGGTAGAGACAGGTGGATGTACGGAATTCACATAGATCTACACCCAGGCCACTCATTACACCCGTAATTTGACCCAAAGCCAGATACTGTGCGTTACATCAACGGTTCAAGACTTTATAAACACTTGATCGGCTAGGCACTGGATTACTAAAAGACGGTATGGAAGCGAGGGTCAAGGCTGTATTGTGGTATACCAAGGAAGGTCCGGGTCTGCAAGCCTTCTATCTCAGGGTGTCCCAAGACCTAAGACTGCGATACATCCTACGAGATTATATCAACGGCGTTTAAATGACGGTGCTCCTACTGAAGGAATACATTAGCATATCCTGGTGGGTGCTAGACATCGAGAAACCTAAGACAACGGCAGTGGCAGGCTCGTCCGTAATAAGAGGGGAGGTAGGGACGGGGGAAGAATGGGAGGGAGACACAAGCCTATGTGTGTGTGCGGGAGGGGAGCATCATTACAAGCTATACAGGTAGATTATGCATACCAACCGCACAGGTTACTGCAGAGGCCAGCTACACCATTCCGAGGGCCAAGTCTTGGGCTCCCGAGTTAATGGCCAGATAGACTCGAAAATCTCGCTATCTTCACTCCTTAGCATAACTTCCTGATCATGACTGGACTTGAGCCGGTTTTCCAACTGCAATATACCCTCTCCGAGCCACTCGACCTGCCATGCACCCGCCATTTTGTGACTAATTTCCCCTGCAGTGACTGGTAGACGGTGACCGATGCCCGTGCGCACCCTCGACTTTCCGAACTTGCCAAGGAGCGGATGTATGCGGAGCAGCTGCAGACAACTACCCATCCGCTGGCTCTGCGGGCCCGTTCGGATGCGATTAAAAATTGCCTTGGCCAGCGATTCATCGATGGCTGAGTTGATCATGCAGTCCCGGATGGTCCATTTGGGGATCTGGCGGGAGCGGTATGGGAAGAGCTCTTCTTCGTATGCGCTCAGCTCCCGCGGCGGAAACGGCGTCCCGTCGTCGGCCTTACTTGCCGCTAGGCAGTTGAGGACGAGATCCAACGACTGTAGGGCTGGGAACCGCGCCAGAGCATCGTAGGCTCGCGCCTCAATGGGGTGGCCTCTGTATCGCTGTACGCCGATCCACAGCGTCCGCAGGGAAGGGCAGCGGGCTGCAATGCGGGCAATGACAGCTGGGCGAAAAATGGGAGCAATATATCCTTTATGTGAGAGCCGAATCGCCTTGTCTATTGGTTGGAACTGTGCGCGCTTGTAGTGCAGCTTCAACTCGGTCAGGGTTGGGCCGTGTCGGTCCAGAACGGCGGTGGGAAGTATCGCCGGGTCGTATCTTCCCAGGAGACAGAGGTATTCTAATGGTGGGAGAGCGTCAAACATCCCCTTGACTGCTGGTGGCCAGGATGGAGAGCCTTTTGGTGGGTTGAGGCTAAGTGTTAACCGCTTCAATGCTCGGAAGGCCTGCAGTTCCGTGATGGCCGTCAATGCGGTTATTTCCTCAATGGTACCCGCCGCCCACGCAGTGAGATAACCCAGATCAGTAATCTGGGACCACCTTTCCACCTGCTTCGCAGTCATCTTTGTGACCAATGGCAATGACAATATCTCCAACTTCGCGCGCGGAGCCTCAGCGATTTCGTTCTCTGGCGGCTGGAATGGGGGCCAGCGTGTATATACCGAGGATGTCCTATGCAAGGTTTTGACACTGATCTGAAATGATAAATGCTTTATATGCCGCGCTTGATGGAGAAGGTCCCGCAGAACGCGATCAGGATCCTCTCTAAAGGCCCTCATGTGCCTATCATCATGGCAAATGACCGTAACGTCATGTAGCACAGGGGAATGAAGCCATTTGGCGCGCGCGTGAATCCAGCCAGGATTAAACCGACGAAGAGGGAATACGGACACACGACAGTAGGGATGCACCTCCGCGACGACATCCAGAAGCTCAGCATAATCTGCAAAAGCCAGGATCTTCAAATTCTGCAGACATGGCAGCCGCTTCACCAGGACGATGGATGGGGTCCAATCACCTTTGAATTCACACAATAGTGGAACCTTGACATCTTCAGGAAGGCTTTCTTCGAGATAATTGCCTATGCTCTCGTCCGAGACCGGCAGACTGACGGGAGAGCTTCGGGCAAGAAGTGTCAGATGTCTAACATGCGGCAAGATTCGGCTGGCGTCCAGCAGCTGGAGTACACGAATTTGGGGCTCGTGGGATTTGAAGGATACTGTGATGCTTTTATAGAGACGGGGCGCGACAATCTGACTCCACTCACGGTTGACCTGTGATAAGGCTCGCAGGGCTTCCCGCGACACGTCGCCCACCTAGGCCCCGGGATCAGCAAATCTCAAAACGCGGATAGTAGCACTCTTACTGCACCTGCCACGTAAAGCTTCAGCTCTGGTGGCAGACTGTCCATGGCTCTTAGATAAGATAGGCCACAGGCGATGAATTTGATGGAGGGGACCAACATGGCAATAAGAATCACATATGTGAGTCACATGAATCACGGGCGTGGAATCATGATCCGGCCTGTCCACTTCACCGTAAGCACTAGTTTTCAGGTATCTTGTCTCCCAACTAGTCTACTGCGCCGAAAAGCAGACCCAGGCCGGTTCAGAGAGCTCGTGTGTCGAAAGAGAATATTTGTCAAAATCCATCCTTTTGTAGCCACACCTTCTGAAGAAGTAGCGATATCGTGCTATGGAAGGTAGACACTTTCATGATGAGTCTGGACAATATCACTCTTAAAACAACAAGTTGGGTCTATGAAAAAAAAAAGAAAGAAAGAAAAAAAAAAAAGAAAAAACCAAGAAAGCGTTGCAATAATACGATCAGAGAGGCCCTACATACAGCGATGTCACCGTGGACACGACGTTAGTGATATAGGCTGTAATATATGTCGTCAGTAGATCGCATGGAATCACTATATCATTCCAAAATACGAATTCAGAGGCTATGCTTACTACATTGTATAATGACTCATATCGAGGATAAAGAGGAGACAAGGAAAAACGCTATTTGCAGTGTGATACGGGCTACAATTAGCCTACGATGCCCAAGGCCTGGATGTGTTAACTCCAACGACACGGCACCACCATACTCTCCACTTTCACATACAACGCTAACGCTCTAGAGACATTTATTTGTCTGACTCAACACACGTTCTTCATATCCCAACTCAAGGGCCCAAAAGAGTTGGTTTGTCTATACTAGCATCTTCTTGGGCGAGGAGGAGCTCCATGTGGGTCCCGGAGGAGCTCCGTGCACTAATAGTATAAGCTCGGTTATTGTGCTATCTGGTTCTTGATAAGGCTCAACTGACCACTTCAAACGTCTTTATGAGCGAATAAAGGAAATATCTATTTCACCTCTAGATTATCAGTAGATATACCCACCAGCCCTCGTGATCTGCTAATCCCATACAATGTCCACAAACGACATCCGAGGCCGACTAGCCCTAATAACCGGTGCCTCCGGAGGGTCAGTTTTCTCCCTCCAATTAATCCCTTGGAATCTAGTCCTTCAATTGGCCCCAAATTGAATCACCAGAACTAACACGCCTCTAACTATCAGCATCGGCTCCGCCTGCGCCCACAAACTCGCCGAAAATGGCGCCCACCTAGCCCTCACTTACTCCACCAATCTTGCCGCGATACAATCCCTCCACGCAGATCTGCAATCTCGCCATCCTGATCTTCGCATTTCCACCCACAAAGTCGACCTCCGCTCCGCAACCGACATCGCCTCATTATTCGACCAAATCATTGCCCAACATGATGGCCACAGCCCCGAGATCCTCATCTCCAACGCAGGCACTGGCAAACGAATCACCAATATCTGGGACATCGACCTATCAGACTTCGACGACATGATCACTACTAATCTCCGCGCATCGTTTATTCTAGTGAAGGGCGTGGTCGAACACATGAAGGCGCAACGTTGGGGACGTATTGTTTTCATGTCGTCTATTGCCGCGTATGGGGGTGGTATTAATGGGTGTCGTAAGTTAATCTCTATCAATTCTACTTAGCATATGCGTATAGGGAATACAAACATTGCTAATAGTGATACTATGATATATAGATTATGCAGCCTCCAAAGGCGGCCTCACCGGCATGATGAAGAATCTTGCTACCAGACTAGCTGAGTTTAATATCAGCGTGAATGATGTCGCTCCCGCAATGATTGGGGATACGGGGATGATACCGAATGCCGAGGCTGTGCCGGAGGTGGTGAAGGGGATCCCGTTGGGGAGGCTGGGGACGCCGGAGGAGACGGCGAATGTGGTTCTGATGTTAGTTACCACGGGGTATATGACGGGGCAGAGTCTTCTGCTGGCGGGGGGGTTGAGATGAAAATCCTGCTTGGTTGGCTGAATAGTTCTCAGATATAGTTCAAGTACTGGGTTGACAATGGAAGAAGAGGGTGGTTATGAGAGGTGTGGGTGCGTAGAATTTTGCAGAAATTTGTTTCTTTATTTGGTGGCTGGATGCATTATCGCAGCCGAAATACTTTGGAATGTGATTTGTTAGAATAGTATCCCAGATGAAACGATGCTAACAGTGAGGACTATAAGTAGAATATATCACATCTTCCAAATAGATATAGTAATCAAGAATTACCTTAAGCACCTAAAATGTATGTATTCCAATGGGCCGAAAAGCAAAAGTGAGCGCGAAACTAGAAAATGAAATAATTTGGATACAGTCTGTTTAACATCTGATTCTACATCCACAACCACCGCAGTATCTGCTGTCTGCTGACCCATTAAACAGGCAGAACGACCTTGACTCCCATGTATTCTCGCTGGTGCATGATCTTACCATCAATAAGCACCTGATCAGCACCAAGTCTATTGCGCACTGTATCCGTTGGGTCTGTGACAGTGGAAATCTGGATCTCGCGCCATTCACGGTTCGTTGGGACCAGCTGTCCCTGGGATGTGAGTCTTCTGAATTCTTTGTAGACGCCTTGTTCTTCAACGCATCCTTCGCGCTGGATAAGGGGAGAATCTAGCAGTTATCAGCACACATGTAATATTTCTTTTTCTTCATTTCAGATTCAGGCACACATACCATATGCGGGCGCCATCCTCAAATCACCAACTGAACTGTTGAACAGCACCAAAGACAGCCGCTCTTCATTCAACTGATCCACAGGTGGCTTATACACGCGATGGCGAGTTGCCTTGAAGTGTCCGCCCGAAACGATCTCCAAAGTATCCCCGATGTTGATAACCAACGCACCGGGCTTGTACGGCACATAATACCATTGTTCATCACGGCCCCAGATCTGAAGGCACGAGATGGGAACAGAGAACAACAACGTGGTCAAGCCGAAGTCGGTGTGTCCATGCATGCGCAGACCCTTCGAAGCCTCCTCGGTTTGCTTCTGCACAGGTCGGAAAAGAGCATGTCGGAAGTAGCCTTCTCCAGTTGGGCTGCCATGAGACTGGACATTGTTCCAGAGGTAGTCGTCCGGTAGCTCGAGAACGCGGGAAAAGAGTGTCAGCAATCGTCTGTTGACTGACTGTGTCAAGTAGTTACAGAAGGCCTCAATTTCATCCATAAACGGATGCAGGCATGTGGGAACTCGGTTGATGTCTTCCCAGTCCGGCTTGTACCAGTTGAATTGCTCAATTCCGTCTGCGGGGCCACAATTGCGCTGTCCATCGATGGTTAGTTGCTAAGTCTTCTAGAGGATATGTGGTGGTATCCTACCTTGAATCCGTAAGGGTGCTTGTATCCGGACCAGACACCTGTGTCAGGGTGGAATAGCAGACGCTCCTTGTCTTCCTCACTGATGTTGTTATAGAGATACTGTGCAAGGGCGAACTGGCGGTGGAGCTGGAAGTGGTATTTATTAGGGTCCGGCTTTGTCACTATCGGGGCTTTCAACTCACCTGTTCCAAGGAAACGCCGTAGTTCTCGAGGAAGAGGAAGCCGTCGTCGCGGATGGCAATCTTAACCTGTTGGATCAAATGATCCACCACTGCTGGGTCTTCTGAGTCGAGCAGCGAAAGGTCGATCGATTTGAGCTGAGCAAAGTTGTGCTTTTCCTTTGTTACAGGAGGAGGAACCCATTCTGGCACAGATGGCTTCCCAGGGAGGTCAGCCGAAGGAGGATTGAAAGGAGCTGTGGGTGCCATGGCGGTGTTTAGACAATGGAGAATAATATTGTTTGATCAGTGATATGTGGTGACTGTGATATAGCTAATGGATATCTCTCGTACTTCTATTCTGCTTTGGAGATTGATTATATACACGTTCCAAGTGACACTCTATCGGCGTCCGCAATGCCCAGAACACACCAAATCATGTGGTATGGTTCGGGGGAGCTCTTCTGGCAGAGGAGCCCATCCCTCCGGAGCAGCAATGGAAATGAAACAATGACATGATGAAGGCTTATCGAAGCTCGCATTTTCCTACTCCTGACAACACCCTCCTCCCTCAACGGCCTCGCTATCTTAGCGTATCCGATAGGGTTGCCTTTCGCATCACCGAAGGTGGTTAGTTGATGCCGATCAACCAAGCTAGTCAGGTATAACCGCGATAACGATAAGGGAGGAGCTCCTCCCACAACAGCCGGATTGTAGGCTTGGCATCGCCGTCATGAGAAATGCCGCAGCAAATGGACTGGGAAAGAAGTCATTTAAAGGGGGGTTTTCAGGGCGTTGGCATCCCATTCAAACCACAATCTCTAATCTCAGAGTTCTGACGATCACCACATTTGTCAATCCAATCACAATGTCGCGCCAACTTATCTCGAGCGAGAAGTTCCCTCCTAAGCCTCACAACTGTGAGTAGACCTTCCGAGCTTGCGCATTGCCAGAAGAGGGATTTGACTAACTTGTATCTGCAGGCCCCGCGGTCAAGGTTCCCGGACTCGTCTTCTGTGCCGGTCAGACAGCCACAGGAGAGATCAAGCAAGCCACAGTAAGCCTTCACCGCACAGCATTCTCTTAATGCAGAGTCCAGTCGTCTAACTATCTTGACAGCGAACTGTACTCCAAAATCTTAAGGAGGTGCTTGAGCTGTCTGGGTCATCGCTTGAGCAAGTAGTCAAATACAATGTCTATCTTGCAGACATGAAGGACTTTGCTGCCATGAACGAGGTATATATCGATTTCCTGCCCAAGCCAATGCCTTCTCGGTCGTGTCTGCAGGCAGTTCCTCCGGGTGATGGAACGGTTATTGAGATTGAATGCATTGCGCAGGCCTAGATCACTAAGTTACTAGGGAAGGGTCATCAACGAAGAAAATAAATGTTTATGATAGTTATTTCAAATAGAATTATTTTAGTTATCAGTCAACTTTCATGCTTCAGCACTATTTGGGGCTGTATCCAGGCTGCATTGGTATGTGACGGCTATTGCTTGGGAGCTGTGACTCGAAAGTCGTCCAAGGTTCCCGTAGTGACGTGTAAATGCAATCAGAGCTATGAAGAGCCCATGTACAAAGCCCACAAGCATATAGTAGAAACTGAGGCTCGCAAGTGTAGTTGAGCAGGAAAGCATGAGAAGTCACACTTCTGTCAGGTGATTGCGTGATCCATGATGGGTCTCCCCCTCCTTCTCTCTCTCTCTCTCTCTCTCTCTATCTTCACTTCGTCCCCTCGCCTATTTTCCATGCCATGCCATGCCATCATCAACTCATTGACATTTGTCAGTTCCATCTCTATTCAATCATGGCTATAACCGGTACAGCTCATAAACCATGCTACAGCAGAGAAAACCTTCGATACGAATAAATGCTCTCAATATTTTTAGTTCATCGAATGGAAACACCTTCTAATTCATACAATCTATCCTGCCTATGATCGTGCTACCTCAAACTCTGCCATATACCAGTTTTGAATAGCTTTGGTGTCGCCTGTAATAGCGACCGTGTCGTATGTCTTCCTGGCCTCCTTTGCCAAGCTCCCATTGTTGACCATTCTCCCTGCCCACTTGCCATGCTTCCTTGCCGACGCAACAATCTTTTCAACCGCAGCAACAAACTCCGGCTCATCTCCCCGTGCAGGGACGTATCCGAGGAGAGATTGCGCCAAGTCATTGGGCCCGATGAAGACAAGATCCACCCCTGGTACGGCACAGATTGCGTCGACATTCTCCACACCAGCACGGGTCTCAATTTGGATCATAGTAATGATGGTCTCGTTGGCAGACTTCATATACTCGGGGGTAGTCAGGCCGTGGCCAATGGCAGGAAAAGCGGACCCTTGCCCTCGCAGTCCCTGGGGTGGGAATTTGGCAGAAGCTACCACTTGGAATGCCTCTTCGGCAGTATTGATTTGAGGGACCATGATGCCATGCGCACCCGTATCAAGCGCACGTTTGACAATATCATGAGTGGGACCGCGAATGCGGATGATTGGGGATACACCCAGGGAGGAGATGGCTGCGACAGAGTTGTGCATGGCATCGTCGGAGATATGACCATGCTCGCAATCGATAATGATGCCGTCCACCCCGGTCAGGGCGACGATCTGGGCCATGCGCACGGAAGGAAGGGCCATGAAAGTCATTAACGGATATTCTCCGGCTTTGATCTTATTGAGAAGCCGGAGCCGAGGGTTCGAGATCTCGGTTGTGAGAGGAGTGGGGTAGGTCTTCGTGTAAGTCATCGTGTCGGTAGTGTCAGGAGGACGTTGAGATAGGCAGTGACGGCTCTTACTGGACTCGCCGACATTGTCAGTTAAGTAGTTGGCCTACTACAGGGATGTTGATGGCGTTCAAGATATTTCACCAATGCGGGGCGTTGATCGGGAGGAGTGTTTAGCGCTCCGGGAGGAGCTCCGCCGATCCATCTCAACTCCTCTTCCTCCTCCACTCCTCCTTGGAAGGTTTGACACACTGGTTGAGCTGCGCTCCCACGGGGGATAAAAGATAAGGTTAGTGCGCTCCTCCCCCCTTATCTACCCGGCACTTGATTGCCAGCGAATCAGTGACTCACCATCGTTCGTAACAGACTCCACATCAATAGCCGGTCGGCATTACCCAGATGTCATGGGAAACGGCGGCCTGTCCAATCAAGATAACATGATATACACCTTTGATGTTCCTTAATATCTTGGCCAATCTCCCCCTGGGGCAACAGCTTGTAGGTGCCTTTCAAAGCCTCCATTCCTGCTATTATGGATCTCAAAAAACGCCCCTCGTCCATTAAGTCGGAGGGTAATATCTCCTCTGCAGAAGGACAGGTCAATGATGTCGTTGGTGATGCGTATGAGCGGATGCCAGAGTCGCTACGCAGTCTCAGCGAAGATGAGCGCCAACGCCTCAATCGGAGAATCGTCCGCAAGGTAGACCTCATGGTTCTGCCTACCATTGGCATCTTATACATTCTGAACTACATCGATCGTCAAAACCTTGCTTCGGCCAAGCTGCAGGGCATCATGGAAGATCTCCAAATGTCAACCGAGCAATTCGCCACAGCCGTCTCAATTCTCTTCGTCGGCTATCTGCCCTTCCAGATTCCCAGCAACCTCCTCATTACCAAGATTTCCCGGCCAGGTATGTACATCTGTCTTGCTGTCTCCATCTGGGGCTGCATTTCAGCTGCAACCGCGGCTGTTCATAACTACGGCCAATTGCTCGCCGTGCGTGCAGTTCTTGGTATCGCCGAAGCCGTCTTCTTCCCGGGTGCAATCTATTACCTCTCGGCCTGGTACACCAAAGCCGAGCTGGGCAAGCGCATCGCTGGTCTCTACATTGCCCAACAAGTCGGCAACGCCTTTGGTGGACTCTTCGCCGCTGCCATTCTTCAATTGGACGGTGTCCATAACATCGCTGGTTGGCAATGGCTCTTCATCATCGAAGGAAGCGCCACAGTCGGCATCGGCATAATCTGCGCTTTAATAATGCCCGAATTTCCCCACAATAGTCGCATCCTCTCCCCGATTGAGCGGGACTTCGCTGTCTGGCGCATCGAATCCGAAGCCGGAGCCGCCGAGGGCACAGAGAACGAACCTATCCTTCGCGGATTCATCAAAGCCCTCTCCGACCCTAAACTCCTTCTTTTGATCTTCTCGAACATGCTCTCTCAGACCCAAGGTTCCATCGCCAATTATTTCCCCACCTTGATCGGCTCCCTCGGCTTCTCTTCCAACACCATCAGCCTCCTCCTCACCGCACCGCCCTACATCCTCGCAGGCATAATCTACTATTTCATCATGTTCTACTCGGATCGCTACAACACCATCTATCCTCTCATTCTGGGCTGCATCTCCATCTCTATCGTGATGTACATCATTCTCATGTCGACATTGAATATCGGCGCACGGTACTTTGCCATGATGATCCTCCCGTTCGCCTCGGTTGGTCCGCAGCTTCTCCTCTACAAAACTATCAACTTGCATCTGGCCCGTCCAGTGTCTAAGCGCGCTGCTGCTTCAGCACTGGTGAATGCCATTGGCGGTACGTCGAACATCTGGGCGTCGTATTTATACTACGATGGTCCGCATTTCTATGCAGCTTTTGGAACACTCATGGGCGCGGCATTCCTCTTGGCTGCTACGGTGACGGTGTATCGTTGGTGCGTACGCCGCGAGAATAAGTATCTCGACTCTGGTGATCCAGACTTGATCGGCAAGGTAGTCAAGAGAGGTGTTACGGAAGAGATGGTGCAGCTCCGGTGGCGATACGAGATGTACTGATTCCTATACGTAATACTCTGCAAATAGCCTTGATGTAATCAGAATATGTAGTAGCCACACGCATTATTTGATAAAACAACTCTACAATACACACACAAATACACAACAGTAGTCAATCTAAACCCCCCAAACACCCCAAAACCAACCTCCCAATAACCCACCTCTCCCTCCTAGCAAACACCCTCCTAGCCCACTCCACCGCACCGCGCACATCCCCATCCCCCACTCCCACCACCCCCATCGCCCCCGGCACACCCCCTCTAATCAACTGCCACGCGACCAAAAACGCCTTATACGCATACAGTGTCACCCACGGCGCCTCTCCCTCCACATCCCCCTCCTCCAAATAGGTCAGAAACCAATCCACATGCGGCTGGAACGCCTTCGCTGTCTCCTCACACAGGAACTCACACGCCGAGGGCGCCAACTCCGTCGCCTGTTGGAGCATAGTGTCGATACTGGCTTTGACGATGCCACCTGTGTGGCTGGGAGACCACATCTGTAGCTCGATCATGGCTGTTTGCCAGGTTGCGGTGGTGTGGGCGGATTTAGCGTTATAGGTAGTAGAGGGTCTTGGTGTTGGTGTTGGTGTTGGGGAAAGAAACACTCCCAAAGATAGGAGAGACGACCGTAGAGCGGAGAACCGTTCCATGCTCAGCATGCCGGTCATAGTCGACCAGCCGGAGATTTCGCGCGCGCTGGAGATCAGGAAGTGGGTGATGTTGATGGCGCCGTAGGGGTCGAAGGGGGGGATCGAAGATGTGGAATCTGTAGATGAGGAGAGGAAGTGCCGGACTGCGTCGTCATAGCGCATACTGGTTGGGTGTTTATGATGTTGTTGTTGGGAGATGAGTTGGAGATGGGCCCATTGGGCGGCGGAGGGGGCGGTCCAGTGGGTTTCTGGACAGGGCAGATCGTGTTTGATTTCGAGGTGGGAGATGGCGCGTGGGATGGAGAGGAGTTGGTACCAGAGTGCGTCGATTTGGTGAACGGCGAAGAGGGTCCGTTTGTGGGATTCCGCTTTGATGAATTCTTTCCACAGGGAGTCGAGGTCCGAGGTGTGTGCGCATTCGGTGGTGATCGGGTGCATTAAGCCTGTGGAGCGCGCGAGGGATATCATGGTCGCGTGCATTTGGAGGCCTTGGGTTGAGTCGGAGCCGCAGAGGTACATCATGGCGCAGATCTGGAGGAGGAGGTAGGTTTGCACTAGGGAGAGGTGGTCGGTGGTGGTAGAGTTAGGGTGGTTGCTGGAGGAGAGGCTGGAGCGGGCGCGGAGGTAGCAGCGGGTGGAGAGGCTTGTGCCCGTGCCCGTGCGGGCATCGCATTCGGGGTCTTCGCCGTATTGGTATGCGAGAGAGAGCATGGCGAGGAGGAGGTGGGAGGGTATGGCACTGGGGTCGAATGTTGGGTGGTGTAAAAAGGGGAGGAAGTGTGAGACATGGGTGAAGAAGAGGTTGCAGCCTTCGCGGATTTGTGAGGCGGAAGGAAACCAGTTGTTCTGGGGCTGGGTGCTCTCAGGCGCAATAGGGATAACAGAGAGATCTTTTGGAAACCTGAGGTCGCTGAGGTCAATGTCCGACGGAGACTGTAAATTGGATATCGCGAGCGGCTGGGTGCTGAGTTGATCGGTTGGTTGGGGAAGTGATGTTTCGCGTAACAGGCTACGCTCCAGTTCTAACGCATCTAGCAAACGAGACTCGTCCATTGATATATGTTGCGTCGGATTACCTGGAACAGACTGGATACGATCGCTGTTTTCTATAGGTGATGTGCTGGACGCAGTGCTGGTTCCTCCTGCATCTGGGTCATGTCCATCCTCGTAGTGTATTTGCGGAAGATCAGACATCCAACAAGACCTATCTAACTGCAGGTCATCGACATTCTGCAGTTGCCCACGATGCTGGCCAGTATCCTGGCATGGGGTAGGATAGCTATCCCTTTGCTTTGGCCTCTTCGTCGTTCGTCTTTGCTCGTGCTCTGCATGTTTCCTCTTCATATGGCGATGGCGCAAATCCGGACGCGAAAAGGTAGCCTGGCACAAGTCACACGGCAAGGAGATTTCCTTTCGAGAGCGGGAATGAAGAGCTGCGTGTCGTTTGAGGTTCTCATGTCGAGTGAAACGGCGTAGACAAACCACGCATTGGAATGGCTGGTAGGAAGTCATGGCTGCGTGAGAGTGGATAATATCTGCCATGAGGAGAAGTTGAAGAGGAAGAAGAACAAAGAGGGGAACGGCAGACGGAGCAAATGAGCAAATCCGGGGCGCATAGTCTTACCCCACCCCCGCAATTTGCCTAGTCGATCCTTCGGTTCGCAGGTGACAGATGGTTGGTTGCCCTTGGCACGCTTGAACGGTGTACCAGTTGGATAGCATTCGGATATGAGAGGAAGGCACTGCTCAACAAAATATCTCCATTTTTCTGACAGAAGAGAGGGGGAAAGAGGAGTAAAGAACGGGGAAACCGGGTCTTATCAATGAAGGGTAGATCGGCTATTGATTCTTATCTGATATGGTTGGCCTTCCCCAGATAACAATCATCATCTATTCTCTGATTGGCCAGTATCCCCTATCTAGGCACCATTACTGGTTCTGCCGGCTATACCTCCGACATTATACATCTGGTAATTGCGTAGGCATGGTTAGTGCTTTCAGCTGCTGGAGTGTATCAAACCTGTTAGGAAGGTTCAAATTAATTGATCTCAGGATCTATGCGGTAGTAAGAGTTTTTCGCATAAACTGTCGTATCCACAGAATTTGAAAACCCCTGATTCACTTCACCCGACTGCCAAGACTCCAGTAAGCAGCATCAATTCAAGCATTCGCAATACCTGATCAAGACATAAACATTCATATTTTCACCACTTATGATGCCAATATACTCATTAGTGCTCAAAACACATAAAACCTGATAGACATGGTCAAGAAAAGATCCGAGTCCCTCCTAAGGTTGAAAGTAACAATCCGATATCATCTGACTGCCAAGACGCGCAGAAAACCCGATCGGGCCAAAAGAGCAAAATAGGGCCGATCCGCAACCACGGTACAATCTGTCTTCTAATTCATTCAACTACCTTTTATATTCCTAGTAGCAGGCAGAACCATTTCCCACACAGCATTTTCTTGTCTTTGAGAATTCTCATCTCGTTTTCGTGCCACAACCAACAAAATGAATGCCGATAAGAAAACCACTGCCTCAGTCCCACCCTCTGCGCCAACTCCTTCGCAAAATGCTTCTATCCTTCGAAGGATTGCACCGAATAGGTGGACGTAAGTGAATAGGACCATTTTCAGTTGAATTCTTGTATGTCAGAGAAAAAGACGCGCACTGAGGCGCGTATTTCTGAAACTGAAGAAGAGCCGTGCGAGGCTAACGCTTCTTCTTCAGGTTACTGTACATCGTATTGTTCACTGCCAGTATAAGATGTCTTTGGACTTATATGCAATGGCCTAATGGAGGGGATTTGGCGCTAGCGCTCCATACTGGGTTATTGATACTGTATCTTGTTATATGGCGCTACGTTGAGGGGCAGTAAAATAGTATCGGTTTTGCTAAGTAGAAAGGGCAAATTCTCCGACATTTGCTACCTATACTTAGTTCTGGATTGTTTTTTTTGTTTCTTGTCGTTAATGTTCTTTATTGTGTGTTTATATTTCAAGAGATACCTATTAGAACAATGATTCTTTCACTGAATTATGGAGCGTCCCTGTTAGCTTAATATTGACCAGTTAAGAGGCATGTATTTGATACTGTATAGGGGGACCTGATCGATCATAACTCTACTTGATAGTAAACAACCTGCTACTTTGAGGTCTGTGCACCATACCCCGTCTCCAAGATTGGTTAGCCGACCACGTGGGTACAGTATGCAACTTGCTTACCCCAGGATTTTATGCCTGGTTGATCTGGCAGACATACGAATAGCCCACGATACCTAGTAAGAAAAGAAAACCCCTAAAACATTAAAAAGGAGGATATGATGGTCCTCAAGTTGATTATATGCTCCGCAAATCATTATGGATGATACAGAATTTGTACAGGTCCAATCCCAGTAATGCTGAGGAGAAACAGAGTTCGCGTGAATCAATGAATCGCTCAGTATAATCCAGAATAAATGCCCAAATGTGCTCAAAACTTCTTCGTGCAGTTCGTTGTCGCTAAAAATGTGTGAAATGGTGCTGATGAACGTAAATTGGTCAAGATGCTGTCAAGATGCGGAACCCTCTCAGGGTCATTGAAGATATGCCATGCTTAAAATATACCAAATCGTTTCGATTTCCCGTCTGTGCCATTCATTAGATAGGTTGTGACAATTTGGAGGGCATACGCACCTTTCTTTTCCTTCTGCCCGCGGCCAGTGCCCGCAGCTGCTGCACTGGCCTTCTCGGGATTAACCCCGTCGACAGCTGCTCGAATGGCGGCAATTCGGCGCTTAGCTCGGATGTCGCCTTGGTCCGCTGCTTGCACGTACCAAACGTTGGCTGCTAGGTGGTCTGGCCGACAGCCAATTCCTGTTTCCGTAAAGTATCCAACCGCATATTGCGCCTTGGTGAGTCCTGCGGCAACGTCAGCATTCCATGGTTTGCGTGATAGACATTGCAGGTCTTACCAGTCTCCGCGGCACGTTTAGCCCATTCGTAGGCTTCATATTCATCCTTTTCAAGCACCGGCTCTGCTCCGATGAGGTACCAAGCACACAGTGCCATCATGGCCAGAGGGTGGCCACCCTGTGCAGCGTTGGTATAGAAATGGATCGACAAGGCAGGGTCTCTGGGGCATTCGAGTTTGCCGTGCTCGTAGGCATCGCCCAAGCGATAGCTGGCCTCAATGTGGCCTAAGTCCGCTGCTTTGGTGAACAGCTGGGCAGCATATGCAGGGTCTGGAAATACGTCGTCGCCATATCCCGTTTCGTGCATCAATCCCAATTCGTAAGGAGCAGAGTTATACTGAGCATCGGATGAATCTGTAGCGCGTTTCATCCATTTGATGCCTTCGCGATAGCGCTTTCCGAGCCCCATGTCGCCCTCCAGACAGGCCTTCGCCATACGTAGCATCGCGCCGGGGTGGTTTTTGGATGCTGCCTGGCGGTAGAACTGCTGTGCCCGGGCGGCTTCAACTCGGGTACCCCAGCCAAACTCATAGCACAAAGCAGTCCGGTAGCATGCTTCGACATGTCCGTGTTTACTGGCTGCTAGAAACAGTGGAAACGCTCGGTCATAGTCCTCTTTCCCTTTGCTGAACAACCCCGAAGCATATCCGTCAGCCAGATAGTATTGAGCAAAGGGATAGCTACGATCAGCCAGGCGCTGGAGGATGGATTTGGACTCTCGTAGAAGGCTAGCACGGTTAATGTCGCTTCCCTTCCGGCCATACACTGCGGATGCACCGTCGACCTCATCGGCAGGCATTTCCAACATTGCGTTCACCATAAAGATGGCAAACTCATACTGGATGGCGGGGTCATCAGTCTTCTTGACATTTGCCAGATACATGTCGAACGTTTGCTTGTGGCTCAGCAGCGATGCGTTATTGCCGACAGCAGATTGCAGATGGGAGTTGTCAATCTGAACAGGGGCAGGTCCGGGTTGCGGATAGCAGCTGTTAAGCTGTTCAACGAAGGATACTGGTCGGACATCAGGAGATACACTGGATTCACGGGATGGTGCACGGGCGTGAAGGTATGGGGAGAGCCGAGAAGATCTCCGTCTTTCACCCAGGTCGGAGCCGAGCGAGTGTGTCGAAAGAGAGCGACGATTGGCGGCTGGGCGTGGCTTCGGCAGATTCTCAGATGAGCCACTTGCTGGTGATTGCCGGTTTGCAGGCTGGGGAGCTTCGTACGGTCGATGATGGTAGTGCAAAGGTTCGTAGATTTCGGAGGCTTGCGTTGCGCTGTCGAGACTATCTCGGGAAGAGCTGGTCTGACTGTCCTTGGCAGGTTGTTGGTCCAAGGAAGACGTGCTAGTATTGGCGAGGCTATCGTCTTTTGTGTGAGGATCGACTACTGACCAAGAGGCACTGCTACGAGGTGTGTGTCCGTAAGCCGCATTCTCTGGTAGCTGGCCGGCTTTGAAGATTTCCACCCCCGGTGAGGATGATCCGTCGATGGTCTTTCCATGAGTCTGCTGCTGCTCAGAGAGAGATATTTGGGCGAATTCATCAGTGGGAAGCGTCATTGCAAAACCATCCTCATGAAATTCCGGCACTGGCTGATCGCTTTCTCCATGGATTCTGACCCGCGGAACCGAATGCCGTTGGCTTTCGGGGCGATCTTCCGGCATAGACACCGGATCTGTCAGAGATTTTCTGGGAATAGGCTTGCTGTACAAGCGATTGAAGCTGTCCCGGCGGGGTTCACGGGGCACCGGGGGAATGGGGGGAGAAGAACGAAGGTAAACAGGTGGAGGGGAAGAAAGCGGCTGGGGATAGCCGGCGCTGGCAGAGCGCTCCATCCCGCTTGATTCTTGTGTTTGAGATGCGATCGGTGAATTCCAAAATGCAAAAAATGTATATTTCGAGCCTGGCCGCAGAACAATCCTTGACAGTGGGGACGTCCGTCAAGGGAATTTGGATTGACCCGGGAGTTATGCGATAAACTGTGGACTATGCATGGAATATGAAACCTGCCATGTGCGCTGGAGCGAGGTGACGAGGGTCTTGGGAGCTGCAAACGAATGGAACGAGACAAGGCAACGAGGGGGGATCAGGGATCGCGGGACAAGGGACTGCTGGAATGTGGAGAAGCTGGAGAAGGATGATGGGTCAGCTCAGGGAAATTCGGGGTCCACCGGGAAAATAGGCCTACCTTGCAGCAAACGCTAAACGATGGGTCCTGATGGGATGCAGCTGTTGGATTCCATCACGCAGAGCAGAGGAGTGAATGGGAACACGGGGGGACAAACGAAGGTCCAAAGGCCACTCAAACGAAGCGAGAGAGCCGTTGAAAGAAAGAGAAAAGACTGCCAAGTGGGATTGGCAAAGAAGTGGGAGGATTTTTGGGGGGGAGAGGCAGAAGAGGAGAAATGGCTCGGGAAGAGAGTTGCGCCCAGAAGTCAATTCCGGCTTAGTTCCGTATAGAATATGAGACTAGTAACAACGATACTTACTAGATACCTCCGTCCTTACTCAAAACTCCCACCAGTTGACTGGTGGAAAGCCTCCACTGGAGGTGACTTTTAACACCATTTACTGTCACGGGGTCAAGAAGAGGCAAGCTTACACTTACTCCTCTCGGCCCGACTAGCCCGACTGGGATGACAGCATCGCCAAAAATAGCCAGTTCGTCTGTCTGCTTACGCTGCCTGTACCATGCGTGTCTCACTGTCTCACTTTCGCTTCCTCGACTACTACAGAGGACACGTTCAAGGCAACCCAATCATTCCTCCCATGCCACCACTGCGCGGTTCGTTTGGCTCCTCCAGGAATTAAAATGTGTCGCATGTCTTAGGCTGCCGGGTGTCAAAGCTCCCGGGCTATTTCCACGATCCATGGGTCATGAGGGGAACTCTGGGATTCGGATTCAATAGTGGTTCCGTTCTAGTGCTACTATGGCGGTGGTTAATTATGGTGGCTGGTTTAATTTAAACTACTCGACCACGACCCCTCCATTGAACTTAGTGGCTGTCATGAAGGGTGGACCCTTAAGGCACTTTGCTCAGCCCATGTGAGCTGGCTTAGCCGGTTATTGCATTTGTGACCTCTTCTTTCTGTTGTCACCTTCAGACTTGCACAGTTGTTACATGACTGATTCCCACTACTGGCTGCACCAAGCACTGTACAGCAGACAACGGCTCATCCATCTCAATCCTCATCTACTTTTGACTATGATCTCCGTTAGGCAACCTTTATCTGCGCTGGTCCACTACAACAGGTACTAATCCTCAAGAATAAGAGGGTTGTCATACATGGTGGCTCATGTTGAACCTAAACCCAGCTAATAATCCCCCACACCCCTCTCAAAACAAGTATGTATGTACTGGTAATAAATGAGATGGCGTGACAGCGATCCAAGCTCGCATCTTCCCGCCTTTAGGCTTTCGGACACGGAGGCCACAGGCCACAAGGCTGCTCCGTCCAGATTGTTTCAAATTGTCCATATTTTAGCGGAAGAATCGGAACCCCGTCGGGCCAGTCGATGATTGGTGCGCGCGGTCCAGAGGACACGACGGAGCGGTCTCGGCGCACAGTCCAGATTCAGGTCCTCCCATTGGCCTCCGGAGCAATGGGCAATCGTTTGCCCGGATTCCGTTCCTCTTGGCTCCGTCCCTCGCTTGTTGTTTTCTTGACATGACAGCTATGACTGGTTCATTTCTTTACTTACTACATAGTGAATATATATCCTTTATGACTAGGAGATGTGTCTTCCAACGCTCTAATACTTAAGAAAAAGGAATCTCTTATTATGTCCGATATACCCAGCTCGATACCAATAATGCTCAGGCCGTCTGAGGTCACGTACCTATTCGATACAGATGACGTGCCGTAGCAGAATACACGCACAGAACCCAAAAAATATCCCTGGTCTTTGGTAGTCGGAATTGAAACAATGACTTACACAAAGTTCCATAGACACCTCATTAATAAGTGTGTAGTCCGTCTTGGAATGGGGACATGCCACTTCCGTTCTGATCCTCGTTATCAAGTTGGCTTGGCTGATACACTGGAACAATACATTGAGCATTGCTAGCAGCGATATCAAAAGGAATTTGAATATTCAATGGAGGTATCTACAGCATGGTCCTTGTATCTAGTCCTTACATATATGTCTATTTATGATGACTTTACAGTCTAACGGGCATGTCAGATATGTGATTCAGCACCATACGATGTGATCCAGGCCTTTGGCAATGCAAGCCAGACGCCAAACAGCATACATTGGTCCCACGAGCAAACATCAAGGACCCCCACAAAGCATGGGTCGGAACATACCCAAGCTGATCTTCGACGGAGTCTCAATCCTCGGGATTAGCGTAATGTTGTTACGCGTTAAACTGAATAATTACCGCGCAGTCGTGATGAACATATAGGAAAGTCATTAAGGGAGCTGTTCTCATATCACGTGCACGGATATTATCATTCAGACTGGCGATCGATCTCTGTCATGTGGAAGCACGTGGTAAGGTCGGCATTGATCCTCAATTACTTGAGGTGCAGATCGTGGGCTTCCTTTAGGATTTATGTATACGATGTATCAATTCGAGCGCACAATTTCAATCTCGGAGATAAAAACTTGCCGGACCTTGTGTCAGGGGAGTAACTCAAAGTATCGACAGTAAAGTCGTTACTGAAAATTCCTGATTAGGAGACCAGGTAGAGACGTCGACCTTCAAGCTATCTCTATAATTAGGTGAGCGGATACCGAACTCATGTCCATTCGAGAGTGGAGAGGCGAGATTGCCGATCGCCTCGGGACCTGAATGAACGATGAAGTAGCAATTGCCTTGGTCAGGGGTAGGGGGGAATGATAACCCCGCTTATAAAAAAGATGTGGCCATGAAAAGTGACTATATCATATGCTCGGAGCTACTATGGGGCCCCTATTGATCATGAAATAAGGTACATACGGATAAGAGATAATGCACCAAGCGTTCAAGCGAACCCCTCGAGGCAGGATAGTGCATCTTATAACAAGTTCGAGAGTGAAGGATATCAAGCTTCAATGAGTCAGAAAACCAGTATCCAGCAAGGGATTCTGTCCGTGGGGTTTTCCTTAGCAGCAGATTTTGAGAGGAATCTTGGTTGAAAATGGGGGGGATACAGGGCTCATCTCCAAGACATCCCCTACATCCTTAGCAAGGAGGCAGACAGATAACGAAGGTTTCTAGAGCAATAGCCATACACACGTTCAGGTGTTCCGTGTTGGTGTTGGTGTTTCAATATGTGACCCCAAGTCAAAGCAATGATGTTTTGGCCAGGTCGCATTTCTGCTTAAGCGAGATATCAACAGGAGACTCACAGGGCTAAAATAATCTCCGATGTTGCGTCGTGCAATGATTAGCGAGGAGAAGATCTCCTGAGCAAGCAAGGCATAATGTCTCAATATTTGGGGATGATAAAGGGGGGGTTTTCTTATCTTATCGCAGCGGTGATCAAGCTTAGAAGCTCCACCTGCGCGTCAATACTGGCTGATCGGAAGAATAGTCTATCGTCGTGCTAGAGTGACAGTAGCTAGCTAGAACAAAGTCTCTATTGCGGAAGAGAATGAACGCGAGTTCATTGTGGCAAAGATCATATCTCCAAACCAAGAGGCAGCAACGTAAAAACTCCAGCATCCAAGTCTCCGCCCGCCCACTGTGCCAAGGCATCAAGGACGCAGTAGTGTAGCAATTGCCAAGGGGACGCCCTGAATCCAACCCGCAACCCCGGCGACTATTGGCCCCCGGGCCTGCCGATCGCACCGGGCGATGGAGCTGGGCTGGAGCCGACAATGGGCTGTCACTCGTCCACGGCGCCTCGCCTGCCAGGGGGCCTGCCGATCCCAACCCCAGGGTCCCGCGCCGATCCCGCCGATTGCTGTTTCGGCCTGCGTTGGCGATGCTGCTGCTGCTGCTGCTGCTGCTTCCCTACTATCTAATTCTGCCCACAATAACCTGCTTTTTACGTGTATAATTTTTATTCCAAAAATAACCGGTGGGCTAACCGTGTGCCTGCATCACATTCACTGTTGACTCACTTTGATGATGACGCCCGATCGGAAGGAGCATCGATCGACAGCGCCTCCTCTCCCTACCTAAATAAACGGTCGCGCCCATCCCCATCCCTCTTCGTCATCCCTACCTGACCCGTCTTTTGTTACTTTCCTCTTCCTCCCAACCTTCTCTCCTCCACGTTCTTAACATTCCAATCCTCCCTCGTGCTCGCCCAGGTATGTGCCATTGCCATTTTCCGATTGTCTCGATATTTTCGGATAGCCTCATTTGTCCAGAGACTAACCACGATCAATCTTCTAGCAATCACAGACACACGCCACAAATAACAACCTCTTTCCTCTTCAAATCCCTTTACTCTACAATCACAATGCGTTTCTTCGCTGTCATCGCTCTCCTCGCCTCTGTTGCCGTCGCCAGACCGGCTGAGAATGGCGCGCTGAACGTCCAGGTGATGTGCCTTGGAGTGAGTTTGGCTACTTCCCTCATGTCACGATACAACAGCTTCGCTAACAATCCCCAGCGGAACGACGGCATGTGCGTTGGCGGCAACATCACGGCCGCTGGAAACAGCTGCTGCCCTCCTCTCGTCTGCGGAAGTGACCGAGTAAGTGTTTGATAATAACAATGGCAATCGAGACAATGACTAACAGACATTCCCAACAGCTCTGCCACTAAACGCTGAGCAACGCAGTCTACCATGTTGACCTCGAGGATTAACTCCTGAACTTTGAAGATACCTAATGTGTGCTGGGGATAAAGGTGTGATGTCGGATACGCGGGCGTGGTGATGAAGGCATCTCGAACGGCCGGGTTCATATTGTACTTGTCGAATACGACTAATATGTGTCAATAACACTTATGCGACGCTGACAAAGCTCGCTCAAAAATTGGTGATGGGGTAGTCAATTATTAGGAAGATATACTAACTCTGTCGATTGCAAATTAACTCTGATAAACTGATCGTCCTGGTAAATTATTGTCTTTGCTTAACAATGACCTAGGACTGAATGTACGTGCAACAATGATCACGGTATGACGATTCACTACGTTTATCCCTCAACCTCCGCTCGAATTATTCCTCGGCTTTGCACTCCATACGTCCCCCCAAGACGCCAGCGACGCGCTGCCAGAGAAGGGCAAGAATGCCCTCTTTCAACGACATTCCCGAGCTTCTCCACTTCATCATCAAGCGTCTCGAACCTAATGACACAATCTGTCTATATGCAACCAAACCCTTACAACCGCGCTCGCAACATCACTCGATGGGCTGCCGACTGTTGTTCCTCAAAACAAACCACCAAAACACCACCAGGATACTGGTTTTTCTCGACCTGTTTTTCAATTTCACCCAACATCGATGTTCCTCGTCGGAAACGCTAGCTTCAGTCAAGGAGCGGCGATAAATGAGACATGAATCTATTCCTTCCCAAGGCCTAAATTTAAGTCCCGGTCATCCGAACTTCTGGATAGCACGGATAGTAAGCTCCGATACTTTTCTTTTTTTTTTTTTTTTTTTTTTTTTTTTTTTTTTTTTTTTTTTTTTTTTTTTTTTTTTTTT